AGCTTAGCATCGCTATGCTAATTGTTGACGAGATAATCGGTCTCGTAGAGGGAAAAGACTCGAGTGATGTTTGGCGTAATACGTAATCCAGTGTCAACCCGGGATTCATTTGTATCCGACCATTTTGGCGCATCTGTTGCAGTAGTAGATGTTGGTCCCAATGCGGACCATGCCTTGCGAGGAGGGGTCGTCGGTTGACGTGGTTTCGACTGAGCGGGCACACCGCAGACACCGGAGAACCTCTACAGAGGCCACGGGTCTCACAACGGAGTCCATGCTGTACCGGGAGGAAGACGTCGAGGTGTCGGAGTCTGACGACGAGCTGGATGAAGAGCTAAGGTAGTGAACCTTGGAAGGTCGGGTTGCCATTGCGAGGGTTGTGGGACAACACAGGTCGAGATGTGGTGAGTGTTCTGGTGTTATAAAGAGTTGTCCGAGTTCAGAAGGTCAGTGGAACGGAGTGAGTTCTTTGAAGTCTAGATTGCGGTTGCAAACTAGTCTCATCTAGGGGGAAGGGTCCTGAGAAGGGTCCTTTGGAGGATTGTTTGATGGAAGGGGTGCCGGGTCTAGATATGTTGGCAGCCAGATATAGAAAACTGGAGAAGCCGGGTGGGGCGGGCGCGTCGCATAGAAAGGTGTCGGGGTGGTGTCACGTCGAAGGCTGCACTGTGAGTCTGCGGAACTGTCGGGCTTAAACAGGTTGCTGTGTCGATGGCCTGCTGCTGCAGCATATGTATATTGCGGTACATGTGGGCTGGGCTTGGGCTTGGGCTGCTAGGTTGCGTGGCTTATGGCACAAGGAGCCAGCCGGGACAAGGGTCCTGGGGTGCTAGCGGGAGCAGCAGCCAAAGTTGCCAGGGGGGTCGTAACCGTAATGCGTTACGCAGGTGGCCGTTGCTTTTTACTAAACGGTACTTTTGCGGGCATGCAACGTTTGCACTACCGTTTGGTGGGACGCTGTTTGATCGATATTGCTGGCTTGTGAGTTGGATAGACGAGTAGACCAAGGAAAGTCTTCCTTCAGACTGGTGGAGGACGAGGATGTTGCTGAAATTTAAAGGAATCACGCGTTGAAACAACCTCGATTCAACTTGTGCGTCCTGACCTCATGAATCGCGATCACTGTCCGCCACAGACTGGCTACCGAGCGTCCGGCTTTGGGAGCATGAATGCCAGATGCGCTATTGGGCCCTCGTCTCCGGAGGAATCTGTCAAATCTGTGATCTTCGATCACCTCTGGAGGGGGGGATCGTCTTTGGAAATAAGCGTAAAACATGCTGCTCACGTAAACCATCGAAAGGAGCACGCGGCCCTATCGCAGGGACGAGTTTCACATTCATACACAGAACCACTTGTCCACGATATCCCGTGTCGTGCTTCCGCTAACTAATCGCACCACCCCATCGGGATCGAATTCTTCATGAAATCTGCAGAATCCCATCTTGGCTGGCCGGTGCCAACAAAACCTGGTACCAGTAGCCCGCTTTCTGTGCAAATTGCTCCGAGAATTAATCAAACTCTGGCGATGGGCTGCTCATTGTCGATGGGGGGCACCAAGACGCCGTTTGACTGTCTGCCGGCAGAACCGCCTCCAGTAGGTAGCCTACGACCCCCGCAGCTTCTTTGATCTCGATGTTACGGCGCGCTGGATCGAAGTTGAATGCTGTGCATCTGGTATCGCTGAGTGGCCAATTGCCAAACCATCATCCGGCGCCTTTGACTGGCGGATTGGATTCCGTACCGCTCGTCGCTGCAACTGCGGGGGTCCGGCTCTGTGCTCGCCTGGGACTAGCGCTTCCAGAACTCTGATCGCACCACCAAAATTTCGATCCAGATCGTTACTCTGACTCCTGCTGGTTCCATGCGGCGATCAATCCTGGGCGTGATTTTTTCGTCTGTCTTTGTTCAATCCAGGCGTAGACTGGGCGCCAAGTCTAGGCTCCGAATACCGTATCGAGAAGTCCGTTTCTCATTATGCCTCACTCTGGTGAGCAGTCCGGCAGAGTTTGCAATGCAACGCAGGCCACAAGTAAACGCAAATTACTTCGTGCTCAACTCGCGCTATGTAGTTGTTTGCAATTGCAAGGCATCCAAGCTCGATTTCAGCCTAACCGTTGGCAGTAAACAGCTCACTCCCTGTCCTGTCCTCGAGGCACAAAGGTACCTCAATTTAGGTCAATCATCCTGGCCCGTCAGGCTTGTTAGGCTCTGTAGGGCAGTAACAAGAAAAGAAAGGTGAGCTACGGCCGCTGGACAGGACGTGAGAATACTGTGGCCACCGTCAAGAAATGACCCTTTTTCCTGCATGCATGCCACAGCGTGCAGTTTTGCTTCCCACCGCATAAGCATCAGAGCAAGTTTCTCTGCTGCATAAAGTCATTGTTTGCCCTCAAGCACGTATCTCGAGAGACCATCCCGTCATTTCCCCAATTCTAGACCCAATGTCAACAACATCAAGACAGTGATCGACACTGGAAAAAATCAGGGTTCCGTCCCAGCAATGGGGAAGCTGGTGGAGCATTGCCCTGAGCTGCTCGCCTTGACGTTCCGGATCAGCGCTTCTCGAACAGTCTGCCGCCACTTTCAATGGCCTGATGATGTGCGCTGGGCCCAGGGCTCTAGGTAAGGGCCTTACTACTGGGCTACTTTGCTCCAGTGTCATAATAGGTGAAAATGCACGTCTCAACAGGGGCCCGGGAAAGGCATGCAGGCGATCCAAGCTTCCACAGTCTTAAGATAATTTTCTGTTTCGTACTGATCAGCAATGGCCAGACCGTGACAGCCCGAATGGAAACGCCAGGCAGGGAGCATCCGCTCCAGGGGCCTCGGCACTTGGAAACAAACGAACGGGTCTCGACCAATAACCTAATTTCTCTACCATGGGGATTATTAAGATACTACCTCGTTATTTGGTTACAATGTGGACAATTCAACACTGTCAGGCAATACGCCAGAATTCCGCACTGAGCGGGTGCGGCATCCGTCGACGTGAGCCCTAACTCGTAGACGGCCCAAAACTAGTCACAAAACCACAGGCCTCCTGTTGGGCGGTGCAAACCTTAACACGTTCGACTCTGCTCCCCGGCCAAGCCGTCTCGCTTTAACAAGACGGCTGGTCCCTGACGATCTTCGAGCTAGACAGAACGTCGCGCTTCGATGGTTTGTTTGTTTGGGCGGAGCAGTGAAGGATTAGGATGCAAAATCTCCCCGCCTCATCCTTTTCTTTAGTCTGAGCTGTCAACAAACGCCCAATGCCGCAGATGTCTGCATGTACATGCTTGTTGGTCGTCCCGAGACAAGCTCTTACGCCGAGTCGTGCTGCAGTTGAGCCGAAGGATTATTAAGGGCTCTTCTCCTTCCGCTGGGACCTGCACCGGTTGCCTCGATAGACTGATAACATACCTGTGAGTTTACCTAGCGCTGACGGCGACGGCTACCTCGGTTTGCCATTCTCGGCTGGTTCGCTGCCAGGACGAGGAATGCGACTCAGTCATTCAAGCTTTCAGGTGGTCGGCGTTATTCCCGTCTGCCTTGCTGCATCATAAGTGTTCCGCGTAGCCGTTGGTACCGATCACAAATCAATAGCACTACAGTACCTGCTCCAAATGACCTGATTAGACTTTTGCCCACGAGGTTACGGCATGCTTGGATGCTCACACTTTCAACGGTGCTGCCTTTGATTGGTTCACGCCGAATGCTGCAAGCATTGCTAGAGGACTGGTAGTCTGGCACGGGTCAATCGGCTTGACGGGCTTTTGAAGGCTACACGACGCATCCGGCCACGAGGACCTACGCGAGTCAACCTGCTTGAGATCTTGCAGATTGATCCATTGCGGCCTTCGGCATCGATAATGGCGTGGAAGTTCCGTTCAAAGTTTGCCATGGGCACACAGTATCCAATAGGAGGTGGGCTGGTAGCCTGGTTGCCTCCGGATTGTTTGTCTACTGCGGAAATCACACCACCAACATCCTCTAGGGAGTTGGTTTTGCTTGGTAGCAGCCAACTGGCGGAGCATCTCAAGCAGTGGTGTGGCTTGGCAAGACTAATAGTTTGTGATGCTTCCGAATCCCCACCAAGCCACCACAGCTTGCGAAGCTATGCTCCCAAATCCCCAGCCAATTTCGCTTTCACATGAGGCGCTAACGAACCTTCCCTGCTATATGTACGATCAAAGGTTGATGTGTTGAACCAGATTGGCAGGCTGAATATCCATCAAACCCGTGGTATATTCCCGTCACGAATAGCTATCTAGCCGGGACGCTATCGCTGCCAACCGAGAATCCAAAGAAATGCCCATATCGTTCACGTTGAGGGGATCTGAGCAAAACTGCATTTATAGCCGAGATACTGCAAAGAACGATCCGCATAACCAATAGACAGACAATGTGCGTGTTCTTGACAGCAACTCTGAATATATCTAGCTTTAGCGAGTTAACTGATAGCTACATCTAATAATCTCAGGCGGCTGATCCAAGAACTCTCGATGAAATACTACCCCTTATCCATTCGCGGGCATGCTTCCTTCGCATTGTGGTAGAGGCAGCTTGATGCCATTGATCACCAGTTCGCACGATACATCGAAGTCGACTTGGCCATAGTAACCACATAGATCTGCGACCCCTGAACTGTCATAAGTGCGAGATCGCAAGACAAGCTCTATCACATATCGCACCCACTAGTATAGCCCTCGCCGTAGCGTTTAGTGCTACGCCTTGTGTCGATTGAGTTGTGCTTCAGCGGTGGGTAGCTTTGAGCTTTAGGTATAAGCGGGGGAAGCTATCCACCTGAGTCAGTTGGTGGGATGAGCTGATGGGAATCATCACAGCGCAAGATGGTTTAAAGAATCTACACAACCCCGCCCCGCAACAGAAAGCAGCAGTATCGTGATGAATGGTGATTGGCGTGCCGAGAGTGATGTTGGTTTGCGCTTCAAAGTTATACCTCAGTGACGCCGAAGAACACGGGAAGTCGGGTAATGATGATGCATATCAGTCGGTGCTCATGACCCGACTGTGATGCGCCATTCTGAAAATGTCTGGTCCACTAATTCGATGTTCCATCGAGGTCCGTCACCAAAGCAAATGTAGTTCTCCACAAGCTTTGACATAGACGCCCTGAGTGTTTTGTGAACCACCGTATCATCCGCGCTCATGGCAGCAGCTTCAAGCCGGGCAATGGAAGCTGCGCCGAGTAATGATCTCGCACGTTGCTCCACAGTTGTAGCCGGAAGCCAGACACTGGAGTCCTTTCCCTGCGAAGCGTAATCGTCCAATACCATACGCTTCAACATCGCAGGAGTTCCATACTCCGCTGCACTGGCGTACTCGGCGGAAATGTAGCCAAGCTTCCGGTACTCCAGCCGGGCTTCGACCATTGCCTTCAAGAAGCTGTAAGTTATCCCCTGAAGTGCGCTTGAGTGACCCATCCTACGACGGAGCCGCGGGCTCTGATTGCACTCTTCGACGGTTGTGAGATGATGCACGTGATTGCAATCCGACTCGGCATGCTCCAGTACCATCCAGAACAGCTGACCTGCTAAGGTGAATCGCCCAGGGCCCAGGTAGGGAACGATGTCCTCTGGAGGCACCTCGACGCGTATGTATCGTAGCGGGTCGATCCAGAGTCCCCAGCCCATGGCTTTTTGTAGATGAGAATAGTTGCTTGCGGACCTGTGACTGCTATTGCTGCTTGTCGATGGACTCCAATCATAGGAAAGATTTCCATCAACATCATGAGCTGGTTGCGCAACCAGTTCACTTGTGCCCCCTAGTAATGGGCCCAAAATGGCTTTAGTTGGCTTTTGGGGGCCGTCAAGATGACTGGCGTCCGCTCCAGCTACCTCAGCGGCTTGCTTGATCGCTTCCAGAAGCTCGCAACGGTCGTCGAGCCGGGCAACTCGAACGATGGAGCTCAATGCCTCCCGCAAACGACGATTCTCATCTTTATCATCTTGTACAGCCTTGGCCTGTCTCTTGCGAAAAGCTGCTTGGGATTGCCGGCCCCGTTCACGGCGCCGCTGTTCACAGTCAGAGGCCGTATCACGCCCCGGAGGTCTCCGTTATCAGTACCCACTTGCAAGTCTTCATCTGCTTTTGCCATATTCCCGACTACGTGATTTCGGCCTCGAGTGACCCCGAGGACCCTCGTGTATTTACGTGGAGTTACGTGAGGTTACGTGACAGAAGGAGGCAGATGCCTGGTCGTCAGCTGGATTTGTAATGCTTTTTAGCGTGATCCTTTGCTCAGCTCCGACGGAGTGGGGACGCCGGAGGCCGGGTGGGTCCACTTTCGGGATGGTGAACCCTCCGATCACGTAACGCGGCCAGATGCAACACCAAAAAAAGACCTATGAGTGGAAAATGCAGCAACGGCAAGGCGTCCAATGTTGCTAGAAGCTATGGAAAGCAGGAACGGCGTCGGGATACGCTGACAAACCAGGTTCGAATGGTCATGGACAAACTATGGCGTCTTGCCTCGAAGTCCTCCCGTTATAAAAGGCCGGAGTTCCTATTAGTTTGAGAGCAGATCTCACATTGGCCAAGTCTGTTTTGACCAACTCTGTTTTTACTCAAGATTAGCATATAGTTCCTGAAACATGTCTGCCATCGATTTCTTCAAAGCCCCGAAGGGACCTTTCCACCGGTCGACATATCCCTTCATCAACCCTACGCGACCTGAGCTATCTACCAAGGGGAAGACAGCCATAGTCACAGGATCCGGACAAGGAATTGGACTTGCTATTGCGAAATCTCTCGCCAAGTCAGGCGTTTCTGCACTGGGTTTGATCGGCCGTACGGAAAAGACCCTCTTATTCACCAAGGAGTCGATCAAAGAGATATCCCCAGACACCAAGGTCTTCACCTATGCTGTCGATGTCGTCGATACTAAGGCGCTAACTGAGGCCTTGGCGTCCTTCGTGGCTACCACCGGCGCCAAGATCGATATCCTCGCTGCCAATGCGGGCTACCTGCCTGATCTCACCTCAATCTTGGATGCGGACGCTGACGACTGGTGGAGCACGTTTGAGATAAACATCAAAGGCAACTTCAATCTTCTGCGGGCCTACCAGCCTCACGCTGCACGCAATGGTGTCGTCGTTCATACCAGTACCTCAGCCATCCACATCCCTTACATGCCGGGGTATTCGGCCTATCGTGGATCCAAGGCCGGCGCCACCAAGGTGTTTGAGATGTTCGGAGGGGAGATGCAAGAGCTGGGTAACGGGGTAAGGGTGGTTCAAGTCCATCCTGGGCTAATCAAAACCAATATGTCCAAGAAATTTGGTGAAAGTGTCAAGGGGTTTCCTTTTGACGACGGTAAGCCTAGTCCCTAGTCACACCATGCCTTGAGGGAATTGAGAGATTCAATCGCTAATTTGAACGTAGTGGAATTGAGTGGCGATTTCGTCAATTGGGTAGTCAGCGATGAAGCCAAGTTTCTGAATGGCAAGTTTGTTGCAGCGAATTGGGATGCAGAGGGCATGGTGCAGATCAAGGAATCCATAGAGAAGGACCCTTTTATTTTCACCATGAACCTAGTTGGGTGGCTCGAGTTGATTGGAGCCAGGGGACCTTGAGATCTTGGCATGTCGCATTGAGAAGATGGAATAACCTGCCAGCATTCTTGCTTAGAGCTTTCATTGTACAGAAACCCCTGTTTTCAGATATCTTGCCAGAGACAAAGAAGCTAAGTCACAAGTGGGACGACCATCCAACTGGACTATTGATATATCTTAAAACCAACATGCAACAGAATTGACGCGTCACGCATTACCCTGTGAGTGGCGGGTTTCCGGGTCGTGAGCTCCAACATCGCCGTTTCCGGATTCGCGTATCGTGCACTTGGCCCAACAACGCCTCGTGTTGGCCTGTTGGACTGCGGCCTATCGCATCTCAAAGAAGCGCCACCAGACTATTACCATACTCATTCATTCAGATCAATGCAGGATAAGCAACAAGAAGTTAGCTGTATATTCAACGCAGTCCAACATGATACACGCGACACCAGACTGCCAACTCGCTCTAGAAGTGGAACAATGAAAGATGCATTATTTAAATCAAGCAGGAACTGTTGAAATTATGAATTAATTAGACTATATCATATTGAGAACTTTTGTGTGTCTCACTGGATTCGCCATTATATGCTAGACTCTAGATATAGAGTCTGCACAAAGAGTGAACATGGCATACCGTGAGAAACTGCCAGCGCTGAACGCAGCCAACATTCGGATCCAAAAAGGCGGCAACGAAGATAACAAATTCAATACTGTCAATTTCACCGTCCAGTTGCCTTTTAATTATCGCGAGATATTTGATCAGGAGTATTGGAGAGATCTCAAAAGATTTGATAACGGCGAAAAAGGCAACGGCACATATTTGCATCTCCAGGGCCAATTAGAAGAGCGCTTGGATGACAATTACTGGAAGAACGAAACTTCTGAAAATATGGAGACCCGTCGCAACTCCTGGCAGGGCAATAACAATCAAGTGGTTGTCGGTTTTACACTTGCTTACGGAAATCGCAGAAATCCGCTTACTAAAGAAATGGTAGCGCAGAACAATTTTTCTGCACTTCGAGATCCCAACCAGAAGATCATGGTGTATAATTGCGGGGGACCCGGCACAGGGACTCATCCAATCAATCAAGGATGGTTCCAAAATTTCGTTGAGAACGGGTATTACGTGTTGTTTCCCAATTATCGCGGTTGCCCTTGCAACCTTGACATCGAATCATGGGAGCCGAAACCAACAATATTTAACGAAGATGTTTGGAATAGCTGGAAAAGTTCTAGAAGGGAGCAAGCATCCGGTCAAATCTTTAACTTGTCGATCAGAAACATTGCCCGAGACATAGAGACTGTGCGACGTCATCTATTGGGTGAGAAGAAATGGACAGTCCAATGTCAATCATTCGGTGGATCTATCTCGATGTGCCTCCAATCCTTTTATGCCGAGGGCATTGAAGAGGTACAATACTGCGCGGCCATGATTCCTATCAATCGCAGCGCCTACGAAGTTAATATGGAATTGTTTAAAGTCGTCATTGCCCGCAACGAACAATTCTTCAACAAATATACCAATGATAAAAAGAAAACCAAAGAGATCGTTGATTATCTCGCGAAATACGATCTCAAGGCTCCATCTGAAGGCAAACTCACACCAAAGCGATTTCTTTGCCTAGGACGCGCGCTAGGAAATACCACAAAGTTCGAGGCACTACATAACGTAATCGAAAGCATGCATACTGCCATTCAAACAGGGTCTTCCCAGTCGAGCCCAGAGTGGAAAGAGGCTTTAAAGCAATATGAAAAATTGGATGAAAAAGGTTGGAAAAACGGCAAGAGGCCACTATATCCCTTACTCACTGAGCTACAGTACCCTACACTGTTGCCGCAGAAACCTGACTGGGGGGCTGAAAGAGCAGCAGCGAACTATAAGGAATTTTGGTGGGTTTCGAAGACAAACAGGGAAATAATCGAGGAGCTTCAGAAAGACAAGAACAAGCCATTGGCATTTTCGGGTGAGATGGTTTATAAGTCCTTCTACGAAGACTACCCCAGCCTTCAACCTTTTAAACAGTTGGCAGCCGATCTAGAGGAGAAGCTTGTTCTACCGGAGCCTACGTACGATGTTAAGGCGCTTAAGCGGAACCAAATTCCCACTAAAGTCTACATCCCGACGAAGGACATGCATGTGAGCTTGAAGTACTCCAGGGAGAACCTCACAAGTTTCCGAACGATTATCCAGCGCTTGGAAGACGACGAAGCCGAACATGGCGCTATAAGGCATAAACCCAAGAAGGCTTTGGATTATTTTATGTTCGGACTAAGAGAATAGTTTTGGGTTTGATATTGGTTCTGATAACCGCCCCCTGAAGTTGTTTTTGGTACTTGTAAGAACTTTCATAAAGTTCATGTGTTGTTCCTAATCGTAAATGTTCCCTTATCTTTTTATCTACTCTTATAGGATAAGTAGTACACTCTCACTTTATGGGTTTGATGGAATGGCAAGGTTTCGTAAGGCGAGAAACAGTACGTGTTGTGGTATCAAGGCATGTCAACACAGGTCATAGCACCTCCACAGTCCCTCTTTTAAGACAAAAGATATCTATATTCATTTGACGGGAAATCTTTAAAGTGACTTTCATTTACCTGCTACTTGATTTCACGCTTAGAGTTTTGAGTTTGCTTATTCTATTCTATGGTTCACTAGCGAACGTGCTGGGATGCTTGCGAAGGCCTCGTCCAGAATACTCAGACCCACATCAATGACGTTCGCAGTGACGGTTACCGGAGGAGCAAGCCGGAAGACATCACCAATAACCGGCAAGTTCACAACGTTGCACGACAGGCCCAGTACACGAGCCTCGTTGGAGATGAGCTGGCCCAAATCCGCTCTAGGGGCTTCTTATGTCAGCATGCGAATTAATCTCGATGGCCCGGAACAGTCGTCGTCAACGAACGCCTCCAATGCAACGATCCTTTATCTTGAAGCTTGACTAGCCCAGCACGTAGGTGCTCGCCACGCTCAGCAGCACGATGGGCGATGTTGTCGCGCTCCACGATTTCGAAAACTTTGTCACCAACAGCTGCAGTAAGGGGATCATTCAAGTGGGTGGTAAGCCACAGAAACTTGGACTCGGAGAGGCCATGTGCAATCTCTGCCGTCGTTCTGACTGATCCCAGGGGTAGGCTGCAACGAGGTGTTTTAGACAGACATAGTATGTCAGGCACAATGTCATCGTCCTCGAAAGCAAACATCTTGTCGGTTCGGCCAACATCGGTTTGAGCCTCATCCATGATCACAAGCATGTCTCGTTTCTTGCACTCTTCGTACATGCGCTTCAAATAGCCTTACGGTGGCACAAGGATCCCCCAGTCGACAGTATTGGCTCCATGATGGATGCCGCCAACAAGCCTACGCTCTGTCGGTCAATCATTGACCAGCCAAACTCGAGTTCCGTCTCCCAATCATAAGACCCATCATTCTTCCAGAAAGGTGAGCGGTAGGCGTAGGGTGCAGGGAAGGTCAGCATACCAAGTGTCGGCGGCCCACCGTTCGTACGACCTGCGGAGTAAGTGGTGGGTCCGCAGCCCTGAGTCAAGCCGCGATGACTGGCTGAGAAAGCGACGATCTCAACTGTCACGGGGAAGACCTTCGCCATCTTCAATGCGGCCTCAGCTGTCTCAGATCCAGTATTGAGAAAGGAAGACTTCTCTAATAGGGCAGGCAAGAACCGTGGTAAAAGAAGCAAGGCATCCGTGGCGTAGTCATGCCGTTAGATTTGAACATGGTCACCTTCGTTTGATTGCCAGTGTCTTTATGCCTACGGCTCTGCGCCAAAGTGTTGTTAGCAGGATCGGGTTGGGTTTTGCGGCAGCTTTGTTACCGCTTCGTATGGTGAGGATGCCAAGTCCTATCCAGCAAGGGCTAGCACGTTATATTCGAACGTCCTCCACTTCAGATCTGATGCGTTTCAAATTAAGAGTCCAGCTGAGAACTTGTCGATGGGTGGAGGTGTGTGACTGAACGAGATTCGACCTGACATGGCCCGTACGTCAATGACGCTAATACAGAAAGCTACTATAAAATAATTTCGACCCCTTTCGAACCAGACAATATTTCTATCGTCTGCTTCTCCCCATGCCACCAAAGTTTAAGACCAGGTAATTTCATATACTTGGGAGCTCGATCACTGTGCTGATGATCACTCCATCTCCGACAACGACATTTTGTGTACCACTCGGGAGGGGGATATTTCAGAGCTAGAAAGAAGATAATGCATTTAGTCCCGGTAAACCGAAAGCATGAGAGGAAACTTTGTGAGAATGGACAACAGCTTGGCCACATTTATGCTGGGAACCTTCAAATCTGGCGTCTAACTTAACCTCGTGAGTCGGGCCATGAAGCATGAGTGGGCTGTGACTGGAATTAAGAGCCTGTCGACTCGGAATAGCAACGGCATCGTTAGCACATGCCGGTCAACTAAACCCACTTGCATTAGGGGGCTTGGCGCGCAGAGGGAAGAGCTATAACTCGAGTATGGAATAGGCTATTACAATGCCACTAGCGCGAGATCATGCTTTATGATGGGCGGGAACGTCAAGGTGCCTTGTCACAACCAGTATCGTTCCAGCTGCTGGGCTGCTCACTTGGCGTACCGTAGCAACAGAAATGGACACGCCGGGGTGCGAAGCAGAGTGCTGCCATCCAGCTTCCAATCCCCGCGTCGGAGTTTCCTAGATCTTCGCCGCCAACGTCTGCAGACGCGCGGGAAGGCCGCGATCGGGTTTCTTGCTGCAGTTTGGCCCAAATGTTTGTTCTGCGAGTGGGGGCGCAGTCAGCATGGAGTATAAGTTCGCGTAAAGTCGTGCCATCTTACGTCCCATGGACCACGTCCATTGAGCAAAACTCGCACCGAACGACTGCGACTATAGCGAGAATTTTCAATCACCAAGACACCACATTTGCAGCTTCAGTTCTATCTCGACAGAATTATTGTTGACGCACGTGCTACCCTTGGGAGTCATTGAACCATGCTCTCTGCACCAACACTTGCCGCGGCCTGCTTGGCATTGGTAAAATACCCCCTCATACCCTTCGTCGCTATCAATGCGAATGCAGGAATCTAACAGGGTGATCAGGCTTCTTTATACTGGCTATCATGGTGCGTGTATGCCTTGTACTTCCATCCCGCATCGAAGTACCCTGGACCTAAGCTTGCAGCGGTTTCAGAGGTATGCAAAACGCCGTGGTACTCCACGCAAGCAAACCTCGAGCTAACAGGCGACTGGCAGGTTTGGTACGTCTGGAGGACACTTAGTGGAAAGGAGCAATCCATCATGAGGAGAGTCCATGAGAAATACGGTATGTCGACATCCCCGGCCACACGTCTCTGTAGGAGCTCCGTAGTAACCCCAGATGCATTGGCGACCAGGCCCCGTCGTGCGAATCGCCCCCAATGAACTGTCCTTCGATTCAGTTCAGTCCATGCGCGACATATTGTTACCTAAGAGCAAAGGGCCGTTCATCAAGTCGGAGCTGCTGTATGACACGGGAGACCCAGCTCCCCCGCTGGGTTACCTACGAGACTACGACGCCCACGCACTCTATCGAAAGCGCATGGCTCCTAGCTTCAGCGCTACAGCATTAAGAGTCCAGGAGGGAGTAATCAATGAATACTTAGACTTGTGGATCAAACGACTGCCAGAGCTCGGCGGTGAGAACACCAACGGCCTCGAAATGGGTGAGGCATTCACGTGGTTGACGTTCGACATAATGGGTAAGTACTGACCTCCAGTACCACCTGCAGCCCTTATGAATAACACCTCGGACAGGGCGGCTGGGATTTGGCCAGGGTTTTGACTGCATTAAGAACGGCAAGTCAAGCGCATGGGTGGCACTGATGAGCAAAGCCGAATGGCTACCGCTGTACGCCTTGGCAGGCTTGCGCAAGAGGTTCCCGGCCATTGTGGCATTTATACCATTCCTCCTCCCCAAGGGCGCGCCGGGCAAGATTAAACAGCACAAGGAGATGTCGGCCGATATGGTGCGCAAGCGCATCCAGATGGACCAGATCGAAGATGACTGGTTTGCGCCCGTCGTGCGAGATATCAAACTGGGCAAGGAGAGCCCACAGTACATGGAATCCGAAACGAGCTTCTTTGCAATGGCGGGCGCAGAGACCACAGCTACTGCTCTGTTGGCAGCGATGTACTTCCTGAAGACGAACCCGGAGTGGCTTGGCAAGCTACGCAAGGAGATAACCGATGCCTGCGGCTCTTCCTACGTAGGGATCACCGGCTCCTCGACTGCAGCGCTTCCCTATCTGAATGCGTTCATCCAGGAATCAATCCGGCGGTACGGCCCTGTGCCAATGGGGCTGCCCAGAATCTCGCCTGGAGCATTCATCGATGGCCATTACGTCCCCGAAGGCATGAAAATGTCCACAAACATATGGCTAGCGCAACACAACCCGAGGTCGTGGGTCGACCCTGAAGAGTTCAAGCCGGAGCGCTGGCTTGGAGACCCTGACTGGCAGGTGGACGGAGAAGTTCCAGGGATGATAGGATTCAGCCTGGGACGCAACCAGTGCCTCGGGATTAACTTGGCGTATTTGGAGTTGCGGCTCATCCTGTCAAAACTCGTGTTCTCATACGATTGGGAGATCATCAAAGAACCCAAGAACTTGGTCGACGAGAGCGAAGTGTATTTTCTGTGGAAGAAGCCGAAGTATGTGGTCAAGTTTCATCCTGTGGCCCATCAGTAATGTGTAGATGATACACGTCAAGTAGATACTTGCGATACTTTCATGGCTAACGGCAGGCTTCTGCGTAGAGGTAAATGAGACTTGGGCCGTGAGAGGATAGGAGAAAATCCTGGCAGGGTTAAAAATGGCAGTTAGATAATGTATCTGGGAATGTATGTCCCAAGTCAACTGGCAATAGCGGCCGCATCGTTTCCCGACTGACCAAGTTAGCTGCACTCAGGCGGATGTCTTAACAACAGATGTTCGATAGATGCTGGCCTATCAGTCTCTTCCAATATTCCAGCCGGAACGTGCAGTATGACGGAGAGCCAAAGACCAATCAATGGCTCCGGCTGCAGAATTATTGCCGTGTAATCAATTCAACCGATGCTTTAGCCGCACTGCCCATCGTGCCACCATCGCTACCGAGGTACCTCAGAAACACCGCTTTCCAGGCACAAGTTCAACGTTTTGCCCGTTACTGAAAGCAGCTCTCCAACTTTTGACTTGGGACGTGTGTGAAGATGTCTTCTTTTCCAAGACTCCCTCCTTCTGGCATCACTGTTATCATCGTTGGGGCGGGGTTTGCTGGGCTTGGGGCAGCGATTGAATGCGACCGCAAGGGTCACTCCGTCATCCTGCTGGAGAAAAGCGACGAAATTGAGCAGCTACAGAGAGTCGGAGATATCATCAGCTTTGATCCCAACGCCTCTCAGCTACTGAAGCGATGGCCGGGCGTCTGGGAGGCGCTGTGGCCAATCACACGACACGCCGAGGTGTTTGACATGCATGCCTGGACCGGAGAACTTCTGACACAACAGTCGTTCAAATGGGAGAATGAAAATTGGGGACCTAGACTCAGCGGGCATCGTGGAGAGATGCATGCTGCGATTTATAGACACGCAAATGATCGAGGGATCGATATCAGACTTGGAAGCAGAGTGACAGACTACTTCGAGACAGATGAAGAAGCCGGCGTGGTGGTCAACGGCCAGCGCCTCGCTGCAGATGTGGTTTTCGCTGCCGAAGGTGTGAGATCACCAGGCCGCAAGCTCGTGCTAGGGTTTGAAGATAAACCGCTGTCCTCTGGTTATGCGGTGTACAGGGCTTGGTTTCCAGCTGAGAGGCTGAGGAACAACGACATAACGAAGCACCTGGTCAGCAACGGAGACTGGATGGGTGGCTGGGTCGGACCAGACCTGCACTTTCTCTGCTCCTGTCTCAAGGATGGCAACGATTTCAACTGGGCGTATACTCACAAGGACCTGGCCGATATCGACGAGAGTTGGCAGTTTCCTGGAACTGTGGAGGAGGCGCTCGCCAACTTGGATGGGTGGTCTCCTGTGGTTCGGGAGATTGTCAAGGCAACTCCGGATGGACGGCTCATCGATCACAAATTGGTCTATCGTGACACCCTCCCCACTTTCACTTCGCCAAAGGCCCGGATAGCCCTTATCGGAGACGCTGCGCACCCGTTCCTGCCAACATCTATCCAGGGTGCAGGCCAAGCTCTAGAAGACGGGGTCACGCTGGCCATCACATTAGAGCTCAGCGGCAAGGACAAGGTGCCACAGGCGGTCAAAGCCTACGAGAAGATCAGGTACGATCGTGTGAAGGAGGCCCAGGCCCAGGGTGTCCGTACGAGAGAGCGATGGCACAAAGCCGACTGGGACGAAGTTCGAAAGGACCCAACACGTCTGCATCTAGTTCGGGAAGCCTGGCTGTTGGATTTTGATGCCGAGAAACACGCATACGCCGTATTTGGCGACGTTGTCAAGGGGGCTCTCTAGACAGAAAAGCTAATGGACAGCGAGAACATCGATTCCCCAGATAAGAAACGTAAATGTCAGTTGCGTGAATAGCTCCGAGCTGGATAGTAGGTCTCGGGTACGGGACTCAACGCTGTCCGTTGATGTGGCCGGGCGTCGAGGGGCTGTAATCCAGACATTTGTTGTGAACTGTGGGGAAATAGCGCGTGTCGACACGCTTCGCGTTGGCCGGGCTTGTATGCTACCAACACAGCGGAGGCGACCGCCCTCTCGTAGGTTGCAATGGGCACAACCTTGGAAATCACCTGTCATTGAATTAGTACCATAGTAGGTTGAGGGGACACTACAAGACCCTGGACTTGCCAAGCTGCCTTCGGACGAGCTGAACAGCAATCCACCTTTGCCCGGTCGGCTGCGGATGCCGCTTTCCAGTGTGTTGCGGGCCGCAGGGATGTGCCGCGGGCGGTGCCGGCTGTCAATTTCAGTGTGCTGCCAGCAAGCATTTTCATTTCCGCAGGCGGCGGGTCTGCGGTGTCCTGTGCATGTGTGATGTGTCCGTATGGCCAGGCGCTTCCGAGGCTGATGGCGTTTGTCTCTTGTGATGGGGCATTTGCAAACTTACTGCGGCTGCACCTGCCATGACTTCACCACAGACGGGCAACTGGTTCCGCCATATTTTTGGACGTGTTTGGCCGATTTCGAAAGCGCACCATAGTCTGAGACCAATGACGTGACAAGCCTCAACGATCTTGATGCCAAGGTGCGTTCCAGATCTCCAAGGCGTCAGGGCGTGCATGCGTGCAAGGCCTCTCCTAGTGTCCAAATGTTCCAGTGTCCCAGCAGCTGAACCCCAATGACAGGGCACACATTCTGACATTCCAGGCCAGCCAGGGAGTTCCAGTGGGCATGGGGCCACGCCACGGGGCTCGCGCGTTGGAGCGGGGCCTTCCGTGTTCTGGGCTCCCGTCCAGCCCGTCCCTTGCAACGCGTGCCTGAACCCCACGTCCAGCTCCCATGACATCATAGCGGCTTGCGCAACGAAACCCGGGTGCCCATTGTCACCTCCATCGACACTGCTGGATCTCCATGTGATGTTTTGAGACTCGAGGCACACACAAAGAATTGATTGCGTAATACGATGGCGCTATTGCCTGTTTCCGTTTGCCCAGTGACGCAATCGCACACAGGAGGCCCTTGGGGCAACCAAACAGACTGCTGGGGCATCCCTTTGGTCACGGAGGCAGACAGTTGTCACCTGCAGATAGATATATAAACCACCCTCAGCCCGTCCCCGTTCTCATGGACCCCGTCTCGATCAAACTACTAGGCACCTTCGACCAAGCAGACAACACAGTCCCCAACACACAGCCTTACCATCTCAATCTCCACCCACAGCCACACCATGTCTTCCGACAACACCTCAACGCTCAAGTCGTATGTCGACTCGGCCACCGGAGCCGTGCAGAATGCTCTGGGCAACCTGACTGGCAGCACCGGCGACCAGGCCCACGGCCAGGCCAAGCAGAACAAGGCCGAGGCCGAGCACGACGCCTCTCATGCCACCCTCAAGGGCCCCGGCTTCACTGCCTCGGCCTCTGGCGTGACCAAGGACGACCCCGACCGAGCCGCCGGCAGCTGGAACCAGACAGTCGGCTCCGCAAAAGAGGCTTTAGGAGGAGCTATTGGTTCTGAGGTAGGTTTCACAAGCCGGTTTTTCTTGCCATGCTGTTTGTCCAACACATGCTAACTGCCGCCGTCTGCAGGGCCTCAAGCAAACCGGCCGCCAGCAGAACCTCGAGGGCCAGCAGCAGGAGGCCAAGGGCCAGGTCAGCGACTACACCAAGGGCGTTGGTGACCGCATCACCGGTACCGCCGGCGCTGCTGTTGCGGGCCTGACTGGCAACAAATCTGCCCAGCAGTCGTACCAGGACCAGCACGACGCCGGCAAGACCAGCCAGCGCGGAGCTGAGCACGACATCCTCAAGCAGGCTGAGGCTGAGAAGAAGATCTAGACTCGTGAATCGTTCCCCACATGGATGGCAGAATCGCACGAACGTATGGACGATGGAAACCCTATGATACCCACTTGAAGCATGAATTGATGACGGATTGACTTGGGAGGTGGTATGAATTTCACTTCCAGTCGCCTAGGTAGATCAATACGACATTGCATTATTTTCACAGTTTCTCCCGGTGATCTCGTTGTATGGTACCATGGCCATGATTAGCTAATGTCCGCTGTGCTTGACAACTGCCCTCAGCTTGTGTCACGTCAGCCCTGCGGCTTAGAGCGCACACTGGCAGGCTGCAAAGGTGGCACACGAAACAATACCGGCCAGCCTATCGCTAACGCTTATGGGGCTGGATTTGGAAGTCCTGTTGACCCGAAGCATTGGTTCGAAGGAAACTCCCTTGGCGTTCCCCCAGTTCTTTCAAGTACGGTGCTCTTGCCAGTCGATCACCCCAGCCACGATTATGCAATTGCGCACACTAACCAGACACCAGAATACCAACGCCGTTACCAAGTACGAGGATTTCGAATTCCCACTGTTTATGTCTGACTAGAAATCATTGGCAAATCAGTGGGCCAGCTGGCTTTACGTATATCCCACTACACCCAGAAAGAAAACGCATAACTGCATCAGAACCTGGAGCCTGGATGTGCCCGGCCAGATGGACTTGCGGTGTACAAGCAGTATATGGTGTTTGACAGCATGGAGTCGGAGTTCGGCTTCGGCCTGGAGGCTCGGCGGCTTCTGAGACTGCCTGCCGGTGACGTCGCTCTGATGAGACCACCGCGGGGTTCCCGATGCCGGTGCTCATCTCTTGGCCGGAGTATATGAACTCGGAATTTTGCGCCAGAGTAGTATGGTAACTTCGTCGATGCACATGGACACACGGCAGAAAGGGAGAACACTCAAATAAATTGTTGTCTACGTTGTGGATATTACTCTGCCGCATAGTCGTACCAGTCCTAAGCCATGGTCCGTAAACCAGTTCCGAACTATGTCACTGCTTCAGTCGCAGTATCCTTGGGAGGTTTCCTGAACGGATACGACACAGGTTCCGTCGGAGCCGTGATCCATATGAAGGAGTTTGAGAACACCGTCGGAACCATGTCGGCCTTTCTCGTCGGTTTCACTGTATCTCTCATAATGCTGACGGGAGCTATCCCATCCGTCTTCGCAGGCCAAATGGCCGATCGCCTAGGGAGACTGAGAGTCATCCTTATCGGCGCCGTGCTCTTCGGCATCGGAGCCATCATCGAGGGTAGCAGCTTCAGCCTCCCGCAGTTCCTTGCCGGCAGAGCTCTGGCGGGCTTTGGGGAGGGTGTGTACCTGAGCAACATGGCCGTGTATATCTGCGAGATTGCCCCCGTCAAGCACCGTGGCATCCTGGCCGGCTTGCCCCAGTTCATGGCGACCGCCGGCGTGTGTATAGGGTACTTCACGTGCTATGGGAGCGTCGCCATCCAGTCGACCATGTCTTGGCGCGCTCCTTATGTAGTGCAGAGTGTCGTAGCAGCCGTCTTTGTCGCAAGCTGTCTGGTCCTTCCTGACTCGCCTCGGTGGTTGATGAACCATGGGCGCCGCAGTGAAGCACTTGACGCTCTTCGAAGACTTGACTTCTCAATGGTAGAAGCAGAACGCGACTTCCTCTCGGTGACAGATCAGCGAAGCAGTTTGCCTTTGCGGCAGAGCCTCTCTATATTGTTTAGGCGCGGATATCGGTCGAGGACCATCTTGGCCCTCTTCGTCCTTGGGGCGGTCCAGCTGTCCGGGATCGACGCGGTCCTCTACGTATGATGAGCTCCATCCCCCCATCACAGTATTTCCTTCTAATCTAACGACAGTATGCCCCCGTTCTCTTCTCCCAGGCGGGCTTATCTTCTGAAACCGCATCATTCTTAGCCTCTGGTGTGTCTGCAATCCTCATGCTGGCTATTTCGATCCCCGCCTTCTTGCTGGCTGATAAATGGGGGAGGCGAACTTCTGCCATCACCGGTGGAGTCATGCTAGCTGGTATCATGCTCCTTATAGGGACGCTCTACGCCGCTGATGCTGTTCATCCATATGGTGTTGCCCGATGGGTGGTTATTGTATCGGTGTTCGTGTTCGGTCTAACGTATTGTTCGACTTGGGGAATCGTTGGTAAGATCTATGCGAGCGAGATTCAGCCTTCCAACACTCGTGCGGCTGCGAACAGCATCGCTCAAGGTCTTGGTTTCGTAAGTAATAAGTCATAACTTTGTGGGTATTGGTGTTAACACTCACACTTAGTTGACTAACTGGCTGGTGGCCATATTGACCCCTGTGCTGCTTGACAAGTCAGCGTACGGTGCTTACTTCCTCTTCGGCGGTCTGGCGCTTGTCACTGTAGCCGTTCTTGCAGCGTATATGCCTGAAACGCGTGGGCGATCCCTCGAGGAAATCCAGGACGCATTCCATCATCCTGGACTCAAGAGTCTCACGACGTATCTACGCCGAAGGACTCGCACTCAAGCCGACCCAGCTGGAATTTCCATCGAGATGGATAGGCACACAACTCAGCAGCCCGGCACTTCATCTTCTGCGCAGACCTCAACTGTTGGACTGCGCCTCGACGTTTCGACAGCTTAAGCCTTCACTAGTACGGCTTGGTGACAAGGCAACTTGATCCGTCGTGAGTTCTTCTGGCTCATATCCCGATGCTGGCTTATTTACCTCGTCGAATAGTTGGGTACTCTTGTTCTCAAAAATTCGGGTCCTGTTGGCGTAAGAATAGCCGATTACCAGATACTAGATCTCGATAAGCGCTTTACGTTAGTTTTTTGAAATTCGAACCCTCCGAGACCTTAATCAGGGAGTTCCTGTTTCGAAGCCCCTGAAGATGAATGTGTCGATAGAGCAAGCTGACTGTGACCCAAGTGTGTCTATCAAACAACACTCACGGTTTCCACGTTGTGTCTCAACCTTTGAGTGGGCATCTACCCCTAGATCTACTCCTATTATCGTCCGTGCGGTTCACGCAAGTAAAATACGGAGTGAGGGGCTTGTCGCTTTTGTGGAGAGGTTGTGCCAAATGAGTCTTTGAACGGGTCGAGGAGACTTTCAGGGGAGATCGTGAATCTTCAATCAGCTGGACACAGTTTCGACTGTCGACAGTCGGCACCGCAGCACACCTGTTTCCCTATAGTTCTGTTCGTTCGTCTCAAAGCTTTGCACAAAACAATGCTGCTTTCAAAGATGGGTGGTTACTTGAATCAAACCAACATCCCAGGTTCACCTTCGCCAGTCCAGGATCTATCCTAGATCACTCCTGAGTGAACTTGTCATCTCCCTCTCCCTCCACTCACCACTCCCTTTGCATCCTTTTCTTGTCAACTCACCACCCAGCTCAGCGTTCGAGTCCTCCGGTGCTGCAGCCTCAAAGCTCTCGGAGGCCTGCCGGACTTGCGAACGATCGGAGGACCACACCCTCGGGGAAGGTGCTCCTGCCGCACTCCCAACGAAGGAAACCGCAGACGCCTCTGAAGTGAAGCTGCGCGCATACAACGCCCGACAGCGCCGTTCTTCAGAGATAGGTGATCACTGGAAATCCCAATGATCACAACTTGACCGAGGTTTGGGTACTCACTTTGGTTCTTGGCAAAGGTACACTGAAAGAACGACTCCTTCCTGCTGTAACTCGACGCATCGTCTGAACTTATGTGAGTCAGAGCCACGGTGACAAGGTCACACAGTAATATCTTGCCCTAGAACATTATTTTTCTCATTGATGCCTTTGCAGATTGCAACTTCACCCATTTCATCTGTGGCAGCATCGAGATATTGTCATTCACCAGAGGCTTCACCTACTTGGCAAGTTGCTTCCGCTACCGAGGCGGATAAGCTTGAATCCCGCCTTTGAACGCGTGTGTCTCTCACGGTGAGCTCGCTACAACACTTGGCTTCACAAGGGCACGGCCAGAGACACGCATACTTGCCGCACAAGCTGTCCGGCAAACTGTTCAACCCGCCAAATCCAGCCGATCCACTTTTAATAGTCGTCGAACTCGGACCATGCGGTTGTAACCCCTAACGCATATAGTCGAAACATTCACCTCACATTGGATTCACCATGTCACACTCTTCTTTAGCGCGTCGTGTGGTGGCTATCCAGCTTGAGCTTGTTGCCAACAACATTCGCAACTTACTGGCATTAGAACAGCTACACGAGCAGGACGTACCCAACGAGGTGGCTCAAGTTGGCACTGAAGACAAAAGTCTGGATCCCAATAACAACGCCCCAGCGGACGCACAAGCCGTCCAAGAAACCACCGAGTCTTCCAGTGAAACTCACAGTACCAGTCCGGCCCCTCTATCTGACATCGGTGTTTCAGAGTCATCGTCTAGCGATACAGTCTCTTCATATGGAAGCGATGACAGCACGTTTCCTTTCGGTAGCAACGCTGACAGAACCGAGCACGATTGGGGAGCATCAGACACCTTTGATGATAGCGCTACTCCAGCTGCTTCTCATGGCACACCGGATGATGACGACCTTGAGTTCCACCCTATCAGCGACGAGTGGGATCCTCCGCCTACAAGCCATCCTAGCCAAGACCCGGCGTCCGATCAGCTTGGCCAGCAGTCAGGTCCCGAGGCCAGTGTCGAGCCCGAACTCGACGTCCTATTCCCTGGTGCTTTCGATCACTTCGACACGACGGACACCACTGCTCTCCGCGCAGACCCGCGCCTGATTGAATGCTTGGACGCAGCTAAGCACTGCTCCGAGTGGGTCTGGATCTGGGACGAAGCGAGGGTGCGCGCGACTGTGGCCCCTTACCAAGCACACGTGAACCAGGTAAATAAGGAGTGGGAGAATGGAAAGAAGCCTGAGTTCGAGGATCTAATGTGGCGCTGGGAGCAGAGACGCATGATCACCAGAGAGACCGCATACCACAAGGAGTCGGAGCGCCCCGAGGCCTATGTTCCCTCGAGACTGTGGTTCATGCACCTGCCACCGTACTAGAAAAGGGGACTGCCCTGAACATGTCATCTGAGGGCTGGGGTGATTTTCTCAGGGTTGATTTCGCATTTTTGCGTTAAGGCGTTCTATCAGGTTGGAAATGTACGAGTAGATTCTACTACAGGGCTGGATGATTGAGACACGGTCAAGGGAAGAGGTTTGCAGCCATGTCTATGGTTACCTGGCATGCAATCGTTCGGCGTTAGTTATTCGATCCAGGGGGGCCAACCGCATGAATTCAACCACACTTCAGGTCATATTTCGATATTTGACGTGGCTTTCCTTCTGTCTCGAGGCCACACATACAATTGTGGCAGCTAGTTCTTACAGTACGATCTACAGAGTGAGCTGAGTCTTCACTTATGGTACAGCTCAACTTAAGGCAAACAAACTGCTGTTATGGTATTCTGCGATGGCCAATTAGACCACGCTCAGTTGTTGGGAGAGACACTCCATCAGGAAGCTATTATTACGAAGGACAAAGTCCCCCTCAAGGAGCTTATCCCCCGGGTCTTGCTGGAAGTCCCAATATTTCAACAGCATCATCCCATCCTTATCTCGGACCTGAAGCGATAGCCGACGCGGTCCATCGTTTACCAGCCAGCGACAGAACAAGACTAAGTCTAGGACGTCGTCTAGGTGTAGTTGTTCTCGAAAACTTGCTGCCCCGTCTCCAAACTCCACATTCCCCGCACCCCATGGACCCGTGGAGTTAAGATTCAGGAGCTAAGGATGCGAATGCGGAGCCGAAAATGCGGAGATCTCAGAGCCGTTGGATGAACAAATAACCGAGCCTTCGGCTTGCTCTTCGCGACGCACTTTGCAAAAACTCTGTCGTCTTGACCCCGGTCGCTCTACATCGCTTCGTGGGAAGCCTATGTCATCGGGCCTGTGTCCGTGCTGAGGGATTCGTACTATAAAATGGCGAGACTACTCCCAAGATGCTGCGGAGCGTCATGAACTTCAGCAGTGCGCGCCTCTAGTGAAGCATAATGAAAACCATATCACTTCTTTCACTCTGCACGGCCGCCTGGTCCCATGCCCTGCCGCACTCTGACAAGGCGCGGATAGTCAGATCGCGCGCTTTTGATCGTGATGTAGACCTATATGCGAACTGGCCTTCGTACGATGACCTGCCTCTGGACGCCTCCTATCCAACCAAGGCGGCATGGGGGGTCTGGGGTGCGGACGACGAGCTCGGGGCCCTGAACCACATCACCAACGACACCATCGTCGCGGCCTCGTCCGAGATCCAGCTCGGTCTCGCCATGCCATTGAACCTGCAGCTCGACCTGCCGGGCCCGCCGCCGAACCCGGCGCGGAAACCGCTGCAGCATCTCTTCCAGCCGGGAGACGGGTACACAGACGACGTGGTGGTGATGAACACGCAGGTCTCGACGCAGTTCGACGGGCTACGCCACTTCCCCTACTCGGCCAACAACAGCGTGGAGACGTACCAGTGGTACAACGACCTGATTCCCAGCTACAACGACGTTATCGGGCCCTCCCCCAGTGAGACGTTGGGGATTCAGGTCGCGGCCCAGAAGGGGATCGCTGTCCGGGGTGTGCTCTTTGACTGGGCCGGCTGGATGGACTCGCAGAACAAGACGTTTGATGCCTTCAGCCCAACCTCGATCACGACGGATGAACTGGACGCGGTAGCGGCTTGGCAGGGCCTCCCCGAGGATTGGTCTCGGGCGGGCGACATGTTGGTGTTGCGCACGGGCTGGGTGAGGCAGTACCAGACTCTCAACGAGACCGGCGACGTGCTGCTTCCCATTGGTGCTGGGACGTGGATCGGGATGGAGGCGAGCGAGCAGTCGTTGCGCTGGCTATGGGAGAAGAAGCTGAGTCTGGTGGGCGCGGACAACCCAGCATTCGAGAGTGTAAGTGGAATACGTGTGATGCCACCATTATGAGTCCTGAAGCTGACGCAAGTGATGGCAGACCCCGTTCAACAGGACGATACACGGCGAGACGCGGTCTCTTCACCAGATCTTCATTGGTGGCTGGGGCCAGAACATCGTTGAATTTCTGGACCTCGAGGCCTTGACAGAGAAGCTGCACCAACTTGGCAGGTCTACGTTCTTCCTGACGATACAGAACCTCAACATCGTGTCCGGGATTGCATCGCCCCCTAATGCGCTGGCAATCATTTGATGTCTCAATGCACTACATGGCACAATTGGGGTTTTTGAAAGGAAGTATGAGTTGATAAGACCAGAGTCGGTTCTTAGAGTAAGGAACTGGGTATCTCTAGCTGAATATTATGATTCATGATAATGAGAAATAAAGATCTAAAGAAGTTCAAGGGTTTGGAATCAAGTCAATGCGAAGTATCACTTGAAATATAATGACTTGAGCTAACTTCATATATTCCATAATTCCAGGACCGAAACCGGAGCGTAGGGTAGTCTAAGTCAGCTCTACACAGGTGCCAAAACGTTGAATTGCTGGTAGGATCACCGGAAGACTGGTAGAAGTATAAACATGCTACCGCCGTTACGACTCTGGCGTACTCACACCTACTTCAACGAGAATGACTAACAGGAGACAAAATAATCGAAACAGCAGCAGACAAGAAAAGCCCTGTAGAGCCACAATCCACACCGTACCCTCGACCTCCCCCTTAAAGGTGATAAGAAATGTGCAGCGTGTTCGACCACTCAGATGTACATCAGCCAAATACCACCTCATCGGGCGCCTTGCTCATATCTCGCTCTTACCAAAGAACGAGCCAGAGGCCTCATCTTAGAACGGCATGGAAGCCTTGCGGCTCTCTGATGAGACACCATCACATGTGGTACATAGTCCAGCAGTTCGTGTTCACCAGCATCACGATTTTGTGTACACACAATAAGAAACCATTGATTGCAATTAGTCCTCCGACAGTTGACTAAGGCCGGTACGGTGAGCCTTTGCGGAAATGCACCATAGGCGGGCAGTGTTTCCCATCAGCAAGATAACGATACAAGTATTTGCGGGTACCAGGCAGTCTGGCATATACTGCGGCTGTACAGTGCATGAGCATAGCCGTGCCTCTTAGTTGGGATGTGGGACAAGCGCTCTCTGGACCAGAGTACCAGAGGCAGGTGAGAAACAAAAAGTGCACTTTCAGGGTATCATGACGGGCTGGATAGGCGTAGGGTATAAAGATGTGAAAAACGTTTCGGCCTTCTACGATATTCATGTTACTCGGCACATTGAACGCTCCTAAATCACTACGACTGATGCCCAAACGAACAACAGCCATGGGAACAACTGCCTCACGTAGTCAGAGTATCTTGAACAGATAAAAAAGCGGCTAAGAATTGCCAAGATCAAGCTTCACCCCCCATCGAAACGCATCTAGTACTACAATGCGGCCATCGATTATCGCCCAGCTGTGTGGCCCCGGATCGCCACATTGCATTCAGTAATGCATCAGTCGTCGTAGGGGTCCGGTAGTGATGGGTGTGATCTCGGGCGAACTTGTAGAATGGACGATCCTATCTGGAAGAGCGAACGAAGCAGAGAATTGCTAACTCGAGTCCTTGCCTGGACAAGAGGGGCAAGAACAACAATCAAAGAACGTCCCGGTATGTGCTGGTGATAATCAGAAGACGAGAGCTACGAGAAAGAAAGGTCAGTCCACTACGACCTCGGGCCATTTGGCCTCGTCTTTTGGTGAAATGCCGACTGGCGACGATGATAAGTCTCCTGCAAAGCCGCTTCAAACCCCCAGAACGATCTCCATATTCCAAGACGCGTATGCTTGAAGCCGTCGTCAGATCGAGTTGTCTACGGTGACCATGACTAAATGCAGAGTGTGATGGTTCCGGCATGGGCGGTACGGGCGTTTGTACGCGATGCGATGGTAGAGGTGAATATCGACTCGTCACGCTCGAAGATGTAGGAAGCGTGAGATGTGCAATCCAGAATCCCGTTCCTTTACGCGCAGGCTGACATGGGGTGCCAGTACGATATTGAGACTGGTATGCGTATCACCCAGAGGACGCTGAAGACCAGAGAGCGTTCGCGGTGCCAGTGAGTAGGCGTGGTCGTATCTACCAGAGCTGTGGGGAAGGAGATGGTGGGCACGTTCCCAGTATCAGCTAACTTCAAATGACACCTCGAGGTTCCCGGCCATCTTAAATGGAATGCACCCGTGGCTGGAGTGTCGCGCTGTCGGGTATTGGAATAGCAACCAGGAAGGCCGCGCACACGTGTGAGAGCTTGCATAACGAGTTCACATCTGTTCTCTCCTCTCGTCTCGAGGGCGCAATACGACGGCATAGATCACGCGGGTCTCTCTGCATTCGTTAGACATGTCAGCTGTTTTTGGTTCATTTCACATTTCGGATTCCTAGACTTCCTAGCATTGACCGAATGAACACAGGTCGTCCCAGAGGTTGTGTGTGAAACAAGTCAAATTGCCCTGTCCCCCCAACGCTCGTACTGATGACCAGGCCCTTGTTCCGTCAACAAGAGCAAAAAGTCGATGGAGTGTAGCCCCCCTTTCCCTCACGCCAGTTCTAAGTGCAAAGGTTTTTTGTTCTCATGTGTCGTTTGGTATGATTGTTTATTGACCGTTGCCCCCGAAAATGCAGAAGTACGAAGATTTCAGAACGAACAAAGACAAGACGATTAGTAGCCGTAGGACTTGAGGGCCTCGGCTGTCTTGTTGTCGACCTTGGCGTTCTTCTTGGCGTCCGACAGTTGTCGTTGCGCCAACTTCTTGCGCTCGTAGTATGCGGCACCCTTGGCCTTGCGGCGCTCCTCCAGACTGCAGGGGAAAAGTCAGTACGTGCGAATTTGTAGACTGGGGGGGATGAACCATACCGCTCAACAACGTCCTGGTACTTCCAGCCAACCTCGTGGCTCAGACGACCGACAGTGCAGTACTTGCGGCCGGGCTGCAGTCTCAGGACACGGAGGGCCTGGGGCACGACCATCTTCTTCTGCTTGTCGTAGGGAGGGGGGACACCCTCGAAGACCTTGAGTCTCTCCAGGGCGGCGGCACCACGAGCGGTCTTGTGGGGGATCATGCCACGGACGGCCTTGTAGAAGATACGCGACGGGGCGCGGAAGTGGAAGGGACCTGGGACGTGTTAGATGACGGCCGTCGTGTGGTCGCCTCCGCTGAGCGCGTGTCCGGGTTCAGATCACAAGCGCTCGGAGGGGGTCGAATTACGTACCACCGCGAGTCGGGTTGTATCGGGTCATCTTGCGCAGGTAGGCATGGTACTTGACTGTAGGGCCACAGCATGTCAGTTGCGGTGCTCATCGGGAAATAACGCGTGCATGTGTGCTCCCGTCGTGTGCCAGGGCTCATCCTCCCACTGCCCCCGGTACGGATAGGAGCACACCTGATGCAGCCAGGAATTTTGAGAGGTTGGGTGCGACGTACGCTTTGCGCGGAAGAACTCGCCGGAGATGTTGAGGGCCTCGGTGCGGACGACGACAATCTTCTGGCCGTTCAGAAGCTGCTTGGCGACGATGGAGGCGAGACGACCGAGGAGGTGACCCTTGCCATCGATGACAACCTGAAGATTGCGGTGGTCAGTGGTGGCTGATCAAGTAAAGAATCCCTGCGTGATAGATGTCCTCCCAATCCCCCGACAGTTTTCGTGGCCACGCCGAATTGGTTGATTGATCGCGATTTCGGGGTCGTTGGTGTTGATGTTGCGTGCCAGATATCCATCACTTCCACAGGCCTCCCCGGGACTCGCGGAAGGCCGTCCATCGTCTCCATCTCGCGGACGCACGCAGGGCGGTGCACGGAATGAGGGAGAGTACTCACAACAGGCTCGAAGGACGACATCTTTTCGGGGAACGGTCAGCGCGGGCTGGACTCGAAAATTGGGAGGTGGGAGAGAAAAGAAGGACGAAGGAAGAGAGAGAGGAAACGGAAGAAATTCAAAGCTCGCGAGGTAAACTCCAGGAATGTGCTCCTCCGAAGTCTTGCTTACCTTGAGAGCTAGGAACGGTGAATTCCTCGCTGGGGGTTGTGCCGTCGGGTTGGTCGTGGATATGTTGATGAGGTCGCAAATCCTCGAGATTCTGTGTGCTGAAAATTAATCGGGCACGCTGGCGGGTGGGTTGTGGTCGGAGGCCGCGCCTTTCCCGATCGAGGATGGTGGGGGAATTGACGAAGCGAAGGGCTGTGGACGCGCTAGGGTTTTCCAAACCTACAAGGCGAAAAAGCCCGCCCGCCCCCGAAGGCTGTAGCATTTTCGAAAACTAAATCAGCCAAAACGCCCCAGCCAACCAGTCAACATGTGGCTGGTGTCTGTGGGGCCCTTCACCGAGCTTGTCCCCCGGCCCGGTCTGTGGCTCACCGCTCACTCCTTACCGTCCACAGTTCGACCAGCGTCGCTGGCTCCCTTGGCTCGACCCCTCGGCTCGACCCTCGCCATCGACTTGGACCTGGTTGACTCTGGAGTTCCATAGGCAGGATTAGCCCTCACAATTGCCCGTCTCCGGGCGCGCTGTGCTCACCTGCGTCGCCTGAATCATACATAGAAAACATGTTGTAGAACAGACACAAGGCCACAGAGACGATGGCACGAGTTGTACGTCCTCTTATCCTCATCACCAGCTCACACTCATCCCACACCATGTATATCGTCGTCATCTCATATCTTTTCACTGTCGCTGGCTATCTGTTCTGTTTCTCTGATTGTGTGGGGTGTGTCTGTGTCTGTGTCTGTGTCTGTGTCTGTGTCTGTCTCTATCTCGAAGCAATCTACAACAGCAGCCTCAAAAGGCCAAGCCGTGATGCGAACCGACGCCCGGATGCTGTACATGCCCGTAGTCCCATCCCTGCAATGACAATATTCCCGAGCCAAGCAAAGGTCGTAACCAGAGATTCCGAGAAATAATGCACGAACATCGTACCATTGCTTCGCCATGCATGCCATATCATGTACCAGGCCCCCGTCCAACAACACATCAACTTAGAAAATGACACAGGCTGGTCGCATTCCGATTTGCGCCTTGCAGAAATAAGTAAGTGGCCCTTCGCCGGGCCCCAAGTCTTTGCCATCCAATTAGTACGACGGCCTCGTTGAGCCCTCTGGAAGGTGCGAGTCGATGCCCTTCAACACGTCGTGAACCATGTTCACCAGCTGCTTTCGCTTGGCCCGGATCTCCGGGTCGCCGCCCGTGTCGACCTCGTCCAGCTTCAACAGCACCTGCTGCATGACCGTCTCGCTCAGCTTGCGGTGCTCGTCCTCGCACTTCTTCTTGTCCTTGGGCGGGTTGGCGCTGAACTCGACGCACAGCGGCAGGAGCTTGGTGTTGAAATGCGACTTGATCGTGTCGAGCTTCTCCAGCGGGCCGTTGGGCACGGCCGGCGACGGTATCCTGCTCGGGTGTCTCGAGTCCTCGTTGGACGAGCCCTTGCCGTCGGCTCCCGGGACGTCGAGAGTCGCCGCGCTGTCGCGAGGGCTTCGGTTCTTCTTCGACTTGCGCTTCTTCTTGTTCTTGCTCTTGCTTGGCTGCTCACCCCGCGGGTCCGGCACAATCACCTCCTCGCTGCTCTCCGAGTCGTCTTCGGAGCTTGCTCCGTCCGGCAGCACGACGAGTATCTCGCTGTTGTTCTTGACGTTGTACTCGCGGATCGGCAGGTCTTGGTCCTTCAGCTGCCGGCCCTTGTATAGCATCTTGATGCGCCGCCTCCGACTTGTGCTGATCTCCATGACTATCCCAACGCGATCCCGCACATCCCGGACGTAGAGTTTGCCGTCCCCTATCGAGTAGGCCGGGAAATGCACCGGGTACGTGATACCCTTGTTCTTGATCAGGAGCACGTCATCCTCGGGTTTTGCGCTGACTGGCGGTTGTCTCCTGGGGTCGTAGGCCCGGCTGGGCGGCTCCAACGTCTGTTCGAGGTCCTCGGATGTGATGTAGCTAAAGTCTTCGTCCGTCACGTGGACTCCGTTGCTGTCTTGATAAGGCGAGAGGCCGTCGCGGCCGGCCCAGCCGCCAACGTAACGAGACATGCCGATGGGGACTGCGAGTGCGGCGCAGGCGAGGGTTGAGTAGACGACAGTGGGGGACAGGCCCTGGGCGGCTAGGTATTCGTGGGATCCGGCAAAGGCTCCGGATATCTGGTCGATGGTGGCGTTGACGTAGGTCGCCAGCGACGGGGGCAGCAGCTGCGTGAGGTTCTGGAAGGCACCAGACGATGCCAAGACTACCTGACTTGAAGCCACCTTGACGGGTTTGGGTATGTCCTCGGATGGAGGACAGACCCGGGCGAGCGGCTGGAGGAGTATTTACGGGGTGCTCAAGGCCAGAGAAGGGGCAAGGAGGGGCACGGCGGACTGTGGAGACAAGGCGGCGGCGACAAGGCGTTCGGTCGACGGACGGGATGAGCAAGCGGGCGGGCGGGCGAATGGTGTGTGGTGAGCGTGAACCGTCGTCAGTGTTGCAGAGTGGGTTGGGTGAGCAGAGGTTTGTCGCGCGACGACGGGCGTGGGGCCGAGCCGTCAATCGTCAATCGTCAACCGTCAATCGTGGTTGGAAGCCGGCGAATGGATGGACCCTGGGAATGCCCCCGAGCGAGAGATCTGCAAACCTAGTTGCTAAGCGACTGTGTGCTGCTGGGACGCGGCCGTTGACGGGTTGCAGCTTTGATGGAGGGGTTTCGCCTTCGATGTGTTGTCAACTGCACGTTCGGTCAGCTACTGCAGCAGAAGCCTTGTTTCATTCGCAGAATAGATCAGGAGACGTTGTCGGGGACCCGGCAGAAAACCCAGAGAGTACCCAAGAAGCCAGCCCGGCAAGGGAGTACAGGGCCGCCTCTGATTGGCTCAATGGCACGCCGACAGTTCCACTACTGTGTAATTCGCAATGGAGACTTCTGCGCGCAGGCGAAAAGCTGACATGGAGAAATGTTCCATGCGGCGAAATGGAGACGGGCCTGACTACACGAATGCTGGGGCCAAGAGAATGTGAGCCGGGGCCCGGCCGTGGAAACGATAGCCTCAACTGACCTTTTCTCTCTGGTTCAGCGGCCCAACCATGAGGTCATGGTCGGCATCAGCAGATACGGCACAGGCTGAACAGGCTCCCCAAGACGGCTAGGATTTACCAGAAAAGAGACGGAACTCGAAGCTTCACTTGCGATCCGGGGACCAATTGGCTGGGAATGCTTCTTGATGCCACGTTCGGCAAGGCGGTGGCAGAATGGATTCTCAAGTAGCAGGGGTTGGCCTGCAAATCTGTTCTGGACCCATCTTCTCGGTCAAGCGTCTGGAGCTCGCCGACAGAGGGTCGTCTTTTCCAGATGACGGAGGACTTTCAGTCGTACCAACAGACGAAACAGTGGTTATACTGCATCCGTACTACACACACTTGATCGTGCTCGAGAGAGAGTCCTAGGGACAGAGACTGATATTGGCGTGTATAGATTGTTGTTTGGGTAGTCAATGAATTCCAACCTCTGACTTACTAGTAGGTCAACTACATCATAAGTCAGTTGGGCGCAGTCCTCCTCTTCCCATCAGTCAGTCACTGCAAGGGTTGAAGGGTTTCAGATGCCAAATGCCGCAGTCCTTATCGCCGATAACCGCGCTCACCCATCTTGCCTTGCGTCATCCCTCGGTCTGCAGCAGAATCAACAGGGAGTCTATTTTTTTCTTTGGGCCCTTGCCCCCGTAAGCTGATGATTTCCTCGGCACATCGAGCCCTGTCCCGCATTAGTTTTCAGACTGTCAATTGATTCCATATTACATATACTTACACAGAAGCAATGGAAGAGACGCATCCGATATACAGTTTAGATTCTCCCCCCGCAAGCCCATGAGAACAGAACTGTAGATTGCCAAAAGGAGATAAAGAGACACAGTGGGTGGATCGGCCACCAGCCTTCGCCCGCACAAGCCGCTCGCGCTATGCCGCCCCCCTGACAAATCGTCTCGGCCGGTGTGGCACCTCTGGCCTCAGCCAGCCTTTCGATCGCATTGCTCCATCCAGATTCCGTGACGTTCGTTGCACATATATTTGCCTGCTGCCCTCCGTCCGACGTAGACCAGACTGCATCCCGCATCTGGCACCCCTAGCTTCATGTTCCTCTTTCGCCGTCTCTTCTCGTCCTCCACAACACCAGAAACCATGTCTGCCGCAAAGGAATTGGCCCAGAAGTACATTGACGAGAATGCCGTCGGTAAGTCTGCACACGATTCTGCTTCCCCTCCAGCGATTGCGCCAGAGTGCGGCGCAATCCGCCCCCCACCCTTGTGTCTCCATGTCTGCCCCTTCTCTATACGCGAGCAACAGTCGCTAATCCACGTCCCTTGCAGCTGTCTTCGAGAAGACTTGGTGCCCCTACTGCCAGGAGACCAAGGCTACACTCAAGGCCTTGAAGGCCAACGTCGAATTCATCCAACTTGACAAGCGGGACGACGGAAGCGCGATCCAGGACGCCCTCGTCGAAATCAGCGGCCAGCGCTCCGTACCCAACATCTTTATCAACAAGAAGCACATCGGTGGTAACAGCGACTTGCAGGAGACGAGGCACAAGGGCAAGCTCGATGACCTGCTCAAGGAGGCCAATGCTCTATGACTAGGTGGCAGTCATGACACAGTAAAGGAGAGGTTGTGAGGCTTGTCCAGCATAAGTGGTGAAACGGGCGCCAGGAACCGAGCCGGCACGAGAAGTCGATACGGGTTATCAGCATTAGAGATTATCAGACTTTTCTTGAACAGGGTCGAGCTGGTGAAACCTGAGCTTAGCATTTGGATATGCAGTTTTCCAAGATAATAGATAGCAGTGAAATACCCGGTCTGTAGATTATGTTCGCTTCAATAGGCTCTGTCTATTTATTGCATTCCTGGGCGGCTCAAACATATATGGTATATTTGACCGGCACAGCACAAGACCCTCTACTGTGGCAGTGTAACCACACTATACTCTATGGGCCCTTGTTGTCAGCTGGAAAGCAATCCACCACTTAGTGACGATAATAATCATATCTGAATGCCGCCATGTGCAACCGACCTTCAAGTCCGTCGAGCACACTTTTTTTAATCTGAGCATGGGATATGAGTCTTTCACAACTAGGGAAGGTCTCGTTCGCATGCTACCACACTTGAGGATGAATATGAGATAATATATACACTATCTAGGGCAGATGCTCTAGTAGATTTTATCTTCGAGATAAACATGTTCAAAGTTACTTACACGTACCACCCATGACCTCAGCATAGACCCCTAGTACATTAGGGCTTACACAATGCCAAAAGCATTCATCAGTACGCCCAATGACGTAGTTTCGTATAGGTAGTTAGTCCAATATACCCCATATAGGTCCTGCTGGTGAAATTATTATAATCCATGGGCTCCCAGTTGCTTGGGGTTCTGCTGCTCGGTAATAAGTGGTGCAACTCGGAGTTCGGGTCATGTACTGACAAGTCTAGGAATATGGTCCTCGAGTAGAGCATTTCACAGCACGTGATGCAAACCGACCTGACTAGGCATGCTCTTTCGGTAAGTGGAAGCAAGGCAAGAACTACACTTACGGCGTCGAGGGCCTGCAGTTGTGAGAGTATGAAGAAGTGATGATAATGTCTCGAAGAAGCCGCCGTGATGGGTTTGTTGAGTCCGAGAAGAGAGGAATGAGTTGTGATTACGCTGTATTTAAACCAGGGCAATGACGTTATCCCAAACCCACAAGGAAGAATGTGTTAAGTGTTATGCGAGAAATAACACTAGATAATCACACAGCGAATGGCAAGATCTACATGCACCAGCTAAAGAGAAGCCTTACAGCGCGCTATATGCTTTTTCGCGCAGGGAGCGTGTGTCGTTCAGTCATTGTCAACGCTGGGCATCAAGTCCTATGGATGCTATGAGGACTGTCTATGGCGGCTTGAGTCTATATATATATATGGACTGGATCCTCAATCATCGAGTTAGCCAGTCGCTCGAATTGATTAAGTGGGAGCTCGTGATTATTCCCCGTTATTGACGGTTTTGTACTTTAGTACGTCGCCGGTCTCCTCTATCCGTGGGCTATACTCTGGAGGTTGTTGGTCCTCCATCCTATGGCTCTCTTGAATTTGGGCGGCAGCCTGCGGTAATGGTGCACTCTGCACAGCAGCCCCCCTCGGCCTAGACCTTGCACAGGAGGAATCAATACAAGCCCAAATGGACACAAAGATGCGATATCCCCTGCAGTACATCAACGCTACGCTCGAGTAGAGAGTTCCCGTCATGGTACTTAATAGATGATACAAGTCACTACTAGAGTGCGCCTATCCGCTTTCCAGGCAAAGTCCTTTTCCGACCCATCTGCCAGACTATAGCCACTAATGGCTAAGAGAAGCAAAGACGGTATTGCGAGGGCAATGATGATGATATCTTCGCAGACAAGACAGCCGGCGTGCATCCGTGGCACCCTGTGTGTCCAGTCTGGAAACCCTACGATGTCATATCCGTCCACGATTAGGCCGGCGACTGCCTGGATGATGACTGAGCACTGTGTCGTAGACGTTATACAACCTTCTGATATGACCTACAGTGATATAGGAAATAAAATAGCTCTTCCTGTCTCCAGACGTCGTATTTTCGTAGATTAGAAACACTAGAAGCGTGATTGGCAGAGCGAATTCCTGGTAGCTCTTGCCGGTCCGCCGAGTCCCGATGTTGTATGCAGGTTGTCAGTGACTGCATATGCAACATCTTTAAACAGCGGTTACCCACTCCCACAGCCGCGCACGTTTCATTGTTGATGATGACCGATTCCAAGTTTACCAAGTAAAGGCGCCAGGCAGCGATGCAAGGTATGCTTCTCTATGCAAGCTGAAGCGATAAACGGCCCAGCTACTACGAGAAAAGTCACTGAAAACGCAATTTCTTTACTGACAAGACAGGGGTCTTCTCTCGCTATCATCAGCTCTCTTCCCAACTCTTCTCTCATCTTCGGCCTATGTGAAGGGTTTACTGTGGAATGCGAAGTCGATTGGGAATGACAGGCCAAAGCATCACCATGAATCCCCCCATTCGAGTCGCCATAATTGGCGGTGGTCTGGCTGGTGCCTCCTTGATACATGCCCTTGTCAAATTTTCCCACCTGAATGTCCACATTTTCGAGGCTGCTCAAGAATTCAAAGAAGCTGGAATGGCATTTGGAATCGCCCGAAATGCACAAGCTGCTCTGGAGCTCATCGGCCCTTCGGCCGCGAAATGCCTTGACGAAGCTGGAGCTGTTCCAATGAGGGGCGTTAGGTTCATGTTGGCGCGAGGAGAAGGAGCAGGAACCATGGCCGATGAGGTCGATGATATAGTCCAGGGGAAGCGTCTCACGAGCATTGTGCACCGCGTTAATTTGCTGGAGGCACTGCTGGCCAACATCCCTCAGGATCGAATGCATGCCTCCAAGAAGCTCCAGACAATAGACCATAATGGCTCGATTACCCTCACCTTCATCGACGGGAGTATCTTTGAATGCGATATTCTTATCGGCGCTGATGGTATTCACAGCACCGTTCGAAAGCTTATCTTGGATGAGAACGATCCGGCAGCTTCTCCTCAAAACAGTGGTGCTTGGTTTCTTATGACTCTCCAACCATTCGAAAAGGCTCAAGCAAGTTTAGGCAAAGAGCATGTGAATATTGAAGATGCGCGCGAGTATGGATGGGCTGGGCACTCAGCCTTTTTGATGCATAACATCTTGAGTAGTGGTCAGCTGGTACAATTCGCCATCGCTTGCAATGACAAGGAAGCTGAGTCTGGGTCTGGCTCACTGAACGAGTGGAAGCGAATCGTACGTGCCGAGGAGATCAAGAGACTTTTTCAAGATTGGCCTCCGCATCTTCAAAACGCTGTCAATGAGGTGAGCAATATGGACTATTTCACTCAAACAATATCACTAGGACAGAAATATTTACCACGTATACAGTTACTTTGCAGTCAGCCTGAGCACGAAGCTTTGTATCTTTGGGACCACCCCAAGGCACGCACCTACGTTTCTGGTCCTATCTGTGTGACTGGTGATGCTGCGCATTCGACGACGCCGTGGCAGGGCTCCGGGGGTGGTATGTCCATTGAGGACAGCCTGATTCTTTCCACCTTACTAGGACACGCGAAGACACCCGCCGAGGCGCTTATAGCTTTAAAGGTTTACGACCGGGTCCGTCAGCCTCGCACCCAGCGTATTGTCGAGTCAAGTCGGGCTACTGGAGATATGTTGACAGGAAATGCCAAACTGGATCCCAAGACAGGAACTTCGTTCATGTCAAGATGGGACTTCATTATCGACATTGATATAGAGAAACATCGCGACGAGGCCTTACAGATGATGGACGCCGAGTTGGGATCACAATGTCCCAAGATCACGACTTGAAGCCTCTGACCCAGAGTATTATTTGGCTCAGTCCAAAGTGTGTCCTCTTGTACAAGGTCCAGGGTATGAGTGATTGAATCGCATGTGTTAACACGAAGTTCCTGCAAATACAACCAGGACTTTTATTTAGAATCAAATTTAATAGTCTTCAAATTGAACAGTAGCTGAGACTTGACTCCTTCCAAAAAAAAAGAAAAAACCGGCGCAATCCACCAATATGCTGCCCCTGGTTGCCCCTGACTGCCCCCTCAATGTTTCTCTGAAAAACACGTGCTTTGGATGCTTAGCTGTCGCAGTGTCCGTGTTGTACGATGTCGTGGGTGTCGCCGTGGCAAGTAATCTTGTAGTTCTTCTGACTGCAGCCGCGGATCACGTCGCCCTTTTCGGTGCAAAGTGACTGCGGCTCGTTGTTACCGTTGCATTCGCAAAGCTTAACTTTGTCGGAGCGGCTGGGGAGCGAGAAGGCAATGTCGCAAGGGCTGTCGGTCAACTGGCTCAGAGTCCGAGTGGCCGGGCACGCCGACTTGCCGTGCTCCCAGATGACCCAGTAGTTCGCCTCACTCGATGTCTGCAGCTGCTGCCCAAATCCAACGCTGGGCACGTTATCACGCTCGAAGAGCGAGTCGCTGACAGGTGAGGCGAAGGCCACGTTGGAGGCCGCGGCCAGGAGAGCGACGATGGCGAAGGTCTGCATTTCGTTTCTGGTGGTTGGAAGAGTTTGGATTATTGAGGAGGGAAGGTTTCAGGGTGGAAGAGATGAAGTGAAAGCCTTGAAAGGGACTGTTGATACAATGTTTGGTGATGAGTTGTGTTTTTGGAGTGCAATGAGACTGACCTCCTTTATGTACTCGACGATGCAATGGACTTGACTCGACTATCATTCTCACAGACCTTTCTCCCAGCTTCTATTATTTCTATATTTATCAAACGAGGCTGTATTATTCTTCCTTTGTCGATCTATATCTGTTGCCTACGGGCTGGTCAGGATCAGCGCATTCCGACGCGGCTCCTGCCCTACTACACGTCGGGTTAAATTTAAGATTTTCATTGGGTCAGTTGAACTGTGCCATGGAAGTAGCCTAGGTAATAACTGAGGAGTTGCAGTACATCTAAATCCGCCCTGTTTGCTACATGGGCGACGGATCCTCACAGGTGGAGGTTATAGGATGTGCATGAAAATCCTTGCTGCGATAGTATGTCAGACCTACCTCCTTGAACCCAGCCGTGTGGCACTGTTTGTCTATCCAAAACAAAACGGAGTACAGATCTTCAAGTGAAGCAACTAAGTAGACATACGTCACAAGGAGTATGCTAATGGTTGCATGCATCGGAGACTATTTGATATCCAAGCTCGAAGCCCAAGTGCTTCTGCGCCACAACAGCCCCACCGCTGGATCCTTCGCTCACGTCCATCGTTAGAGGTTCATTACATAGAATATGTGGGTACGTCGGCATTCGGATGCCCGGCAAGTAATAGAGTATCCCAATCCTGGACCTTATTTCCCATGCTTCCGAACGAGTATGATCGGCATAAATAAACGGTGATTTGCAATACCGTTGATCATTAGCTGAGCCATCGGATCAACTGAATATAGCGCTTTAACAGGCATTGTAGGATTGTATCGTATAATCCACAAGCGCTACACCCCTGCAGCGCTAACTCGCCTGGTAATTCCGGATTTGCCCAGTCCGAACTCGAATGATTTTGTCCCGTGCGCCCAAACAATGCTCATACTAACTTGATGCCGATGGCCGCTGGGGAACCTAACACACTGTTGCTTAGCTATCTCTTTTGCGCAAACGCTACCTGCCACGAACGCAGTTGAAATGAATGAATACTTTCGATACTATCTTAGGATTCACACGCGCTCGGTTATTAACAAGAGACTTGCTAGAATGTGATAGCTTATTATCAATATTCAGAATACGACATTCGCCATTAGTTGACAACAGTAATTGGCAAAGTATATTGGGGCAAAATCATGAATTGAAACTATAGCCCAGTATAATCCATAAAACACAACAAAAAACAGTAAAAGCATCTCCGAAAATCAGTTAGAGTCGCACACTCGGAAGTCTCCCTCTCCACTACCGTCGGTGTTTTTGACAGCATGGGTCATGACGCCGCAGAGCGTCATGTCGCTCTTAACATAAACCACACGCGCCGGTGTCAACACACCCTTGTCGCGCTTCTCGTCCTTGTTGAAAGATTTTCCGTTCTGGAAGACGGGAAATTCGAGCAAGTTCGACTTTTCAGGGTCATCATCCTGCTTCTCGTTGCACCTCGAGTCCGCCCCGTAAAACTTGAGTTGGGTCCCTTTGTGTAGGTGGTCTCCGGGAGTGCCATTTCCAGACATACCGGCGAAGCCATGTGGGAATCTAATATGAGCAATTTAGTGGTTGGGCAGTCGAAAAGATATTGATTTTGGGTCTTTTACCTAGAACTTGTTTTTGTGTTAGTTCCACCATTGGCCACAGCAGCTTTGGCGATATCGTTCGTGATTGTGAACGAGCCTGCATTGGTTGCACAGCGATAGTCTGCAGCCTGTAGAGATAGTTTGTCAAGATAATGCTCCCTTCAAGTTGTCTATATGTTGTCTACTGACCGCAAGGCTGGCGAGGAGAGCAAGTGGCAGGACACTGTTGAACATCATCTTGTCGGTAGTCTGATCTGGCAGAGGCTCCCAAACTGTGGGAAGGGGAAGAAAAAGAAATACAAGAGTTGAAAGTACAATGGAAACGGTTGTGTGAAGCAACATATAACACTGGCTTCATGCTTGCTCTTATACTTCGTTAGACTCCCATGTAGACTTAGGAGCACAAAGTTGTGCAACTTCTCTTGACAATCAACTAGACCTGCATTTGGCCATTCACAGCCCAAAAAGGATCATACTATGAAAAGAAACCATGATAGAACGGGGTCAATCCTTTCAAAGCAAGTGCATTCCAATCTGGGCGGGCACAGCCATCGGCGAGATCAACGATGCTTGTCCCCGGTTGCCTGGAGTGAAGTAGCAGTCAAGCAATAAAATATTGGAATAAATGGAAGGTATCCTTCCAGGATGTTGAGCCTGTTCGTCGATCTCTGGTACGATTGAGTATGTGGTTTGCATTGATCGTCTGTAACAGGGATGGTGGGCAAGCATGGATAGTTTTCTATACATAGGCAATAGACAGGGCGGACGGCTGGAATGTACCGTGCTTAGCGGGAGCTTGGGCGCTGTTGTGGCCTTGCCCTCTATATTGTTCATTAGGATGGGCCGATCTGCAAATCCTTCGGCGATTTGCGGCCGCTTACTCAGGTCCACAAGGCTGAGCTGAAACAACGAACGCCTGCAGAATGCTTGCTTTACTTTACGTCATTCTCGGCGTGCACGGCAATCGCTGGCTTAATAGTAGTTCAGTTCCTGAAGATTTGAAACACTACTACTACCAACGAAATCTTCTGTCAGCACATTCCAATCTCCTCAATCCATTGCTGAACTAACCAGCGTATCCTTCAATACATTCTTCTCGGTCTACAAGCCTTTCCTTCTTATAATTCGGCCTCTCTTCTTCAACCATGTCCTCAATTGACCTTGGACTCTTAGGGCCTGACGATGATGAGAACGAGAAGAAGCTAGCCATCACGTTGCAGGACCTCGTAAACGACAAGACAGATGCCGCATCGGCTGCAAAAGTCGTCGACCTCATTGTCACTGACGATTGCCAAAAAGCCCTTTCTATGTACAACTCAGCCAGCGAGGACGAAAAGACAAATGATTCAGTGCGCGGTCCCGCGCCACAAGGATGGCAACAATACTTGTACGACTGCCTAGCGTCGGCAGCTATGAAGGTGCCAGCATCACATCCAGGCCAAGATCGTCTTGTAAACTTGATGCACGAGCTTGGGCGTCTGCCGAGGCATTTTGTCCCTGCACTTTACTATGACCCTCAGAGGATCGTGGAGAAGGAGATCTGGGTACTAACTCGAGAGAATAACTATGATGGGTTCGGACAGTGGATGTGGGAGCGGCACGAAGGTGAGTATCAACTTTTAACTGACCATGTTATGCAAAGGCTGATTCGGAAGGGTGCAGGCACCTTTGCAGGCTGGCGCCAAGTTGAGACAGATTCCAACGCGGCAGCGGGTTATCTCAACTTTTCTGCCTTCCTCGCACGCCTACTATCAAGTGGCGCAGCCTCTCTCCTTGGTTTGAGTGCTCTTGTATCTCCATTTGCCACACGCAGCATTGCCGCAGCCGCATCTCGCGAACCGCAGAGGTATGAGCCCTACATAGCAGCCGCAGCACAATGGATACTATACGCTGGCGACACGCTATATGAGATGAGCGAAATGAAGGTTCTAGCGATGGTACGGTGGAAGCGAGAGCGTTGGGACAATATCAAGGCCAAGTTTGAGGCTGCAGCTGAGGACGACAGATTCAGTACGGATGCGCGAGAATGGGCGACGAAGGCTGTCCTGTCCATGAAACGTATAGAAGAGCAAGGCGCTGGAGGAAAGAAGGATGTGGTTGCAAGCTATAAATTCCCTCAGCTGGATGAAGATGACGAAGAAGAAGCAGATAAGTGATTAGTCAATTGAACCGTGACTTGTAATACTACGTCATGTTTCCTACGGCTTCTGTATTAGAGTCCATATTCGTCCACTTTGAATAGCTTTCCAGAGAAACCACCCAAGTTCATGTCTATTCTTTCGAATCGTTGCCATCTGGAGAAGGAATGCACGACTTGCGGAGAATGTCTTCCATTTTGATTTAGAATATAGAGAATCGCTGGAGACTGCTCGATCATAGACGCTGAGAGAACGCCAAGACCTCTCAGATGTTGATTGTAGTACGGAGGTTGATGAGTGGTGCCAAATTACTAGGGTGGTTGAAGTGGGGACCTGGGACCCAGGCCTCTGGCAAAAAGTGACGCAGTCAGATTTGACGAAAATGGGAGTTATCAGCAATGAAATCCTCATACTCTGCAATAAATAAACTGAAAATATTTCTGCGACATTCAGTTCTGACGTTTGGACATGAGTTGGAGTGTTTAGTGATATTAATGGTCATGATAGACTTTCTATCTCGGTTGTCCAGTTGCAGATCGCTTACCAGACCAGTTTGACCTGCATCTCCAAGGTTTCATTAAGCGCCCATACATGCAGGCTATGTCACGCCGTAATTAGGCATCTAGGCGCGTTGGAGCTGTGGCCACATGGAATTACTACACCGAGTATTAGATTAAAATTAGATTTACCCTATCACGAAGGGACGACCAGAATTGTGGCATGTTTTGTGCAGTGTCGCTTGCATCTGCAAGCTGCCACAGCTGTGACAGCCAGGGTTTGGAGCCCGAAAAGTCCAAATCGGCGCAAGCATGTGGCACTGCATAGACGCAGTAAAGCTACATAGCCAGTCGCATATCTGCACGGATTGATGTTCGAGGCTGTATTCTACACCCTTCCATAAAGCCCAATCACGAAGTCTATACTACGCCCTGAATGATAGCGCTATGAAGTACATCCGCCGCATTTTCGGGGCGGCCGATAAGCTACGTAGTTGTCGGAGTTGTCGGGAATGGGTGCATGCAAGAACAACAGAAGACTACTTTCTTATCAAGAACGTACTCCTTACTGACCTCTACCAAGCATCCTCCAAAGGATGTCCTATCTGCAGTACAATTTTCCGCGGACTTGATCTAAATCTTCAATTACGGCGGGAGAACCTCTTGGCTTGGGGTCTAGTCATTGAAGGTTCCAGGAGGAAACCGCTGGATGTTTCCTTGCGCCGAGCTAATGAACGATACGGACTTCAAGACAAAGCTGTTGAATTTTTCGTTGAGGAAGGTGCGTGACCTTGCCACTGTGTCGGAATGCTCTACGTAAACTAACTCATGCAATTGAAGGTGAACAAGGATTGGTCTCGCTGTTTGGATCCGGGAATCCAGTGCCCGAGTTTGATGGATCAGATGTTGCCATAAAAACAATAAAAGGCTGGATACAGACTTGTTGCAAGACGCACCCGCCGTGTGTTGGCCCTGATAAAGCGATACTTCCACACAGGGTTTTGGACATAAAACCTACTGATAGTGAGGCAGAGATAATATTGTTGGAGTCAAACAACATGATTGCGACCTACATTGCATTAAGTCATTGCTGGGGGGATAAAGATATTATCACCACAACAAGAGCGACAATCGAACAACGGAAGAAAGGCATCGCAATAGCTGACTTGTCAAATACCTTTCGGGATGCTGTATTTCTGTGTCGTCAGTTGGACGTACGATACCTGTGGATCGACTCACTCTGCATTATTCAGGACGATTTTCAGGATTGGGAAACCGAGTCCTCCAAAATGGCGTCTGTATATGGTAACGCGTTTCTAACGGTCGCCGCCACTCAATCATTCGACGGCTCCGGAGGTTGTTTCTCCTATCGACAACCCACTTACAAAATTCATTCAACGATAGAGGGGTCTCAATGTACAGTCTCGGCCCGGAGAAAGCGCCAGCATATCCCCTGGAAAACCAGCTTGAACGAATATCTCGATCACTCTCACGAGTTCCCACTCTTGATGCGATGCTGGTGTTACCAAGAGCAAATACTTGGCAGGCGAATACTCCATTTTGCTAAGGATGAGATGATTTGGGACTGCAGAAGTGGACTCACATGTGAATGTGGTGGGTTGTCAGAATACGTTAGCACGAAGAAAGGATACAGCGAAGTACTTTGCAACAAGGTCGACGAGGAATCTTTGACGTTCGCTGATGGTCCCCAGGATCTTTGGCGGATCATGGTTTGGGAGTATACTCAAAAAGAGCTCACATATCAACCGGATCTACTACCTGCCATATCAGGCATTGCCCGGCAGTTTTCAGATTCAGGACTAGGACGTTACTTAGGTGGCCTCTGGGAGACCACCCTAATACTCGATCTACTTTGGGTCTCTCGAGGTAATACGTCCATTAAGCCACAGTCGATGAACCGACGTGCGGTCGACTACATTGCGCCTACTTGGTCATGGGCATCTGTCATCGGGAGTATTTCATACGACTTCCACTTGAAGTACTACCGTATTGAAAACCGGGTGGTCGATGTTTTATCTGCAAATTGTACCCCGAAGGGCAGAGATGAGTTTGGTCGCGTTAAGGATGGCCGTCTCGTGCTGAAAGCGCCACTTGTGCAGGCAGAGTTTTCAATGGACCCATGGCCAGTCCTACTTAGGAATGGGTTGTCGATAGACGTCCACATCGATACAGCGCAAGACTTTGTGGAGCACCTTGGAAGTCAGGTCATGTGTGTTCGCTTTATGACCTTCTTCTATGACGATGGGGGGGTTGATCATCGAAACAAAACGGTTGGGCTGGTTGTCGTCCCTTCCGGAAAAGATTCCACCACTTATAAAAGAGTCGGGACTTTCACCTGGAGTCACGACGAGTTTTGGGCGGGTGAGGAGGTCATGCAAATTGATATCATTTGATGACTGAACATAACGTAGTGTGCACGAACTATGCAAATCATTAAGAAAATACAAGGGAGTTACAAAAAATGAAACTTCCATAGAAATATGGTTACTGATGGTCCTGCGGTGCGAGCCGTACTTAATGTCTCAGTCTGATGTGTAAATCTTCAACGTTACAATTATAAGCCGGACATCTTACGTGGCTATATATCAACCTAAAAGTACCTCGAACATGCGCTATGAATTATCTATTACTCCTTTCCCGCTATTTATCATTATTCTCCGGGCGGCCTGTGAAGAAGCCCGTGTACGTCTCGACGTGGGTAGCGACAGCGGTGCCGTTGCTGGCGTAGGTGGGCGTGACGGGGACGGCGCCGTCGGCGACGGCCAGGCCGGCCAGGACGCGGCGGAACAGCTCGAGCGACGCGAGGGGCTGGTAGTAGGGCACCTCGTGGCCAGCCTCGTAGACGCGCGTGAAGCTGAAGTTGCCGTACTGCCGCGACTCGCCGTACTCGACGCCGTCGACCACGAACGGCGCGTACCCCGCCGCCCGGAACTCGGCCGCGTGCGTGTAGTTCACCTCGAGCGACACGGCCTCGCCGCCGTACCAGTTGCAGATGTAGTCCTACGTGGGGTCTGAGTGTCAGTGTGATGGGTCATCTCGCTTAGGGGAGAGCGAAGTGTAACTCACAGCGTCTCCGTAGATCAGCGCGACCCGTACGTCTTTGTTCAGCAGATCTTGCAGATCCTGCAGGAAGGTAGGGTAGGCCCAATCACCGCTGTAGTCGAAACCAACCCAAATCTCACTGCTGCTGCCCGTATAGTTGACTCGGACACCGAGGGCGTCCTGGGCCTCGGCGGTGTTGAGCCAATCGTACCAGTGGCTGGGCGGCAGGTCCGCAGAGGCATTGGCTCGGATGTCGTAGTTGCTGCTCTGGGCGAGGGCCTCGTACGGACCCTCGACAAAGCTTCGGCAGATAGCCTGGGCCTGAGAGCAGGTGGCGACACCATCTGGCGTGGAGAGGTCTGCGGCGGCGCAGGCGTCGAGGTAGGATTCGCAGCCAAAGTACGGGAAGGTGTTGGCCGTCTTGGCGAAGTTGTACATGCTCTCGTTGATCGCTTGGATGCCGTACGTGTTGTTGTAGGCGAACTCGGGGTAGTACTTCATCTGGATCCTGGAGTTGATGATGCCATTGATGATCCCCAACGTGTGCATCTCGAGGGCGACACCAGGGGCTTCGCCGCTCTTGATGAGCTCGTTCTGCTCGTAGAAGTGATTGAAAAAGGCCGGACCGTAATGACCACCATAGCTTTCGGTCCAAAGGTTGAAGCTTCTGGATTCAATCTTCTCGTCCAAGACCGGCAGGTTCTGGATGAAGGCCTGCAGAACCTCCCAGGTGCCCACCGCCGCCAATGCGGTAGTGTCATACCGGTAGGGGTCGACATGACTGTAGCGACCGTCTGGCTTGGACGAGTTTTGAGGAAACCCGGTCGTCTCGTTCACAACGCCAACAACTTCTTCTGCGTAGGAGAACCCGACTCCTATCGGCTGTGACAGGAACAAGAGGTTGCTGACTTCGCTCCAGGAGTAAGGGTTCACCTTTGTGATGTTTTCATGTGTCACGTTACATGGGCCCAGTTCTGATCGCGTATAAGCTTCGAAATGGGAGAAGGAATGTGAAGCACTCATACCTTCAAACAATCCTATCAGTGAGTCCGAACCTGGTCCGCCATTGAGCCACAGTGTTATAGGGGCTTCATTAGGATTGTGTCTTCAACAAGTTAGCCGGGAGTGGTCTTGATCTAGATCGATTGTCAACGTGCCTTGCTTCAAAGAACCAGAAGAACATGTGTGTCTCAGCATCGAGGTCGACATAGCCCGAGTACGAGTTAACACCTGGCGTCGTCTCACAGACCCCTTGCTTCCCGGGCTCCTTATAACGGATTGTCACATTGTTCGGCGACGTGATCGTCTGGACGCCCGTAGCGTCAGCCGGCACTTGCTTCCGGACAAGTTTCTCAACATACTCCGGCACGGCACTTGATGAAGCTGTGCCGAGGAGTAGTGATGCGCCCACGAACGCTACAGAGCCCCTGGTGAACCACATGCTGATCTCGGTACCTTGCGAGATCGGTTGCGAGTCCTGAATACAGCAACCAACACTGGGAAATTCGAAAAAGCGCAAGACTGGTTTCAGGAAAGCCTAACGGCACCTGTATTTATAGTTAAAAGGCGCATGTCAGAGCGCGATACCGTGCCGCAGGATCACCGTCCCTGGAACTAGTCATGACTGCCTAATACCTTGTTGTCCTACTCCTCCTCCTCTCCCTCACCATCAGGCCACGCCCCGCCTGTTGCCGCTGAGATCGTCAACGACAGTCAGCAGCGTGCTGAAGAGAGCGTGCATATCCATGACGAGCGACATGGATGGGGCCTGCCTGTTCGGGGCTAGCAGTCGCGACGAGCAACCTTATCCTAGCTGCGCGGGCGAACCGCAGTGAGTCGTGGCACTTCTGATCCGGCCACCCGCCTCGTATGCGAGCGTGGCAGACAATTGGGCGGAATGAGTGCGCTGTCCCCGGGTTGGCCGGCGGGTTTCTTCAGCGATAAGTTAATATAAACCGGACGAACCCCCCAGCGACTTCCCAGTACGACCCCGCTTGCTGCACCCTTGCGGCCCGGCTCCTTGGCGAGGGCATTGGGCGAAAGCTTGATTGCAAGCTTGTTTTCTCATCCTCCGGCCTAGGTCGGGAGCCTACTTACCGTATGGTGCCATCCTGTTGTTATAGGTTAACTTTTTGCACGTTTCATGTCAACTTCTTCCTTCTCATAACATTTGTTGTAGGACAATATAGCCACCGTGGCACCGGGTGGGACGTCCCGGATTCGATGGCTCAATGGCCCGGGCTGCTGCATGGCAGCTGGGTAGGTCAGTAAGCCGGCGTTCGGTGGCGACATCTGCAGCCATCGTGCGTCGTTACTCCTCACGTATGAGGGGCTACCGGACGAAATACTCTCCGTCGATAAGACCCCCTGGCCAGGAGAGATGTTAAGATAATCATGCCAACGCGGCATTCGTAAGCTGGGGGTTCTACGTATCGGTTGTTGAAATCGGGGGCCATCGGCGTTAGCTAGTCCCCATCTTGGTTCCAACTGCAACTCACCTTACCCAGCACTAAAAAAGCGTGGGGTCGAAGACCACCTTGGAGGACACTTGAATCTAAGTCACTTGGAGGGTTCTGATCTTGCGACTACTATGGTTGAACATTATTGATGCGCATCCGATTCAATTGCCTTGAGTCATGTTGTACACCTTTGAAGAGCGACGTATATCCTAGACAAGGTGGGCAATGTTTTGAATTCCCCTCAAGCGGCAGGGATTTGCTACGCCGCTGGCGTTTCTTCCCAGAAAGGATCATCCGAGACTATCGTCGGGCTGACAGGTTCCAAATCTGCCTGCACTGTGCCGCCGCTTGCATGCTGAAGCCAGAAGAGCAGCAAGGCCTGTTTCCTAAGAGGACCAAACAGTCTCTAGATAGATCCTCCAAGCTGCAATGCGGCACATGCTCGGTAAGGCGAAGGCCGCGCCCTCCATGTCATGGCAGATTTCAAGGCCGGAACTGCTCCATATGAGAACAGTCACGTTTCGGCAATATCCACAGATCCACTGAGCGCCTTCGGTGCAAGTCTTGCGTGTCTATACTGTCTCCTTCATATCTACCCAACTGCTTTCCTTCCAAGAGTATAGCAATCGGTTCACCGTCGCAAGCCGCACCGACCCCATGTTGATACATTTTCTTCGAAGAGTCAAGTAACAACTACGGCCGACCCCACCAGTTCATCTCATGTGATGGTAGACGTCCCGAAACTCCAACGGGACTTCCGGTCGCACCGAATATGCACGGTACTAGTATCCTGGCAGCCGCGAGGTCGTCTTAACGACCAGCAGAATCATGCAGGTGATCAGTATCGGAGATCCTGGGGTACGAGTCATGGAGGTTGGGATATAGCTTGCGACTTATAGATCTGGGCTTACGTGAGCAGGGGGCTGTTGTGGGACAAGAGGTCTAGAAATGTATTTGTTCGCTTGGAGCGCCTTCAGCCACGAGATGGATGATGGATAACGTCTGGAGAGCTGGAAGATCCTCGGTGGACATTGTCCCGCGGCAGGACGGGTCAGAGTTGAGTCGCCATAGCTAGATGTACATGCTGTCCTTCCAATTTCCCTTCCATTTTCCATGTAGTATACATAATCTGATGGTCTCTCAAATCCTATGATACATGTCTCTGAATCGGCAGAGCTAGCCCAGACCTACACGGGGGCTGCTCAGTACCGGTGCGTGATCTAAGTTGGTCTACACAACCTGTGCAGCCACAGTGCCCACGGGGCGCTCGACAAACTCCATGATGCCCTGGACGATATTCTGTCTGGCGGGCTCGCTGGCAACGTTCTTCCCAGCAAGATAGTTCAGCCACAGAGCCCTGCTAACCCTCTCGTCGTCGACCCGGCCAAGAGTGGCCAGCGACTTCTCGTCCTTGGAGTCCTTGGACTTCTTGCCGTCATCGAATATGAGGTTGAATCTGCCCTTGTCATCACGAACCATGATGAGTTCCGACTTTTGCGGGAGTTTGCCTCGGGTGAAGAGCGCCTTGAATTCCTTCACTGACTGCCCGAAGGACTCGTCGTTGTATTCGGCCTTGTTCTCTTGCGATCGGGCCGTGATGGCCCTGACAAAGCCATCGCGGAGATGGGGAAAGTCGGTGTTGCGGACGGGAACAATGCGGAAAGCGCTTCTTGGCTTGACATTGCAGAGGATGTCCAACCATAGCTTCTCGCCCTCTACAGGGTCTAACAGCCGCTTCTTCAAGTCGTCCCGTTCACTGGGCACCAGGGTCGTGGCGATGGGGTTGACCTCCTTGACCAGCTTGTGCTGAATGGCCGCGATGTCCTGCGTCGCAATGTAGTATCCCACGACGTATACCTCGAATCCCATCAACATAAAGCCCACGGACCGAGTGCCCACTCCGACCAGCGTATATTCCACGCCGTTGACGACCTGCTGGCGATCTCCCGCGCCAATGTTCAAGTCCAGGGTTCGGGGGAACCACTCGACGGTCTTGTTGCCTGTCGGGACGATTTCTCTGCCATCCTGATCGTGCACGACTGTCTTGCGGGTAGATCCGGCTTCGGTCAGGAACGGGTCCACGTTACTCGGCAGACCCGAGTCGAATTTCTTGGGCTTGTCGATCTCCTTCTTCAGTAGATAGGCTGTGTAGATGAAGGCAATGACTCCAGCAGCAGCACCGGCCGCGAGGAAGTTCCGTCGCCGGACGTGGTAGTCGTACGAGGTGGTGCGCATGCGGTCGAGGTTGAGATTTTCGACGGCGCGGTGCGAGGAATTCGCGCGGCGGACAAATGTCCTCGCCTGCTGCTTCTGATGGTTCTGCGTCGCATTGAGGCATTGGAAGCGCGTGGCTCTCGGTGGCTGGCGCAGCGAGCGCAGCACGGCGTCCGGGCGGACGAGAGGTCGCGACGGCCTCATGGTGGATCGGTGGGAACGGAGGGGTTGAGTGCGGTTATTGCGTGGCCATGGGAGAGGGCACAGCTGCGATGCGCTCAACAATGAATAGAGACGTAGTTGTTTGCCGGTGAAAAGCAGTGAAGCTCATCTGTCGCTGTACAGGGCTAGACAGATGTCTGTGGCATATCGTCATCAGCGGACGAGCCGCCCATTCCGCTTTGGTGGTTAGCGTGCTCAAGGTGCTGGAATCCCGAGTTCAACCGCGCGCCGGGCCGCCCAGAGCCGCCAGCTTGCTGGATGCCGGCCTACAGCATGGGACCCCAGCTGGAGAGGGCGTTAGGCGCTAGGTGCTGGACGCTGGACGCTGGGCGCTGGACGCTGGGCGCTGGGCTGCTGGGTTTTCCCCCCTCAGCCATCCCTGCAGGCTTTCTTGGCTTTATCTGATGACGGGCTTGACGGGGCCGTAGGGTGGCAGGGGTCCGGCCGATTGGAAGTGTGATCTCGATAATGAGTGGTCGAAACCTTGCTCAAGCGCCGGACACCATCACACGCAGGCTGTTAGCAAGGAGAATAAATAGAAATCTAGATGCATCTAGGGGGAGCTCTTGTGTTGCAGCACCAAATGTTGACTTGCCATGGCCCATCCAGAAGCTGCAGACAGACACGGGTGCTCCTGTTTCCACGGTGATTCACAGAGGTAGTCACCCCGCATGTCGAGTGTGGAAGCAACCTTGGAAGGCAGTGGGGAGGAGAGGGCAAAGGGCCTCCGTCGAAGGCTGTCGTCCGTACCTTTGTACGGAGTAGGGAGCACGAAGGTAGGGGTTCTCGCGGAGAATGACCAGTCCAGTGTTGGGCAGCACTGGGACGCCGTGGCAGCCGTCGGTCCAATGTCCATCCTGCCACAGCTCTCCTTCCATGCATTGGGGGAGCGTCCTTTCGGCGAGACCACGTTCCGCATGCATGTCTCAATGGATATGCAACTACGAAGCTATTCTGGGGTCACGTCAACTCATCTATCGACTTCAAAGTTGTCGACACAGAAAGTCATCCGAAGGCCTCTGTCTCCTGGAGTCTCGTGGCCATTGGCCCCAAGTCTATATTGCGCGTGTGACAGAACCAGCCCTCTTGCCACGGCTTGCATCCGTAGAATCCTGAATTGAATTCACCTCGTGAAACACATCTGTCGGGTTCAGGCTGAGACTGCCCACGGTTGGCGCAGACGGTCACCTGGCGCGAGGCTGGATTAAGCTTAACCGTCCATAGCAAATGGCGACGGGATGGGATGAGCTAGCAGTGCATCGGCTGCGGTACTTTGGCCCCCGATTCGCAACTCACGCCCGCCAGAAGCATAACCAACCGCCAGTCTCCCAAGTGGGAATTACGTATGCCCGGCCGAGGTCCTCTGATGACTTCTGGCACCGCGTGGCCGGTGGGCAGGAGTAAGCTAGATGCGTGCATACCTAGGTAGCACCGCCAATCGAAAGGCCATCTCCGAACGTATCGAACGTATGCGGTTTGCAAAATAATGCTGTCCCGCGCAATCTCAAACCAGTGCGCCTTCCCGTCTGATGGTGCTCGACCGCCTGTTTCAGGAGGCTTGATTTCAGGGCAGCCCAGCGCCGGCACAAGACAGCTAGGGGCCAGTCTAGCGGGGTTTCTGGGGCACTGGGGCACTGGGGCACTTTCTGGGCGTCCACTGCATCCCTCCAGCTACTGTCCCGTAGTTGCAGGGGCATCAGGGGGGGTCATTACACACCGTAGTACATAGTCAAGTTACATTGGATTGGACGTTCTCAAGCATGTCCAGTAGAGATGGTTAGTTACTGGGTGGTAACTGAGTATCTCATTCACTTAAGCGGGTCTCCTAATAATAACCCCACGCGCGTCGCTAATCACCGTCACCCACCAACCACGACCTGGACGGGCTTGACGGGCACCCACTACCACTGGGACCTGGGTACTAGGACCACTGACCCCCTCCCCCGGCGCTGTCCCTACACCACACACCAACCTGGAAGTTACTTACCTTCCGTGGTCCTTGGATGCTGACCCCAACCCAGGCCTTGGTTTAGGTCCGCTGTCAGCCATCGTCACACTCGGGCTCTTCTCCAGACGCCAAACACAACAAAACACCAAACAAAACCAAAACCAGAGCCCAACCCAGCCCAACCGAACAGCCGGCCGCCCCCCCATCGACACGGCCGCTGTGGACGCATCTTCTCGCCCTCTCTACTGCAACCCCCCCGAATCGCGTGAGCGAGGCCGCACACGGTCCGGGCCTTGGTCTTGGGGCTCTTCCAGACCACACTTGCGCCGTGCGGGTCCGTCCCCGGGGTTGGACTGGATTGGAAATAGCATCAACCACGTCACAGCCCACCCGCTCCCCATCCCCCGTCTCTCCGTTGAAGGCAGAGGTCGGAACTCGAGCCAACACGCGTCCACGCCATGCGTCCTCCCGCGCCCGCGCTCGACGTCATCGCCGCGCAGTCCCAGGCTGCCCAGGCTACTGCTGCACCGGCCGCCGCTGCTGCTACGGTTGTCGACGGTAACAACAACAGCACCAGCAATAGCAACAGCAATAGCAGCAGCAGCAGCGACGTGGATCTCCCGACCGTCGTGATGGCTGAGCCAGGCCCCGGCCCCGGCCCCGATGCTGACCAAGAGCGAGACGCCTCTGAGACCCGGGATTCCCGCTCCTCCTCGTCCACCAACTCGCCCATCCCCCGCGATAATGACGAGTCCGACTTCTACCTGGCCAACAACGACTCGCAGTCCTCGCTGGGCATGGTGCCGAACCTCCAGGACATGCAGGTTAACGACCAGGAATGTCTGCCCATCGCCGTCACCCTCCCCAGCGAGATCCTCATCAGCATCTTCGGCCGCCTCAACTCGCCTGCCGACTGGTTCCGATGCATGCTGGTCTCCAAGAGGTGGGCCAGAAACGTGGTCGAGATGCTCTGGCACCGCCCTACCTGCACCACCTGGCCGAAACACACAAAGATCTGCCAGACCCTGGGCCTCGAGCACCCCAGCTTTGCCTACCCAGAGTTCATCAAACGCCTGAACCTCGCCGCCCTGGCACACGAGGTGAGCGATGGCAGCGTCATGCCACTTGCTGTCTGCTCCCGCGTCGAGCGCCTGACCCTGACCAACTGCAAGGACCTGACCGACGTCGGCTTGATTGCCCTCGTTCGAAACAGTCCGCATCTCCTGGCCCTGGACATTTCCCAGGACATCAAGATCACCGAGGCATCCATCTTTGCTATTGCTGAGAACTGCCCCAGGTTACAGGGACTCAACGTCTCGAGCTGCAAGCAGATCTCCAACGAGAGCATGATCCAGCTGGCTGAGAGCTGCAGGTATATTAAGAGGGTAGGCTTTCCCATGACAATTACACCCTCTAATCCGGGCTATCTACTTACGTATGCTCACAGTTGAAACTCAACGACTGCGATCAACTCAACGACAGTGCCATCATGGCCTTTGCCAACAACTGCCCCAACATTCTGGAGATCGACCTGCACTCGTGCCGTAACATTGGCAACGACCCCATCACGGCTCTTCTCGCCAAGGGCCAGTCCCTCCGGGAGCTGCGTCTTGCCAACTGCGACCTGATCGATGACTCGGCCTTCTTGAATCTTCCATCCAACAAGGTCTACGAGCACCTGAGGATCCTTGATCTCACCTGCTGTGCCCGCCTCACAGACCGCGCCGTTGAGAGGATCATCGAGGTGGCCCCCCGACTTCGAAACCTGGTCTTGGCCAAGTGTAGCAACATCACCGATGCGGCTGTCTATGCTATCTCGCGCCTGGGAAAGAACCTGCACTACGTACATCTAGGACACTGCCGCCACATCACCGACGATGCCGTCAAGAAGTTGGTCCACTGCTGCAACAGGATCCGCTACATCGATCTCGGATGTTGTCAGCACCTCACTGATGATTCTGTAACTCGGCTGGCCACTTTGCCCAAGTTAAAACGCATCGGTCTTGTCAAGTGCAATGCGATTACCGACGAGAGTATGGAGGCTTTGGCAAGGGCCAACTCACGGATCCGTTCCCGAAGAAATGAGCAGGGACTGGTGGTTCCTGACTTTCATCACAGCAGCAGTCTAGAGAGAGTCCATCTGAGCTACTGCGTCAATCTGACTCTGCCTGTAAGGATCTAATATGCTTCCCACCAATGTCCCAATGTGAGCCCTACTAACAGCCGTCCCAGAGCATCATTAGACTTCTGAACGCCTGCCCCAAGCTGACTCACCTCAGTTTGACGGGCGTTAATGCGTTCTTGCGCGAAGATCTCGAGAACTTTTGTCGCGAAGCGCCACCAGATTTCACTGAACATCAGCGTCAGGTGTTCTGTGTATTTTCCGGCCCGGGAGTTACAGGGTTGAAGCGCTATCTTAACACTCACCCCGAGTTCGCTCAATATCATGAGGGACGGCCCGCTCTGCCACCGCAGCCTGCCCATGACATGGATGGCTTGGAAGACAACGATGTTATCGAGGATGATGACATGGGTGATGGTAGTGAACTCGCCCTTGGTCCTGACAACGACGATGTCCAGGTCAACAATCACAATATGGCTATCCCGCCACCGCCTCCTCTGCCGCATGTGAATTCCCAAACCAACAGCTGGCTGGATCCCAATAACCCAATCATTGAGAACTCGGTCGCCTTCAGTAATTCTCTCAATGGCCCTTCATCAGCCAATGCTCTCGACACTCTCGCGGCTCCAGCACCACAAGTGCTCCCCACCTCGCCTACGGAGGAACCTGCGACAGGCCGGACTGCACCTGGCTTCTTTGAAGAGGCTTTCCATACCAGAGGGCCCAGCACCGCAGGTGGGAATGCTTCAGGAGGCCCAGGACAGTCTAATGCTGGTCCCAGTACGGCATCGTTCCATGGAGCAGCCCAAGAACACCCCAGCTAGGTGGAGCGTAGTGTTTAACACACTGTAGATCTGATCCACCACACGGCCACGTCACGATCATCTTCTAGCTGAACAGAGGTCCACAGCGCTCTTTTGCCCATGGCAGAACATTATGGTCCTCGACACTATAGCACGAATGAATGACGTACAGGACCACATGTGGAGGATCCCTCATCTCCATGTGCACCCGTCCTCAACAGGCGTAGGGCCATAACAGCAGCAAAACCCTCAAAACATCGCCAGCTCAATTTATGACTCCGTCACCGTTGGCACACTGGACGTCAAGATCATAGCGGTTTTGCGTTTATTGCCAGCCAGCGGTTCGCAAACTGACCCAATGACGTGGGCTCGATGCATCCCTTATCATGTCTGGAGATGACATATACATAGAGAGAGGTGAATCCTCTCAGCGCAATGGAAAATTGACTTTCGGAGGACTCATGCATGGGGAGTTAATGGTTGGTCATCCCCGCTAAAGGGACTCATGCGGATACCAGAGGCTGAACATATGATGCCTCGCATTCTGATGGAGGAGCGACGTTTCTCGCAGTGTATTCTTTGTTTGTGCGTTTTTTGGTTTTGGTTGACGGCATGACGCAGCCACAGAATCCCCCCCTTTTTTTCAAACTGATGCTGTCCGAAATCTGAGGCGTACGGGGTTGGGGGGTTATGCATCGTAAATAGAGATATGACCAAATGAAACTGGCCTTGAGTTCTTATAGCTGCCTCTTGATGCTAGTGTCGTGTGCCTGTACCGCGTGTATCTTTTGGAGATTAACATTCTGTGAACCAGGCCCCATCGTGAATTCCATTACCTCGTGTACTTCTCAGGTGGTCTGGGCCCTGGACCCTGGTCTCGCGACGCAGCTTCTCTCAAGTCTCTTGACACACCTCAGATGATGACATACGCCTCTGAAATCTTGCACGCTACAGCATGTGCACCCCATGTCACTTGATACGATTGGTCCATGAGAATATAAGAGTGTACTCGGGATAGAAAATGGGGTTGAGACCATGGCCAGATACGCCCTTCATTGCACCTCCGAGAACTGTTTCATTGAGCCACTAGGTTCCCTAACCTGATAATCGAGTCTGCGAATAGATTGGCCTAAGAGGTTAACCTGCGGTATAGGCACCAACACACACACACTCAGGGTGTCTTTCAGTCGGGCCCCAAAATTGATACCGCACTTAATCAATGCCTGAGCCTTCAGCCCAGTTCGATGCCGGCTGCTCCTTGTTAGCAAACGCCATCAAGGGCTCCGAGGCGCAACTCGCCACAGGAGATTCCTTAGGCTGTGCGGTTTCGACGCCATGTTTCCGCAAAAGCTTCATGCTTAAATTCATCCGTATCTGACTTGAACCATTGCAAAGCCACGCAATTTTTCTTCTCTTCCACACAAATCAGTCCTCATCGTTCCCGTCCAATATGGCGAGCTCCAACAAGGTCGCGACAGCATGCGAAGCTGCGGGAGCCAACAAGGATAACACCGAGACTACCGGGAAACAGCACGAGAGCGTGGCATCCTCTGCTAGCTTTCGGTTTCATGACCTCCCCGCCGAAATTCGACTCGTCATCTGGCGAATAGCGTTGTCTATGGAGGCAGTCAATCGCCTCGTGCTGCTGGATACAAGGTCCCTTGGGCTCATGCCCAGTGCCCAGCTGGTCTCGGTTTTCTTGCTGGTCAGTTCAGAAAGTCGTGGCGAAGCCAAAGAATTCTACAACACCCAACTGGACGTCCATTGTATGTCCCTCAGTCTGGTTGTCTGGGCCGGAGGATCGGGAGTAGTGCTAGCTGGCTGATGTGGACACAGGTTGCACGCGAGACATGCGTGGAAATGCCACATATGGTGATGTGAAAGGCATGTTGTACTTGAACTTTGAGACCGATTCTCTCCTTGCGGGTGCCAACCCCTTGGGCAGAGACTATTGGGAACGGCATTCCTGGTACGCTCAGCCTAGACCGCGACCTGTGTATACACCGCCGCCGGAACAGTCGCGATACCCTCACAACGTACCCCGGAGCTATCTCACGACGAGACTTTCGGACAAGCACTGCGGCCTGGTCAGGCGTATGCACGAAGTCACACCCAGCCTTTCAATTAAGGTGCACTGGGAGCCGGTGTACTGCTGGGACCGCGGCTACCAGAGACTCGGCGCTGCAGCACGTGTGATCAGGACCCGCTGCCACTATGAGAAGTACCCAAACGTCTGGATGAGCCGGTTGGTGGTGACGACCAGGGGGTATAACCTGAACATGCTGATAGATGACTATGCCTCCTTGACGGCCGGGCAGCTCAACGACAAGATCAGCCACAGACTCATCACCTGCGGCCGGGGACCGGTCCTTCCCATCGAGGGGGATTCGACCGAATTTAGGCCCGGCCCATATGGCAAGATGTAGTAGTATGATTGATTTCTTCTTAGGGAAAGGGGGCGATCCAAAGTAGTGGAGGCAGCAGGACCGATGGTACTCCAAGAGCGAATGCCTTGGCCTGGGCATCCTAGTCCCTTTTTGTTAACGCAGCTCTTTTTACTGGCATAAGTCGTCATTAGGAGGAGCGTATTGCTGGACAAGTATCCAGGCAATGAGAGATTTAGCGGTTCCTAACTTGCGCCCCCTGAGAAATCACACGAAACGTGATAATGAGTTGTTTGGAAATGTTTCACAACGGCCACAAGGGCATGTTGAGCTTTTACTTTAGAAGCACACCAACGTTGACGCTACAAAGAGCTATCAGGTATGTAACCCGGCCTTATAGCTGATATAGAGTTACTACTTTCCAAGGTGACAGGTAATAGCGACGCTCATGGTAGTCAATCGGATGGTATTGTTATGGATTTCTACCTAGGGCCACTTAGCTATTGTCGATCTCCTGCTGAAAAGGCACGCGTAGCCACGGACAAGTACGACGGATTTCTTAATCAACTTGCACTAATAGTACATTACTAGCCCGCATCTATCCTTGTCGCTATCATACTCCAGATGGTCGATGCACGCCATCCAAATGGAATGGGGGTTCGCACTAGGCTAGCTATTGTCTTCCTACTAAACACCGCCCTGTGGAGAATGCAAAGACGTATTCAAGAGTGGGGGAGACGGGGTTCGTGACATTATCTCTCTGACCTAACTATAGGAATCGGGCTTGGAAGTCTCGAAGACTCTTTCCAGTGAGGAATATAATAACGCCGAGAACCCCCAAGAACAGGTTGAGTCCTGCGTATGTCCCGAAGCAGCCTAAATATCCAGCCGTCGACACGAATTGGGTGACGCTATAGCTAAAGCCAAACCCGACAAAACCTCTAACTGCGGTGATCAAGATCAGGATTGGGCCGTTCTCGGCGGTGGGGAAGGAATCGAGCAAGTATGTGATCGTGGCAATGTTGATTCCCACGAAGCTGAAGAAATCAGCTGGCACCGCGAAGATCAATGCGCCCCAGTGAATTTTCCCCGAATACTGGGCGGCAGCGCCGTATACCAATAAAGCAATGATACCCATGCTTAAAGGAATCACCAGGGGAATCAAACGGCTTTCAGGCTCATGAATGCCGCCATTTCGTCTGGCCCTCCACTTGATCATGAAGTCGGAGCCGTATCCGAGCAGCGGAATGGCTATGATTCCAACAACGATCTGACCAGCATTCACATAGCTAATGGAGCTTGAGCTCCAGCTGTATGGAGGAGCCAGAAGGACAGTAGCTTGCGTGGCGCTAATGGAAATCATGGCACCAAGTGCAGTTCCGTTGAGTACAAAGGCCCAGAGGACGGTAGGGAAGAAGAAGACCTTCGTCATCCGGATCAAGGTCTCTGGTATGCCTTTCCATTCCGGAGCGTTAACGAATAGGTTCACGTCTGAGTGGAGGGTACGTGGCTTGTAGTTGATTAGATCAAAGGTGGGTCGGTCCTCAAGAGTTAACAAAGCGGGGGCCTGTTTGGACGATATGTTGTTGACTGGATTGGTGTCATCGTGCTCCGTGGCTAAGTGGCGATGATATTTGCTCTCGGGTAGAAAAAAGACGGCGGATAAAAAGACAAGACTGAGGACGGCAATCAGCTAATACGTGCATTAGTCCACAGCCTACGTGAGGTACGAGGAAAGAAAGAGCTACTCACAACCATGTACCAGTTCTCGGGCTGGATAGCATAAGCAATAGGGGAAGCGCAGAGGACAAAGACCGCAGCCCCAATAGCTTGGATGCCAGACTGCCACATGAGAGCTGTTGATCTCTCGTGCAAGAAGTGTATCTCCTACGTAGTGCAAACCCGGTTTCAGCCCCAACGACGGAATCCCCTTTGTGGCAGACTTACAGATACCATCATTGGTGGCAGGGCCTCGCCAAGGCCAGCTCCGAGCCCGAGCACCATGCGCCCGGCGAGGTGCACCTCAAGGGTAGTTGACCGAGATGCAATAACGCCTCCGAGGATGGCTATCAAGCACACCAGCAGGAACACAGGTCGCCGACCAATCGCATTTGCTACAGGGATGAAAACAAGATTCCCAAGGCCTTGGAATATTGTTGGGTAGGCAACCAGCCCGGAAATTGTGGCCACATCAGCTCCTGCTTTAATATATTTGGGTCGATAGAAGGCTAACAGGCTGCCAAATCCAGATACCATGGAGCCAGCAGCGCAAGAGACTATTCAACACAAAATGATCAGCTATGATCCACCGTTACTTCCACGTAGCATGCGCGGATACTTACAGAGTGATACAATGATGACAAACAGCACCTTTCTCCATTTGGGTAGGTTCAAGGGGTCTATTATTTCCAAGGGTCAGTCAATCAGCAGCTAGAGACGTCTCATACAGTAGTATATGCAGACTCTGGTGGACAGAAGTCATGGGACGAATACGTGCCTCTCGGGTCCGCACTAGGGGTAGGGATGAGGAAAACTTTGTCCTTGTCGGTAAATCGAACCGTTCCAGTGAAGTCCTCGGGCGCTCCGTTATCTTGTGTATTGTCTTCTTGGACATACTGGACACTCATATCTTTCGCATTCGCCATTGTTATCACCGTGCTCAGGGTGTGCTTATTTGAGATGGGATATCACCAGACTGGTACGAGGTAATGTTGCACAGGACGTCCCAGTGGCATTTATAGAGATTGTGCGATGTATAGCCTTGAAAATTGCTTCAGACGGCCTGTTATCGGCTGGTGAATGTCGCAATGCGAAGCTATATGTCGCAATGGGCGTGGGGCCCCGGTTCCATACAGTTGTGCCCCCGGAATGTCTCTCGGCCGGCACTCTCAGAGGTCCTCCAGCTTGCCACCCGAGGCGCTGAAAATGCAGAAGGGAGCGGCATGACGATGCCGATGGCGCACTTAATGGAAGCGCGTCCAGCCCGATTCTCAAGGGCTTGACCTGCTCTGAAGCTGCCGCATTCGTTGACGACAGGCAACTAGCCGTATGCTGACTGAAGCCGAGAAAGATTGTGTTACCAGACAATATCTCGCAGGGTTGAAATAGCAACTGACGTCGAAGCTTATTCTCCCGATGGGAGCGATATAAGGTCTTGTGTTACAACATCAGTCTCATGTGGTATTTGTTCGGCACTCGCATTCCCAGTCCGGAGGTCCCTGCGAATATCGGAGCTGTTTCCAAACGCGCTAACAGGCCAGCAACGGATACGACCTCCTAGCCCTCGAGGCCACCAAATCGCTCAACAAAGGAATTCACTGGTCTTCGACTGGCAGAACAAGCCGACGACAAATTATATTAAATTTAATGAATCGTTGCTCGCTTTGGACTCCACCGAATGGGGCTCGGCAAACTCACCCAAGTCTCCAAAGAAGATGGAGATGGCCTATTCAGCGTTCCAGGTTCCAAAATCCATGGTCAGCCCAGGGGTCAGAGCTTCGATGAAGGCTTCGTCGACAGGCACCCCCGAAGCGACGGGGAATTGGTGTGAATCCGGCAGCCACGCCTCATTGCCCTTCCCAAGTTTTCGGTTCGGAATAGACCCCTGACAGCATTTCGAGTATCCAGCCCTTCGGTTCAGAGGAGCAGAAACCCAGCCGAACCGGCACTCACTAACCCCCACCCAGGCAACCAACCAGCAATCCTTCCTGAGATGGCGTGCTCAATTATCTTCACGCTCGATCCTCCGAGTACATAAGTTCTGCTCACGCCCGCTTCCCCTAAGCAACATCGGTAGTAGGAAGAGCATTGGTAATTAAGATGGTGCTAAACGACCAGCCTAAGAAGTTCGAGGGACACATCCCCCTCGACTTCGTCACCGAAAACCCCAATGTCCGCAGGATCGACCCCACAGCTAGGAGGCCCAACTTGATCATGTTTATGCCGGACCAGCTCCGATATGACTGCCTGGGATTCACTGGTAATAACGTTATAAAGACGCCCAACCTGGACGCCTTTGCTAAGAAGTCAACAACCTTTACCAACTGCTATGCACAAGCTAGTGTAAGTTGCAGGCCGTCTGATTCAAGCCCAATATGGCGACTTGCCAACGGTTGCTAATGGCTCTGGCAGGTTTGTGCCCAGTCACGCTGCTCCATGTTCTTGGGCCAGTATCCACACATCTCTGCCCATCGGTCACTGGATACCCTCATTCAGCTGTGGGAAAGTGATATGTTCAAGGGTTTGAAGGAGAGCGGCTACCATGTGGCACACCTTACCCCTCGTGGACACATGTACGCGGACGCCGAAGTCACGGCCCAGCGCGTCCACGAGTACGGCTTCTTGGTCGAGCCAGAGGCTGACATGTGGCGCGCCGGTAAGAAGATGTCTGAGGTTGATCTCGCTTGGGCTCGTCTTTTCTATCTCGGAGAGCGTGAAGAGGATGATTCGTTTGACTTTGACGAGGCTGCCACTCGTGGCGCTCTGGAATGGTTACAGAACCCCCCACAAGAACCCTGGTGCTTGTTCCTACCTCTGATCTGGCCGCACTGTCCCTTTGAGGTTGAAGAGCCCTGGTTCTCTATGTACGATCGCTCCCAAATGCCCGAGCCCGTCTCCGTGGAATCCAAGACCGGCTTTGAGCCTGCGTACATGAAGGCTATTAGGGAGGAGTATAACATCCAGAGCACAACGAAGGAGAAGTGGCGAGAGATTGCTGCCACATATTATGGCATGATAAGCCGCTTGGTTAGTACCCTTCTGCTTATGTTTTTCCGACAACCAAAAAAACTTAACGCCTGCGCAGGATGATCAATTCGGGCGCATTATGAGAGTGGTTGATGAGAAGGGGTTGTGGGATAATACGGTTACCTTGCTCTTCACGGACCACGGCGAGTATCTTGGGGATCATGGATTGATCGAGAAATGGCCTTCGGGACTGAGTGACTCTCTCGTCAAGGAACCTCTGATCATTGGCGGCGGCGGTGTGCCTGAAGGCGTCGTTGTGGAGGACATGACCGAGATGGTGGACATGTTGCCTACAGTCTTCGAGCTCTGCAATGTCCCTGAGACTTTCCCCCACAATGGAATCTCCCTTGTGCCACTTATGAATCAGCAGCCCGGCTATAAGCACAAGGAGTACGCATTTTCCGAAGGTGGTTTCCTGCTATCCGAGGAGTGGCTTTTAGAGAGGCCTCGTTTTCCCTACGATATTAAGGGCAAACTTCAACATGAACAAACGCAGATTGTTGGCAAGGCGACGTCGTGTAGGGATCACGATTTCACTTACGTCTACAGATTGTACGAGCAGGCCGAGCTTTACGAGCGCCGGAATGACCCTGGTGAGAGACATAACTTGTCCGGAAAGCCCGAGTGGGCCCATATAGAGGCCAAGTATCAATCCGTGGTTTTTAGGTGGCTGGTTGAAACTACAGATCTGATGTCCTGGAAGCATGACTTTTTCTTCGGCCCTAACGCCAAGATCGACGGCCCTACACCTAGAGAACTGTTGACCAAGAGGAAACAGGGTGATGACAGGCCCGATCACCCCTTCAGAATGTAAAAATTTACATGTCGGGCGGAATAGATTGCAGCCGTGCGGCTCCCAATTATAAATTTTAATACTACTGATTGTTTTGGAGGGAAATGCTTTACCAGCGCCCAGATCTGTTACTTCTAAAGGCCGGACTCCATGGCATATCACTTTATCATTACAAATGTGCTCTACTAGGCATGAAGTCGTCGCAAAAAGAAAAGTGGACCTGATTGCCGAAAATGGAGGCACGAATGCCAAGTTTCGGGTCCAAAAATAGCATACAGTTATGTGACTGCGCTTTTGTGAAACTCACAAAAAGAAATTATTGATTAATTTCGTTTCTGGATCAGGAAAACTTCAAAGGGATACAAATAGATACTTCTATTTGCATCTTTTGGATACTTAGCATTTCCTTCGACATGTGGTAGCCTCAATTCTTTTCAGCATGAGCTATGTCGTCTTGTTAGTGGCCATAATTGTTCCTATCACCCCATTTCTGCTCCAATCAGACGCTTGACTGTGGGTTTCTCTTCCTTTACTAAAACTCGGGCAGGCTTCGACAGTCGGTAATATCACATAAAAGATCCTGTATAAATATAAGATAAAGGTACTGAAGGCATGATACAAATTGCCCTGATAGTATGCAAATTAAATCATTGCGAATTGTTCCAATGCAATTTCAGAGCTTGAAGCCTCTTCGAACATGATACCGTAAACATATGCTTCGCCGATGACTTCATATCCCTTATCAATTGGCCTTAATACGAATGACATAACTGAGCCACATAGTAGGCAGACAATGTCGTCTTCCAACATCGCGGCAGGTCCTAATCCCAGATAACCATTATCCGTCATCAAAAACTTCCTCCCTTCGCATGCGTTCTTGAGCGCAAGATAGAACCGGTAGCTGTCGCCACCTTCCGCTCCTGGGACGTCAGGACTGAAGGATGGACTTGGTCAGCACATTTCCGGAAAAACTGGCGAATCTTCTGAACTTATAGTGGAATACATACAAAATCTTCTTTTTATATGGACGAGAATGATTATATTCCATTTCCATTTTTTGCACATATGCGGCCAGATCGGCCACGTGTTGCTGAATGTCGTCAACCGGAACCCCATTCCAGTCCTTTCCCGCCGTCAGAATCATACACCAAGCTTTGAGCATGTCCGCATATTCCTGGAGCATCGAAGAATTTTCCATTCATTGGGTCCAACTTTCCGATATAAGCTTATAAGGGTCGATATGAGAACGTACTTTCCAGCTCCGTCCAATTTTTCTTAATACCCGAGAGAATCGCATCCCTCGTGTAAATAGTGTCCCATTTTCAACTCATGGAGTGTAAGGTAGAAATGCAGCTGAGGCTTTGAAGGAAGAAGCCTGCTCAGATGGAGCAAGCATAGGTCGAAGGTATTGGTGCCACTGGGGTACCCAGCTTGGGAGGCTGCTCATCGCTGGATCCTCGCGAGGTCGATGTTCTGAGACCTGAATATGTGAGAGTAAGCGGACCGATTGTGACCTCTCGATAGTCTGGACAGCGCAGTGAAGATTCACCTCTGCCAAACCCATTGTGTAGTCTGGCTGCACATATACATCTGTTTGGTTCGGGTTCGATTCGGTGGTAGGGATTCCTAGAAGTCCATAAAACTTGTCTCTTGTATCCGAGCTCCGAAACTGCCAGGTCAAAGCCAGCAGCTCTAGGAATGATACTTGTTTGCCCTGTTTAAGGTCACTGGCAAGACTATGCATCATGTGAGCGTTGTTGACGCCGCTCTGGGCAATTCGGCGGAAAAGCTGAACTGACAGGACTGGATCCACGTAGCAGTCTTGCCCAAGATCCTCCAAGACATTGCCTCTGCACCCCAAAGAACCTCAGCTTCGGTCACCAGAACGATCTCTTGTACACACCACAATCTTCGGAACCAGTGTTTTGTGAATAGTCGTTCAGCATCACGCCAGAATATGTCCTCCAGCGGAAGAGGGTCCTCAAAATCCCGCGTCGCCATTGCGCTCAAGGTCTGGAAAACACCTTTCGCCACCTGCCTGGGGTCAGGGCCCAACCAGACTATCACGTTCCCCCCCCCCCCCCCCCATGAAAATTGTACGCATGCTGCGTACCTGGCGGGTCTTCTCAATGTCATCCTTCTGATTAAGACAGGCCGCATCAGCCCAAAGATCGACCGGATCCGACGGATGACGTAGATGAGCCAAGGCACGATAAAGATTCAGAGTGATCCGGATGCATTGATCTTCGCATAAGATTGCCCTCGACGCTTTTCTCTCCCCCCATGCGTACGATAATGCCGTATATTTCGGTGAGGAGCTCATTGTGGCGTGGTGCAGTTGCACACTTATCGGGTCACCGCCCTGACCGGGCAGGAGCCGCAATATGCGGATCTCATCTTCCCCAACGCACACGGGTTAGTCAAAGATCTTGACTGGGTCAACTTTTGCGGCGGTTTCATCTTCGTCATGCGGATCATCACCACTACTTGAGGTATTTGACGGGTAGGCTGAGCTGCCCAGTTCAAAGTCGGGCGATGTAGAACGCTGCCAATTCGGTCGTTGCCATGGAGGCTTATATTTTCTCCGAGCTGGCCACGCCACCATGGCGATGCTCCTTTGACGCAAGTCTTCCTATGTAATAAGCAATGTGGTCTTTCTTGGTGTTGTTATTGTTGTTGGGTAATCAACTTTGGCGATTGGAATAAGCTGATTTGTAGGGGTTATAGAGGCCTAGTGTGCTGAATATTGGGGAACTCGAGGTTTACTGTAGGAGAAGTTGTGGGGTGATGACGCAACAACCACTTATGACACGCCAAAATTTGGAGCCGGCTTAAGCGGCTTAATTCATGTTGTGAGATTTTTCAAACAATTCGATCTTGGCTGACCTAGAGTCCTAGACAACCAAAACTATGTGGAATTCAAGTTTTAACTCGCCTTCTTATGCCGTTTCAGGAAACTATCATCATCATATTGACCACGAAGACGGCGAAAGGCACCTGAATGCTCCAACCAGAACCCCCCAACCCCCCCCCCCCAAAACCGGGATAAATCAGCCCGCAACTACGGTCTGTGTCAGTCTTTTTGCGTGTCATTCCATTGACACAGAGGTTTTACTCGAACTGACTGGATCATAGTAACATACACTGGCTCGAGGGAAAAAAAAAAAAAAAAGAAGAAAAAAGAAGGTTCTTCCTATTAACTGCACCTGTTTGTGTTACTTCTTACGTTGCAATCATAATCATGAGATAAGACTCGATAGGGCGTGTATGGGGTTTATGGACCACGGCGTTGGCAAGGCCTATATAGAGAAATAGAAACCTTGGTAAAGCAGTAGTAGTAATGTTTCAAGCAGCCCCCTTCCCCGGCCGTAAGATAGAAGTCTCCACGTTTCAACTATATCAGAAGCCACTGCTCTCCAAGCCAGCACGCGGTGTATTAGATATATTATTAAACGGAAGTTGGTCCCGTGCACATATTCATCATCTGTTTATGGTCTCCAAATGCGAATGCAGTAAGAGAAGTGAGCTGGCTACTTAGCAACCCAAATATTTCTAGTGTGTTCTTTCCCCAACCAAAATCCGGCCTTAGTATCCCACTTAAAAGCACCTATTTAAATAGAGAAGTACTAAGTTTCTCTAAGAAAGGACAATGAAGTATGGCGTGAGTGAGCACAACTATAGCTAACAAATGAACAGAGATGGGCTCAATCTAAAATTCTCCTCAAATATCTACCCCTTTCCAGCCCACAAAAGACAACCCACCAAGCTTAGTATCAAGTAAATCCGTGTTTATGATTTCCTCCTTCCTAGCTTTCAGTTCATCCACGTCCCAGTTCACCCACACGAATTTGCCCCTGAGAAACTCGGCTTCCCGGCTGTGCAGCCACACGCAAAAGTGTCCAGGTAGCTCAACTGCACCGCATATTAGCTTTCATTATGAAAAGCCCAAGGCTGACATAAACAGTCTTCACACAGCGATCAGGCTTCCATGGAGAATACTAACCTTTGTCTAGGCCTCCGTGGCCACTCTTACGACTCATACCACTTTCAACGAGACCAGGATGAACGCTTACTATATGTAAGGCCGGATTCTCCAGGGCCATATAGTCGAACAATTTGTTTGCAGCAGCCTTGCTTGCAGTGTAGGCGGATTGGCCAACCTCCAGCGGTGGAATGTTCGAAAGGCATGAAGAGATATGTAGGAGACAAGCTCTTTCAGCTGCAAACCTGGCAAATGCTTTGACCGAGTATAGTACCCCGAGGACGTTGGTGCTAAATGTAGTCCACCAGTCCTGGACGTCGAAATCGGAGCCGAGCACAGGCTGGGGTACCGGCAGGAACCCGGCGTTGCTGACAAACACGTGGATCTTGCCGAAAGCCTGATTTATCTTGTTAAACCCTTCATCAACCTGCTCCATGCTGGTGATGTCAGCAACTACGGCCAAAACTTCTGTCTCTGGGAACTCTGCTTCGATGGCGTGCTTGGTCATGATGAGATTTTTCTCAGTACGACTCATGATGGCTATCCTGGAACTCCCAGCGGCCGCAAATGCCTTCGCGATGCCGGCGCCAATGCCAGTACCACCGCCAGTGATGACGATAGTCTTGCCCTTCGCAGACAGCTCCGAGCGTGATGGTGAAATGGCCGGGTACGGTTTGTTGTGCCATAATTTGGTGAGGGAAGGGAAAGGTATAGTGTCCATCTCTACAAGTGAATCGATATGTAGTCTGATAGTTGATAGAACTGAGGATTTCTACGTCCGGGATGCAATGATTTAAGAGAGCCCGACAAGCTTGCTACATCGTTTGCGTATATATACTACATCTAATTGGGACAACTCCGAAGGTATTCATTGCGCAGGTTGAGAAGTAGGGATTTCTCGGAGCTGTCTAATGTGCGTCTTGAGCGATGTTGTTTGTCGCTAGATAACAGGCTTGCCGTGAGATTAGAAAAGCAATGGACATTATACGGTGCTCGCGTTCAAAAACAGACTGTTAAATTGGCACAGGGTTCTTTTTTTGCATTACACTGCACAAAGTGGGAGTAAGACTAGATGTATTATTAATCAAGATTCGTCATTTTCCATGCATGCCCCACGGAATTCCGTAGACTCGGTGGGACCATCCCGCCGACTGCCCACAAGCTTGCTCAAGTTTGGGAGACGAGAGAAAGCATTCTCCCGGTGATGAAGTTGGGCCCATTTGATGTTGTCTAAGATGGAAGAACCAATTGCCCAGAGAATCGATCCACGCTGTCCCATCTGCCACAAGTCTTATGCCGATGATAAAAACCGTAAGGGACTGCCCGGCCCCAGTAAAGCCAATCGGCATCGGCTGATATAACCAGAACGAGCCAGGAGCAAACATGTCTCGTATTGTCGCAAAAAGCGCCGGTCTAGTCCAGTGTCTAGAAGAAAGGCTTGTGATGAATGCGTACGAGCGAAGGTTCGCTGCAACTTCGATCCTGCGGGCTGCTCTCGGTGCACGTCCAGAGGCAACTCCTGTGCTTATCAAGGTCGTCCTTTGCGGAACCCAGGGTTTGACAACTCAACCACTGCAGCAGCTGGAAGTGGACTGTCGCAGGATGGACCGTCGAATTTTGACGGTTCACTTCTCGTAGACAACCTGACTTTGTCCCTCGATGAGTTTCAGCCCGACGTTACTGCTCCTCTTATCGACACGATATCGGGCAACATGCAGATCCCGTACGCAGCTATAGCATGGAACAATGAAGCCTTAGAAACTCAAGTTTCAAGGTTTCTAGACTCGATGCCTCTGAATGAAGAATACTATGTCGGAATTGACGTGGAACCTGAGAGAGAGCGCGACGAGCTCCAGTGCGTTCCGAATTCTATCCCAGCCGCAGGACACTCACGACAGCTCTCACCATCCATGCTGGCATCCATACCGTACCAAGACCCTTCTTTCGTGCTTGAACGCCGCGATTGCTCCGAACCCGAGCTTGAGCTTACTGGCGATCTTGCTCTGCATATCCTACGCTCCTATGTTCGCATGATCGCCGATCGCGACTCGCTTCCCCCTTTCGTCCATCCAAAATATCAGAATTTTGCGGGGAGCAATACAAGTCGTCCAAGCCCACTCTATGCCGCTATAACATTAGCAAAAATGCTATATCTTGGCTGCAAAATGGATAAGACCCTCATATGGAGACTGATTAGGATGGAACAAGAGCGACTACTCAACGATGTATGTGCTGCAACTCCTAGATCCCTACATCTAGTGACTAATCGGAGCCGTAACCCAAAGCACCCAAAGTTTAATAAGTGGGAGCTTCTCGAGGCGCTGCAATCTCTTATTGTCTACATCTTAATGAGGATTACTGAGGGACGTCATGACTATACCAATTTCGATACCCAACTCCTGATTTCAGTGAATGTGAGTAGGCACATGGCATCCCAGACTTCCTCTTATTTCCCAGTGCATACTTACAGGAGATATACACAGACTATCTGTCGTCATATTACGACTAAGTTGGGGATGCTTGTCAGCTTTGATGAGCTTGAAGGTGAAATGATGTCGTGGGAGGAATGGGTCTTTTACGAATCGCGCCGCCGGTACGTGTCGGGCAATCCGAACGGCTTGAAGTTTCACGACTTCTACTGATAGTACGTGTTGTAGGTCTGCGACTATCTTTCTCATTATTGACAGCATCCTCCACGCTCGAATAGCGGACCCTGCCCCGTCCATGCCGGAGTACACTTCATCCCCTGCGCCTTGCCCTTCAGCGCTGTGGGTTGCTGAGAGCGAAAGGGACTGGACTGTCAATTACGCCGGACATCTTCAAACTAATGCAGCGCTTGGGATGCTCACGAACGGAGATCTTGTCGCACTCAAGGAAGCAGCCGGGGAGCAACACGACAGGTGGTATGCCTACGCCGATTCGTTTGGCCTTCTAGTGACCCTTGCGGCAAACTTGATCATCTAGAGTCCATCAAAATCGTATTTCCACTTTAAAGCATATATAAGGTGGCATTCCAACACGTATTAATAGTTACCAAGGTTAGCAGTCAAATATATTGAAGTATCTGCGCCGAAGTTGGAGTACCTTCCCATAGTTCCACCAAAGTATGCCGCAGATGGATATTGTTTACTATTTTGACCTCGCGCGTCATATATTACGCACTCGGAATAGTAATCGCAGGTTGCTTTGTTTGCAGGAGGCTCATGTGTTGGAGTGGTTTCGGGTCAGAGCGGTATATCACCGGAAAGTAAAAATCCGCCGGCGCAGCTGGCGAAGACCTCTGCTCGCAACCGAAGATTTGACATTCATTGCTGATTATATGTATTCTGTTCTGTATGCTTTTATTTCCAAGGAGCCTCTGCAGCCTGCTCCCGCAAAGCTCACGCACCATACTAAGAAATACTGACTGAATACTTCCCTCCTGCGACGTCTTCGACTGTTGCCGTAGACAGGCCTGTTACATCAATGGTCATGGCGCCCTCTGGACCCGCCAAGGTTAGTGTCTTCGAGCCCGCCGCAATGGGAATCTCGAGAATACCAGTTGTTGATTCAGGGGTCTCGAAACTTCCAGTGATACCACAGGAGCTATTGTGCCATGCCACAGCAAACTTCCCCAGGGGCGCCTCGTAGCCTGCTTCAATATTTTGGAGACCGCCTAAAGCAGGAGCAAGCTTCCAAGTCAGGCCCCCTGCCGAAGTAAGCCTAATCCCCGCCCCGAGGAATGAGAGGGTTGATGTAGGTCCAGTAGCCCACCCGTGTGCATGGCTGACCCGAGGGTCACTTGGATATGGAGCATAGTGTAGGCTCCCGTTCGTGGAGTAACCCTCAATGAAGCTGCTGTTGGTCATTCTGGGATCGTCGAGCATGAAGTCCGCCCACATGAACTCCATAAGATCCACGGCGCGATCGCCGCGGCCGACCATGTAGTGCGCCTGTAGCTCGAATCCAGAGACGAAAGGCGAGACGGTGTCCCCAGCCTCTGGAGCCGGTGCACCGTACGGTCGAACCCAGCGGTTCGCCAATGCATCGCTGATGGCCTCTGCGCGGGACCCGTTAACCACGCCGGCGATGATGGCCCACGCGTTACCGTCTTGTGGGTGAAGAACCTGTTGTGTGTCGTTATCCTTGAACAGTGACGCTGAATCATCCCAAAGAATGGCGTTGGCAGCCGGAGGTATGCCTGCCGCCGAGGTGGTCCAGTTTGCCACGTTGCTGGTGTCATTGACGACAGCAGCAAGTTTCAATGCGTTCTGTAATGTGTGATACAGTATGGAATTCGCCTAAATCTCTAGTCAGTACAGCTCGTATAGATTAGAGCTTGCCGCTTACCTCGATATTATGTCCACCCATGCCACTGCGCAGCCAATCGCTACTGCTAGTGACGTTGGCCAAGCCTGACGAGTCAATAAACTGCAATGGATAGTTCATTCCCAGCTTGAACTGATCCCAGACAGACTCAAGGTACTCCAGGTCTCCAGTAAATAGGTAGTAGTCATATATGTCGTTCAACGTATGTAGATGGTACGTGAAACTCCACAGAAAGATATGAGGTACACCACTCATGTTGCCGACAAACTCATTAAATGGTTCGCCAGCGTATGGCAGACGACCGTCTGATTGTTGGTCACGAATCAGGGCATCAATGCCATTTCTGATGGGCACTAGGCTATTGGTCGATACGAATAGAGACGGACCTGAGATCGCTATATCACCGGGCCAGATCAGTCTGTCCCTCTTAGCGCCATCTACCAGGACAGAAGTGCCATCTTTCAAGCACGATTAGTCGACTGATAACACAGAGCACCTCAGTGAGACGGGATCTACTCACTTGATATCTGGTAGTCATATTCCCAACCTGATGTGGGAAGTCCGAGTGAATTTCCTGTCGTCGGGTCGATTGAGCACAGTTGATTGGTATAGGCACCGGCATACCACACCCTGTTCAGCTTCTCACTATCACTGTGGAAGTACCCGGTATAAGATGTTGGGTCCTCCATTTCAGGTGACGTGATCCAGTACGCCGTAAGATTAGAAACGCTAACAGACCCCGTGCTGTTGTGAACTAGTGTCAGGTAACGAAACCCGCCGCGCTGGTGATACTTGTCTGCCTGGTAGAAGCCCGGACCGGTAAGGTTGAACCATAGCGGGAGGTCGATGCCGGCGTCTTGGGTGGAGTCGCAATATTCAGCACTGATCCACTCGGAGCTCTCCGTAAATGTGAAGCCTATGGCCTCGTCTTCTCCCTCCAACGCGTCGACGTTGAAGCTGACTGTCGCGCCGATATTCTTGCCGAAGTCCAGCGTGATGTATGAATTGTTCCCTTTGAAACTCGCCGAAGATGCAGGAGACTGCCGAAGGAGGGACTCGGCATTCTCCACATCACCGCCTGTCTGATATACAGACGCCGGCAGTAGTGTCCTTGAAGATGGAGCTAGAATGTATCGGCTATACTGACTTTGAGCAAAGGCGCCTGTGACAAGTGCCACTTGCACGACTTGTATAGCAAAGTTCATCATGTTCAGTGACCCTTTAACTGCCCAGCGATTCGCGAGATATACTATGACTTTGAACTGACATGATCTAGGAAAGACATTCGCAGAGCAGCTTTTCTGAATCGCGTTTTGTCCGGTCTAATACTCGGCCTGCTCGGCCGAGGTTGCCATAATCCGGGGGTATCTTGACCGAAAAGCAAGAAAGTTTGCATAGTTTTGTTTGTGTGATTGGGCCAGGCTCGCAGACGCCGGGCTGGAATTGGAGAACCAGGCCTTTGGAGTTGCGTGGAGTCGGTCCTGTAACCGATGGCATAACGAATATGGGAGGAAGCTAGCGGTATACATGACGACATGATTTGCCCACTACCCCGATCGAGAAGTTCTACTAGTCACAATAGTATGGCCTCTCTCCTATCTTCTTCGCTTCAGATAGAGAAATATTCAAAGGTTTATAGGCAGCCAGGTCATTCAAATCATCACTATTATATCTTCATGGTTCATTGAGGCTCCGCGCTTCAGTGAAACATCACCATTTCAATGTACCCAAAACATCTGTCAGTGTGGGTATGGGTTTCCGAATGCTACCCCGAAATCTACTGCCGTGCTCGACCCCGTGGGGAACGTCTCTGCCGATCTTGCGGGGAAGCCCAAGTCACTATAGGTTCCGCCGCCAGAGGCCCGGCGGAGAAGGCTCTACTTCCATTTGGGGGGAGCAGCCGGTGGGCCCAGGCTTTCAGACGAGATTTAAATCATGCATCTCAGGTAGTTAGTAAGGGCAGGCCTGGCACCCACATGTTGAATTTCGTGCAGTTGCCACAGTTAAGGATCTGGACACCTGTTGTTAGTATGTAAGACCGTCTCTTTGTCTCTAGTGTCAACATTGACTCGCATTCGGATCTTATAGTTGGGTGCAGATCCTCAGACAATGCTATACATATGTATACCAAGTTGGGGCGTCGACGTTGAGTTCTCAATCACTTAGATCAAACAGATTCTCAGTCAATCCTGGCTCTTGTTAATGACGTACTCAAACAGGGTAAAGCTCCTGGCGCCGGCACATTTCAAGGTGGACAATGTTAGACCGAAGCACCATTGCGCTGGTTTAAAGATCTCTACTCACACAGCAAGCCGTGTAGGTGGGCTGAAGCCCCAAGTAAAACATTGTCACAAGAATTGATGCTTGCATAGATTTGGTACACGAGTGTGTGAAAAGTCTCAAGACATTAACTATTTTACAATGTTCTGGTATTGTACAACATAAGCTTCGTCAAACATTATATCCCTTCTTACGACATCCGGTAAACGGCTTCTTTCTGAAAGTGCCTTGAAATATCATTATCCGCACCACAGTTGTGGCATTGGTGCATAACCTTAGCACCCGTGTGACCGGGACCGTGGTGGTCATCACCCATTGTGGTGCCTCCAGTTCTTGATCCATGGCCGAGCTCAGAGGATCCGATGCTAGAGTGATCACCTCGGGCATGAATAGGGTCCCGAGTAGTCGATTCCTTGCCATAAGGGTCAAGCATGGAAGTCGGCGCAGCGGTAGTTGAGCTCTTTCCGTAGGGGTCGAGCATGCCTGGGCCAGTACCGGTGGTTCTGCCATGAGAGCCTACGGTGTCATGGATGCCATGAGCGTTGTGACTTTGTGGGCCACCGACTCTGTCTGCCCCATACGCTTCGTTGTTGCGTAAGTCGTGCTCATGGTGGTGGTCAGCCATCTTGGAAGCGCCATATCCTGCAGCGGCACCAGTTCCAGCTCCGGCCAAGCCGCCGTGACCACGACCAGTGCTACTGGTCGGTGCATCGTACTCATCAGTCTTGTAATCACGACGAGTAGAGTCTACGTCGTGAGGACGGTGAGCTAGGTTGGACGCCATGCCGCCCCCGGTTGTGGGCGAATGGGTTGTGTGCGTGGGTGCGTGGGTCTTGTGTGATATCCCGTGGGGAGCATCATACTCGCGACCAGTTGTCCTACCATCGACAAGGCCATCTCTGGCAGTAGATGCAACACCGCTGGTTGGGGATGGTGCTGTACGGGGAGACTCGTAGCGGTTGTCATGGTGTTGGCCGGCGAGTCCGCTCGCTGCAACGCCATGCTGACCAGTAGTATTTCCGTGGTGACCAACGTGTGCACCATCTCCATGTGCCGAGGTGTTGTTGTAACGGTTGTTGACCTCATGGGCGTTCAGGTCATTGCCATGATGAGTAGATGGGCCAGTACTAGTGCCCAGTACGCCGGTATGGGCTGATGGCCCGGTACCAGGTGCGCCGGCATGGGCACGGTCAGCTTCTCCCCAGTAAGGATCCTTGTGGCCCTTGGTGAGTTTGTTGCCGTGGACTCCTGTTGTGCTGGTAGTTCCTGTGGTACCAGTGGTTCCAGTCAAGCCATGATCTCTTCGTCCTTCGCCAGCCGTGAGGCCATCACGTCCCGTGTGACCAGCATTGGAGCCGTAGGTATACTCAGACGAAGCCTGCCCGGGCACGTGCTCAGTTCTGGTGGCTGAGTGAGAGTTGAGGGGACCAGAGTGAGGGTTGGCGGTCTCGTGCACCCCAACCTTGTTGTGGGTACGGGGTACCTCCTCGGATGGGTAAGAGCCAGGCGTCTTGGTGGTGTCTGTGGTGTGATGCTGGTCGCCGTGAAGAGCGTCCTTGATCTTGGTTCCGATACCCATGATGAATGAATCTGATGATATTTGTTTAGGGATTAAGTCGAAATAGAATGAATTCGAGAGTTGACGGGGTGATTGTTGAATGCTCAGATGATAAAAGGTTTTCTTATTCTGAATGATTGAGATTCTATCAGACTATCCCATTGTCCTTGGCCTGGTGCTGTTAAATACTCGGCAGTTCCGAGAGAATGGTCTAGCATTGGCACGTCATTGCTGATTCCCGTAGGGAGTATCCTTCCTGGTCTCAGGAACAGCGTCTAGGGTGACATCAGGCTCCAGTATGAAACAGGTTGGTCCCTGGGGTTCTTCGTGGTACCCAAGGGAAAGGTTTCGTACGAAGTACGTCAGAGAGACCCTGTGCCTATGATCCAGATCGCCTTCTGGCAGTACGGCATTGTAATTCTGCATGTTGCTTTCGATTTTGTCTAGACTTGGGGCAGTGAAGTCCATTTGAACGGTTTTCGTCGTCATACAGCGGGTCTTGTGCGACGATCTCCAGGAACCAGAATCCGGTTTTAGGGGTCTGGGGTCCCGCTAAAGCCTCCAAGTGGAGCTGCCGTTCGACCCGATCGAGCCGATTGAGCGACGGAGAATTTACTTGGTTGAAGGCGCTAAATGGCGTCAGTCGCGCCGCTGTCAGGCTGTTTTGGGGCTACGTACCTACAGCGGCGGGCGGCACTCTGGTCCACCCCCTCGTCGCGTATGCACAGTATGCAGAGTCTGTGCTTGGCTCACACTTATTAACTGTTGCCTCAGCTTACGTATCGCGTAACGTTTTGTCCAAATCCCGTGGACTGCAGTGTTTGATAGCCCTACGGTCGTGAATGCGATGTTGTACACCAGGGGAGGCATGTCTTTCAGGCATTGGATTGATAAGTCAAACGTGGATAGAGAGAATCGCCAGACGTCGCCGAGGAATCAGGTTCGTGGCCAACCATTCGCGTGACAACTAGCATCTGTCAAAGTAAATGAGCATGGTGTGCGAGCCACTCATGTCTGCCCACGCACAGTATCTAAGATATGAAGATAGTACTTAGCTAAGTAATCATTCTGGCTTGTTGCGGCGGGAGGTTAAGCAAAATCTTCTTTGGACTGTCAACTTGGTACAAGTGCTACGAGCTGGGGCCAATTGGAATTTATGCTTAAAACGTGGGAAGTCGTAGGCAAACTCAATTGACTTTTTCTTCAATACATGCTCCGAAACGCAGCATCATTGGGAGTGGCAAGTCACAGCGAGGGCTTGACGCTGTTCAAATGCCCTTGGCTGGTAAAAGTCAAGACCCCATAGTCTGATTACGACGGTCTTGATTAATATGCAGTCGTTTATGCCGGCAGTGTGAGCTATTGCGTTACACAACACGCTCGCAGGCACTGAAATACAAACCTCCTGGGCCCAGGCTCGGGCTGCATCGTAAATTACTCTGTAAAAGTCGTAGATGTGTGGGATGAGCAGTTCATGGAAAGAAATCGACAATCTAACCCCGCGTTGGTGGGAAGATTAACGACGATGCTACTGTGATTTAGATAATACGGTCCGCATAGCACTCGCACTAATCTAGGCGTAGCTGATACGGCGTTGCCACGAACCGCCGCCAATGTAACAGCAAGTGGGTGAATATTGCGAATAATGATCAAGCGTAGGTGTCGTCTTTATCCGGTGAACCCAAGTTGCGAACCACATAGCCTCCGATGGATGCTCCAGTAAGGGATATGAAGTGAATGACCGTAGGCAAACAACGGAGATTATATCTAAGCCAGTCTTTGGCGTGCTTCTTTCCCCTGGGCCTTCAACTACTTTAGCGTTTTTGAGCAATATTCTAAAGACGCACCGTGATAATGGCTGCCTTACTTGGCTTCCTGGGTTTATTTGGCTCAACCTACGCCGCCGGCGGCTTGGGCGGACGGGCAAGCGTATGCGGCTCAGTACCGCCCTTTGCACCCGGTTCATTCAACATCGACGTGATAAACGCTTCTGGTATCGAACGGGAGTATGGGGTCTGGGTTCCCAAAAACTACCAGCAAAACGTCTCGACGAAGCTCATCTTCTCGTACCACGGTGCTGGTGGCACAATTGCAAGACAGCGGGCACTAGACGGACTTACAGAGCCTGCATTCAACACAGATCATATCGTCATATATCTCCAGGGGGTAAGTGTTATGTGTAGACGGATTCTACCAGCAACTAAACACCTTGAGCAGTTAGAGAATGACGATGGCAAAACGACATGGGAAGGCGCACCTCAAGCAAAATTTGATGACCTTGGATTCACCAGTGACCTCTTGAATCGTATTGAGGGCGAGTTCTGCATCGATGAGAGACATATTTATGCAACTGGAAAATCACAGGGCGGCGGTTTCGTTGGCCGTCTAGCATGCGATCCTAACCTATCCAAGCGCTTCGCTGCCTTTGCTCCCGTGTCGGGGGCGTACTACAATGCGAGCATCACTAAGCGTGCTGAATGCCATCCACAAACCATGCCCATCCTCTGTGACCCTGGCCGTAAAGATATTCCTATCTTAGCGTTCCATGGCGGAGCCGACGACACCGTCAGCTACTTCGGAGGCTACCGCAAGAAAGCGTGTCTGCCTGACATCAGGTATTGGATCGGGCAATGGTCAGAACGGGAGGGTCTTGGCGAGACAGCAGTGAATAATTTGATTGCAGGCACAAACGGTGGTATTAACATAACCTACGGAGGTGGTCTGGTCAAACTGGTCTTTGACGGATGGAACATTCCCCATGATTGGCCTGCGACGTTTGAAAACTCAGATAACGGCGGCCAGAACTTGACATCGTTCAATGCCACTACTTGGATCATGGAATTTTTTGGTGCACATGCACTGGGATAAGAGATGATTGAGACGGATGACTTAAGGCCAAGACTGAATGGGCCCAATGAAAAGGGGCAAGCCACATACTCCATTTGCAACACCCACCAGCCCGGCTTTTAGGTGCGATCAGCTTATTATTTACATATGAGTGGCCATTCTTCTGTGCTTTCTTGCAAGCTGAACAAAACTTATTCGTCCCAGATAACGGCGCTAAGGCCATCCTCAGCTCCATCGGTTCCAGGAGTAGCAATCGCCAAATTCGCGACAAGACCGCCCAACTTGCCAGTAGTCGGATCACGCTGAATGATGGCCACGTTTGACGATGTCTGGCCACCAATGGCGACGTAAGTTCCGGCCTTGTTGATCGCAAAGGTTCGGGGATACCAGGCATGCGCGTTCGTTTGTTCCACGAAGGTGATCGCACCAGTGGTGGCGTCAATGCTGTACGTTACAATCGAGTCCTCTTTGGCGCCAAAAGTCTTGTCATTTCGTTTGACGGCGTATAGAAAGTTGCCTGAGACGTGCAATTCTGCGGCCTTCGAGCCGGCAGGTGCTGACTTGCCAGCAGGATATGTTGACACGGTCTGACTCTTGGCGAGGGTTAGACAACCAGAGCTAGGGTAGGTGACCTTCCAAGCGGAGACGGAATTGCCCAGTTCATTGACAGTGTATAGCATCTGACCAGTCGTAGATCCTGCTTTTGGAGACCAGAAAGCCCCGTGGCGGGGGCCGTCTCCTCCTCCGGCTTGGCCAGCCGCACAGGCTGTCAGCTTGCCGCTAGAGGCATCGATGCTGAAGACGCGTACGAGATCTGCACCAAGATCTGGAGCCAGCAGGAATTTTCCCGTGGGATCGGTGATCACCGAATGTGGGTGAGGTTTGTCCTGACGTGACTTGTTTGGTCCCGAGCCATTCATAGTGAATTTCTCCTTCTGCAAAGCTTGATTGCTTGACGTTAGAGGGAGTTTGAATGTGGTGACGGTTGAGGCATCGCTATTGGCCCTGATTAGCACTTGCTGCCTGCTCGGCTCTGATGACTTACTATTCAGCCATTGCCACAAATCCAGTACCTGTCGAGCCACCGTAGAACGATCCATGGACCTCTCCACCTGCAGTCTTCGATTGCCCAGTCTGCGTTAGGGATCCGTCCGTATTGACAGTGTACGATGTGACAACACCGCCGCTGACGCCCTGCTGGCCTGCACCAGACTCATCAAAGCAGTACAGAGTCCCTGTTGCCGAGTCGAGCGTGAGCCATGTCGGCATTTTCCCGCAGCCCCCAGATGAGGAAGTCGACTTCAAGGTGCCAGTACTACCGCTCACGGTCAGGTCCAAAGAGTAAACTTTTCCACTGTAGTGGGAGGCCAGGAGCTTGTCCGCGATCGCCGCAGGCGCGAGCCCGAGGGCCGCAACAACCAGAGACAAGAGACGTGGCATCGTGATTCCGCTTCAAACGTGATACTGAGATCCAACCTTGGAGTCGAGCTGCAACCTCCGCCAAGCTCAAGTAAGTGCTGTTGGCCATCTTGTATGCTTCAGAAGCTCGCCAGGTATCGTAGGATCACGGGACATGTTTCAGGGGTATTGACCGCAAAGCGCATGAGTACACTTAGCCTAGGGTCCTAGTCGATAAGGCAATCTATTAATCTATTGCCGGCTCTCAGTGGCTACGTTGCAGAAAGTCAACACCTCCGTGCACGAAAGAGGCAAGGGTCCGGAAGATGTCGTCGGCGACCCGGGCTTAAGGAATTCGGGCCAAGCTTTGTGCCTAATTGAGCATCCCCCGCGCCTTACGTGCCATATTAAGGGGTATCCGCCTAGCACCCCACACTTCCCCCATGTTTTGTATATACCGGAGCTATGGCCCGCGATCCTTGACTGTGGCGAAGATCCCCCTCGAAAACTTGGGCCGCCTGATACTGTTCCAAGATCTTGGTTGGTCAATTGATACGCTGCTAGCACTCACGGGCGCCCAGCGCATGGTTGGTGGAGATTCAATTGAGAAAGAGCTCACGAGTCCGGATGGGCCCATCCAAGTTGCGGCTGAGATTAGTCGATTGAGGCTTTCGCGCCAGAGACGGGATGTTTTGACAATATCCCGGGTAATTGGGATTAAGCTTCTAAAAGACTTTAACGGGCACTTCTGGCTCTATAGTGGTTATGACAGGATCAACTAATGTCCTCAGCGACGATTCTCGGACGACCATGTTTTTCCCGGAGAAAAACCAAGCACACGGGTCTTAGCTCACAACTTGAAATGGGACCCAAAACGAACGTCAATGATACTCTGAGCTGCTTCGTGTTCTTGAAAGACCAAACAAGAATGTAACATCTGAATAAGTGCCCTTGAACAAGTTGGGTGTCGTCACTGCAGCGCAATAGAGAAAGTTCCTCCAACCAAAACCTCAAGCTCGCTCTGGTGTAGAGCTATTGGCAGCCAGACTCTCCCGTATCCTGGCGACATGTATGCCAAGTACGCGGCTGGGCCCAGTAAACAGGCTGTCGATGCTCTGCTGCGGCCCGCGTGATAGCACATGCTAAATCCCATTGTGAATTTCCCCGTAGCCCAGCCCGTCGATGCATGCTTTCTTCGGCTAACATTCCCACTCGGTACGGCATCTTGAACACGCAAGCCAACTTAAGCTTACTTCGAGTGTCGGATGATCGACAGTCTACTCATACGCTAAACATTCGATACTAATTTGTTGTCGGATACCCTGACCGGAGCTCCAGCTGACATACTGCGGCATACCATGGTCATTTGAGTCAATTGGATTCCCATAAAATGCCCGAGTATTATCCCAGCATGGCCCTGTTCCCCGGATTTCCAACCTCTGGTCTGTATGCTTGCTTATAACAAGGCCTTGCATGCCGATCAGGACCATCAGGGTAATCTTGCGAAAACACCTTAGGACACCTACTTTCGCGGATCGTTCTACGAACCAAGATGTGCCGCTTGACCTTCTTCTTGCTGGGTCTTTCAACCACCCAAGTGCTTGGTGCAGCACTCGGCAAGAGAGCGGCCGTGGATGACTGTCTTAAAGCGGCTTCCATCCCAGTAGACACACCAGGCTCTGCAGATTGGAAAGCCGACGCAGCGCCTTACAACCCTCGATTAACGTATACACCGGTAGCGATTGCTGTACCGACGTCTATCGAGCATATACAGGCAGCTGTCTCATGTGCGGCAAAGGCTGGTGTTAAAGTCAACGCCAAGGCGGGTGGCCACAGCTACACCTCTCTGGGATTCGGGGGCGAAGACGGGCACTTGATGGTTCAACTGGACCGGATGTACAATGTCACGTTGGATAAGAAAACGAACATTGCAACTGTTCAAGCAGGAACACGACTAGGCCATGTTGCGACAGAACTGTATAACCAGGGGCAGAGGGCCTTCCCACACGGAACTTGCCCTGGGTGAGTTGATGGTTCTATGCAGTGCACGATGCTTTGCTAATATTCTCAGCGTTGGAGTGTCCGGACATGCGCTCCACGGAGGGTTCGGCATGAGTTCTCACTTATATGGCTTGGCATTGGACTGGATCGTGGGCATGACCGTCGTTCTGGCTAACTCCTCAGTTGTTCACACTTCAGAAACTGAGAATCCGGATTTGTTCTGGGCACTCAGGGGTGCCGGATCGAACTTTGGCATTGTAGCTCAGTATGAGTTCAAGACCTTCGCTGCACCGTCCAGCGTGACCTATTTCACCGCCTCGATGCCTTTGACGAGGGCGAATGGCGTGGAGAGAATGGAGGCCCTGGAAGACTACATCAAGAACTCCATGCCCGCCGAGCTCAACATGCGGCTCTTTGCCGGGTCGTCATTCACTCAACTGGAAGGGCAGTTCTTTGGTGATGTTGCAGGGCTTAGAATTGCTCTCGCTCCGCTGTTGAACAAGACTGGTGGCTCTATTCAGATGGCCCAGAGCACGGGCTGGATAGAAGCTCTTACCCATTATGCCAACGGCAAGTTGGACGTCACTCGCCCATATTCATTGGTCAGTAGAGCCAGCGGTACACCATGGCCAGATAAGCTAACACAGACTACAGCAAGAAACGATTTACTCCAAGAGTTTGGAGCTGACAGGACTCAATGGAACAGCGGCCAAAGACTTCGTCAACTACTGGTTCGATACAGCCAAGAACTTGAAAACCAGGTCATGGTACTTTCAGCTGGACGCTCATGGTGGAAAGAACTCGGCAATCACCAATGGAAATCACGCTTCTTCTTCATATGCCCACCGAGACAAGCTATATCTGATCCAATTCTACGACCGACAGTACAGCGGAGCATATCCTTCAACTGGGTACTCCTTCTTGGACAACTGGGTTGCCAATACGACATCCAGTCTTGCAAAAGCGGACTGGGGCATGTACATCAACTATGCTGATTCGAGCCTCAGTCGCGCCACGGCGCAGCAGGTTTACTATGGTACCAGCTTGCCACGGCTGCAGCGCATCAAAGCAGCTCTTGATCCACAGGAGCTCTTCTTCTATCCGCAATCAATACAGCCTAATGCAGCGGCGTGAGGAGATTGGTCAGATCTGCCATATGTGAGGCAGTAGACGTTGTGTCGTGCGCCGGGTGCATCTGAAAGGCGTCCAATGGAAAGAGCGACACTAGATAATTATAAGAGTCTTTGATTTACATTCATATTTGAAGCTAGAACGCACAGCCCCGGGTATTTCCGATTCCAATCCATTACTTCCATTCCCCGCCGCATCAGTCAATCGCGGAGTTCCGGGGAAAGAATTGGCCATGCTCAGGGGTACCAAAACGACACGCGCACTGCCAACTAGAGCCGTATCGGTGCCAATAATTCCTCAAATTCACTACCAATTGCTCACCACATTCACATTCCTACCAAGGGACCTTGCCGTTCCCAGTCAACACTGTCTAGCCAAGACATGAACATGGATTCGTTCTCTTGAGCCGTGGGATATGGCTGCCCGAAATTGAAGTCCATGGGAGCGGCTGGTCCCATGTATGGGACATAAGATGTGCCTCCTTGGAACATACAGTTACCAACCATGTCTAACTCCATCTGTCCATATGGTAGCTGCTGCTGATTTTGGAATTCTGTCAAGTCGGGAGTCTGTGCTTGTACATGCTGGTCAACCGGCTTCGGAGGAGAGAGGATCTTGTCGAGGATACGGGTGATGATCTTCTGTCCTTGTTGGCACAAATGATACATGCCTTCTGCCTTGTCCACGATACCTAGTCTTGCTGCAAATACTGACAAGTCCTGGATAGTTTGGCTTCTCGGGAGGAGCGGCTCCTTCGGATATACTGGGTGTTGTTCCTGTTTGAGTAGCTCAACGGCGATAATGGCTGAGGCACGCAGCCCATGAAGAACCAGAATAGCAGTGATATCGACGTGGAAAGTTGGGAACATGTCGTGACGTGAGCCAAGTTCCAACACATCTGCAAAGATCGTTTGAGCAATTCGGACAAGTTTCTCGTTGCTGGAGCCAGTTTTGCGGATGAGCACGCGTTGGAGCAGGAGCTCATTCGCTCGACTTGCTTGACACAGAATGGTCATGTACAGCAGTTTCATATGCTTCAGCGTACTATCAAGCCTGTCGTATCTGATCTTTTGGAGGAATTCGGGTAATCGCTTCCAGTGCTCCTCGGTCTTTTGCTGTATGACCTCGGCCCGATCAATAATTTCTCCGCGGGAATAGCTACCGAGAGCCAGGTCGAGAATGTCTTCCCTCCTTTGTGCAAACCCAGACCACGTTCTCGTAAAGGTCGAGCGCGTGACGTTCCCTACCTTGTTGAATCCGTCTTTGTCTAATGCCGCAATTGCGGATTCCATTTCCGTTTTATCAAGAACCAGCTGGTTATCTGTAAGATCGAGCGGCGGATCTAGGTGCCAATACCGATTCGAAGCCCGCGGCGGTCGGCCTAGGAATGAAGACACTGAGGTCTCACTAAAGTATGCACAACTTCGAGCACGTTTCCGTAGTTCCGATAGGAAAAAGGGAACACGCTCATTGGCCTCGATCTTCTGGTGATAACCCAAAGACACAACAGCAGACACAACCTCGCCGACAAGGCAGTATGTGCTATAACTGTTATCACCCCGGATGTCACTAGTGAGGCCCATTGTCTCGACTATGAGAAACAGAAATAAATCATCGATGACATCACATTCCCGACAAAAGTCCAAGCAGGTTTCGGCAACGCGATGGGCCTGCTTGGGGAGGGTTAGTCGGGTAACGCCATGTTCCTTAAATAGAGGGTGATTCGTCTCGCCATAGGCTCCACACATTCCCACAATGGCAGCAATGATGCCAATCACTTCCCACCGGATGTTTTGACCAGCTGCTAAGTCTGTCCATTCGGTAGCTGTAGTGGATCCACTGATGGAGATGGTGGTTTGTGTGTTACGCCATAGTAGCCCGGATAGTTGCAATAGCTCTTCCGGGTCTTGTTTCTCCAGCACATCCCCGTGGCAAAGCCATAGCTTCCGCATCCAGGCCTTGACGACGGGTTCAGCGCTGACGAGGCCAGACCCGTCGGTAATTTCAAACCATAGCGACACGAAGGCATTGATCATTCGCCGGTTGCTCATGAAGGTTAATATTTGAGCCCCTTGGGCCACTCGATCTTTGTCGATCGAGGTCTCCTTGGTCTGTGATGAGTCCAACTCGGTAGAAACGACACCCATGCTGCCTAAATGCTCCTTGAGGATGGATTTAAAAGAGTTTTCTCCGTGGAACTCGGCACCCCTTTCATTGCTGGGAGATTCAAGTTCAGGTCGAAGGGGAGGGGCTGAGGCAGCACGATTGCTTTGCGTGTCATGGGACTGCTGGACCGCGGCTTGTGGCTGAGGGGCGTCGCTAAAGCCAGCCCTTTTGATCTCGATAGACGAGTACGTACTGGTAGGCGTTTCATGACTTGAGGAGGACCTTGAAGGGGTGGGTAGAGATCTCTTCGGATTGTGTCGATTTGGAGTTTGGCGGTTCTGGCAAAACAGTATCAGCCAGTGTGACTTGTAGACTCGGTGTGCACGGCTCCCCGATGAGCTATGGTCCTGGTGTATACGCATGATAACGAAACAAGCCGCATGGAGGAGGGAAGACCAGCATAGAGCGGTGCTTGTACCTGCCAAGCATTATCCCAACGGACTAAATGATTGTTGCTTGCTTCAACGACAGCTTGTCTCAGTAGCGGGATGGCTCGTCCAAGGGCTTGACAACATCACCAATGGCGCATGTTGTGACCCAAGGGTTCATGCTAAGCCCACAGCCCAAAAGGTGGAAGTCACATAGAAGTAGTAGAACTGGAGACTGACTTGTTGTGTTAATGGGTTGGGGTGGTATATGCACTGGTCAACACATCGTCTCTTGACACACCTGCCGCAGGTAGGGACAGTATCTATCGGAATTACGGTCAGCAACGGCCTTACAGACTTGGCATGATCGACTGGTATTGTGAACCTTCCCAGACGAAAGTCAATGCTGTACACTAGGCGCAGGGGCTCCCAAAAAGCATAGCATCGGCAAAACGAGGGGGACACGAGCCGGTAGAGCTTACGGTCACATCTGAGCTTCGATTTCCGACACGGTTCGCAGGACTGCAATTTTCCATTGCGTCGGAATTTGCCAACATTGGTCTCGGTCGAGGGAGCCATAGCATGCAAAGCGGATTCTTCAGCCATCGTCGCAGTGGAACGGGCAATATCGTATATGAGGATTCCCACTAGGCCCCTTCGGCGTCGGACTTATTCTCTTTGTCGGTGTTGTTGCGATGGAGTTGGAAATGTCGCAGGAACATCCACAAATTGGTCCCCGGTGTCACCCTCGGGCTTTTCACGGTGTAGAGAAGAACTGCATTACGCGGATTGATTCGAATGAATCTCAGGGCATCACTCCGAAAGAAAAAAGGTCGATGGTCGAGGCAAGTCCGAGGCACAGCACGCTGCGCTAGCCAGGTTAACTCCGCGCTGCTCTTGGGACGGATCGAATGATCGGAGTGACTTGCCCGATTAGCACTGGTGTCGCTGACACCACTAAACGACCGCCAAACCCAGTGGTCGCTAACAACTGCCACAAGGTTTCGGCGCTCGGCGTTCGGATATGAGATTCCCGATGCCGTCCAGAATCTTGAAGAGTGAAGGCTGCTTGACAGTAAGGAGTAATCCGCAGTGGCGACGGCGACGAGTACGAATTGATTGCGTAAATAGTGCGATGCAAACCGAAAATGTCGAAAAATTCTTCTTTTTCTGAGTCAACGAGTATCTCAAGGAGATGTAGCGTAAGGGCCCGATCTGCGATCTGTAGTGCATATAAGTAAGAACGTTTCTGGTGGTTTGCAACCAAGCTCCTGATACTTGAGTCTGGACACAATAAAACGGGAAACAATATCTTTTACGCATCTTCCTGAAGATTCTACTTTGATTCAAATATTTTCAACCCCATAATAACAGTCATGGTAGCCATAACCAAGTTATTCTCCTCAAAGCCCCAGGGCTCCAAGCGTGCCAACAGTGTGGAGGCATGTCCCACCAGTGGTGCTGCATCAGAACGATCAGACTATTATAACACCAGAAGGTCGAGCGACACCACTGAAACGGCATTGAAGTCGAAGTTAAATCGCGGAGCAGTGCATGCACCATTCTTCTATGTATGAGCTTTCAACCTCGCCAAGTTTCATTGGTCTGACATAAGCAGTCAACATTGCCGCCATCGAGAATATGATGCCATGAGAACGGTGATCGTTGCATGGGCCCAAGATAGCATGCAAGGTCGAGATATGGCGATATAGACAATGATTCTTTGAATATAGAGGTTAGAAGAGCAGGACAGCAATATTTCGATGGAGCTGCTACGGATGCTTGGCGTTGATATATGCTCCAACAAGACACGGGTTATGATATTGCACAGCATGACAACGCGGGACCAGCGCGGAGCGGTGGAAGGCCTGGCACAACTAATACTTGTCCACGAGTGTGCACGATAGCGAAACTCCTGACACATAGACAGCTGAATATTTATCTGAAAACGAAAGTTTCCATCCAATAGCAAAGTCCAGGAATTGTAGTAGTCATATGCTGTACCATTGATGTGGTATTCGTGACATGGTCACTTAGCTTGTATGAAACTTTCGAGCTCGATTAGTCACGAAAGGGAACTACGATTCCTGGTTTGGCTGCATGATACCCAAAAATGTCTGCACTCTCCTGAGCGGTAGAATCGTGACCGCATCGATGGCCTCGGAACCTAGGATAACAGAACACCGCATACTACGCTGTCAGGCTCGGCCCTCCACCAATGCTATCCACCATTGCAATGGCAAAGTGGTTTTTCCAAAATGCAGGTTGGTGCAGGGACCAGTCAGCCTTACCTCTCGGGCGCGCCTGGGCTTCAGCGGGGCAGTGCATCCATCCACTGGTAGCCCCATGCAAGCTCTCTATCGAGGTTTATAAAGCTGCCGATAACTCCAGGGAGAGCTGAAATCGTCCGGCATTTGGGGTTGTGTGTGACTACAATGCGAGTCTTGTGCTGTTTGCCATGCAGGCAGCAAGTTCGGATGGCGACCGTGGAACCAACGCTGCTGTATACCCAGCTTCAGTCAACATCCTTGCAGATTAGGCTACTAAAGGTACGCTCTGGTGATGTTGAGTCAGGCGAGACGCAAATCGTCTGTGATATGGACACAGTCACTTTCAACCATTCATTACCAAAGTACACAGCGTTATCCTACACCTGGGGTGAGGCAGAGCCCTCAATTACCATCACTGTCAATGGCGTTCGAAGGGGTATCAGCTCGAATTTGGCTGCATTCCTTCAACAGTGGATCGACTGTCGTCGGAACAGTAGTCGTATTATTTACGTGAATGGGTATCTATGGATTGACGCGCTCTGCATCAACCAAGAGGACGAAGAAGAGAAGTCCGTCCAGGTATCTGCCATGGGCAGGATCTTCAGCTCTGCGAATGCCACTATCGCGTGGTTGGGCGTTGAGGCGGAAACCAGTGCCATTGGCCTGAGGTACATCAGAGAGATGGCACGAGCAATAAAAGCCACCTGGAGTAAGGGAACGGTTGATTTCTATCGCGACCTTGGAACCTGGTTCAACAGGAATCCCACCTTAGCAGAGGCTATTGCCACTCTGGGAACCACTCAAGAGCCCAAATTCCTTCTAAACAACGAGATATGGGACGGTATTCTTCGAATCTTTCAGCGTGATTACTGGACACGCTCGTGGATACAGCAGGAAATCGTACTTTCTCAGGTCGTGTATATCTGGTGTGGGCCAAATTGGGCCCCCATGGACGACGTACGCGAACTGGAGAGGTTCTTGACAGACTTGCGCGTTGAATTTGGCGCGAAGTTGGACAGAGACCTCAACTTGAGTCTGTGGCAAGATATCATCGGAGAATGGAGACATCCGCTTGTCCGCGATATGTTGAAGCGCATTACTCATTTTACCCGATTAGGGACTTCTATAAAGCAGGAGTCATCCACTGATGACCTGCGCTTCGGTCTTCTACACATACTTGAGCAGGCATGCGGCTCTTTCAAGGCCACCGACCCACGAGACAAGTTATACAGTCTCCTTGGTGTCGTCAATCTCGACTTCCCTCCGGATTATACGCAGTCGACTGAACATGTCTATACCGAGTTCACCAAAACCTGCCTCCGCGGTAAACACGGACTTCAATTTCTAAGCATCGCCGGGCCTGCGGCCGTGAACGGACCAACCGGAATTCACCACCTCTTGCTACCGTCGTGGGTCATAAACTGGGACGCGCTCAGCTGCCAGACTCGGCCTAACTCTAGAGCCGCCTTGTTTGCAAAATAGAGGATGGCATATATCAACCCTTTTGGCTTTCAGCCTCGCTTCGAGGACAATATGCTGTGCATATCGGGTGTTGTGGTGTCTTCAGTATCCTCGAGTTCCCGAACCTGCAACGACATCCTTGCTCTGATGTCTGATATCATGCATGGCTTTGCCACTTGCAGGCCCTCTAAATCTCCCGTGACAGATCTCATTCGAGCGGTATGCCTTGATGTCGAACCAGGTAAGCAAGGAATAGGTCTTGAAACGCAACTCTTGACCTGCGATGGCGGATTTGACGTCTTCGACCGATTCGTGCACGCCCTTTGTCGACGGTTCGGGCTCTCAATGCGGAGGCTTCTTGATTGTTTCGATCAGCACCCCGAGAGTGTACACCGCTTGTACTCCGCATTAGGATTCGGCTCCATATTTCGATGGCCACAGGAGCCGGTGAATAGTGTGACCGTGGAATCGTATCTCACGTCCTTCCAGCGCCATAAGCCTGATATATACTATGGGCGTTCGGACGAAGAACTTGACTCAAACTTCGAGAATCTAAGTTTCTTCACTACCGAGGAGGGCTATGCCGGATGGGGCCCTCCCGCACTGTTGAAGGACGATAAACTCTGTATCTTCCCCGGTATGCGAGTCTCAGAGGTTTCCTATGCTGTCCCCTGGAGTATAATATTTGGCAACAAATGCTGACCTGTGAATGCCGTTAAGGCTGCAGGGTTCCCCTCCTTCTGAGAAAAGTCGATGATCACTTCAGCCTCGTCGGGCAGGCCTGGGTTCATGGCATCATGTACGGACAATATTACAAGGATCTGGACGAGATCTCACACAGGATCCAAGAGTTCAATCTTTTGTGAGACTCGTTGGCTGGGAATGAAGTTTGGGGTACCAATAGCTCTATTCACGTGGCGGAGCGATACGCAAATCCCAAAATTAAGTAGCAAGAAGCATTTGGAGGCCGTGTCGCGTATCGCCCAAGTTGTGCTAGCGATGTCTGTCATGTCGTATGGTCCATTAACAAACGACACACCACTTTGGCAGGTTAGGTATGTCAACTGGTGATGGTTAGCGCACATACAGGGGCCTGAGCGCCGGCGGCCACTCAACGCCCAGCGCGCGCACCTCTGCGACTTTTAGTTAGCATGGATCACGCTTCGCGCGTTCAATTAGCAACAACGGACAAATGGGCGCACTACATCTCCTTTGTATCATCACTTCTGAAGCGTGACTTGCTATTTGAAAAGCTGCCGGCCACTCTAATCGCCGCCAGATGAGTTCATTTGACTCATTCGTTGAGCCATGGAGACAGAAGCTCACCAGTCAAACGCGCGCCGGCGAATTTCCTGAGTATCACTCCCTCAGCCAGCTTGACTCGTTGATTTCCAGCTCAAGCCCGCAGTCGTTCGAACTGGGTACTGGCGCCTCCATCTACACCAACTCCTTGCTGCCAGCGATCTTGACAGCGCAGCGAGAAGTCATCCTAGTGACCTGCTTCTGGGCGCCATCAAGCACTTTGACTGCATTGAAGGAGACTGTGGATCGACTCGCCCAGCAGCGAAAACAAGTCATACTGGAAAATGGACCTGATGCACTTGAAGTGCTCCGGATACGTATTTGCTTCTCGTCCAGATCACTATTTCAGCAGCTGTTCCATACGTCCTCGAAGGATGGTTACGCATATCCTCCATCTGCCTGGCCTACCAAGCTAGGGCTTCCTGACAAAGAAACACTGGATGCCGGTGCTATCGATCTCGGAGTCAAGAGCCTCTTTTTCTTGCCGTTCAGTGTGATGCACCCCAAGTTTCTGATCATTGATCGAGAACGAGCTTGGTTACCGAGCTGCAATGTCAGCTGGGAGGCTTGGTTAGAAGGTTGCGTCGAAATACAAGGCAATGCGGTTGACAACCTGTTGGCATTCTACCAGCGAGTTTGGGAGCCAAGCCTGGACATTTCCAGACTCATCGGTGCAAGGCAAGATAGAGTACCATTGTCGGTTTCTGCGGTCGGTTTGAACTCTATCCTGAGTCCAGCTCGCCGCTTCTCACGCATGGCCAACGAGGAAACCCCTACGATCTTACTACCTTCATCGCACCACCGAAATCCTTGGGCATTTCACCCGATGCTGCCATGTACGCCTCTGAATGTGGCCACGCTGCGGCTGTTGGAGTTGGCCGAGAAGTCTGTCTATATTCAGACTCCTAATCTCACCACCAGTGCTGTACTTGATGGCATCATTGAAGCCTTGGAGCGAGGTGTCGACGTCACTATTGTGACAAGCAAGAACATGATGCTGCTGGAGCAGATCGTGACTGCTCTGACGACGACAGCCCTCTGTCTCCGTTCGCTCATCCGTTGGTATACAAGGCTCGCGAAATCTCGAAGTCAACAAATGGCCACCCGACAGAGCAGAAGTGCGGCGAGTTCGGAGCCCGTCATCGACTTGGAAGCCGCGTTTCCAAAGACAGGCGCTCTAAAGGTTTCATACTTTCAACCAAACGCCGAAAACAAGAGCAGAGGAGTGCTCGAAGAGCCGGTTCACTCTCATCTGAAATTAACTATCGTTGATTCTCGGCTTACACTATTGGGTTCTGGCAATATGGACCGCGCAAGTTTCTACACAAGCCAGGAGCTGGGCATACTGTTCCACTCTAGCGAATTTACCAGGACCGTGAGCGTTGCCGTTGCGGATACTTTGGTAGGCAGGACTCGGGTACTTTTCGATTCGCACAACGCTTAGCGATGACGTAGAAATGACCTGCGCAGGCCTTCATACCATCTTGGGCTGTGAACCGCACCATGTCAGAAGGTAATTGACTGATGAAGCTGGTTGTCAAAGTCCAGCTAAGCTCACTCGGCACCGATTGCCGAGGAGTCGGCCCCGGCGTCGTTGGCTCGCATTCAGAAGTCCCAAGAGTCTGGGCGAAGCCGTGCGGCGATCCCACTCTCTGGCGTGCCAAACGGCTGGTGCGCCAAGCGATGAAATGCATCCACAGCATCAGCCAAGGATCAACATGCACAGGATGTGGTTCGGTCACTAACAAATCAACTCAAGCGGATAACGGACGGCCCTGCTTAGTGCCTGCAACACATGCAAACAGGATCTTACAATGCCCCAAGGCTAGAATCGTCGTCTCGGAGCACGTACCGTACAGAGTCTAGACCACTGTACGCATGTAAGTACTGATCCCAGAGATCAATGGAGCATTTGCTGGCAGCCAAATAGAGTTATTAGCAAAGAAAGAAAACCATGTAATTGATAGAATTTGGGACTGTATTAACATTATGAAATACCATTTCAGCCTGACGAATCTTGTGTCCGATGCTGGCGAGTTTGTGGTGTTTTGCACTGGGCCTGTTTTTGCGTCGAGATAATTTGACGCCGGGTGCTAAAAGACAACCCCCGCCTCCGCAGTCTGGAGCGCTGTGTGGGGAGCGGAAGGGCAAAAATCTCAGACGACGCACGATAATATGTATACATCTCTAGAAAGGAAGGGAGAACAATGGACAGGTTAAATCCGTACCCAGAAGTCTCACTGTCAGTGCGAAAGGCACATTATCGCATCGTCTGTATGAGCTTTCTTCAAGTCTAGGGAAACACCAGATGTACTGGCACGATTTTGCCAGAACCGCGGCGTCCCCGGGGGGTTCCGCTTGGCACGACACAAGCGGAAGCGGGCCACAGAACAGGGTGCCGCACACTACGGAACTTTTGATTGCCAAGTTGAGCTTCTGTTGATCCAAGGCTCGCCCCTTGCAAAGTCCTCATGATCTCGCTGACTTCGGGCTCAGTCAAGACATTTAGCAACCTACACAATTTCAGCCTCTTGGGTCGAATAGTAGGAGCACCAGCATAGTCGAAGTGCCCCCGCGAAATCCGTAGCGCACGCCTTGTCCGTCATATTTGAACGCTATTCGCACGCACCGAGCACTCATTCTCATTGGATTGGCGCAACCGTATGGCTTAGGGCTAATTGTACGCGGTAAGAAGAGAGACGAACAAAACTTCAGCTGCCTGGGCGCTTATATGATCTAGATTTGTATACTTCAGGGGAGTTTGTTACGTAAATAACGTATGCCCACGTGCACTCATAGATTTTGTGTCTGAACGTGCAAGCCGGATCCAAGGCGATAGCCCATCTTGAATTGCCAATGGCTTCTACGGGAGTCGACTACGCGGGCGCAGCCCCGGCGTACGGGAGCGACAAGACCGGCGGGGATGCCGAGAAAAATGCCTTCGGCCGGCCGTCCAGCATCGCGGAGTCGGTGCACATGGGCAAGGTTGACCAAACCCACCGAAAGCTTAAGAGCAGGCACATCCAGCTCATTGGAATCGGTGGCACAATCGGTACGGCGCTCTATGTCCAGATTGGCAGAAGCTTGCTTCAGGGTGGCCCAGCGTCTCTGTTCATTGTAAGACACCCGCACTCCAGATACGCAAGGGAAAAAAAGGGGACTGATCTCCAATCTAGGCCTTCTCATTATGGTGCAGTGTCATTCTGGCTGTAACAATTTCCATGGCCGAGATGGTGACTTATCTACCAATCTCCTCACCCTTCATTCGATTTGCCGGTCGGTGGGTGGACGAGGCAATTGGGTTTGCAACGGGCTGGAACTTCTTCATCTTCGAAGCCGCGATGGTTCCGTTCGAAGTCACTGCTTGCAACCTGATCATTCACTTCTGGAGTGATGCTGTTCCCGTTGGCGCAATCATTGCCATCACCATGGTTTTGTACGCCTTGATCAACATCCTGGCCGTGAAATGGTACGGCGAAACCGAGTTCTGGGCCGCTGTGGGCAAGGTCCTCCTTATTGTCGGTCTTATCATCTTCACCTTCATTGTCATGCTTGGAGGAAATCCGATGCATGATAGATTCGGGTTCCGATATTGGTACGAACCGGGTGCTTTCGCCGAGTGGTATCACACGGGAGATCTAGGCCGTTTCATGGGCTTCCTCCAGTGTCTCATTCAAGCGTCGTTCACCATTGCCGGACCCGACTACGTGTCCATGGCTGCGGGAGAGGCCGAGAATCCCCGTGGGGTGATGCCGAGAGCCTTCAACGCCGTGTTCTATCGTCTGACTGCATTCTTCATGCTCGGCTCTCTGTGTGTCGGCATTCTGGTCCCGTACAACGACAAGACGATGAGTGATGCTTTTAGTAACTCTGCTCCTGGTGCTGCAGCTTCGCCCTATGTCGTCGCGATGGGACGTTTGGGAATACCGGTCCTGCCTCACATTGTCAAGTGAGTTACCTCTTTCGACCCTTAAGCTCATGAGTGAGAATTCGGGGTCGCTGGCCCGCTCCTAAGCTGTGGGCCCCTCAGTACAACATACTAACTCGAACTTACAGTGCCCTCGTACTCACAGCTGCGTTCAGCGCAGGCAATAGCTAGTAAGTTCCATCTGTATATAAGTTTTCTCATTCGCGACTGGTTTGTATCTTCTGGACACGAGTCGCAACTGCCCAAGTCATTTGGTCTCATTCTAAACTAACTGCCTCGTTTCACAGTGTTTACTGTGCATCTCGATCATTATTCGGCATGGCACTTGAAGGCAAGGCGCCTGCTATATTTACCAAATGCTTGAAGAACGGGGTGCCCATCTACAGTGTCGTCTTCGTCCTCCTCATCTCGCTTCTCTCGTTCCTCCAAGTCAGCTCAAGTACCGCCACTGTCCTGAGCTGGTTTGTCTCCTTGATTACTGCATCCCAGCTGATCAACTACTGCGTCATCTGCGCTACGTACTGTAAGTGAGAGCAAAGACCACCCACCCCGCTACTTCCGCGCCTGGGCCCTGGAGTACATGCGCTTGGCTCCTTAGTCTACACCATCGCCCAGTCGTCTACTGCATAGTCGCCAAAGCCATAATGGAATTGCCTTGTCTGGTTCTATTTGGGAACAAATGCTGATATTGTTCTAGTATGCTTCTACCGGGCGGTGCATGCTCAAGGGATCGATCGGAAGACACTCCCATACGTAGGGAAACTTCAGCCGTACGCTGCGTGGTACGCGTTCATCGCAACCTTCGTAATGGCTTTCGTCGGTGGCTACACCGTCTTTTTGCCTGGGAGATGGGATCTGTCAAGCTTTCTGTTCTCGTAAGTCACTATGTATGTCACAATGCTAAAAGCTAACAAGGTTTTAGTTACATGATGATCTTCATCTTCCCTGTGCTCTTTATCATATGGAAACTTATTCACAGGACGAAATTCCATAAGCCGGAGGAAGTCGACCTGAAGCAAGACCTGGCTGGAATCGAAGAATACCACAGGACTTTCGTATCGCAGCCTGCAAAGTGAGTCTCGCTACATTATCCTAAAGTTGTTCGAAGTACTGACAAACCTTAGCTCTATGTTTGAAAGGGCATTGGACAAGGTTTTCGGTTAGACAACGATCGCGTTTATGAGGCGTGGCTTGATGCCGTTCTCTGCGAATCCACAGTGGCTACTACAAACTCGAAAGAAACACGTAGCAATTCGTACAGATAGCGACATGCGGTTCGGATCCGCCAGATAGTGGAGCACATAATCAATCAAAGAAAAGAGCCTGTTCGGTGCGACGTGCAGCACAAGAGGCTGTAGTCAGTATTGTATAAGTCTGGCTTGCTTTTCAATGACCCTTGAACTGTTAATGCAGTAGTCTCATTGGATCCTCCAGTATAAAGGGTATCTATCCGTACAACCTCCTCTAACCTCACGAAACATTGGTAATGGCCTAGTCATTCAAACAGGAACCCGACATCCCTCAGTCCAATGTCCAATCAGAATCTTCCTCATCTGTTCCAGACCAAACCATGCTATCACTGTCAATATATTCGTCACTTTCTTGCACATCTGATACATCATCTCGTAACGATTTCCCAGTGCCACCACTAGGTGCTTGAGCCCTGCTATCACCACCATGTGGAGACTTTCCTCGTCTGGCGGACGCACTCCTGGCATATCGCGTCCGAAGCATACGGGTCCGTCGCTCTTGCGGGAACAAGGGCGGGTTGCTGGAATTATTGCCACCAGAATGCTGACCTGATCCCACAGCCTTTCTATCACCCTTTGCCGACTTTGCGTTGCTTTCAGACAACCGTTCTGGGGTAGAAGATGCTCTGTGGCGTGGGTTCTGTGTCATTTTCTGTTCTGGCGATTTCGCATCTGTTCGTCGTCTTGCTTTACTCGTCCGCGGTTTCGCCTTCTTTTGACGCCTCGCTGCCAATATTTGCCCATCCCAGGACTCCACAACTTCATTGACTTTATCCAGGGTCATGTCGCGTGCTTTGAGTCTTGGAGTCCCACTCCTGAGTAACTTTTCGTATTCCGTGTGTTGATGGCGAATGTGTGCACGCAGTGCCAGCTCCGCCTTCTTCTCAACTTCCAGTTTTCCAGTCCTGCCCACGCGACCACTGCCCTTTTGCATAGCTGTCTTGACGACCTTCGGGGTGTCTGCGGCGGGGATTTTCGGGAAGAGCTTCACTATAGCCTCCCGAAACTGACGCTCCATTCCTTCATCGCGCTTCTGGACAGCACTCGCACGGTCTGCGCGTGTCGACGCTTCCGAGGCGCGCACGCGAGCAAGAACATTTTCGGGCACGCGGATACCGATCACTGCCTTGTTCTTGTTGACCACAACATACACGGTTTCCCCCGCGGCTTGTGTTTCCTTACGACAGTTTGCTGTCATGTAACGATCCCCTTTCGGGACGAAAACATATCCAGCTGGCATAGGTGTATGAAATCGTACGACAGGCTCACGCCTATCTGATGGCGCTGGCATCGCAGGCTTGACACAGACAATGATGAGACTGTGGAAACTCTGACCATGCCAAGTGTGGAAAAAAAAAGATTGAGTAGCCCTCGTTGTTCGCCTCTGCTAAGCCACTACAGGTGCTATAAATCCATCAAGTGAGAGGCAAATGTCTGGCTACTGAAAGAGCATTGTTTGAGAAGCTTGGTTGAGACGCACAGGAACAATGCCAGTGAGGAAAGGATGCATCTGATTCCAAAGGATGTCGCCCAGGCCTCAAAGGAAAGCGACAGACAGTGGGGTAAGCAACGTCGTCAGATCATATTGGACTGGGTATTCAATAGACGCTGCCAAAACGCTGGCTAGAAGAGACGGTGATGGTGACGGATACAGCCAACTGGTGGTGTGGTCAGGCTGCTGGCGGCTAGATACCTAGGTACGCGTGGAACAAGTCAGGCGCTAAAAAGGCCTCCAATTGGTGGCGCACCCACAGGCCTTTTCAGTTGCACCTGGCGCCAGTCGTCCAGGCTGGCGGTGACATCCACTCAAAAGAACCCCTTTTTCTACCATGTCTATATGTAAGGAGTTTGTTTTACGTCTTTGTCCACATAATGTTGTCGTGTGGATGGCTCAGTCGAACCTTTGCTATTATCGCATCGCACGGTCTTTCTCAAAGTTCCCCCAGATCCAAGTTGGTCTACTCTCACAGTGCCTAATCTATAAGGTATATCGAGCGCTCAAACAACCCCCTCATGCTTGGGTCGCTCTCCCTTCAAGTATACCGCTTTATCCATAGTTTTCAGTTTCATGTCTGTATTTACCGTCATGAATGATGCAGCAGTGGCCACAACCCCAAAGGCGATAGCGACTAGGTAAACCAGCGAGAATGCATCAACATATGCATGTTTGGTTGCCATCGCCGCAGCCGCCTGCAAAGTTGGTGTACTACCCTGTACGGCCTTATAAGCGGCTGCAGTATTGGTACCAGCTGCTTTTACCAGAGCTTGGAGCAGGCTGTCCGAATACGGTAGACCAGATTCCCGAATAGCGTCGACCATCTTCGAGGGCACAACCTGGGAGAACTTGGTGGAAAGGATGGCGGTATATATCGCCGTCGCAACGGCGCCGCCTAGAAGCCTGAACGTGCCAGCAAGGCCCACAGCGATGCCTATATCGTTTTGATCATCCAGCGTCAAGCTTAACATCGTAAATGAAATCAGCTGTGGTGGCGTGACCATAGCTGCCCCGATAACGATAGTAACGATTGCTTGACCTTTATCTTCTAGGCCAACAGAGGCGAGTGAGCCAATGAGTGCCGTCTGGGCAATCATGAAGAAGACCAACTGCCACTTTTCACGGTGAACGCGCGAGCACATAGTAACGACAATGATCCCAGCGACTGTTCTCTGTTAGCCATGATGCGAAACGGAATGTCGGGCATTGCACGTACGCCAGGTTCCGCACGAGAAAATCATCGCATAAACACCTTGAATGATTGGCGTATCAGCGCCGACAAAGAAGAGCTGTGACTGGCGAGGCCACAAGACGTTCATGCTATAGTAAAGCATGCCACCAACGAAGCATACGACGATGATCATATCGAACCTTTCCACATTAGTACATCTTCATCTATCTCATCTGGGGTAGACCTACTCTCTAATCTTCTTGAACATTTTGGGAGGCAGCATAGGGTACTTGAGATTAGCGTATGCTTCCCAAATCCCCAGGATTACACCGCACACAATGCCGATCACCATTGAGGCAATGACTGCCGGATGGCTCCAACCATAGGCTCTACCGCCCCAGTTGACACCTATGATGGCAATGTAAGTTTGGCCGGGTTGGAACGCCGATATGTCCGTTACCTACCTAGGAGGAACAATACATTTGCTGCGACGAAAAGAAACAGGCCAACATAATCGAGTTCCATGAGTAGCTGCAATCTCGTTTTGCCATCGGCTCTGTGTTTCAATTTGAAAGTGGGGGGATGATAGAAAACAGCGAGCATGAAAAAGCCAACTGTGACGGTCAGAAACATACCCGAAAGTTTCTGGATTGATCTGACATACACATGTGCCATGAGAACATGAACCAATATGCCCCTCGCCACCCAATGCTATGATAGGCGATGAATGCATAGGAGATGACCGGACTAACAAAGGCTAGGGCAAGGGAAACATCCAAGGAACCTAGGGGAGCATTAGCAAGTATGCCATAGCCAGTTGAGCATGCACTGGTCACTCCATACCGACGCCTATGATCCGGTATTTGTTGGGCAACATTTCCTGTATGATTGCGTATGCCATCTCTTGGAAGCCACTGCCAATGCCAAACAGGACTCCGGCACCAATCATCATGTTGATGTTTTTTGCATTAGCACCCACGAGGCAACCGATAATCGAGACGGCGGCTCCGAACATCATAAAGTATCTCCGCCCGAATATATCCGACAGCCTCCCGCCGACCGAGACGATCACAGAAGCACCAAGCGTCCAAGATACCGTGATCCATGTGTAGTTCGGGTCAGGACCCAGGTCGGCGTTGATGTAGTTCAGGGTGGTCGAAGGTATCAACAGCGTCATTATGTACGCATTGATCTGGGTTGCGATCGCAATACATGCCAGGATCGTGTGTTTCGTCAGCTTGTGCTCGGTTTCTTCAGCTTCTTGGGGCGGCGATACGCTATCGACGTGCTCGACATGTTGGCCGCCCGTTTCCAGCTCTTTCTTGCCAAAATCAAGAGGGACCTCGTTGACCGGCACAGCGGGAATTGCAGGGATTGGCATCGTGATCAACTATGTTGTTCTCTTCAGCAGCCCAGGAATAAAAAGCTTGAACGTTGGGAGGATTTTTTGATGAGCCAATTATCAAGTCTTTTGGCCATGGTTCGAGTATAATAACATCAGAGATAACTCTACGATTTGTAGTTCAACTTGACTCGAACACTTGTGCTTACTATGTCACACAGGATCTCGGAACAGGAAACTGCATTGCAAGGCAATGAGTCCCATTGGCTAGATGCACCCCATTCGCCTTATTTCCCCGCAGATCAATGTATAGCATGGAATTCTATGTGATGAAAACGGTATCCATATGGGAAAGCATCTCCTGCGATCGTCTGCTCCATCCCGTTCTTGCTGTCTAAACTTGCAACCTCGTCTGAAAAGTGGTCTGCGCCTGGGAGGTCTGGAGTATACGGTCGTGACGTTCGAAGACAGAACTCATTGAAAAAGGTTACTTTCCCCCATATTGAATATTCGCTCGATTCAAGGATTTCTCAAATGATTATGGGTCTGTATATTGCCCGGCTCTCTTCCAATTTGGAAGGCTTTGGGTAGCGGGCTACATCACCCGCGAAATGTTTTCCGAACCACTTAGCTTACTCTCACTGTACGCCATGACTTGTCCGTCCACCCGGTCTTGCTTCTACAACCGATCCAAACATCATTTTAAAGAGTCAAAATGCTGTATGACATCCCTGTTACATCTCAGCCGCTCTTGCGCCGACAGGTGAGGCCAATGTCCATGCTGCCGCCCTGTTGCTGGGATCCCATCAACCCCTGACACTATGATTGGAAGACATCCTGCATGACTGTCCCGGGAATATTGCCCAATGCGACGGATATGGGAGGTCGCAATAAGCATAACTCTTTAGCAACCATACAAAATCGATCAACACGGTGTAGCTTAGATTAGGTTGAGGAACAAGTTACGTAGGATTTTGATGCTATGCGATATCGCAGCTCTACTATGTACCCACGAGTATTTCCTCATGATCCTCGCCTTGAATACTTTCCCAAGACAGTTCGGTTTTAATACCGCCAGTCAAATTATGGAGGTCTGACCATGTGTATCTCGTTCACAGTCTTGTGGCGAGCACGTATCCGCGACAACTGGTCGCGCTTTTGTTGTATGGCGTACCTTCCGGCCAGCAGGCATTTCCACCTGTCGGTGGATTATATGGATTCTTGCGATATGCCCCTGACTTCATAAACTCGTAGCCAGCGCGAGGGACCTTGTTCATGAGATGTTGTCCTCGTCCATGGCGACATCTTCGTCAGTCGTCTTCTTGTCCTTCGGCTTTACCTCAGATGCATCTGTAGCAAGATTAGCACTGCAATTTGTTCGCATTTCTAGCCGTGTACCCACCCTTCATTTCAACCTCGCCTTCAGCCTCCATTTTCCTCTTCATGGCACGTGCCGTTCTGCGCTCCAGCTTCTTCTGTGCCTTGGCGCTGAGCGCTCTGTTGGGACCGCTTGTCGGCAGGAGACCGCCTCCGGCCCCGCGCTTCTGGTCTGCCTTGTTAACCTTGGTCTGGCCGGCGGCGGACGCCTTCTGGCTTCGCTTGCGAGCACTGGCGCGGCGCGCAGCCAGGCGGTTCTTCGAGGGACCGTTCGGGTTCTTGACGGACGGCATCGTGGAGGTACGGACGGCCGGTTGACTCTGGCTGTGAAGGTGATGATGGTCGACAAGGCACTGCAGAACATGGGAATTTTTGGGCGATAAGGCTTGCTATCAGCAAAATTTCAGCGGGGCCCCGTTAGCCCGCATTGGCGCGGAATTGTTCTTTACAGCGGGGACTCAGTAGCGACAACGCACCCGAGCCCCATCTGTTCTAGCCCCTCTAAGCACAGCATCACGGCGGGGATGATTTGGTCAGCGATTAATCTACCCCATACACTTTCTACTTGATGTAGTTTCAGTGGTAGAAGAGGCAACATCTCTTCGCATGTAATGCAGATGGGTGTTCTGTCTTCTTATCTATGACACGATCGATATAAATACTCGCTCCAGCGGTTCGAGATAATTCTCGAGTTTCCTTGCAACGGTGCTATGGTGTTAATTATGTGTATTTAGGTTGTCGAGCAAGCGAGCAGGTAGGCTGATAATCGATAAATATGTTGTCTGTTGGACACGAGTATCTAGATATACCAGGTACTACCTAGGTTCCTAGGGAAACACTCGATATGCCGAGTTTTAGATGCGCCGCCTATACCCAGGTCATGGCGACTACCGGCAGGGACACCCTCCAAAGTCTGCACTTTCTTGCCAACCTGGGAAGAAGGGGCTTTCTTCTAATGTGCCAACCTGCCAGCCTGCCTCAGTTACGCCATCTTCCTCTTGCTTCTTCGCCCAGCGCTCCAAAGCTTCCTCAGCCACTTGCTTGACGTGAGGCTCCATCTTGTAGCTGATCAGTTCTCGCTGTCCTTGGGTAATCACCCGGTGGAGTAACGCTGGTACGTATGGCTCCTTGGCGAGCTCAACCAAGGGTGTGAATACGGCCTTGAAATTGAAGACCACCGCCCCGGAAATGGGTAGGCGCCTCAAGGTCTGCCAATCGCATCGTAGCTGTAGATCCTCCACTTTGCACGCCGAAGCGTTGTCGTGGAATGCGCTTCGTGGGTGGTCTTCTGGGCAAAAGAAAGCTTCCCAGTCCTCAATACCCCACGAACCTCTCTGTACCGGTGCATCTGTGGGCAGCTTGGTAAACCATCTGTGCGTGTTTAGCCTGAAGTCTGGATCATGACATTAGTCGCTACTGACCGGTCAACTGAGAAAGCCATCTTCTCTTCCCATTGCGGGACAGCATCGTGAATCTTTCGAAGGATCTTGTTCTTATGCAACCCAATATTCCATCCGACAGAGCTGCAGACCATGGCGCTGCGCAGATAGTACATCCCGTCCTCTTCGTTGCGGCACATGACCGCGAAGTCTTCTGGGATAGTGCGGTACAGCACCTCGAGGGCCGGCATAGAGCCAATGACTATCGACGTATCCAGCAGGCGATTTCGAAGAATCGTGTTGTTTTCCTCCAGCTGGAAATAGTGAGGATACTTGATGCATATGTTCTGCAACACCATCTCCATCAACTCCCGGCTGGCCAGCTCGGAACCAGGCGCTTCAAACATGATCCTCTCACCATGTTGCTCCCAGATGTCGATGCGTTGCTTCATGCGAGTGAAGTAATTATGCTCAAGTTCAATCCAGTAGTCAGACTCCATTTTCATCAACGCTATACGAAGTCGTTAGAGTCACTAGTCACGTACTCCGTGAAATTTGACTTACACATTGTCTGGTGATAGTTCCATCTGAAAGGTCGAAACGGCCGAAACACAGCCTTCGATATGTCAAATGACGGGTTTGGCTTAGGATGAGGCACACCACTCAGGACTGAGTAGTCTGGAAACTTTCCAAGGGCCTTGATCTCCTGCGTCAGAATGCCTGTGGGTGTGAACTGATCTTTCCGGTTTAGATCTTGTGTCCCCTTAGTGGTAAGTTGATTCCTTTTCAAGTCTGCTACCGGAACAACATTCTCCTTCTTCACGATCTGGGACCTGGGTAGGAGCTTCTCGAGAGCAGCACGTCTTGACGGAGGGAAGACGCTGGCGTTTGGGTAGGCTTCTGGCTTCTCATCCACGGCCTGGTAGAGGGTACGGATTCTTGAAGGCAGTTGCCTCGGTGCAAGAAAGGCGACGAGCAATCCTATTGCCACGAACCCGAGGATTGCAAGCCCCAGCATCGGGATGGATTCTATTCCATGCCACCAAGCAGATGTGTCGTGACCCATTATGAAATGTACAAAAGTGGACGATGGCGGCTTTTGGCTGGTTTTGCAAACCGACTTACCATGGAGTGTTGCGCATTTCATATGCATCATGGCCCTATTCCTTATATCTGGTCAACATCCTTATCAGTCACAACGCTGATATTGCCCTATCGGACGAGCCTGATCTCCCCCACCGTTTCACAGCCGGATCTGACAGTGCTATCGGCAGCCAGTGACGTTGGGGGTAACTCTTGACGAGACGGCATATGGGGCCTATTGCTGCTATGGTCCCTTTGTGCTGCGGGGAAAACTTGGGTGTGTTTGCCCAATTAGGTAGAGTTTCGCGTGCTGCGATAAACGTAGGGCTGATGATGGTCACAAGGCCCCAGATTGCCCACCCTTGCACTGCTTCGAGTTGATTGAAAGTCAATGTTCTTCTAATCGCCGGGACGTTGGTATGACCCAGTTGCTTGTTTAGAAGACTTCATGACTGACGTTTTGGGATTTACTATACCAAAAGCAGTCCATGCCCACTGCTTCGTTGCCATAGGGGTATCAATTATATTGCTTCTAACCGATGAACCTGTTGATGCATATAAGCACCAATTGCAGACATGGACGCTCATCGGTATCCGCCGCCAACAACAGCACCAAAATAGCCTCCGCAAGGGCGAAGGACGCCCCTCGTTCTAATATTCCCCTAACCGGCGGGCATCAAAATTGCTCTTAAACTCCATTACGCCATTTCGTGATTTCATAAAAAGCCTAACCGCAACACACTGTCGGCTCTTCGACGCCCTTAGGTACCTCCTGAGAGTCCTCATCATCAATGACGACCTTGTGCACCATCCAATCACAGACGAACTTCCCAATGCCTGCTCCAATAATGATGCAAATGATGATATAGCCATTGAAGTACATGGCGAGCAACATGATGATATACGCGAGTCCAAATGTGATCGCATGTATCACAGATCTGACCAGCTGTTGCAGCGGCGTGGCGCGGAATGTGACGATCCTTGGCCCTGTGCTTCCGACTTCTGCTGGAGCGCAACACGATGCGCCTGCACTTTTCGATGCCTTCGATAATGCAGCCTGCGCGGAGACATGGCGTTGGAACTGCCGCAGGATCAGGGCATCGTACTCCTTGCCGACGCGTCGCAGGAACTCCAAGATCACGCCCAGTAGTATCACGCCAATGCAGGTTGCGGCAAACATGCCATTATTGGTAATGTGCCACGACTCTGAGAGAAAGCAGGCATCTATCGTATACCAGTTCCACAACATCTATCTCGCGAGTTAGCGGCTGGACCTGCTTTGACTGACGGACAAGTACGTACGGAAACCTGGCAGTCCGAGCTGTTGCTCATACTGTGGCTGCTCATATCCATCCTCGCGACTGACTGTTTTTGGTCTCTGGTTGGTGCTTCGAAGGTGTGCCAGAAGCCTGTCTAATGTCGAAGCTGGTCAGTCCTCGGCTCCTTGGTTTGCCCGCGCGCACGCTTCGCAGATAAACAGCACTCCCACGGCCCCCGGCAGAGTTCAAATATCTTTGTCACGAGATATTGACTGCGTCAACCTCGAACGAAGGATGTATCGGATGATGCGAAAGTGGATGAGAGCAGGATAGAGCCCAATATTACCGTGTTTCAACCATTGGGCCAAGAATGATCTGGTCCATCTCCTGATGGGCACCTTTTCCTCTTATCCCAACGTGGCCGAACCCGGCTCCACGGTAGGTAGCACGGCGTGAGGGGCTGGATCCCGATGGTTGTGCCCCCCGTGGGTCGCCGGACCCCTAGATCAATTGAATAGCGCTGCTGTCATTGGCGCTTCTCCAGTGAATCTTGCTCGCCAAGCTTTGTGGTCAGCGGCCGACCCCTGGAAAATGCACTCACCAGGGCCCATCCAACTGGAGCCTCGCCGCTCAGATCCCCATATTTCGCCTTGGCGAAACGCACCTTGCGGAGATCGCAGTGGGCATCTGAGCAAGTTTCTCGCGTAACAGCCTGAGCGGCCGTGACGCTGATGTGGGAAGAGGCAGGCAAATAGCCGCCATTCTGGTGCGATTCCAGCGCGACCAGCGGCCAGCCCGCCCCGAGCCATGGGCAGATGAGCCCGTCCATATATCGGCCGGGTGGCCCTCGACGGCCTGGCTGCGGAAGCCGTTGAAACAAGCGAAACTTTCCAGACCATCGGGTTCGCAGCGGTCGCGAGCAACATACCACCTTTCTGGCCCTGATCTTCACGCCAGTCCGGCAAGATGGCGACTCTGGAGAGCCATCTCACTGCTCGCCACATCCAGAACCACAGTGAGGCAACATCAACGGAGCCTCATTGGGGTTATGTCGATCGGGATGTGCCCTGCACAAGCGATGCCGGGTCGTGCGAGTATCTAGACCTCGTCTACGGAGCTCATGATATTGGCATGCTCTATTCTGGCATCCTGTGGTGTACCATCGGGGGTATCCTGTTCGCATGGGCAGTTGCTCGTCGAGCATGGCCATCTCGAAAGACGGAGGATGTGGTCACGGTGGACAGCGAAAAGGGGGCAAATGGCTTGGGGCGCGCATCGCGGTTAAGGAGGACAATTGCGTCCAGCACGCGATCGTACCTTCTACCTGATTCAGTCCGGGCCATATTTGGTCGAACGACAAGACTGCAGGTACTTATCCTTGCCGCGCTAGCTGGATATCTCTTGATTTGGAGTTTTGTTGGCATTGTGTACAAGACCTGGATCACTCCCGTCAAGAAGAGCCCTGGGTTGTACAACACCAGAACGAGTCTCGGGCCATGGGCTGATCGAGTTGGTATCCTTGCATATGCGCTGACGCCTCTTTCGATCATGCTGGCCAGCAGAGAGTCGCTACTTTCTCTGCTGACGGGTGTACCTTATCAAAGCTTCAACTTCCTCCATCGATGGCTTGGTTATATCATTGTCATTCAGAGTGCCGTCCACACCATTGGCTGGACCGTCATTGAGGTTCGCCTTTACCAACCCCAACCGACTACTGCCATTACTTGGATCACACAAACCTACATGATCTGGGGCATCGTGGCTATGATTTTGATCCTTTTGCTGTTTGGCCTTAGCACACCTTGGGGCATTCGGTTGACGGGTTACGAAACCTTTCGCAAAGCCCACTACGTACTGGCAATGGTGTATATCGGCGCATGCTGGGGCCACTGGGCTCAGTTGAGCTGCTTCTTGTACCCTTCTCTGCTCCTTTGGGGCCTAGACCGGGCAATCAGACTTGTCAGAAGCGGATTGATTCATTACCAATACCTGCCTGATGGCTCGATGGGCTTCAAGGCCGCCCACGCCAAGCTTACACACTTTGCTGACTCCGAACATGGCGATGTTGTGCGAATGGATTTTGCACACAATCAGGACGCTTGGAAGATTGGCCAGCACTTTTATCTATGTTTTACTGAGAGCAGTATCTGGCAGTCGCATCCCTTCACACCACTGAACCTTCCCGAAGTCAAGAATGGCCTGGTAGCGCATTCGTATATCCTCCGAGCCAAGAAGGGCGAGACTAAGAAAATCGCCGAGCTGGCCGTGAAGAAGCTTTCGGAGAAGTCGACGGCCACAACACCTTTGATTCTATCGGGTCCGTACGGCGAATCTATTATGGAGAGCCTGACGCCGGATGCAAACGTACTCTGTATTGCTGGCGGTACAGGCATTACCTACGTCCTCCCAGTGCTCCTCAGTTTGATCCAGCAGCCGTGCACAAGGGATCGTAAGATTGAGCTAATCTGGGCTGTTCGGAGAAAAGACGACATCAGATGGGTTCAGTCTGAACTTGACTCGATCCGGAAGGCCAGCAAAACTCACTGCGTCACCGTTAACGTATACGTAACCCGAGAGCACAGCCCATCACCCTCACTGAAAGACGGGAAAACCAGCAGCCAGGATGCGTCCGTGAAGGAAGTTGGGTCCACGTCTTCTGCATCGCCATCGGTGTGCGGTGGATCTTGGGAAGTGCAAAGGATCGGCGACGTTGACCACAATACGCACCCGGACCTGAAGGCGAAGGTCAACAGCTTTGTAGACAACACGGTACGTGGTCGTACAGTCGTGTATGCCAGTGGGCCAGGAGGCATGATCAGCGATTTGAGAACCATCGTGGCAGCCTGCAACTCGGCCGCAAAAGTCTGGAAGGGTAACGAGCGCCATGACGTGGCCTTGACGTGTGATGATAGACTCGAGTGGTAGAGAAATACCCCTGATAATGAGATATGAACTTGCTTTGGCTACTTGCGTCTCTTCCGGATAGATGTTGCAACTTGTGCGCTTCGGGAGATCAATGTGTCGGATCCTAAGTCAATATCGATGCCTAAGCTTCGGCACTGCCATTGGTAATCCGAATTCAGGTTTATTGGCATCGGACAACTTGTCCTGGGTGAATCTTGAGCTTGTTGCCCGTGCTTGGCGTTGGCTGTGATCCGATCGGGGCAAATGCATAGCGTTTACTAGCCTGGCTTTAGGTTTTTGGAACCTTAGGGTCGGTATCGTCAGGACGGGTAGCTGCAGGCTTCTCCAGGCACCAATTGATTGCCTTGAGCTTAAGAACATGTAGACATCCCATCTACTTTGCCAAGGTCTCCTTAATCGGGAGCCTGCTTCTGGAGTCCTAGGTGGGGGTCCTCATTGGCAGCGTGGTTTGGAGACTCCACAGAATTGACCGGAACTCGCCCCAATATGATGGCATTATATGCAACATTCGGTCTTGTCATAACTTTGGCTTACTAGATACACAATTCCTCTCTTCGTGACGAACACAGCCAACGGGTTCCATAGTGAATCAGGTTCAGCCTACCTGAGCTTGAGAATGCGCCACCATGTAGAGAAAGACACGCATATATATAGGAGCGACGGGCTCGGATCCCGTTAGGACCTGTATCTGTCACTGAAATATAAAGAGTATTACTCGGTTACTACCTGTTTACATCTCATTCAAGATTGACATCATGCATTTTCAGTCTATGTTAGCTTCAATCTACCCCTTGATCCTAGGAGCGCAAGCTGCAGTCATCATGCGAGACGATACATATATCGGGAACCTGACATCATACGGAGTAAAGGGCTGCAGTGACAGCAACCCTGGGTACGGGGATTTCGGCACTGGCTATGTCGGCTTCTGTAACCAAGGGTCAAGCTGGAACTCAATGTACCTTGACCTGCTTGACGACTATGATTGTAAGTAGATTATGACCTGTTACTGTTTCATGCTAGATGATGGATCCTATATGTATGAAGATGGCTAATGACCGGGACAATATTCAGTCACTGCGTACTATGATGGTACATGCACCGCGGGAACTGGGCAGAACATTACACGAAACCCCGCTGGCGGAGTGTATTGCAATGATGCAGATGGTGCTAGTCCATGGGTTTCGTACTGGGTTTCACCTAAAGCTTCATGAGTCGTAGTCTTAACGGCCAAGTGAACCTCGGTAATGGAGTTATTTGACTGTGTTGGAGCCCATTCGTCTTTAGAATATGTAGACTGTCATACAACATTGGAATCCAGTATCTCGTTTACTTTCGAGTTCGCATGGGCCTCTTCTCTTATGTGCACACCGAATGCCTCATTCTCTTCTCGGTCCTTGTTTGACCTGTAGTCTAATCTGGCATAGGTCTCAACTGTGTTGGTGATTTTCTTAACGTCAGAAGGAATCAAGAGACTCTGTCCGTGATCTCGATCAAACAAGTAGATGAGTTCGAACTCAGCTGTTCCTGTCCAAAGTCTTGGTGTCTTTCTGAGCTCGATTAGGTCCGCTGATGTCATAGGTTTGGTATCGCCATAGTGAATGTAGCCTGCAACGGCACCAGCGTTGATCACACAGTCACGACCAGCAACGATGGCAGTGGTCCGTTTTCCAGCGAGATTTTCGCGCCATAGTATGTGTTCCGGCCAATGGATACGCCGACACACAGTGTGGGCGGTTCTTGGATCCAAGGCGGCTCCCCAGGCAATCTGCACCTCGGGGGCCGTCAGGGGTTGCTTCCGCGTGATATTGTACGCTGTGTCTGGAAGGTGCATGAGAATTGCCGCCGGATCAATTAAGATAAGAGAGTTTATCATCGGTGAGATTCCTGTGTCATCGAGCAGCGGGCGGGCAAGAAATGTGCCGTAAGAGTGACCCACGAACACGAAATCATTGATATCCTGCTGGGAGAGTATCTGTCGCATGGCCTTCACGTAGTCCTCCTGAGATACTGCCTCAGGGCATATGCGTCCGGAGACTGGGAGAAACTCGAGCGCGAGGACACCTATCTCCTTGGGAATGGTACGAAGCCAGTAGAAATAAGTGGACAAGCCTATGCCTATGCCATGGCAAAAGATGATGGGACGGTGGGTATTCGACTTGTGCGGACGATATACATAGCTGAAATGCGGTGACACAGATTCCTTCGTTGAGAACAAAGTCATAATTCGAAACGGAAAGACCTTGAGAAACGATATTCGTGGTTGTCGCCAAACGCCAAATCCATTGAAGATGAGCAGTAGAGTCGCTGTGTTGTCAACAATTCCAAGTAAGGCATACCAGAGCAGAGATCTGTGAATCATTTTGACCGGATCCAAGCTCAATCGCATCGGCCTTGCGTCAGCTCTACCCCTTGGTAATGTCAGACCCGATCTTGACTCGGCCTCGCAGACGTATTCTTCCAGCTCGTCGGGGTCAATGTCGGTATCACTAATCACTCCCCATAGCGCCCACAGCAACCAATCTTTCACATCGTCCCTATACACCTCGTCCAAGTGCGCATCGTTGAACCACTTCCGGATGAACAGTCGTACGTCAGGTACATGGTTCAGCAGCCTCTCGATCAAGGCCTTTCGCTGCGCCCGGGTCGTCGGTATCATGGAGAGACCCGGTCTTTGGAGGTACGCCTTGAATGGGAGGAACCATATAAAGTACCAGAGTATCTCAATAGCTCCATACACCTCGACTGTTATTGAAAATGGATGGGATATAGCAGGTATGTTACCGACGAAAAGCGCAACCACAAAATAAAGAAAGCATCCCAAGCCAACGTACCCAACCAGATACTTGCCTGCTACAACGAGAGCGTATGTAAACGGGTTGTGATTCACAAGCATATTGATCGATTATGCATAACCAATACTTAGTATTGGTGGATACATCCGACCTCAGCAGTGACTTCAAAGTAACCGGTCGGGACTCTGTTTATGTTATGTCTCATCATGGTGGTTCAAGGTACCGCTGCGCTCTTGAAATTCTGGTCAAGTCATTCCTCGGCTCAAAACACGAGGAGCTTAGGAGAGTGCCCGATTGAAGTTCATAGATGCCTCGGCTAGACTGCAAGCAGGACGGCGATCAATCCCCGCCGCTCGGCCCCTGTTGCAGATCCGATGCGCACAACAGGTGCCCCTAACCATGGCCTGACAAGGGAATTGATTGGACGTCAAGAGCTCTTCTTCTGGATATGGTTTGGAGCGAATTGTTTTGCATGGATGGCAGGACTGCATATGATTCGTGTATCATGGACGAAGTATGCGTTGAAACCTCAAACAAGTTTGGGTTCAATAAGTTTAATCTGAATTATAATTGAACAAGAACAGAAATGCACCGCACCAGTCTTTCTGTAACCAGAACAATTAGGAATCTAGATAGCATCACATGATGCTGTTCGTACATAGAGTGTACATGGGCGATCCTTTACCCTCGCCCCACCAATTCGGCACTCATTTACAGCAATTATAGCAGAGGCGTTAACTGCAGCTTTGTGAACCGGAAATCGAACGGTCCCGTCGCCGAGCTACTCACCGTAACATCACATGTAAAGGTCACCGTCTCAGGGGCAGAGCTCGCCACCTGCCAGTAGTTAGCCACCAGGAGCCATGAGTTGAGCGGCCGGGTCTGCCCAGTCGTCAATGATATCCCTTGTATCCCGCAAAGCACCCCCGTTACGAAGTTTTGGGTACCGGAGACGTAGTAGTTGACGGACACGAGATACCTTGTGACGCTACGGTCATAGGTGACAGACTGTGAGAACCGCCACTCGCCGCCCGGTTGAATCGTAGCGCCATTACAAGAGCCCGCGAAGCCAAAACAGTCTGCGGAGGACGAGAAGACGCTGGGTGAGGCGGCGGTCGTGGTAACGTCCGCCCAGGGGGCCAACCCAGCACTGAAATCGCTGTTGACGAGATAGTTCGTTGGGAGCGTTCCTGCGCCGTTGACCGCCATGGTGAACTGGCTGATGGCCCCATATCCGCCTCCAAGAGATCGGAATGTGCATTGAATAATTGTCTTGGGGCCGTACGCCGTAAAGGTCAACGCATAGCTGGCTGCGGCCGATGACCTCGTCAGGTCACGGTAGGCACCGCCAACAGTGCACACTCCCCATCCATTGCTGATTGTGAGCGAGGCAAGGAACCCAACTGTGTACGAGGTACCTTCCAAGGTGTCAAGCACCTGAGACAGAAACACGTCGCCGTTGTTCATGTTAAAGGCCGCACATGTGGATCCCACGGAAGCGCTCCCACTTCCACAGCTGGAGGAGGCAACAATGGTGGCGCCGTTGCCGGACACGGCGGAGGTCTGCCAGCTAGTGAGCCCATTGCTAAAGTCACCGTTGAGGATTGTGGCCGTCGGTCCAGAGGCGCTAGACGTGGTTGTGGAGCTGGAAATGGGCTCGACCGAGGAGCTGGAAGTCGTCTCAACCGAAGAGCTGGAAGTTATTGAGAAGCTGGAAGTCGTCTCAACTGAAGAGCTGGAAGTTATTGAGAAGCTGGAAGTGGTTTCAACCGAGGAGCTGGTTGAAGGTTGAATATCCACTGATGATGTTGTCGTGCTTATGGAGTCAACTGATGAGCTGGATGATTGAACTGAAGTTGTGGATTCCGTGACTGTTGATCCCGTCACAGTGGGAGTGGAAGCCGTGGAAAATGTTGCTGAGGTGGAAGTCTCGGTCGTCAAAGATGATCCAATGGTAGCGGAAGCCGTCGTCAAAGTGCTGTAAGATGTCGACGTCGACGTCTGAGATTCTGTGCTCGACAGGGTTGTGGAACTCGTGGGACTTGCGGCAGAGGTGGAACTCTGGATTATAGTGGAGGATTCCGTGTTTGAGCCTGTCATGGAGGTAGAAACCTGGATGGCAGTTTCGCTTATGGTCGATGTAGATATGGCCCCATAGATTGAACTTAGCGACGAGCTGCTGCTGCTCACTTTCTTACCACAGGGCTTGGCAAGGGCGCCAGCTGAGAGGACTGACGCCCAGAGAAGAAAACGAGTGTGATGCATCATGTTGATGCCGAACAAAAAGAGCGAGTGCGACGTAGAACGAGAGTGAGGGAAGTCCCATACGGACTGCAACATTGACAGGACCGAGACATCTTGAAATAATCTCGGTTGCTGCAGATTCAACCTGCCTCATTCCAGGGCTTGTCTGTGGACAGCTGAGATGACGCTAAAGTCGGGCGGCTGCACTGCTAGTGTTCCGTGGCTCTCGTTAGAGCAGTGTTGGCATGCAGGCGCCCCATCACATTCTACTCGTTGCGGTTTAAGTATGCAACGCCACCTATTTGGAAATATTTCTAGGGCGACGTCGCTCATAGGTGGTGTTTTGGCAGGTCCAAAAAGGGGCAGGTCAGAACGCCCCAAAAAGGCACCTCCAGGCGTGATCCCCGTGCCACTTCGGTCGTACATTTCCTGTAAGAGGGCCGTCCTCTGTTGTAATGCAAACACTCAAGGATATGGCATTTGAATGTGAAATGCTAACCATCATTTTACCACACATGGAATGCTATATATAGGATATTTACAATCCTACAGAGATTTATAATACCCCAAGCCTTTCATCTTTTCATGCACCCCTAAACTCCAGAACTCCCGATTCGCCATGCCCAATGCTATGGAGCATAAAACCTTTCACCTTCAGCTTTGCATATCGACGATGAGCTTCTTGCCAGCCATGTCGCCACGCTTCAGCCTTTCAAGGCCTTCCTCGACTGCCTTCAATCCACCGCCTAGGACTTCGATTTCGGGGAGACGGATTTCGCCAGACTCGACCAGTCTAGTCAGTTGTTCCGAGTAGATGGCGGACGTTGGGTTCAAGACAAACTGCTTCATCTCTACGTTGAGCACCTCGATGTTGTCGGCCACCTCAACCTTGGGTGCCCAAGCCAGTGGGGCGAAGCGAGCCGGATGTGAGGTCGATAGACACTGCAAAGTAGCAAGCGCTGTACTGGCCCCAACAAGGTCGACACCCATAGTGATATCGTCACCGGCGATTCTCTTCACCTCGTCTATTATTTCTTCGTTGGATCTCCCGTCGCGGGCAACGACGTGCTCAGCGCCCAGATCTTTGAGCGCCTGTGCGGTCTTTGCAGAGTTGACGGAGATCACTCGCAAGCCACTGCGCTTGGCTAGCTGCGTCAGGAACTGACCCGTAACCGACGATCCTCCCCAGATGAGCATCAGAGGCATATCTGCTGGTTTGGACTGAGGGGTTGTCGGTGGCGTAAATGGGGTTCCGTAGGGCAAGGGAACCTCGAACCATCTCCACAGTGTCATGGCTGCCGTCAGTCCACATACACCTAGACATGCTGCGGATGTGAAGGACGTTTCTGACGACATGAGCGAGACTGTGTGCTGCGGAACAATGACGGACTCTTGAAAGCAGCCTGCCCGACGATCACGGTAATATGTCGATGTCCATACTCTGTGGCCAGGTTCTAGGTGTTGTACCGCTGAGCCAACTTCTTCGACCACGCCAGCCATCTCACGCCCCGTGATCCAAGGCAACTGTGGGAGGCAGAAGTTGTAGTCCACCGACTTGTAGTCTATTTGGTTCAGGCCGACTGCGCAAGTCCGGATCTTGACTTCGTGTTCCGATAGGTAAGCCGGCGTTGTAAAGTTGTCCTGCAGTTCGTATTTCCTTTCATGGTTGACAATGAGTGCTCGTTGTGTGAACGTCGATGGTTGAAGCTCGGTGATAGATAACGCAGTGCGTTGCTTGGCTGGACGTTCTTGGACCATTCCTGGCTGCACGAGCTGGGTTGTCGTCGTGGTCATGGTCTTAAGGTTCGTAGGCTTAGAACAGCGCGCAAAGAGTAGGGACTAGAGTGGCAGTGTGAGAGTTGGGTATTGTAAGGTCGGAGACAGGTTGTCTGTGTTACTGGACTTATACGAAAGTCGTAACTAGACATAAGTATAACTGATCCAGGCGCATCATCTTGTTTCAAGGTGGTCATACGGCTAGGTCTCTCTATTCCCGGCTACCGGGGCTACCTAACCCGGGAGCGGCTGTGGGATCGCTGTGGAACAGTGATCCGACCCGTATCAGTAAGTCAGTCATTTTGCTCAAGGTAGAGTCGGATGCGTCCGAGCTAGTTCCACTGCACATCGATTAGGAAGCAATTTGCGCTTTAAAGAATGCAAATTAGACTTCGGGTTGATATGCCATACCGAAATCCCATATCATAGTAACCACAGACAGAGGCTCCCTTCTTCTAGAAAGCCAAAGCTCGGGAAAAAGTTATGCACCTCCTAAGCCCTGAGATACAGTCGGCAAGTGAACCATGTCCCGAGGGCAGGGGGATGCGGCACTGCTGACCTGCTAACGCATATCTTGGGGTTGCCGTTATCTCCAACCCAGATTGCGCTAGGCTTGGACAATTGGAGATCCATCTCCTTCGGGGAGCCACCGTCTACCCGCATCGCCCCAAACTCGTGGCGCATCTGGGAAGTGGTCTCAGCATTTTGTGGCAATGCCTTTGGAGATAGGGAAACTATCATCTAGGAATATAGGAGCCCCTCCGATGTCCTAGGAGGGAGAAGATATGGGGCTACGGAGCGCTTGAACCTGCCTGCGAACCTGCCTGCGCAGCTGGAGCAGACCTGATGTTAAACGTCGCCGTTTACCGCTCTGCTTGTCTCCTCCCAATCCCTCCGCAATGACGACACGCAGCCCAGCCGGAAGAGCCACTGTCAACCCCAACTTATCACGATAAGCTTAATAACTGACTAAACTTGATGTAGTGGTTGACCCACTTCAGTCGCGATAGGAGGTCGATAAGTTACTCATTGTCATTATCCGAACGCCAAGCCAGGCAGGTCAGGTGAATCTTCCTTCGGCATCTCACTGCATTCCGAAGTAAGCTATGGCAAAAGAGTATTATGGACTGAGGAAGCGTACCCGGTTCAATCGAGCGTGAGACGCCCTACTCTTCCTGATTCACCGGCAGCCCAACAGACGTGTCCACCGACGCACTCAATACTGTCGAAAGAGCCATTGTCAAAAGCATGCCAAGTTTTGCCTCCGTCAATAGTCAAGTCCGACCCCGTTGGGCCGACTGCAATGGCTCCTCCGCAGAAGCCTGGCACCCACGAGACCCCAGATCGATAGCCCCCAGGAAACCTGTCGGACGGCTGCCAGGTAACGCCACCGTCGATAGACCATGCCGAGATGCTCTCAGTCTTGTTGGGAGCCTCGTAGTCACCTCCAACCGCTAATCCTCGGTGCGCATCTTTGAAGGCGACGGAGAAGACACCGGCTGCTGATCCGCCGGCTATAGAACTGTTTGCGACATCCCACTTGTGACCATCAGCGCTTCGGTATATGCGAGCAGCACTTGTCCCTCCTGAAGCCAAGTACCAACGGCCAGCTGCAGTGGAAAGACAAGTACCGCTCGCTGCAAAGCCAGCCTCCCCATCCAGAGCACTCGGCATGCCGCGGGGATCCACGATGCTCCAGCTGCTGCCCCCATCGACTGTTTCTATGAGTCTATATCTTCCATCCACCGGGTCGCTCATGGCCAGGCCGTACTCTGGAGTTTCAAAGGCCAGGCAGTCGTAGAAAGCAGCTGAGTCGTTATTCGTGAAAGACAGGCTCCAAGACTTGCCCCCATCTTTAGTCCCATATATCCGCGATGCGTTGCCCTCGCCAATTGACAGTATTATGGCGCTGTCAGCCGACCACGCTTCAACATCGCGGAATTGCAACTCGACATCCTCGAGGCCGAGTGCGGGCCCGACAGACTCCCAGGTGCGTCCCGCGTCCACAGTCTTCAGGACCGTGCCATTGGTGCCAGCAATCCAAACCACATCACCCGATACAGGGGCTAGACCACGAAATCGCTGTTGACTGCCAGTTGGTGTGAGACGCCAGGCGGGTGATGATGAACCAAGTTGGGTGTTCTCCGCTCCCCGAAGGTGGGGTGGGAGGCTAGTGGCAAGGCATCCGACGCTCAGGGCGAGCAACAATGAGTTGAATCTCGCCATCTGATCATTCACCTGGGTAATAACTCAGGCAGGATGAGGAAAATCGCGGCATACACCATGTCCGATAGATGATTCTGGGTTTACATAAAACCCAAAAACAATGGCCCTTTTCTGTGCCACATATCGGTGACAGGGGCTCTTCGTATGATCATAGCCTGATTTGGCAGGTGCTACCCCCAGCTTCAGGCCAGTGAAGAAGCGAAAAGTCAGGACTTGAATCAAGAGTCAACATATTTTCTGACACAAGAAAATGCAGGATGGCATCTCATCTTTAAATATGGAAGTTCATGTGTTCACATCATTCATGAGGTAAAAAATCCACGTCCGTGGTCGCACTGAAATGACTGCTTGGGGTTGAGTGGGCGACTTGTCGTGGAGAACAAAGTAACTATCTTAACAAGACGACGCAAACTTGACTACAGCTTCATCTTAACCATGAAATTCAACCCTGCTTGCTATCCATCACAGTCTGATATTACCAAATTCATGTCAAATAAACCAAGCACAGCGTTGAGACGATCGTAAGTTTACGAGTCGTAGTACAGAGTGAGAGACGTGGGGATAGGCGACTCCTTGGAGCTAGAGTCCAAGTAGTGCCTCATCTTGATGCCAGCAAGGTCATGTTCTGTGATGGTGAACTTTCCTAGCTTACCCGGAGCCCTGCGTACGTTCTTGAGCTTGAAGACCTCCCTGAGAGTAGCTGCAAGCGCTGGCGCAACCAGACGGGCGCCAAAGCAGAAGTGCAGGCCATGGCCCAGCAGGATGTAGTCCTTGAATGAACGGTGAGGGTTGAGCTTCTCGGGTTCTGGATACTGCTCAGGATCCATCGCACTCTTGGAGGTTGCAATGAGGATTGTGTTTCCGGCCTTGACGTGCACCGGACCGCGAATACCGTCCATGACGGTGACATCCTGGGACGCAACACGTGGCAGACCGGGAACGACACCAGCGTGTCGCATACCCTCCATCACGAAGCCTTGGAGTTCACGATCTGACTTTTCGGGATCCATGTGTGCCAGCTCGACGATACGCTCTTTGTACTGCTCGTAGCCAGGGCTCAGGAAGAGGTCTATCAGCAGAGATGCTTGCTGCGTGATGTTGCCCGCCACGGGAGCACCCATGCCGATGCAGTCACCCACCAAGTCGCCGATGGGCAGCTTCGAGTCATTCAGTGCATGGTAGAGGCGGTCAGCCTGAGGGCCGACTTCGAATGCGCTGCCTTTGGCGAGCCAGTCGACCACGGACTCTTTCACGCCCTTCTGTGTCTTCAGATGAGCCTCAAAGACAGGGCGCAGCGCAGCGCCAGCCTTCATGGCCGCTTCACGAAGCTTCCATTCATTGATAGGCATGATGTTGAAGCTTTGGTACATGAAAAGGACTAGATAAGCCCCGAAAGCCTCGTAGATAGACACCAAACCCTTGGGTTTCTCTTGCGTCTTGAGCGGAATTGCGAATTTATCAGCAAGCCACAGGATAGGGGTAATGTTGGTGACGTCTCGGACAATATCAATGGACTTCTTGCCCTTCGACAAGGACAGTGAGTTCTTGGTGATAAGCTTCCTCACATTGGTCGTGAAGAAGTCCGACACGTCTTTTTCGAATCCTTCCTCCATGAACACCTTGTGAAGGATATTTGACCGCTCATCGTGACGCTTGGCATCATCCCAGCCGATCATGAAGTCGTGTCCGTTGGTACAGTTGCGGATCGCAGCCTGGTACATAACTCGGAAGTTGTCGCGGTCTTCAAAGACCTTTTTGCAACCTTCGAAGGTTTGGACACTAATAATGTCCATACCGCTCTTGGGTCTCTGAAGGTCATACTTTTGCAGCGCATCATTGCCCTTCAAGATACCCTTAGCAGCTTCTGGAGTGTAGAATGGCAGAAGAGCATATGAGGAGGTTCCAGTGAACGCGCCAGGCAGTGCTCTGAACAACAACTTGGGCAGCATACCACCATATGCACCTGATGCGTTGTCTTGCAGCAAGGCAGCGCCCCACTGGGTCAGCGTGTTGCTATTGAAGTCATAGCTGAGGAAGCGGTCGCCTCGCACGAGAGCGACGGCGTCGTCAAGAATACCTCGGCCTGTGGTTTGACCGGGGCAGACACCGCTTCCGGGCATCGCAGGCTTAGTGCATTCGGCCATCAGACCAGGGTAAAGCTCAAGGTTCTCAATATGTCCGTAAAGAAGCTCTGCCGCTCGCGCAACAGTAGTATCTTGGTTCCATTCTTCGAAGTTCTCGTAGGGCTTCAGGTTGAGGTAGCGACGGAACCTATTAATTGAATTAGTAATGAATGAGGGCGCACATCAGGGTTAACTTACTCATTCATCGTGCACACGTTGAAGACCTCTCGTGCCTGCAATTGACCCAGGATATCTACAATCTTCAAACTGGCTGGCGTACCGTGGGCGCCGAATTCATGAGCTGGTTCCTCAATAGCGTCCTTGATCAGCTCAGCAAGCTCGAAATCAGAGAACTTCCCGTCGGCCTGGCGCTCTAGTCCTCCGAAAGTCCATTCATTCCGAGGAGTAGATATCAGCTTGTGACCATGCTTCTTCATGACCTGGTGGAACATGTCGACGGTAACATCCTCAATGGACTTCAAGTCGGGAAATGAGTCTCTCAGGACACTCTCCATCCACTCAGCATCAGCAGCACTAAGGGCTGCGTGCCAATGATAGAGAACAGCGAACTCGACCGAGACGACATTTCCGCTTCCACGGTCAACTCGCTCTCCGCCCTTTTTGATTTCCTTGCCTAGGTTGAGGTTCCACTCGGAGTTCGCACGAGGGGTATTCAAAATGGCAGAGACATAGTCTTTCAAGACCACCGAGGCAAAGAAGCCGACGTTGATGTTGCGAGAAATTTGGAAGATATCCTCATCTTGCCTGTAGAACCTATTAGTATGCTACTTCCAAGTTGTGGGCCTCTGTATTACTGACCATTTCTTGCCCGCATCATCGAGCTCCTCCCACGGCTTGTACTTCCCGTCCTCATTGACAGACATTAGACTGTGGGCAATGAAGTTGTGGTGTCGTGAAAAGATGACGAGAACTGCCACAACTGGTGGTGGCATCATCATGATTCGCTCGGAGGCGATGGTGTCAGGAAATATTAAGCCATTCTCGTACATTCGTACGTGTTTCTGCTCGTTCTCCGTGTTTCCGTACAGAGTGCTCAGGTCGACGTAACTCGATGTCTCATTGATGAACGGGTCTTTTCGGGACGTCTGGAAACATTCATGGATGACGACTGTCGCGAAGGCAAAGAACATACGGTTGAGGCCGGAAGGGTGCTTTCGGAAGGGGCCTTCGCGTTTGAGAAGGGCGTCGTAAACGGCCTCAACATCCGGGAGATTGGGGCCTTTGGGTTTCATGGGAGGCACGTTGCGAGCATACGGTGTTCCTGCCTTGCCCATGTCGGGCACCCAGGGGTTGTTACCGCTGCCATCGTGTTTCCGATACCTCGAAGTCGGTCCGGCTGTTGTCATGGCAGGGTGCGGCAGGTCATGCCAAAGCATCTTGATGAAGCCATCAGAGATAGCTTCACTAAGACCGCTGTTAGGAGGCAGTCCTTGGAGCATAGAGACGCCCTTCTCAAGCAGGAGTTCCTTGTCATCCAAGGGTTCTCCAGAGGCAAGAGTTGGAAGCGCATGTGCCAGGGTGTGCTTGTCCTTGAAGCTCAAGCCGTGTAGGTCACGCAGCACACCTGTCTTCTCGCCATTGACAGCTCCTGCAGCTGCAGCTGCTTGCTCATTGGTACGTCCATCAGCCGCCTTGGTCGGGCGCCGTTTGATGGTACCGATCAATGACTTCAGATTACTCGGCATCTTGTCACAATGAATGCGTGTATTACCCCGAGTGTTGCAGGTAAGTGAAAGAGAAGGGAGGCAGGGGAAAAAGTCGGAATTCCTCCTCTTTCCCTCTTGCCGGTGACACACATCATTGTGAGGGGGCGGCGGCGATTGACAGCAGCTAATTTCGGCACGCGAGACACTCAGGTCTCACAAGTCTGCACCGCATGTAGCTTCTAGCTAATCGCCGACTTGCTGCATCGTGAGGTTGCTAGTATTAGCCTAGTGGCTGCAATAGTCTGGTTGTCTCCCTTTACCGCCCCGCGGAAACTAAGTTTAGCGGCGTCCCGACCCGTAATGTGCCGGGGTGCTTTTTCGCTGGAGCGCTATCTCATTGGCCGAAGCTCGCCAAAGATCCTCCAATAGATCACCATGTCAAAGGCGGTTATCGACGACCCGGCCGATTGGTAGAATCAGATTTAGGGCGACCACAGATCGTGAACAGATTCGCACGATGCTCATGTCGATCGACACCTGCTAAACTCATTACGCAACCACTGTGCTCAAAAGGGATGCTGAGAATTCTCTACCGCATTAGTGGCCAGCTGAGATGACCGTCACTCCCGTACTAGGGATGATCACGGTGGACGGTACTTGCATCTGATTGACTAGATGCAAGCTCTGGGTTCTCAGCAAAGTCTGCCAAGTGAAGAGGAGGGTTCTCTGCATATCGGGCCTTTATTACAGTGCCGTAGAGTGGGAGGGCGCGTCAGCGATTGGCCAGATATCGTCATTGGTAATACCCAAGAAGACGACTTGATCTGCAGCCGAAAGTGACACTCCTCCGTATCGACAGCACTGTGGGGCCGGTATCGATGAGAAATACATAAATCATAGCTGCTTTGGCGTAGGGCGCTAGAGTAGCAAGGATGTAATGTGAACCAGGAGCTATGTCATTGGCGTTCCCCATTCCAATAGCTCGGGGGAAGCTCCGCAAGATGCCAAAGCTCAGGCAGCACATGCCCCGCTGGCTTGTGAGCTCGTCACTTGCTGGCATTGCGATTGATACCGGGGGTTATCAGGTTGTCTTTTCGAGCTGATGGGTTACCAGAACATGCGCGACTCTCCAACTCTGTAACTCGACTCAGCACACCAGGAACCGACCTCGACGATGGACGGAAGAGAGATGAACCATCGTGCGTCGTACCCATCCCAAAACTCGGTGTTCAAGCCTTCTCAAGACTGGACAAGTGGAATGGACGACAAGGGGGAAAGTCAGAATGCCTGGCTTCCCAAAACAGTTCGCGCCCTGAACGACTCGGAAACAGCACGAGGCCATCCACGAACCCTCATTCTTGCCCTGGACGGAACAGGTGATCAATTCGACAATGACAATAGCAACATTGTCAACTTTGTTTCGTGCCTGAAAAAACATTCACCAACGGAGCAGGTAACCTATTATCAGTCTGGCATTGGGACCTACGACAAGGGCGGGTTGACCAACGGTATCGGAGCTGCGATGGATATGGCTGTTGGAAGCGGACTAGGTAACCTCTGCGATACCTTTCGTACCAACATAATGCTAACACATCTGAGGCACCCACATCAAAGATGCTTACAAATTTTTAATGTCCAGTTATCGCGAGGGAGACAAAATCTGTCTCTTCGGGTTTTCCCGTGGTGCTTACACGGTCCGTTGCCTTGCTGGAATGTTGCATAAGGTGGGCTTATTGCCTGCAAGCAACGGTTCACAAGTGAACTTCGCGTACGACTTCTACAAAGACGACTCAGAGTCTGGCAAGAAATTGGCGGAGGGCTTCAAGCGCACATTCTGCACGCATGTAGAGGTCTACTACGTGGGCGTCTTCGATTGTGTTGCCAGTAAGTAAAGAAAAACAGTCCGGCTCTGTTGGGTGTGGAGATGTAGAGAGTAGGCAACGTGGAGAAGGAATACTAACATGATTTTCCGCCAGGTGTAGGATTCATCCCTCGAAAATTGCCATTCAGCAAGTCGCCCACGAACTCAATTCGCCACTTCAGACATGCCATGGCTCTTGATGAGCATCGCGCCAAGTTCAAAGTCTGCCAATGGCAACAACAGAACCCAGGAGATGATTCGCATCTCAAGCGCCGCGAGACTGTAGACTTGACGCCATCCGGGCGCTTTCGACGTCGTTTTGGACTGAAAAAGACACCCGCGTTTGCTACCAACGGTACAGCGACAGCCAAGCCAGGTGCAGAAAGTAACGGAAACTTATCCGACGATCTCGAGGCAAAGTTTGTCTCCCAGGAAAAGGCCCACCACCGCAACCGCTATTTCGAAACCGATGTACTGGAAGTTTGGTTCCGGGGTTGTCACGCCGACATTGGGGGTGGTGCAGTTGCCAACGAGTGTCGACATATGCTCTCAAGGATTCCTCTCCGGTGGATGATACGGCAATGTTTCGAATGCGATACAGGCATCCTATTCGACACAGCCAGACTAGCTGAGTATGGGCTTGATGTCCACACACTCTGGCCGACGTACGGCAAGCCGTCGAAGCCGGTCGCTGGCCCGCCCCCGGCCTTGGTAGAGAAGTACCAGAAGAAGATTCTGGCCCCGCTGCACAGACGCTCCGTATTTTTGCCCATCGGCTCGGAGGATGATAGGATTAAAGATGCGCCGAGTGCGGAAGCCTTGAACTACATACTTCCATCCGAAGGCAATGAGGACTATTTCGACACTTTGGAAGGTTGCAACGACATGCTCAAGATTGCCAAATTTTGGTGGGTCTTGGAGATCTGGCCAGTGAAGATCCGTGTGCTCGCGAAAGACGGTGAAGGCTGGGAGAAGCGAGTACGTATGAATCTCGGCCGATACCGTGGCGTCCGAGAGAACGAGCCAAAGATGCACTGGACAGTGCGACATGCCATCGACGAGCACAACTATAAGCTGAGAACTCGAACCGACAAGTCGACTTCCTGGTCGGTTATTGTGTAGAAGGATAACGAGTAGGCTATTGCTATTTCGCACTAGATGCGATATCATCCCTTTTATCCGTTGTTCTTTATACGGTTTCTTCACATACTCCCAGCTTCAACCGTCACGGGAGTCGCTTTCCCATTTCAATATCCTACGGAAGCTAGTTTCATTTTTTATTCTTTTTCTTCGCCTTGCGTACTGTTGTACACCTTTGGAAAGCTCACGATCATGCATCCTTTCAAAGGCAGTCCACTACATTAGTCTAATTAGTTGAAGATAAGAAGCGGATCTAAGTATTTCTTACAGCAGCAATTATCACGGCCCACAAATAAATCATGATGTGACGATGGTTAACTAGAGAAAATATAATGTATTAGTGCAGGCTTTGCGAATGTAGGGCTGTGAGTGAGAACCCACATGTTCCCGACCATGTGGAAAATAGCATCGTGCATGTGTGTAATTTTGCTCTTTAGCTTTAGGTTTTCATAATTCGATCGGTTGACGTGAGCATGGCCTCCAAGACCCACGTGCCGCGACACCTGGACGGCCCGGGCAGGATATAAAGATTCATGTTAAACACAGCATAGCCGTGTAGGATATGCAGGTTGGTACACGGCCAGAGCTACTGTACTGGACAAGCAGTTGGTTGCTCGAAATCCCTCCAACACGGGAACCGAGCAACCCGGGCCGCCAGCCCGCAGATAGAGTCGCATCCTTCGCGGAAATAACGATTTTATCACCGCGTTGTTGGTTTTTCTAGGACTTTGAACCAACTGATGCACTCACTTGCCTGCGCCGGATGACGACATGAATGAGCAATGAACCGTTTATCCAGAAATGCCACGGCAATCGTGGAAGGTGAGGAGAGCATGTAATTTATGTCTCAATTTCCAGCCTGGAATCGATTTTTCCTTCTTTAGTCCTCAATTACGGTGATCTGTAATCTTTCTATTGCGATCATATCGAAAGCCGCAAAGCAATTTTGTTTGAAGAATATACCGTCAGGATGGTGGACAAAGGAAAGAGTCCATCGCAAGATATAGGATATGTTGACTTGGGAACGTCTGTACGCTCCGTGTACGACGCTACGCTTACTCCTCAAACTGAGCATGGCCTCGCATACCAGAATTTACGCTACTCTAGACGTCCTATTCCATCAGCTCTAACGGCGAAAACATCATCAATGATTTCCAAGACAATCTATCTGTGCCAAGAAACGTCGGAGGAGCCCTTGTTCGTGGTAGATGTACACACCGGATACAGTGGCACCGGTCCATTAGGATTATGTCCCGGTATCATACTATACGATGGAACAAGCAAGAAAAAAGACGCCCTCCTAGCGGCTGCGGGCTATATGAATCGATGGCACGTTTTGGCCCTCAGCGTGGATAGCAGAATCTTTCTACCTCCCGTAATGCCGGAAAAGACATCTACGTCCTTGACCAAGGAGACGATGCGAGCCCATCCCTGTGCGGATGGCGGGCCTGCTTTCACCTTTTCGATTGTTCTCGACCGTAGTGGAAGGCTGTCACGAGAAACGTTCCAGTGGAGAAAGTGTGAAGACCTCAAAGGTCGGGAACTCGGCAAAGGCGGATTTAAGCTTCTGTGGATTGCCGCCGAATCTGAAGCCGGGCTTGGTTCAAACGGAGGGGGAGGTGCTGATCTACAGCCACATGGGCATGCTAGTGGTCAGGTCGTCGCTTCGTTTTCCAGGTTGACGACTCTGACTGCTGCTATATCGCTGCGCTTCGAAGGAGACGGCTTGTCGGGAGTACTCGGAGACCGTTGCAGGATTGCAGTGGTAATAACCGCGCTTCGACTAAGAATATTGCAGATGAACGGCGGTACTAACAAGCTATTAATCGAGATTGGGAATAAGATATATGGAAAACAAAGGCATTTGCCGATTAATGGCCTTTAACATACTTCTACCGTGTTATCGGTTTTTTATAATAATAAAAATGTTAGAATGTGTTTTAATGCTCATACTAGGCTTTGGTTTCGCATGCATGCCTTTATATCTCGGTTCTCTAAGAGGCTCATCTTTGGACAAAACTGTTCCAAGAGGACGATTTCTGTATGCAAGCAAATCACTGTCTAGCCAGAGGCCGTGTTGAAACAGTTCAAAACCGGCACGGATGAGTCAGCTCACAAATGCGCGCGTCGGTCATTTTGCTACTAAATGGTTTCTGAATAGGTTGACACTTTCGCGCAATTCACTTATAGGTCTCGCAGAATGTAGGCATATGACGGAGCAAGCTCTCAGACCTTACTTTGTCTCAGGGCAGCAGAGCTTTCCGACGCCACGTGCTTCCTGTTGCAGATAAGATTAGTTGCAGCTGTGTCACAATAAGGGCATGGCACCGAAATTCCCAGGCTACTTGCCGGCATTTGGATGCTTGGCGGGGAGTACTAATCTACCATCCGGGGACTTCCTCATCCTCGTGCATCCTAATGTGAATTTTGAATGCCGTAATCCTTGCATAAGCCTATCAGAATTTCAACCCCTGCTCGTAGACCATCAAAATGCACTTAACACGCTATTATGTGGACAGTCCGCAAGCGTCTCTCCCTAACCTTGCTACTGGCGGTTATGTTGATTCATATGGTGAGAGTTGGTTTCGAACCACCTCAATTGTGTGTATAGCACCGGAGCCCCTAAAATGGCATTTTCAACCAAGCATTGGAAAACTTCATGTCGCATATTTCGAAGAGTTCTCCAAATCTACCCAGCGCCGATCCAATGTATTTGTAATCCCTGCTGAGCTGGTCGTGCCGCAAGTCTGTGCCGCAATTAACGAAACCCCGTAAGTACCTTGGCCTTCAGAGCACTAGTTAGTATATGGCCGTAACATACCGTTCGGTACATATGTGCAGAAATGGCTAAACCTGAATCGATACGCCCATGACGCGACGCCATGCTGGTACTACCCTGACTTGCATGGAAGGATTGACCCTAATTTCAGCGTTTTTGCCTCACCTCGCACGATGTTGCGCGAGGATTCCCTTATTACTTTACACATTCCTCGCTCCCACTATTAGCTCGGACATCCTAACAGAACTAGTAGACCGCGTTCTTAACGAACCTCAATGTTGCCTTTGCTATGGGTCGTGCTTTCCGCGCCTGTCCTGGCAGCTGACAATATCACTTGTTATGGCTGGGATGGCCAGCCTTATTCTAACCAGCAAAAATGCCCGAATTCAGACGCTTGCTGTGGCGCGCAATTTGAAGATGCGTGCCAAAGCAATCGCCTCTGCAAGAATACAAACGAACCAAATCTCGTTCGTGGTCCTTGTGCAGTGCGACCCTACGACATTAGCACTTGTGCTCAAGTTTGCACCTATGGTAGGTACCTCAGCCACAAGTACCACTATATGCTGAGACTGACACAACGGTGAAGATGAGAGCACACAAGGAGGTCGCTTTCCAAGAGTGATAGAGTGTTCTGATGGGTCATGGTGCTGTGATAGAGACCAGGACTGCTGTGATAAGAAGGCAGGGGTGTGGCTCAACCATGAGGGCATACTCATCAACCGCTCCAGTACTTCATCATCCGCAACCACAACAAGCACCCTAACGGACTCGTCTACCACTTCATCGACCACCTCGGTAACGAATCCCTTAACGACGACGGGCCCTTCGGGTACTTCCACGGCCTCACCCCAGCCAGCCAACACCGATTCGAGCAACGATGCGGTAAAGGTTGGCGCAGGAGTAGGTGTTGGCCTTGGTGTACCACTCGTTGCACTTGTTAGCGGGATCTCAGTGTTGGCTTTTCTCAAAAAACGTCGCCGAGCGCAAAGCAGTGGAGATACAGCCCCTCCGATGGACAATAGCCAGGCGAAATATGGATACGGGCCTGGTTCGACAACCTACACAGCGACACAATACGGACCGAATGACCCAGGGCATAACATGTCACAGTATGCACCTAGCACGACTGCTACGCATGACGCCTCAATACCTGAATACCACAACACCGTCGGGAATACCACTCAGAGATATGACATCAATACTACCAATGGCCCTGTAGAGTTGCCAGGGAGGAACACAGCTTACGAGATGCAATGAACATACATATTACCCAAAATTGGACGACGAAGACCGCATTTCGGTATTTTGAAATTGTTTTGAAAATGAAGCTAGAACAAGTATACTCCCGGTGGGGATTTGAGCGATGAGATGCAAATGTTCGCTAAGCCTATCACCCACCTTTTAATGTAACTATTCGGCTGGTTCCAGAGATTGTATAAGGTAGCGGTTCAGATAGAGGACCATGATAGCATCGGCGGGTAACAGAAAGACACCAGTTCCTCTTGGGCTTCACCGACCTTCGCATGCTCTATGTTGTTGTTTGTAGAGTGCCCAGGTCCAGCCTGTACAATCATGAACGGCTACAGCGAAGTCATTTTGACGATTTGAAAGACTACTAGGTATTTATACCGAGCCAGTTTACACATCAAGCAGCAAATAGAACCACCTGCGGATGTCAATTACCCAATATAGACCTGGCAAAAGGCATATATCCTCGGGCGGGGTCTGCATTACCCAGGCGCCAATGGCACATCCCACTCAAGAATAAGTTTGAGCAAGACGTCACCAGAATAAGTCATCAATTTGTAAGGACCGCGGCGATGACTGTGAGGTGGGCTGTGGACTGGCTGCGCGTTGCTAGACAATCTCTTCACCCCAGCCATTCATACGTACTCTTTCGGTGATCCAAACTACAGCTGTAGCATTCTTATAGGCATCCATCTTCTGCAACTGACTGAACATATGCTAAGCTCGTTAGCACGATGACGGCTTCCGCCCCAATGATGTGTGAGCCACTTCTAAAATGAGGCATTATTTATATTCCTAGTTTGCCTCACATCAAGCTGGGCTCCTATGTTCATCTACTCGCTCGATTACTATTTCGGTGTTCAGAGCCACTATCAGAATCTGGAGGCTTCACAGCTTGCGTCAGCACATGTAGATTTCGAGATGTAAGGGTCGAGCACGACGTGATGTCCTCATTATAATTTTGAGTTTTGATTGATAGTTTCACTGTGGAGCATGAAGGTTCTAAGAGAAACATTAAAGAAGGCGACATGCCTCTGAAGCGCTCCACTAACTCAACCCACATGGATTATGCAGAGGGAGAAAAGGAAAAAAGAAAAAGAAAAGAAAGAGTTTGGCAGATGATCATGCAATACTAGCTAGTTTTCTGAGTAAGAGGAAACGCGGTCGTGAGATATGATTTGACGCCCTGAGAGATCCTTGATTGCGATAAACCAACAAGTCTGTCTGTTTGTGTGTGAGAACAATATAACTTCAAAGACAATTTGGGACCACTTCAGGTACAAGCTTACGATACCAGCTCCACGATAAACCTTAGCATTTTCACTATTTAAATTGTGACAGAATTGCGTTGAGCTTAAATTTAACAGCTTCGGAGATGCCTTGAGTAGTTTCGCTCGCCCGAAACCCGCTCGGGTACTTGATGCTGTTGACTCTGCCCATGTCTTCTTTTGTGAGATCCTCAAAATCATACACTACGACTCTGGGGGGATTTTTGCATTTTGTGTCAATACTTGCAGCCCACATACCCTTCGCGCCGTCTCAGACGCACTTGTTGGATACGATCAGCAATATGCCTCGTTCGCATAAGGCAGTAAAGCCACCCCAGAATGGAAAGTCGCGGAAGGTGAAGAAGACGAAGTCTCGAAACAGAGTCAAGGTGCTTGGCGAAACACCGCCACGCGCAGAATGGACTAAATGGGACGAACGCAAAGAAAAATACACAGATTACTACAAACCGCCGTCTCAAACCCTTCCTGAAGATGCTATCATGAGCTTTATGCTCTCAGAGGAGGGTACTCAATGGTCAAGGGACCATGGCTATCACAACGGATCGAACCTCCATGGGCCCATTGACAAGATGGATCTGGCTGCTCGAATGCGTCAATACGAAAAGCGAATGGAAATTCAGAGACGAGAAGAAGTCTCAGAGCTCGAACGTCTCAAAGAACGTGTCCGCAGCCCGGGCCCAGAGACAGATCCAAAGGTCATTGCCAAGAGAAAAGAGAACGACGAGTTTCTGATGAGTGTTGGAATCCTACCAATCCACATCTGGGAAGCGGAGAAGAAGCTCACTGTCCCGGTAAACAAAGCAGCTGTGGAACTCAAAGAAACTACCAGCAACCAATCTTCGTCGCCATCAACATCACCGCCACCACCAGCGAACACGCCCAGCCCCTCACCCTCCCAGTCATCATCTGAATCATCTCGGAAACCATTGCCCGAATCACAAAATACAACACCCTATGTATCCCCCGTTCCATCCGCCAAGTCGCGGCCCAGAATACCAAGAAAACCAAGAAGCTCTTCAACCAAGACGAAGAATGAGAAGAAGCTCCGTGATAGAATGAACAGCGCGGAGGGCGCACCTAACCCCAGCGGAGCGTGCGAGCCCTGTCGCAGAGCCTCACGAGATTGCCGAGTCATGCTGTCTGACATAGACAAGCCCCAGTGCGCAAGGGAATTCTCTCGGTGCAACTACTGCACGGGCGGCAAACTCTCAGCCGCTGGCTGCAACATCAATCCAACTAGAGCTAATGCAAGGAAAGCCCAGCTGAAGGAGTCGGACAGTAAGAGAAAGTTAGTGGACGAACAGGGAGGAAATATGTCAAAGAAAACAAAGTTCTCATCGGATGAGAACAGTTACTAAGTGAGAGGAAAATAGATTAAAGAAGTAGCATAAGTGCTTGTTTGAAGGTATAGCGATTGGCATCAACCAAAATCTGACATATTGAAGCTTGTTCTAGTCTCCTGCTGAGTATATCTTTGAGTGGAATAATGACCAGTCAGTCGAGACTTGCTGCCTGTCATCCAGGGTCGTGTCGTGAGATGTCTCTACTACAGCGGCTTCACTGAATGTACAGCAAAGTTTGATCATTCACTGTCAAGTCTACGGATGAATATTGAAGTCGAGGTCATTTCATTTTCATTTATTACATTAGGAAGTATCCCGCCTCTGGTATTCTACACAAGGCGCGCTTAGGACATCATTGTAAGAAGCAATCCGGCCGAAGCAGCCAACGCCAAGAGAGAGCAGACCGAGCTGACCCGCTCTGCTCCACTGCCAGTGGGGGTTGAGGTAGGTGCACCAGTTGTCGTTGTGGCAGATGCATTACCAGAGCCTGACTTTCCACCGACGATGACGATTCTTTCCGCTACGCTGTAATCAGCCGGAATTGGTGAATGTGCCTGAACGTACGAGGTGAGGACCTCTTCCATGAGATCGAGGATGGTACCATCAACCTTTTCAAGGAAGTTGTCACCGCCACCGGTCAAGAAATCGATCGTGACCATCTTGTACTCCTTGGAGTTGTCGAGCGGCTCACCACCGATAGTCACGGCGACCAGTCGGCTACCAACTTCGTTGTTGGGGTTGTACTCCACCTTTATGTTCTTGCTGACTTGCAAGAAAGAGCCGACCTTCTTTTGGTTGAACTGATTTACCATGGAGACCAACCCCTCAAGGATCTTCCACAGCGTCTCACCACTGTAGGTGACCTCAACAACGGCATTGCCGAAGGGAAAGGCAGTCAGGACCTCGCCGCGAGTGATCTTCCCCTGATCAATGGTAGCTCGAACACCGCCCCCGTTGATCAAGGCGAAGTCAGGCTCGCCTCCACCATCAATGCGGTACTGCAACATGGCACTAGATGGCTGTTAGTTTGGATAAAACACCAAATATTGTGCGCAATGAACTTACTCTGTCATCACACCACCTAATATACACTCTTCCGTTCTGCACTTGGTCTGGTCGAGCACAATGTTCGTCTCACCAACCTCCTCCGCAGCGAACGCCTCGAACGGACCCCTCCAGGATTTGACTTGAGCCTCGAGGCCCTCATCCTGGGCAGTGGTGTTGGTCAAATGGACCGGCGCGCCATGATAAGCGAGGATCTTGCCCTCGGAATCATAGGTGACATCAATATAGCCGAGGTACTCCCCCCATCTGTATGCGGTGACGATGAAGACCTCATCACCGTCCTTGTTCTTTTCGATGGTGGGGTAGGTGCCTTGAGCGCCATCCTGGCCTTCCGGCAGTAGGAGTGTGTGAGAGTGACCGCCCATGATGAGATAGAGGCCCGACGTCTCCTGTGCGAGCTTGATGTCTAACTCATAACCAATGTGCGTAATGGCAGCAATTCGAGTAATATTGGTGGTGCTCTTGATGTGGTCAATTGTGCTCTGAACAGCCGCGATGGGGTCGCTGAATGTGGTGCCTTCACCAGGCTTGCTGATATCAGGGGTCTCTTGGGTCGTAACTCCAATGACAGCCAGCTCATACTGGGGGAATATGTGATATGGCTTGATGGTTGAGTTAAGCTTCTCATTATCAGAGACGATATTGGCGGACACGATGGGGAACGTCAAGTTCTTCAGGAAGTCACCGAGGAGGTCATCGCCACCATCGAACTCGTGGTTCCCAAGGGTCATGGCATCAAATCCCAACTGGTTGATGGTCTCCGCAATCTTCTCGCCTTTATAAAAGGTGTAGTAGAGGGTGCCCTGAAATTCATCTCCAACGTTCAAGAAAAGTGAGTCGGGATGACTTGGACGAGTCGCATCGACGACTGTCTTCACTCGGGCATAGCCACCATAACAGCCTCTTGCCGGATTTGTGCAGTCCGTTCCGCTTGACGAGAACTCATCCAGGTGCGAATGGACGTCGTTGATGTGATAGAAACTTATATTAAAGTTTCCTTCGCTGTCGATGAACCGCTTTGAGAGCCTGTTGCTGTATAAGGCGTCTTCAGCAGCAGCCAAGCCCAGGAGGCTTGCGGCGATCGCCAGCGACTTCGGGGCAACCATTGTTCAATTGAGGTCGGTAAGCTCAATAATCGCAAAGACGATCTGCACTTCCAACCCAGAAATGTGGATGGCGCTCGATGCACTTTAATATCTCCTGAGAAGAGAGCGCAGCCGTCGCTGTGTCGTCTGCCTGAACAACAGCATCGTGCCTTGCACTCAGCTTTCATTAATCCGGGGCGCACAATGCTCACCCAAACGGCAAGGCCCCGAAATATGCCAAGGAGCTGGCCTCGCCGCACCGCAAATCACGTTTGCACGTGTGATCTTAGCCCCTTGGCTCTGCCTTGGCTTTGCGATAAACGACTTGGCGAGCAGAAGATTCCCCCTTAACATATTCAATCCTTTGGCTCAATGTCGGTGCTGGCTCCCATTTGGAGATCCCAGCCAGGGACCCGGTTGAGGGCAAGAGGTGGTTGGAGATGATTGTGCTGGAGCAACCGCCGGTATCCGCTGGTCGGTCTGGTCGGTCTAGACTCGCCGTGCGGTTTTGTCGATAGACAACAGCACGTGCACTCATTCTTGTCTACAAAGGATGATAAGACGACGACGGACAACGACGGGGCTTTGTATTGAGGCTGAAAGTCTTCGGAGCATCAGTGCCCTACCCGTACCTAGTTGACTACCTCCACGTGCATTGGGGATTCCCCCAGCGGGAATGGAATAGAAGTCGCCGGTCCGAGCTTGAGGGGCTAGCGCCGGTGTCGTACGGTGGACAAGCACCGTCCCGACGGGCTGGAACCTATCTAACTGTGCCCGCCAGGGTGAAATACTGAGCACCTCGTACATAACAAAGTGAGTCCTGCTACAATGTACTGAGCTTTCTTGCGAAGTAGTATAATGAATGACTTAGGAAAACGTCGCGAGCAAGTTAAGTAGGTGGAAGACGACCGATAGGGCTCCCCACTTATGTGTTGTCGTGTTCAAATCGTAGGGTAACGTACAACCCATTGCCTAGTTCCTCCTGTTGGCCTGAATTGCCCTGCACTGAACGATTCAGCTTGAGCTTACGCTCGGCCCAAGCACAGCCGCTGTGAATTTGACAACTGCTCGATCCACTTCAATTCAGGAAAATGATGGGAATGGGCTGTATTTGCCAACACATCCGCGATGAATACACGTTGCAATAATCCGATAACTGGCCAAGCGATCCAAGTACGCCGTCTCCCTGTACAGGTCATTTTCAGGGCCTCGCAGAGCATGCGGTCGTGCAGGAACTGGTGTTCATCCGGTCGGGCTGTCTCTTCAGTGAGCGTGAGGTTTTATCCTTGGATACAATGTGATGCAATGCATGCAACGCAGATTTTCCTCCTAACGAGTTGACAGTGCGTCAAGTCGTCTGAATCGTGGTCCAGGCAGCATGGCAATTGTGGGATGGGGTGGAAAACCGTTGTGTTGTAAACCTCTGAACGTGGCCATTGACTCAGACCAATTGCTAACTCGTATTGAAATGGATCACTGAAAGAACAGCCTGAGGTCATAGTGGGACGAGACTGCACAGACATCGGTCCGGTGAGATGTGATGCAGATCGACCGATTGATTGGCATTGCTATTTTCAGCCTGAAACGGTTATGGAGACAAACCGCAATTCTCGCCATTCACCTGGCGCTTGCACTGCAACTGTTAAACGCCGCACTGCCCACTGACACGCGCCGTAGAATTGACCATCCTGGCACCGAAGCTTTCCATGCCATTGCGAGAGTCTGTGTCGGTGTTTGAGGCACCAAAGTTGGGATCGAAGGATAAAGTTAGTGGACATACCGCCTTTAAAGCGAACGCGTCTTTACGGCGCATTCAGACCAGATCCCCGCGAACGGCAAGATGGTTTGACGGCAGACTGTCTTCATTGGTGGCCGTGGTTTTCCCACACAACTCGCAACTCGTCAACGGCCCACTTGCTTTTTTCGAAAGAAGAGCACCAAGGGACAAGCTCGTCAGCATCCACCACCCCAGGTTCTCGGGTTGCGCCGCTAGCCTTTCAGAGCAGGTCCAGTGCTAGACGATTCCGGTGGCGTTATGCGCAGGTATGGCTTGCAGATCTTGCGAAGGTGTGTCAACGGCGCTATCACTTCGGGATTTTACCAGAACTTCGCCAGGCGGGCATCTGATTCTCCTGAAGGGACCGAGAGTTCTGCTCCATGCCCCAAGGTTGCTCCTCTACGCCATATAACTCTCGAGCAAAAGCAGTGAGCTACAGCACATAGGTTTGCAGAAAGGAGCCGACGCCTGCATGCCTCGTCAAGAATAAGGTGATCATAAATTATTACGAATTTACTGTGCGCTACCAGCCAACCACTTGAGTAAGACCAGGACCCCCTGGCTAAGGGCGGGAAGCAACCGACAGCCATTCAATTGTTGGCTAGACACGGCGAACAGATTGGCCAAGAGCACTCTGGAACACCAACCACAATGGAATGGACGAAACCGCGCGCCTTTGGAAACAGTACTCTGAGGCTGAGCTTCCTCCAGGGTCCAGATGGCCCGTGAATGACGACGGGCAACGACCGTGCGATGTTACTCTTAGAAGAAGGTTGCAGTGTCATTATATTAAGCCATATTAAGTTCCTGTTTCCCGGGCCGTCGCCAGATCAACCTCCTCAATAAACCGCGCCAACTTGCCATCTCCAGCAGCTCTAGCAGGGAATTGCCATCCGAGATCTCGACTCTTTGGCATTTTTTCCCAACCATTCTTGATTCTCGCCCAGGGGCCCATCGCCAGCGACGAATCACCCCGCCTTTCCCCTCCCTAACTACACTAGCACTTGCATACTGGTGCAGTCGTCCCTGCTTCTGGCCCTGGCCATTGATACCCTCCACAACTGCAAGAGGGGAGAATCCCTGGGCCTCGCGTGCCTTGGTGGAGCGATAAGCCGCCCATCGTACCAATTGCCAGCGCCGTTGACATTCAGGGCTCCTGAGCGGAGACTGGGAGGGTCTATCAGATTCAACCGCCAGCCGATCACACAACGAGCTCCTGCAACCTCTTCCGTCTCGACTATTAATCCACCATTGTGTCTCGATTCCTGGCACTGCAAGTTTGCCACCGTGTCTTGCATTAAAGCAAACCCCTGAGCCGTCATTGTCTTGGACGTCTTTTAGACTTTCCTACTGCACGGTGCCACCTCGTATCTTTCATCTTTCAAGTTGAGGCAGGAATTCCCCACAGTGGGTGCAGACCAAGACCCGGTACTTCAGACAGCTTGGCCCCCGGCCCCGTGCTTGCGCTTCAAGAAACAAAAAGAGACCCTTGGCTCCTGGTCCCAAGCTTGGTCTGGCAACATAGGATCATTGATCTACAGCACACGCAACTTGGAGACGAGCGTCTTTCGAATCCGCTATCCGCCACCAGCTACAGACGCCGCGCGTTGTTGTGGTAATCTACGTATTCCCTAATCTCGGACAAGGTACCCACCAGGTCCGGTTCACGTTTTTGGTCCCAACCCCTGGCTAGTCCCTAGCTCCGAGCATAGCCACGTCGATAACGACTGTCTGAAACTGGGCACGTTGTATGAGATACCATTAAGATCCAGCTGAGCTCCGTCGACTCTATTTATTGTCTCAACATTCATTTCAGTCTCGAAAGATTCAAGCCTTGCCATTGATCTTTAGAGGTCTATTGGAAACGTCGTCATCATGCACATCACGAAGAAATTCGACCGCGCATTTCAATGGGCGGGGGAGAAGATGGGCCAGGAGGCCAAAACTGGCATGTCGGACGAGTTCAAGGCGCTGGAGACCGAGATGGCATTGCGATATGACGGTACGACCAATCTTCCTCCCACCGAAGGGTCGATCCCTTTGAAGGATCAATCTTGCATGAAACGATCGGGATCTTGCATTTGCTGACAAAGTTGTTCTACCAGGGATGGAGCGTCTCCAAAGATCGATGAACACTTACACCAAGTCAATCTCTCGTCGGTGCGAAGCCAACGAGGACAAGGAGAAGGGTCTGCCCATCAGTCTTCTGGGTCGAACTATGATCAGTCATGGAGAGGATTTTGAGCCGGACTCGGAATTTGGCAATTGCCTCATCGCCATGGGACAGGGCAACGAGCGTATTGCTGGAATTCAGGAGACTTACATCGCGCAATCTACTTCATACTGGCTGGAAGGCCTGGAGCGCTCATTGGCGATGATGAAAGAGTACCAGGTAAGCCTTCTGAACCCCATTCTCCCCATCTGCAGCGGGAAGGACTGGTGTTCGTGGCCGACGCGTGAGACTAACAACACAATAGGCTGCTAGAAAGAAGCTTGAGAACCGCCGACTTGCCTACGATGCAGGCTTGACCAAGATGCAGAAAGCCAAACGAGAAGACTTCAGATTGGAAGATGAGCTCCGCGCGGCAAAGGCGAAGTACGAAGAGTCATCAGAGGATGTCCTCCGCCGCATGCAAGATATCAAGGAGGCCGAGTCCGAATCTCTTCAGGACCTCACCAACTTCCTCGATGCCGAGCTTGAGTACCACGAGCGCTGCGCAGAAGAGATGCGCCGCGTACGTGCAGCCTGGTTGGCGCCATCCGCCGGTCAAGTCTCGGTTGGTCGTGGGGGCCAGCCCGACTTTGGTTTGTCTCGCCGCACGAGTCGCAGCCGCAGCAACACGGCCCACTCGATGTCAGAACGGAATGACCGAACTGAGCGCTGGGCTTCTCGGCAAGATATTTACGAAGATGATGAGCCTGCACCTGCACCAGTGCGAATGCCGATCCGATCAGCCCGTCAGTCCAGCAGCGGCACTGCTACTCCCGTGTCACCTCCCCGCCCGACTGTCAATCGCTCAATGACATTCGGAGGAACCTTCGAGGGTCCAAGAGACCGTCCTGCGTACCGTGAGCCGCCGTTGCCACCTCCGTCCCAGGAGTCCCTGCGCAAGGCCCCGGGTGTTCCCGCCAACGTGAGCTCATTGCGCAATAACTTGCGACCTATCAGCCGCATTTCCACCAACCAGAGCAACAGCTCCGATGTGTTTGCCGACGACTACGACACCAACACCAGCAGCGGGAGCCCGGAATATGATCGAAGTGAAAGTCCCGCTACCAGCTATGGCAGCCTGAGCAGGACGACGAGCAACACAGGTCTTGCTAAGAAGGCCCCGCCACCACCACCTCCTAGCCGTGCTAAGAAGCCTCCGCCTCCTATTCCCCAGAAGCGGGACTTAGCTTATTAGGGATGCCGCCTGTATCGGACCTATCCGGGTCTTACCAAAGGCGTATAGCCTGTTCCTCACTCAATGTCGCCCTGCATTGCGGGCCTTCGGGCACCGCCTTGTGCCGGTGGAATTATTGCGAGTATGGGCTGGTTGTTCGGGTTATGAAACTATCATGTTTGAACGTATGGTGTTTGGCGTTTAAGTGCAGAGCACAATCAGTGCATATCTTAGGACCAGCTTGAGATCGAGAAAAGAATTGGACTGGATCCTTCTCTGTTATTGTATTTATCCTCTTGTGAAAGTCTGATACAGTAGCGCGGTGAGCTGACCAATGTTGGTGTTGAGTGATGTCGTGGTATGCACACCTATTTATAATGAGTCACGGTCAAACAGCAAGCGCACGACGTAAAAGATTTGGACTGGTACACTAAGATCGCAATGATCATGTAGTCTAGAGTTTCAGCCGTTCACTGGAACTTGTGACATTGACGTCTAATAACATATACAAAGAAACACATTCCATGTAGGGTATCTTGAACTCCGAACCACTTGCCTGCCTCCGAACGCGACTCGACGGGTTACACGGTCTAGAGCGCTTTGGCTTTATTGCCATCTGCAGCACTAGCCACCGATTCGAGATGGCATAACGGAAGCTTTTCGTGCCTCTTTCCACCATAATCAGTCGCGCAGAACAGAGGTACGTATGTATGGCTTGGATGCACTGCACCCAAAGACCCACCGACCAAAGCGCGCAGCGCCTTATTGAAACGGCTTGACAAGCATTTCGTATGCTATGTCCACTATGAAGCCTATCATACCCAAACCTTTCTCTGAGGGGGTCCATGGAGAACATATATCTTCTGACCCGTGTAGCGTTCTTTTGAGGGATTTGAGCCTCCCGAGGCTGCGATATCGCGATCCAGTTCAATATCGCTGTCCCACGGCTGCCGGGCTGGCCCGAGAGATGGTGTGCCATCAGATAAATCCACGTAGTTGTTATGCCGCGCCGAGCCAGACTTAGGCGTCATCGTCTTCGTCGGCGCCGACTTTTGGGTTGTGCCGAATATCGATGGAAGTAGGCGGGCGAAGAGCACTCGGATAGTGGGTAGACAAAGCACAATGACAGTGACTTTGACCTCTAGCGAAGTCCAGATAACGATATCTGTGTAGTCCCACGTCGGATTCACTGCCATGGCGTTAGGTTCTGTTCAAATGGGGGTCTCAAGAACACTCACGAGATTTGGCGAATTGCAGCAGATAGCGCAACCGGAAACAGCTAGTCAGCACAGCGAAAATACCGAGACTGAACATGAAGAGGGTCAACAGTCGCTTCCGCAGAGGCATGTTCAGTTGCGCGATGATGGGAAGCGGTAGGAGAAGAATCGCGATATCTTGTGCGATACCCATAGCAGCTGCGGCGTATGCCAGTGCATTAACATCTATGCACTTTGCATCTCCGAATTCGCCTGTCCATCCCTCCCAGTTGTACCTTATAGGGGTGCACTGGAAGATTGTCATGAAGAGAATAATAATAGCCGTTACCACCACCCATGCTATGACTATCCAACAGATCTTCCGAAACGTGGTAACGGAGAAGACTCGAATCAGAAAGAAGAGCAGGCAGACCCGGCACAAAGCTAGGATTGCTGTGTAGAACAATTCGTCGATGAAGAAGAGCTACGCCATCGTGAGTAACGAATCAACAACATAGCGCGGATTTCGAACCTTCAGAGCCAATGTTATGGTGTCCACATCAAGATTCCAGACATCGTAGCCAATCGCCGTGATACGCACTGTAGCCAACGATAAGTTATTCGGGTCAAGGATGGTATGTAAGGGCAGTGATTCGAACCGTAGTTGCCAATGACCATAAACGTCACAAACAGAAACAGCAGGACGAAGACGACCCAGTCATCAATCTCCAGGCTTGCACTCATTCTGTACCTCGCGATCAGCCGCGCCAGCACGCACGCCAGCGAGAAGACGTCAAGCACCAGAAATCCAGCGATGTCGTCGGTTCGGTGTCGCTTCTCCTTGTTGCACGCCGTCTCGTCTATTCTCGCGACAGCTGACCGATATTAGCGTGTTAGTTCCCCAACGTCTCGCTGATCATATCCGTTGTCCATACCGAGTCGTTCTAGTACGGTGCATTTTCCGGACATGCAGCTGTCGACAGCGGTAAACAGCTCATCGCTCGAGCAGATACACGTGCTGTTTGTGACTGAGTGGCATTCCGAGGCCGGTATGGCCGTCAGGAGACAGGTCAACTGTTAAGGCGTAAGTGCAAGTTGTAGTCGTGAGAAGCCAGTACGACACTCACACCACATTTGGGAATTTGATCGGCGTATTGTAGAAGGTCTGCACGGCACAGCGTGGCGACTATGCTCGCAAGAAACAGAAAAAGAGCTCCGGCCTTCATGATGGGATTAACTACTGGACTGAGTCCGCCTCACAACTCATTTTCGATGTCAAGTCACTCGTTACGCAGTAGAACTCGGAAGTACCAAATCTCGATGGCGGCCAGCGCAACCAGGAGACACGGCAAGGCTTTAGAAGAAACGAACGAAGCCAGCGTTGCAGAAATCCTGCGCATCGCATGAAGGTCCAGCCCTGTTCATAAGTGGTGTGATGGAGTTGGCGATCAGCTCCATTTCTCGGCACATGTCCACGGCCATCCCCATCTGCGTCCTTCAATATAGCATACGGATGGGAGCTAGGGAGGCTCTAGGGACACTTACAACGGGCGGCTTCATGCTAGTGCGCGTGAGATTGATGAGGTGGTTCAAGATGTCCTCCGCTAAATAGAATCGAAGGACACTAGAGTAACGCACGGCCGAGCGAAACGGGCCTTGACATGAGCCAGCACACGCGTTTTTCTAACTTTGCTGATTGCCGGTCCAATTCCGGCATCAAATTTGCTGCACCATGTTATGACACCCAGAACAAGACTAGGAAGGGCCAGGTGTAGGCAGCGCCATTTGACACGGAGACAACGCTATGGTGTCGCTGGCACCTATCGTGAAGGGCCTATTCTTAGCTCCTAAGCCGGCAGTCTCAACTTAGCTGCCCTCAAAACACGCGAGCTCCCATTCTGGGAGCTCTAACAACACCAACGAAGGCTTGGTTCGTCTTTCTTTCGGGCTGTCGATGAGATGAGGTTACCACTAGTAATACATTACCACCTAGGCAAGCGTTGCGAATTGAGACTGTTAACTACGTGATCAGACCTCAAGCTCCAAGTCGCATCTAGAATATTGATCTACCTATTGCATACAGCTGCGGGTGATCGACGACTAAAGGCCCCGGGGCTGCTACATCCGTCATCCGGGGAGCTTCTTTCCCACGGCACTCGCGGCTTCCAGGGTCTGAGTTACCAACGCGGGAAAGATAAACATTACAAAACTTTGTTCGGAATTGCAGGGTCCCAAGAGAGCTAGGCCGTCAGTCGTCCAAGGTAAGTCTAGACCCACCGTCTCGTCTTTTCGATCTGGCTTGGAGTGGATGCGGCCGGTAATGCCGAACCAATGCAAGGGATGCAAGACTTGTGATAAGTAGATGTCGTACGTTCCCATCAACTACCTACCTCTCTACTATGTCTTTTCTTCATGGAAAGCACGTGGAGAAATGGGTACTAACTTGCGACCGCGTAGCAGCAACCCGCCAATCATGGGTGCAGTGCCTTTCTTTAAACTAGGAAGCAGGGAAATCTTGCCATGAAATTCCCCGTCTGTTCGAGCTAAGATGTGATATTACAAACTCGCCAGAATGTTATACGGTTGTTACTTCCCTGGTCATCATATCGGGCACCACCCTTTGGCCTTTCCAGACAATGAGGGAGTACGCTCGCAGCCATGGGTACCTCATGAAGGTATCCCTTGAAACCTGCTTAGGCCAGTCGTCATTCCTAGTCGCGGGTCCTGCGCCGGATAAAGAAAATCACTTCCTGCCTTGACCATACACGCATGCTTGCTCAGCAGAGGAGGCACGCATACCAAAAAGAGGGCATTCGGAAGTTGAGGCCAGACCAGCGTGGACGCAAGTCAATGGCACGCAGCGCACTCAATCGGTAATAGATGGACGCCAATTCAACGTCGCTTGGGAATCCGGAGTGAGGTGGTTGCAGAGTACCAGCCGTTGAACAACGCTCAACCGTGTACCTCTCAAACTCCTCGTCGTCCATGACTACTCAACAACGCGCCAGCAGCGGTCTCCCAGCATTTCCCCCTTTTTCTCTAGCATAATCACCCCGGCTGGCAGCACGCCATAGTTCTCTGGAGAGCATGATTCAGATTTGTACTTTAAATTACTAATTGGATAGGCAATGCCGGGGTTGACTGTATACAGTGTAGATGGTGTAATCGAACTGACTGGAGTTTCGATAAAACACGACCTCGCGTACAACACTCGCAGTGAGTGTTGATACGTAGCACAGAGCCGGCTTGGTATTGGCCCTTCTAGCTTAGAACCTCTCCTTGTCCTTGATTGGCACGTCCTTGCCGGTGGCGTTCTTGTACTGGCCGCGGATGAAGTCCGAGATCTGCTCATCCTTGGCCTGCTCAGCGGCACTCTCGTTGCTCTGGTCGCCCTGCTTAAGGACGTTCTCCTGAACCCAGTCGACACCTGTGTCAGACGGCCACGTTAGCAGTGGTTGCAGCAGAGGGAGGCTTAACAGATGTAGATGATGCTTACCCTTGTCGAGGGCATCCTCGTTCTTTTCCGACTCTTGGCCGCCACCAGCCATGCTAAAGGTAGAATGTCAGCATCTTGTGCTTGTCTTGCTCTCCACAATATGGGCTCAGACGAACCCGTTCAGCTTGTCCATGAATCCACCGCTGGACTCCTGCTTCTGGCCTTCAGACTGTGCCTGGTCGCCAGCCTTCTTATCGCCTGCGATCTTGTTGATGAAGTCCATGGTGAAGGGATGTGAGGGGTGTAGAGAGACTGGTAGTTTGAGACTGCTGGGCTGTTATCTTTCGGCACTGGTTCTACTCTACTCGGAGGAGTTCAGAATGTAGAAGGAGGAGTCGCGGTTGATGTACTGCTGGAGGAGGCCGCCAGGGCGGTTATGTCCTGTTTTACTGCCCGCCCGCACTGAAGACCTAGTGTAGCGTGTGACGTGCGCCAAGGACGATTCAGCTCTCGTCTTGGAATGCGCTGAGTGGACAGCCACGTGCTGCGCGGGGGACAGCCCACAAAAAACACGCCGAGAAACTCTAATTCTCGGGTACCCCTCGCCAGATTGCCAGCGTCTAGACCTCTGCTGCAAGTCTATCCTCGTCCGTCTGTAACCGGTGCCCTCTTCTCATGAGCTTGTATATGCATGATGTCGGCCAGTATCACAGTTTCAGCGTTGTCAAAAGGTGCGGTTATCTCCGCCTATGGGGACGTTTCGAACTTGGACCGGCGCTTTCTGGTATCAGCCAGGTCACCTGGGTGTTAGTTGTGCAGATGGGCTCGGTTGGTTGCAAGCTGTCAGGTACGAGTACGATCCGTGGGGCCTCCCACGCGACCGACACCCAATACCTATGCGGGAATGCACCAGTCATCAGTGAAGCTGCATTGCCTTGTTGCAATATATAAAACAAATGATGAGGTGCCTAAGTGCATGTGAGACCCGGCTCATCGCAATAGCTTCCAGCATGACAAAGTCGTTAGCGCAGAATCTCGAGTTCAAACCATGGCGATCGGAAAGGCATAACCTTCCCATGCTCACATGGAGTGCTTAGTTTCATATGGGCCCGAGCTCAGCTATCAATCTATCATATGTGCCAATGGCCATGCTGTATTGTGTTCTGAGTAGTATTCCATTTCAGCTTGAGAAGGTCTCGTATCTGCAGAATGTACTCCAATTTCAGCGCCCCGAACTATCAATCTTCTTCCGCAGCGATGTCTTCTCTTCTACTTAGCCTTCTCTGTGGCGACCACCTGTTCCTGATTAATATCAGAAACCTCGAGACCTTCGATCTGGGGCTTATTTCGGCTTTTACCCAGCGCTGCGCGCATCACCCCGAGCCAGGTCTTGCGGGCCTGCCAAAGGGGCAGGAACCAGATAACAGCTGCAGCGACCCAAGACCAGAGAAAAACGACCACTGTCCAACCGGTAAAGAAGTTCCGACTAAAAGTGTACCCAGTGCCGTACAAGGAGAATGGTATAATGATGAGAAAGACTAACACTAGGACGAGTGAAACGATCTTTGCTCGCCTTGAAGCTTTCGCTAGAGCTGGTGGGTCCCAGTCATCGCCGAGGTCAGTTGTGTCATCATAACTGTACACCTTGTCTCCTGGTCGTGGCTCAAGTGCCTGCATAAGGAACAGCTGATCCCAGTCGTAAGGGGTACGGTGCAACGACCACATGGCGAAGTAGATAATCAATGGCACGAACAGCCCTGAACAGTTGTTAGCTCATCCATGATCAACAACACGGCTGGCTTTGCAAACTGACCCACTGTACAGCCCACAAACATTGACCAATTCTCATAGAGGGTATCCACTGTGACTGCTCCAAACATCCCCTTGGCTGTAACGATCCACGAAACAAGTGCGCAAGTAGAACCTATTGGGGCTGAATATGTCATGTACGCTGGACTGACGTGCGCTGAGTTCACAGCGAGAATGATTGGTATAACGGCGGGACCCAGCAACACGCCGAGGAATTCAAGGATCCAGCCCATAGAGACTCCACCTGAACAACGTTATTACTAGCAAGCCCTACGTGGCGCTTGGGTAACCAGTAGCCAATCGCACTGTACCGAAATAACTACTGGAAAGGAGATTTCGAGTACATGGTATGAAGGAAGAGGGGTTTTCCCTTTACTTACTGTAGTTCAAAGCAGTAGCAAATGTGCTGGAAAACAATGCAAAGGCGGTTAAGGATATGTGGGAAACAAGCTTCAGTCGCTTATCGCTTGCGGTAGGATTGATATCTTTAAAATAGCGATTAGTCATGAAAGGAGGTTAGTAGAAGAAGTCAAAACTTACAGGGACGGTATATGTCAAACGTCACTATAGACGCGTGCGCGATAATCTCAGCACTGAAACTTGATGTCACGGCCATAAAGACCATCAAAACAACGGCAACAGCGCCACCCTTGCCCATGACTGCTTCTGCTGCTAGTGGAAGTATCATCGCATTGTTGATCTGGTAACTGGTGACACCGCCTTCCAGTGGCCAATATTCCGTGTTGGCCAAGGCGATGGCAACATAGCTCATGGTTGCGCACAATCCCAAGGGGATGCTAAACCAGCTAAAGGCACCCAGGAAATAACCAGTGACTACTGCACCAGGTTCTCCTGCAATCGCCTTCTGGCCATACTGAACGCGAGTTAGCCAGATGGGCACGCTACCTGGACGAAGATACTCACAGATGGGTCAACGAAGACTGATCCAAAGCCAGACACCAGAATCACACCAGCCAGGAGTAATCCTTCTCCAGACTGCATAGTGAGATATGATCCATCTTTGGCTCCAGTTGCCCCTCCCGTAGCCATGGCAGCAGGTGCCTGTAGCAGATCCCAGAGTGCTCCAGGGCTCCCAAGGACTGGGAGAGATTCCACAGCCATAACCTTAAACATGAAAACCAGTAGTATGACGTAGATAATGATAGTGCTTCAACCAATAAGCATACTGTGTAATAATACACTTCCTAGCTGTACTTACTGCAGATAATCTGATAGGATTGTCGACTTGAGCCCACCTAGATAAGTGTAAACGACAACTCCTTGAGGTATCAGGTAATTCATAGCAATCTTGATGAGTGTTAGCTTTCTCCCAGTATCTGCAGCATATTCTTACTATATTTGCTCCAGTAGTAACGGTGAACGCCGCAGACCCACCAAGCAGAAGAGCAGCTGTGATAAGGATCTGCAATGCCCCTATCAGCTTAAACGTCGCCTTTCAGACACTGGTAGATTACCTGAACAGAGACTCCATATGCGAAGAACACAAGGTGCGTAGATGTACCGAAGCGAATTCGTAGAGCTTCGAGAATTGTGTTGGCCCGAGGAGCCCTGCGCTTGAGCTCGATGGCCTGAGGTCATCAGAATTAGTATGCCATTGTCTTCGCTGCTTGTCCTGGGCCCTCGCGCAGAATGGAGCATCGAGATATTATATGAATATTAATATACTGACCATTATAGCATAAAGAAGAATCTGCACAGTAGCACCCGAGACAAACCACCACAGCCCTGCGAACCCAAACAGGTAGGTCAAGCGGACCGAATTCAGCAGCGTCGCGGCATAACACCACGAGCTCACAACAGCTGCTGCGACTAATCCACTCTTCACACTCTTTTTAGCAGTCATGAGCATATTCGTGTCCTGGACCACCGGTCAGCAAGCCATGGCCGGTCAGTCCCACTTTTATTATCTTACAGCTGATTCATTCAGATATCTCCGCGAAACCCAGGTGATCACATTCATCGTCAGGGCGAAGACAATACCGAAACCTGCCCGCACATTCACCCTATTCAGCATACAGTAGTTTTAAAGGCCTAGTGTTCAAACATACCGCATACTAAACCGTACGCCACCCCTTGAGGGAGAGGCGGGGACCCTGAGTCAGACATGCTGCTTCTTCTCAAGCTATGCTCTTGGGTGATGTCTCACAGGAGCGTAGAGTCGAGCTGTATTCTATGCTCCGTACTTGGGAAGAATGTGTCCTGGGGACACAATACCTTTCAACTTCTGCAGCACCCATGCTCCCACTCGGGATTGTGCCAGACTGCCGAGTCTTCACTCAAGCTGTTCCAAGCCGGCGGGACCAGAGCTATCAAAGATAGCTTCAAAGCTTATTTCACAGGCACTTACAGTCTGTACCGCTCAAAGTTCGAAGGGTCAGCAATTTACCCGTGTCTTATCTACCAAGGCCTTCAATTGCTATATGCGTGTAGATTCAAGTCACTAGTCCAATCAGAGAAGGGGTATCGACCTGCCGGAGGGTACGGGTGGAGCAACCCCACAAACCCGGCATTAACGACCCGTTTTCGGATATGGTGCCAACGATCACCGATGATAACAGCAAGTGATATGATTCGTCTTGGGGTTTCATGTTCAGATGTCTTCCGACGGAGTACTCCCGGAACTCTTCCGTTGTTACCGTTACTGTGTTACATGATTGCTCTAAAGAGAATTGCACAGTTATTACTTCTGATTGTATATGCAGAACGCCGCGCGAAGCAGGAAGCCGTCCTCAAAGGGATATTCTGAGCTGTCATAGAGATTGGGACTGAAATTGAGCCATGGGTGAAGCTATACGGGAACCATGGCAAGAGATAGCCGCTCGTAAACAAGCAGAGCGAGTATCCAAGCTTCCATCTGAATGGCTCATACCAAAACCACTGCTTCCGCCGACTGAGCAGAGCTTTGTGCAAGATTTTCCAACAAGTTCGGGCTTCTTCACAGATAAGGAGCTTCTAATCACAGAGTCTACAGCATCCGAGGTTGTTGGCAAGATCGCGACGGGGGAGTGGACGGCACTTGAAGTCACAAAGGCTATCTGCAAGCGAACAGCAGTGGCTCAACAGCTAATCAACTGCGTGACTGAGATCTACTTCGAACAAGCATATACTCGAGCGACGGAGTTAGACGATTACTTCAGGCAGCATGGCACGACAGTTGGGCCACTCCACGGATTGCCTGTCTCCTTGAAGGATCAATTCAACTTGAAAGGGGTGGACTCGACGATTGGTTATGCGAGTTGGGCCGGGAAACCCATCGCGGAAGAGTCTACCTTAGTCAAGCTTTTGCGTGATGCTGGGGCAATATTCTACGTCAAAACCAATGTTCCTACCACTCTGATGATGGGTGAATCAGTCAACAATTTGTTTGGTCGCACTCTGAATCCCCGCAACCGGCAACTCACAACCGGGGGCTCTTCAGGCGGTGAGTCAGCCCTGGTCACTTTCAGAGGTAGCTTCATTGGAGTTGGGACAGACATTGGAGGTAGCATCAGGCATCCAGCATCATATACAGGGCTATATGGCTTACGACCTGCTCACGGCCGTGTCTCTTACCAACAAGTAACCAACACATTCCTTGGGCAAGAGGCCGTCCGCTCGTGCGCTGGACCCATGTGCCGTTCACCCGAGGACATTCGGCTCTTCATGTCTAGTCTCGCAGCACAGCAGCCGTGGCTACATGATCCGCAGATTGTGCCTCTTCCTTGGAGACCGGAAGAAGAGAAGCTGCCCGAGAAGCTATGCTTTGGTTTTGGGATGGGCGACGGATACGTAACTCCTTCGTAAATGCCATGCATGCTGCTTTCATTCCAGATGTCAAAGCTGACCAAAACATAGCCCCCCGTTACGCAGAGCCATGGAGATCACCAAGTCAAAGCTTATAGATGCCGGCCATACAGTGATCGACTTCATCCCGTACGAAACCAAGGAAGCTTCGGAGATAATCGGCAAGATGTGGACAGCCGATGGTGGTGAAGAGATTAGAAGGGACAGTGGCGCGACGGGTGAACCGCTACCACTGAACGCAGAGAAGTACTACGGGCCTTCCAACACTTCGCTTAAGCCAATGACGGTCTTCGAGACCTGGCAGAATCAGCACAAGAAGTCTCTTCTAGCCCAAAGCTTTCTTGAAAGGTGGCAACGGACAGTCGACGAGACAGGCACTGGTCGGCCAATTGATGCCCTCATCACACCCAGTACGCCATTCCCAGCAATTCGACACGATAATCCGTACAAATGGAATTACGGGGTCCTATCTCCTCTTTTAGATCTCACCACAGGAGTATTTCCCGTGACCAAAGTGAATTTGGAGAAAGATCGTGTCCCAGCTGATTGGAAGCCCATATCTGATAAGGATAAGGAGCTGATGGAGTTTTGTTAGTCCCACTCCTCGGAACATCACGCACGTAACTGACGAGTCTCAAAGACGAAAAGCCAGAAAATCACGAGAACGCGCTTGTTGGGCTTGCTTTGATTGGAAGGCGACTGGAAGAAGAGAAAGTCACCGCGCTACTTCAAGTCATGAAGGATGTTGTTGGGATCGACTACTAAAATCCGCCCCCGGGGTGGAATAATTGAGCGCGGTAGCGGGTCCCTCGATGTAAATTGTATCAGCAACGAGCAGCCAGCAAACTTGGTCTGCCGCTGGCCTGAGAACTGGCTTATGTGCCGACCGCTGATGGATACAGGAAATCGTTTGTCGTATAAGTTCATGAAATGGATGTGTATTGACAGGCGATTTAAAGCTAATATATGTAGATGAACTCATCGTTCTTTCCATCAGTAAGATCTTCGTCCCCTTGAACCCCAACAGCGTGGCCGTCGGCGTCAGCATTCTCGACGTCAGCTGCAACGTAGCGAGACTCCATGGAGTGATCCTTGATGTCCGCCTTCTTTCCAGCTCTGATCCGACTCTTGCGGTTCAATTTGTTCAGCACGAACAGGTTGCAAGCTTGAAGAGCAACCACAGCCATGAGGGCGACAAAGATGCCTAATACGCTCCGGAGTCCGCTATGGTAAGCTGGAGCATCTTGCGCCGAGAACAAGAGGGGTCCAACGATGTTCCCAGCTGAAGATGCTGCATTGTAGAGGGACATGATGACCGACTTTTTCGTGGTGCCTCCGGTGTTGCCCACAATCCAGGAGACTATCAGCGGGTTGGCACCAAAGAGGAAGGCGAGAAAGTAGTAGGCCAACAACAGCGGCCCCTGCTCCGTGGTGTCTCTACTCAACACATACAGAAGCACAAGTCCAACGATGACCGGAACCAGGATAATGTTGAGCACGGCTGACTTGATCTTTGCCTTCTGCGCTGCCCATGACGCGAGAAGAATGAGGATGACCTGAAGAGCTCCAAACGGCATGTTGAGAAGGGAGGTCCTGTACTTGTCGAATCCGAGACCTTGCAAGATAAGAGGACCAAACGTATTCTGCGTCGCTGCACCCACGTTCAGGCAGAGTGTCATGATAATCCAGAGATAAGACTTGGGCTCCATGAAAATCTCTGCAACGTGAGACCACTTAAACTCCCGCGAACCAGTACCAGTCTGATTCGATCGCAAGCGCTCAATGGCTTGTTTCTTCTCGTGTTCGGTGAGAAAACGAGCAGAGGGGATGTCATTATCAAGCTTCCAGTAAACAAAAGGCGCTGTGATGATCGTGACTAGGCCAACAAACAAAAAGATGCTATGAAATGTGGTTAATTTCGACACTGAGAGTAGCGAATAGGATGGTCTTACATTTGCCATGACTTAAGGACTTCTGACGGTATGTGTCCCAGCCCGTACGACAAGGCAGAAGCGGCGATGGTAGCAGCGCCATTTGTGCCATACCATGCAGCGACCCGGATGGGTTGCTCGGCGCGCCTATACCACTGGGACGTGATCACAGAGAAGAGCGGCAGGCAACCGGCTTCGAACAGCCCCAAGAAGAAGCGAGTTGCAAGGAGCGCCCCGTAGCTGTGGCAGCCAGCCATAGCGGTCTGAGCGATTCCCCATCCGAGTACCAGGAGCGGCATTAGGATCCGATGAGGCACTTTGACGATGAGAAACGACGAGAACGGCTGCCACGCCAGTTGCGCTATGGGCGCGACCGACCCAAGGAATGAATATTGGTTCCCGGTCAGGCCGGTATCTGCTTGCAGGCCAAATAATGCGCCATATCCCAGGACGGATTTGTCTAGAATCTGCAAGAAATAGACCCATACCAGGATCGCTAGTATGACCTTATCAGTCTTTCGGCGGATTCTCTTGTTCTATAGGCAGGGTCAGAGTCTGGATAATTTCGCGTAGACGACAGCACTGACATCTTCTTCCGTCAGTTCAATGCGAGGGCCATCCGTGCCGTCCGGTGCGGCCTTGTTAGTGAGATGTCCACCCGCATCCTCACAGGTCACCTCTGTAGGCTTTGCGTCTGAAATCATGGGATCCATTGGGAGAAGGGCGGTGTGGTGTGAAAGTCTGTGGCAAGGACCTCACGGCAAAGACGAGAGTCATTCCAAGGCCAGAGCTCGCGAACAGCCGAACTTATATGAAAAGAAACTGGGGTAAGGCTGGGGATATAAGTGGGGAATATACTGACGACGATGCGGAGTAATGGTGGGGGGTCGAATGATGGGGAAGTTGGACAGCCAGCCACGCACCGTCTGTGCGCTCACATTCGCCGGGAGGGCACTCAAAAACCCCACACAACTCCATAATTGCATGAGCATCAGTCGACTAGCAATAGGGGCGTCAGTGGGGGACACGGGGTCAATGGGGGTCAATGGGGGTCGTGAGATCATGGGGGTCATCTTGCAAGTATTCCACTAGTTACACTGCCCATCAACGCGATCACGAGCATGACGTCTTCTCCTGCTCAGATATGTTTTCAAATGGGATACTTTTGGGCTCCTCGATTCTGTCTTTCGCTAGACTATTCGCTGGTGTGTACCAAGTCACGCCGCAGGCGCCGGCCATGACTCACGGGTGGAGGACATACAACTAACCAAACTTACAGTCCAGGGCACCAAAGGTCCATCCTCAAGGAAGTCTAGCCACGAGCCCTTTAACTCTGAGAGAATTGGTAATCAAAAACACAGGTCTAATCTGATTGTGGATATAGCGCATGTAGCAAATGTCAGTGGGTTGGGACCAACTGGGCAGTTCTGGCCCTGTGTCTGTTCTCCAGTAAACACACTAGGGCGTTCCACACTTCGCTGCACGACATATTCTAGAACTAGCCACAGACTCATTGCTTTCTTTTGTCCTCGATTGTCGAATGCGTCAAGCAGTCTATTTCTGAATTCAGTAGTCCCTGGAGAGTTCGGCTACCGTCTAGTGCACCTTGCGAGGCGTGCTTTGAAGTGAGAGGAGGATCTTGGCTATTTTTATATTAGAGGTTACCGGTAAGTAATGACCAGCCACTTTCAACGCATCCGTGAAACCTTCGAGCATCATTTGAAAAGATTAAGCTAGGGAATTATGGCAATCGCGCGGACGAACGGCAATTGAAGGTTTGTCAAGTCGATTGAGGCCATTTTCTGAAGGAGTCACAACGTTCAACCTGAACTCTAAAAGGAATGCCTAAGCCAGACGATTCTAGCTCAAGCTTATGGATGTTCCTAGACACCCAGATCTAATGCTTCTGAGATTACCCATATATAACGAAACACAGCTCCACTCCACGCACCATCTCTTCACACAACAACGCGAACTTGTGCACTGAGACAGAACAACAGCCAAAGTCTTACGCTTCTCATCATTAAACGCATTATTATAATCCCCGCTTAAGTGCCTCTGAGGCCTTCAACATACGCTCCCGATCAACTACGAGACTCACCATGCCTTCTGCAGACAATTTCGAGGACGACTTTTCAAATGGCAGTGCAGAGGCATCTCTCACTTTCCCACGTTCTGCCAACGATATCCGTGTTGGTGATTACATTCTTCTAGATGACAGCCCCTGCAAGGTGACCGATCTCTCGAAGGCTCAAACGGGGAAACACGGCGCTGCCAAGGTCATACTCTCAGGTACAGACATCTTCACTGGGAAAAAACACGGAGGCAGTTACTCTTCTTCACACAATGTGCCGGTGCCCATCGTCACGCGTCGGAATCATCTCCTCCTTGACGTATCTAACGACGGATATCTCACTCTCTTCGATGCCGGCACTAAAACTGAAAAGACTGATGTTAAGCTTCCCGAGGGCAAGGTTGGAGACAAGATCAAGGACAAGTTCGACAGGGAATTTGAGGTGGACCTATTTGCCACTGTCCTCTCCTCCATGAATCACCAGATTGTGGTTGATGTGGTTGACAAAGAGCGTGATTGAGTTATCCAGAATGTATCGCCCACCTCCTGCCTGAAAGTTACTTATCTGACTAAGTGTTGGTTTGTGGGAGAGTGTACCTATCAGCATGTAAGATGCCGTGTTCAGCTAGTCCTACTGCTTTGTTAGAACAGATGATTTTCGACGCAAGTATTAACTGGCCAGTATTGTGACATGATTGGCGCTGGAAAAATGGGGAAACCCCTTGTAAATGCACGCGATTGTGCTTGGGATGCTCATAAAAGTCGTTTCCCTAAATTTCGATAAATTAGAGTATCCGCACTCTAGGTGCTGAGACGAGGTGGAAATCAAATAGCAAGCACGTGGTTGAGCACAAGCTCGTTATTTGAGAATCCTTTTTTCGTCGCTGGGATCCTCACCAGCTCAAAGGGCGCCAACTTGGTACCGATTGGCTAGTTTGGATATTGCAGGGATGTGACTGGCGATAGACGCTCATATCCTAGCAAAGTCCATACTGGGTACCGAAACCTCAATCCCACTATCGGGCCGAGCGTACAATAACGAAGCAAGAATGGTGCCGACTGCCTGGCTCAAAGTCACATCAAGAGCCAATACCAGCCACAAGCAGTCGGCATTTGCATCTGGTTTCCTCGCTTAAACCCTCACGCTTGTCGAACTACTTTCGTTTTCCTTGGCCAAAGCCTGTCCGACGGCAGCCTGCCAGGTTGTGGACCAGCCTACAAAATCGGAAATCTACCCGAGGCCCTTTCGATGGCCAAGAAGACCCGGGCTTGCATGGGTTAATGACCCACTGCGGAGCATCAGTGGCATGCATATGCTGCATACTGATGGAACCGCTACATAGGTGGCCTCTCTGAATGCTGACACCGGTCAAATCAGTCTTTCTACCCCTCAAAACTTTCAGAGCTATCCTACGGGTATATTATCCACAGCATAAACCTAGATTGATACCAGCGGCCTCTGCTTCGCACCCAGTGTGCGGCCATTCTCTCAACACAATATTCGAACATTCACCAGTCCAATCCACAGCAGCCAGCAACACCATGGAAACTAAGAAGGAAATAGGCATTCAGACCTTTGGCGAACCCAGCCAAGCGGGCACTATAGGTGACCCCGTATCTGTCGAGGATGAGAACGGCAGGACATGGCAGAACTACAAACCGGACAAGTATTTCTTACCTAACGATGCCGGAGAGCAAGATCGTCTTGACGTCACCCATAAAGGCTTTTGCATACAAGTGCACAGTTTGCAAGATCCACAAACTCGGAGCAAAAATCCCGATGATGCTTTGCATCTCGCTCCGATTGAAGGTGATCCGCCTCGGGTTTTGGATTTGGGCACTGGCACTGGTAAGCTCCTTCTCCATGTCTGAGGATGGGAGGTGGAGGCAGTCTTCTCTCACGACGCTGAAATCAGCGAACAAAAGGAATCTGGGCAATCGAGTATGCACGACGTCATCCCGGATCTGAAGTCATTGGCTCCGATCTCAGTCTTATTCAGCCAGATGTATCAGCCACTGTGCCCAACGTGTCTTTCGTTCGAGAGGACGTAGAGGATTACTGGGTTCACGGCGCACCATTCGACTTTATACACGGGCGCCTCTTATTTACTTGCTTCGATAACCATAAGGATGTTATCAAGAAGGCTTTCGATAGCCTAAGACCTGGCGGCTGGATCGAATACCAAGACTCTTCTTTGAACGTTGATTCCGACGATAACTCACATCGCCGGACAGCATTACACAAATTGACTTACCTTTCTATGGCTGGGGCAGCAGCAATGGGCCGAGATCTAGAGGTCGCAAGAAAGTACAAGGACTACTTTATCGAAGCCGGATTTGTGGACGTCGTGGAGGTCAAGTTCAAGGTCTTTGGTAACACGTGGCCCGAGAAGGAGCCAGACTGCACTATTGGCAAGTATATGAGCCTCTCGGGCTCTCAGGTAATCAAAACCATTTCGGAGAAGCTACTGCGCAAGGGCTTGGTGTTGCCAGAAGACATCATCGAACCAATCGTATTGCAAGCGCTGAAGGACGTAAACAACACTCAGATTCACCTGTGGTGGCCTGGGTAGGTTTCCTTGAGAGATCATTTGTCCAATACGTTTGGGCTCGCTGCTAACGGTTTCTTCAGTTACGTAGTGTATGGACGGAAGCCATTCGACCATGAGAAATCCTAAACTCTAGCGTACGACCTATCATGGCTTTAGTCCCGAACTCTCATAGCTATGCCAACCTAAATACCAAAAGTCTTCTGTCGAATGATGGTGTAGAACCTGTTGCTCATCGGCAATGCTATCCTGAAACTTTATGACATCCGTTGGCCCTGAAGCATCTGCTGAATACCATTTCAAGGGTCAACGGGAAGCTAGACTGATTAGTATATGATACCAACCTAATCACTCCATACGCTACTACATTTCCCATAGAAATTGGAGCATTCCTTGATATACTGATCGATCAGCACAGCGTGGATCCTATCTCCTGTCGAACATATTCAACTTTGAGAGGGCAACCGCGAATTAGGAGGGCATTCTCATTCGAATTCAGCCTTGGCTCATGCCTGCCCGGCAATATCCTAGCTCGAAAGCAGGTAGTCGGCGTATCTGGCTAAGTGGCATTTCTCAAGCAAACTCTCGATAAGTTCATCCTTGCCAAGACAAGTAGCGCGATCCTGCGTGCGGCTGGCGCCAATATGCAGGGGCTGTGCCAGTGGGCCGAGTATCACCTTCAGCTAGACTCTGAGGTGCCGCATGCCAACAGTCTTTCGCAAGTCCGCTCATCCTCACTATTGAGGGACGCAAAAATAGATGTGGAGAAAGTGGCTGCAATACCCATGGATTTGCACGAACCCTGAATATTGCGATGCCTATTGGCCGCTCTTCTGGTCGGTGTCGCGCACGGCTACGGCACGCCAGGTCAATCAGGCCGCCGGATCGGTCTGGGGATTAGTCGTCTTCGACGGTGCTGAGCTGGCGCAAATGGGACAATAGCTGGGGAAAGCATCCTGAAACATTGTTGCTCCCATCCTGCCTTATGATGTTTCGACTAATGCGGGCCGGGGCCTTGGGCAGGTGCAGCGAGGGTTGCCTGCTGCGCCTCGCAGGGTATCCGGAACGCATCTCATAACATGATTGCGAAACTTTATTTCGTGTCTCTGGAATCCATCTCGCCCACAGGTCTGCAGATCATATTCTCGGCCACTTCCAACTTCAGTAAACAAGATAACCAATTCATTCGCTTTGTTCTCACGGTACATACAGATTGTATAAGTCTCGATTATTTGTTTTCTCTAAACGCACACAACACTCAGAACTACCCTTCAGGCGCGCTGAGCGCAATCGCCATCTACAATCATGACCAGCATCTCTTTGGACACCGCAGCTCTGGAACAATTACATGCGGACCAGAAATCGCTTTTGGATACTATTGATGATCTCCGCAAACATGGAGTCGGGCGCTTCGTTGACCTGCCACAAATCATAGTGGTTGGGGACCAATCATCAGGGAAGAGTTCCGTCCTCGAGGCTATCTCTAGAGTACGGTTCCCCGTCAAAGATGGGCTCTGTACCCGATTTGCAACAGAGTTAGTATTGCGTACCGATACCAGAACAAAAATCGATGTCCAGATTCTGCCGGCAGTTCCCACAAGCAAATCGCAATCTTTCACTGAGACTCAATTTGATAAGAACGAACTGCCTCGGATCATTGAGGATGCCAAACGCACAATGCTTCAGGGCAATACAGGCTTCTCTGAGGATGTCCTGCGGGTAGAGATATGCGGACCTGACATTCCGCATCTTACTCTCGTCGATCTTCCAGGCTTCTATCACTCCGAGGATGAGAACCAATCCGCGGCTGGACGCAAAATGGTAGATCAGTTGGTTTCGCGATATATGGCTAGAAAGAACACTATAATCCTTGCGGTTGTATCAGCGCGAAATCAACTCATCCTACAGAAAGTGCACAGCAAGGTCAACGAACATGACCCTTCGAGGCAGCGCACAATTACTATCGTGACAAAACCCGATATGCTAAAACCCGGCTCTCAAGAGGAAAAGAACTACGTTCGAGAGATCAGGACTTCAGACTCAAAGAGACTAGCACTCGGATGGCATGTACTGCGGAACCGCGGAGAGAATGAGGAAGACATATCGGATGAAGGCAGGGACAAGGCCGAGACGGAATTCTTCCAGTCCGAACCCTGGTCTTCGGTACCATCCAAAAACTGCGGTATCGATATGCTCCGCAGAAGGCTAAGCACGCTTCTGTTGACACACATCAAAAGTAACCTCCGCGGCATCATAAGTGAGATCGAAAACAAGATTCAAGAACGACAAGTCCGACTCAGTGAGCTGGGAGAACCCCGGTCAGGACCGAAGGATTTACGTGCTTACCTTGACAAGATCACTTCACAGTATCAGATACTATCTCGGAATGCTCTTGATGGAAACTATAGCCATGAATTCTTCGGTGGCCTTTTCCCCGAGAGTAGTAACAACAGTCCACTGCAGGGCAGGGTTCCAAAGTTACGAGCTCTCGTCCGGGATCTTAACCGAGTGTTTGCCTATATCCTAGAAACTAAAGGCTCTACGGAGATTGTGTTGCCCAGAAAGGCTGAGAGGAACGGCGCAGTCGACAGTGATGACGGTGAGGATGACGACGATGAACAGGAACAGCATGGCGAAGACGATGAAGAGGATGAAGATGATAGTGAAGACATCAACGAGGACGACGAGGAAAGTTATGATGGCCAAAAACAGACACTGCCGACATACTTGCAACCATTATTAGCCTACTATCATGTCGATGAACCTCGCCGAGTCTCTTTTCAACGCGCCGCTAATCGTTTGGAGGTCCAGTCTTCAGCCAATCAGGGAAATGAGTTCCCTGGCACCTCAAATGACCGGCTGGCTGTTGAGTTCTTTCGGCATCAATGTCAACCTTGGAAACGAATTGCTCGAGAGCATATGCGAATCACTATCGGCATAACCCAGATGTTCGTTGAGAAGCTTCTTGCTTACGTGACCGGCCCCGACAGCAAAACATACTCCACTCTCCTCTCAGAGGTTGTTGACCCTTACTTCGAGAAGAGATGGACCCTACTTGAGAACAAAATGGAGGAACTGCTTCATCACTATCTCCATGGGCACCCTCAACCGCTGGAGACAGAGTTCATAACCCTTCTAGGACGCCGAAATCGCAAGAATATGATATCTGAAATTCTACGAGACCTTCTGAAGAGCCAGCCAGAGGTTTTCACCAAAGAGGGGCGAACAAAACTTGCGCGAAATCCAAGCGCCTCTCGGCGTAGCAAATTTGACGCCGCGGGCCTAATAAACAAAGCCGAAACATACTACCAGGTAGGTTTGCGCTCAACAAGGAACGAAGTTTTGCTCATCGCTGAATAGGTCTCGCTCCGTACCTTCACCGAGAATATGATTGTTCTTGCGATAGAGAATTGCCTCATTGAAGAGATCCCGAAGATCCTCACGACTGAGATGATCAATAATATGGACGATGAAGAGCTTGACCGCCTTGCGTCTGAGTCCGAGGACATCCGACTCGAACGTTCTGAAATCAAGGAAGAGTATGATTCTCTGAAAAGGGGCCTGCAATCTTGCAACAAGTATCGCGAACGCAAGACCCACTGTATGTGAAGCGACCATTGATACTGATAGCGCTAGAACACTGCATAGCTAATCAGGATTGGACTCTAGTTTTCACTGAACTAGACAACGAACGTGCAGTCCCCGTTTCAACGCCTGCTCCAGTTCCATCGACGTCTATCCCTACTCCCTCTACTTCCACGGAGACGGCTAACGTCATTATTGGCGTTCCTATTCAGCCGGCAAAGACTCAGAAACCTACCAAACCCCGAAGCATATTCGATGTCTCTTCTGATCAGCCTGCGCTTGGGGGATTTGCAAGTTTTTCTTCGACAAGCAACCAGCTCTTCCCGAATACGGCGGCGGCGACAGACCGGCCTTCTAAAGGCTCTGGTGGTCTATTCAGCTTCTCCTCAACACCAGCACCGTTTGAATCACTATCAGCGGCTGGCAATAGTTCCACTTCACCCGCGTCACTGTTTGGAAAACCATCAGTAGCCAGTAAGAGCTCAGTTCAGCCCCCCTTGCCGACTGACCCACACCCGAGTACTGGCCTTTTCGGCCAACCTAAGAGCTACTCGCCGGGAAGTAGTTTATTTGGATCTAAAACCAGCTGTAAGTCAACCTTAAGCAACTACATTTCATTGTTGCTTGTGCTGATGCCCTGACCAGAAGTCGCAGATTGGAACCCACTTCCATCGGGAGAGGGTCCCATTGTTAGCATACCGCATGTATGCCCAGAACCTGGGTCTGGAGGCATGGCAGGTTCGTGGACTGCGCGCTTCCAACATATTTGCGCGACGGATGGCTATAAAAGTTTCTCTCCGGAGGAGCTCAGACTAGTACACTTGGACCGAAAAAAAGCGACAACAGTTGACGCGTCGGTAGGACAATGGTAGCCGATTCTGGGTGGTGGCTTCCGATCACTCACTCAACAGTCGAAGATATTGATTTGAATTCTTTCTCCAATTAGAACGTGATACGCTGACAACTCTCTAATCTCGCTTGCGAATGATCTGCCCTAGTGCACGCCGTAGCCAGCAAGACGATAACGGTATCTAATGACTTTAACTTGAACACCACAGTCTATTCTATAAAACGCCGAAAACCCAACCTTGCTCACTCACATCTTCTAGCTCTATTCCTGGGAAACGAAACCAGGCATCTTGTGCAGCCACGGAACCAGGCCGACGAACGGCTCCTCCGCAGACACGTAGTTGAGCAGCAGCGCCGTGCTGATCGTCTTGCGGGCCAGGTAGTTGGTCAGGAGGCGCTGGACGAACTGGAAGGGCAGGATGAAGCGGGCGATGATCCAGTGCAGCCGGTCGGACCACGCGTGGATGCGCGTGATGTGCGCCGACTTGTAGCGGTCCTCCTCGGCGCGCTCGTACCGCTCCCGCTGGTACTCGGCGAAGAGGCCGGACAGGGCGGCCGCGTCCAGGGGCTTGCCGCCACACGCCGCCCGCGCCGCCTGCAGCCGGTTGCACAGCGCCACGACGTCCTGCACGCCGTTGTTGAAGCCCAGCCCGGCGTTGGGCGTGTACTTGTGGCAGGCGTCGCCCACCAGCACGATCCGGCCCCAGCTCCAGTGCTGCAGGATGCCCTCCTCGAGGTTGGCCATGCCGGCCGTCATGCGCCTGGCCAGGGCGTCCTCGACCTTGAGCGTGTCGGTGATGCGGAAGTCGGCAAAGGTGGCGGCGAACTCCTCGGCGTCCTTGATCGAGTACGACGTCCGCTCCCGGGTCTCCTGGGGCAGCTTCTGGTAGAGGAAGATCCAGCTTCGCTCGCTGCCCGAGATGTACATGGACGACTTGTCCGTGTGGTGGGTGTTGTAGCCCTCGCCTGGCTCCGATCCGGCGGGACGGGGAAAACTGCACCACATGCACTTGTACGCCGTCGTGAACGGCACCTCAGCATCCCACTCCCGGGAGGGATCCTCCGCCAACGCGAGCTTCCGCATGATGCGGCGGGTCCGGCTGTACACGCCGTCGGCGCCTAGGACTATCGACCCTTCGTGGACGGTGCCGTCACTGCAGTGGACTTTGACACCGTCGGCATTTGCCTCGATATCGACCACCTTTTTCCCCGTCAGGATCTGTGACTTGGCGCGCACTGGAAGCCCGTCGTATATCGTCTCAATCAGTTGGCTCCGGTGGAACGCCAGGGGCCCAATACCATGGCTATGTCTTACTGTCAGAAAGCCGCTCCTTAAGGAGGTTATTTCTGACCCACGGAGCAAACTTACTTGGCTCTCATCAAGCGGAAATTGTGGTGGTTTTCGAAGACATTCCCATCGAGGTCGTAGGACTTGGTGTGCTGCATCTCGCCGCCGATTTCCTTGAGCCTCGAGAGGAGCCCGAACTGCTGCATAACCCTCAGGGACTGGGGCCCCAGCACCAGACTGGCGCCCGAGTCGACGAACATCTCATCGCGGCCCTCCAAGACAACATAGTCAATGCCGGCGAGGGATAGCGAGTGAGCTGCCGTGAGCCCGGCCGGGCCCGCACCCACCACAATGACTTTGAAGTTACTGGCATCCATCGTGGGCGGATGCGCTTGGCACAGTATATCGTAGCGCTCTTGCCCGTTCGGCTAGACGAAGATGGGTTTCAGAAGAGGTGTCAGTTACGAGAGAAGACTGGGCGAAACATTAGACATCTTCAGTTTATATGGCACTTCTCAACGGCACTGTCCCAGACCCACTGACTAAAAACCTAGTTTGAATTCGGGACCCGCGACGGCCCCTTTTCCAACATTAGAGTTTCCACCGTTCCTCGCGTTCGCACCCAAGGGTATCTGGCTAAGGCGACTATATCTTGGAGACGTTAGGTGTAAGCCTGCCTTAGCCAGCCAATACCAGACTACTATATTATGACCGCGCACATCCCATCCCATCACTGCGAGAAAGAGGGGCAGCAGCCTCTGTCCTCTACACACATGCCCTCCGGCTCAACAGTTCAAAAGGAGACCCGTGCCGGGGTGGGTCCCTGATAGCGGCGGGCTTGAGAAAAAACCGACATCCCGCAAGGACCGCCCGACTAAGCTGGTTCGGGCCACAAGTATCCCTGCCGGCAAGCAACAAACTCGGGTTGACTTGGCAGTGGTGCCATTTCGAGGTCATCGAAATACATACAACCTCTATCCTTGCGGCCACAGATCTCGCAAGACGTGAGTGATTTCACTTCGGTAGTCTATCACAGTCCGCGCTCGTTCAGAACTATGTTTATGGCACCCGCAATACATATCTTCCATGAGGTCGTGAATAATGGCCGAAATACCCGAAGTTGCCAAATAGGAGTTGGTCAGTCCGGGCCCGAGGTGATGTTTAAGGATATGCAATACGATAAGCCGGGCAGTCATGTATCTTGGCAACGCATAACAAGTAAACCTTATATCATTCGATCGAAATGGCTACATTCTCAGTGAAGTATGATATATTCTATGTGATTACATATCTAAGTTGTATCCTGAGAGGCAGGCTAAACATTATGATGGCGATCTTCCTAGCTGGCCGCGATTTCAACCAATTGTCCGTACCACTCATTATCATCTGCAGCTCCACTCTCCACGTGGGAGCTTCTGGGTCTGAGTCCTTGGTATACCGACCCTTGCTCCCGTCAGCTCCGCGGCGTCCTATAATAACATACCATAGTACACTGGCAGTCTGACCCTGGCAATGTATGTCAGTTGGTCGGCGTTTCTTTCGCCTTAGCTTCCATCCCGCCTTCTGAGAAAGATCTCGACCAGACCTCTCATTCTCTCCTCGCTGGCCTTTCTTTCCTTCTCTTTCCCTTTCGTTGATCCATCCCCAGGAGGGCCAGACCGGCAGATAGCAGATCCCAAGCTTTCGGCAACCTTTCTTTCCCAAGCCAATCTCGTCTGAATCGCTGCTTGGTCTACATCTTCGCTGCTATTGGCCCTCTTTCGGAGGCTCAAGCTTCGTCCTTTGCCCTTGGTCTTTGCATCAGAGTTCAGCGTCTCCACCTCTTTGGTCTTGAGAGGGATAATCTCGGTGGCCGCTTTGGCGAGCATGCTCGTGACGAAGACAAAGGAGATATTGTGATACGGCGCCCCGGACAGTATGTCCAGGATAGTGGTTTTGTCGTCTTCAACTTCTTTCGCAGGGCGCAAGGCCGTGGATGAATTCCCAAGGGCCGGCAGAACTGACTCGATCTGGGCAAAGATAGGAGCTGTGACAATGCCATCCGTCAGCGAACGGAGGAACAACCTCAGAACGTCGGTCATGATTTCGAGTTGAACAAGAGCTGTAAGCTCTGTCTTGGGCAGAACGTCCAGGATATGGGTGGGGTGATCAGTGTCCAGTGCTTCGATAACGGCGAGTCGGTGCAGGCCGTGCTCCGGCCCTGCTGCACTCGAACTGGCAGCGGGTCTCTCCACGAAAGGCCATCCGACTTGATCTCGCGGCAGTTTAGTTTTGTCTTCTTGAAGCATGTTTTCGTCCGCAACAGCTCGCTCAGTCAGGCTCTCGATCGCCTCTGTCAACTTGTAAAGCTCAGGGGGCGAAGAGGAGTGAACATCCAGACTGTACGGGATGCTTCCTCCTTTCCAGTCCCTGCCATCAATCTTGTTGCCTGCTTTCCATTTGCCAACAAATCCTCTCAGCCCACCACTTTGAGGTGGTATACGTATCAGTTCGTCGACACTCCGCCCGAAGCAAGAGGGAAGCCATACAGCTCGAACAGGAATGAAGTGATCACGTCCTTCTGTGACGCGAAGTACGAGCACGTCTTCGAGCGCAGTGGTGCCTGCATTCAGCGCCCGAAGGTGGGACAGCGAGGTTACCGAGATGGTCAGGGTTGCCGATGCTGTCTCGCCGGGATCAAGGGTAATTTCCTTCTGGTCCTTCCCTGGGGACTGTGTCCCAGGACCTTGCGTCGACGAGTCTGAAGCATGGTCAAGAGACACAGTCAGCCAGTCAGACCTGTGGTCGTCGTCACGATCAGTGGTTGCACCTTCCTCCTCAATACTTGGCTTTTCCACGAAACACAAAGTAGCAGGCACCCCGCCGGTGTTGGCCACTGTCAGAGAACGCGTCACAGATCGCAGGAAGCCAACTTCACCAAAGTCGACACCATCGCTGCCATCATGGACATCTTTGTCGCTTCTCGTAGAGCCGCTTTCATGGCGGTCAACCACAATGGTGATCCCAGGCCGGCCCTCATTCTCGGCTCTGTCTAACTCCCTAGCAACCTCGGCATGGACTTTGGCCTTGAGCTCTGGAACCACAGCATCATAATCAAGCGTGAATAGCGCCACAATTGGCTTGTGGTCACTACTCGTGACGCGCTGATGTGTAGTGTATAGATCAAGCCGGAGGTGATCCTGGTAGCCCTCTTTGGTGATGACAGTCTCGGTGGCCCCTTCTGCATCATCGTTGCCTTCGTCGTACTCATCATAATCATACGAGTTATCATTGGCAGCCGTAGAAGAAACATCCTTGTCGGGGTCATAGTCAAACAAGACACTCTCGTCGTCAGCAGCCGAGTCGATACCCCGCTTCTTCATGTCCTCGTCTTTCTTCCTGGACGCTTCTTCCTCGGCGATTTTGGCCTTGTGATTGTCCAGGTCCGTTCTTGTGCGATACAGGATGCGATCGCACCAGCTAGGAGCACGGCGTTTCTCCGATGAATCAAACAGGCCAATGGTACCAACGTCGTACTTGTAACTAGGAAGAAACGTGATGGCACCTTCGCGCCAGCCTTCATGGAATGCCTTTCTGTCCTTGATAGTTCGACTGAGCTGATCATGCGGCAGCAATGAGTCGAGAGTGGCCTGGAGGGAAGCCGGGTCATCATGGGGGTCGGGGACAAAGTCGTCTGGGTCGGGTAGGTCCGTCTTGTCATCATCGTCCTTGTTGAAGCTCGCCTCACGCGATACCATGCCAGGTGTGTTGGATCCTTCGTCATCGCTGTCGTCCTTGTTGTGCAAGATGATGACACTGTCCTCATCCGAGAGAGCTTTCTGCGTCTCCTTCTTGCTCAAATCGTACTCGCCCCGGGTATGCAGCATGAGTAAGCGCCGAATATCGTCGCCTGGCAGCCCATCGAGGCGGAAGTTGAGATCCCCGAACCAGAAAGCAAAATCCTCATCTCCGATGCCTTCACTCTCGTCCTCGGAAACCCCGCTGTGGGACACCGGGCTGAACTGGGTCTGGCTCAGAATGCGGTTGTAGTCCCACCACCGACGTTCCAGGTTGGCCTGGTCATGGCCAGAAGCCAAGTGACAGTCTGTAAATACTAAACGCGTCGTCTCGCCGAGGAGGACCCTTGTGGAAACGCCGCCTTTATTACCCATGTAGCCCAGAATTCCTGTACCGACGGAAACGGTTGAGACATTGGAGATGGTGGCGGCGACATCAGGCGAGGCGTAGACAAGAAGCAGGAGGCCGGATAGCTGTTGCGAGGCAACCAGCGTGTAGCCAGCGGGCAGTGCGGCTTCGAGAGCGGCCTGCCATTTGGCGGTTGCGGAGGTGTCGCCATATCCTGAGATTAGATTCAGCGAGATAATCTCCTGAAGGCCCAAGACGTACAGGCCAATGTCGGAGCCGCCAACGGTCCTTATCGTCGGCTCGGCGTGGTGCTCTGCCTCTGCTTGTGACTTTGGCTCCAATTTCTTGACATCACCGCTGTCGCCTTTCCTGGTAGATACCTCTACGTACGTCTGGTCTTCGCTCTTGGAGGCGGCGGGGGCTTGTTGGTCGTCGGCGGGGGTCTCCTCCTCAACCGTGCCGCTCTCGCGCAAGCTTCGGTCAGCAAGATGGGTGTCCAGGTGAGGCTCCAGCCCCTTGCCCTCGACGAACCAGCTGGCAAGGTCCTTGTCGGTGCCGGGGCAGGCAGCGACGTTCCACGAGCCGACCTTGATGCGGATGCGGTGGGGCCTCACAAACTCGGCTTTGCGCGCGTGGACGGCGCGCGACAGCGAATAGTGCGTGGAGCTCGCCGTCAACTCGTGTTCGACGTCAACAGGCTCCGAAGCGGACTGCTGCGTCTCGGAGTTTCCATCTGCGGCCATGGCGGATGGGCCCTGGGTGGCGTTGGTGGGCAGGTTCGCGCTCGAGGTCGTCGTGTTCAGGTGCCAGGCGCGCGGGCGTCGGCTTGTGTTAGGGCAGGCAGAGTTGGAGTAGAGGGGGTGTGGGAGCGGTAGAAGATTTCAGAGACAAGCTGCGATCCATCATCCATCTCTCAGCAGTTGAGCTTGACCTCATGCATCATGGTGATCTCTGCACGCAGTGTGGGTGTTCAGTGAGGTGTCGTCCGAGTCAAGCATGCGACACCCCAGGATGGCTTGCGACTCAGCAGCAGTCCTACCACGCACCCTATCAAGCCTGAGGTATCCTATCCCATTGGATCATATCCTCGCCCAAGCTGAGTCTGCCCCCTGGGCAGTGAGTGACGTAGGCGGGGCAGCGGTGGTAATGACCCGCGCGACACGCTAACTACCTAATCTACAGGTACCTAAGTACATAGGTACGTGAGCTAGGGCATCACAAGGGCTTGCAGGCTTGCAGGCTTGGAACCAAAAGGTAGAGGGCTACAGGGTTTGTCGCAACAGAATCATGTGCTTTGGGTGTTTGTCCACATGCTGTAGACATCAATGACAACCAAGAACCAGATGCAAGCAATTGCCAGTCACATGTCGCCCAATAATCGACTTGAAAGGATACCTACTTGGTCGAACTGTGCACGCCGGCACTTGGGACTTGGTGCCCGTCACCACGGTACTGTGGCACTGTGGCACTATGGATACCCACCGTCAGGTACTTTCGGGCGGCGGCTGCGATAAGCTGCGACTATCGGCACTCTGCCATTGGCGGCGCATTGGAGAGCTGGAGCTCCAACCTTCTTGACCTAGGGTCAGCACTACCAAACAGACAGACCGTGGAGTGATCGTGCCTTTCCACTGATTGATTCCCCAACTCACGGCGACGCTCTTCAAGCCGGTTGTTGCCCTTGCGCCGTTTGATCACACACATTTCGCGATCCCGACGACAGCTTCACGCACGCGCCTGCCCGCAGCCTTTTCCTTCGTCGTCGTCCTCCTCCCCCTCCTCCACAATGTCCTCGACACCCCGCAAGAGACGGAACCACCAACACACCTCGTCGAATTCCCAGTCCCACCACAACCACGGCCACGGTCACCAGAGGACGCGATCGCAGCATCTAGCCGCCCAAGAAGCTGCCGCCCAGGTCACGTCCGACTATGAGTCAGACACGGCCCTCTACATGGCCGCCCATCCCCCCGTTCCCGCCGCCCAGCTGACCGTCCGGACGAATACCGACCTCAACCTGGCCGTGCTCCAGCGCTACCTGCCCACCATCACCTCCATCCTCGGCATCGCCGCCAACGCCGTCGTCTACTCCCTCGACACCACCGCCGGCGACTGGCAGAAGGCCAACATCGAGGGCACCCTGTTCGTCTGCCAGCTGGGCGACAGCATCGAGAAGTGCTGCATCTTCATCCTCAACCGCAAGGGCATCGACAACATGACCCTGCACCTCGGCGGCATACGGGACGTCGAGCTCACCCAGGGTATCTTGATGCTGCACATGGACGGCCACGACGGCGAGCAGGACGACGGCACCCCCTCCAAGATCTGGGGCCTCTTCATCCACGAGGAACAGCAGCAGCAGCAGCAGCCCGACTCCTCGGCGCAGTCCAACGCCGACCTCATCAAGGCCCTCTGGCACAAGGCCAGGGAGTCCCGTGCGGCTCAGCAGGATCGCGGCGAGCGGGTGTCGCTGCAGGGAGGCGGTGCGGGCTTTACCATGCCAGGACTGGGCGGACGACAGGTCAGCTTGAATGAGCTGTTTGGGCGCTGAACTGGCGCTTGGAGGAAGGAAAGAAAAATACCCTGGTGTTTTGTACAGATAAGGAAGACGTTATATTACGAATGATGAATATCACGGTTGCCCAACACCTCGGTGGCCTTGACCACATCCTGACACATCGGATGTTCCCCAGCAACTGCGCTACGTTCCTCACGGCGGGACTGCATTTTCAGGCTTGCTAGGTCTGGCGTTACCCCAAGGAGCACGGCGACCATATTCCTTAGGCAATAGACACATCGTCAGGCCTGACCAACCGCCCAGCCAAGATCCTGCCTGCTTCGAAATATGAATCTCGACCTGCGGTAGGAGTGCTACATTCAAGAGGGGAAAGGGGCCTGGGATAGCAACATGAAACACCACTGTGCAGAGTGGAAATGTGGATATGAGAGTTCTCAATGGGGAAGTTCTTCTCCTCGGAGAACTGCCTGTCTAACGTCGGCGCACAAGGTGGGATGGAAGAAGTATGGATCACGTATGGTTCTCGGGGGATGTAAAGGCCAGGCTCAGAATAAAGCAAGAAGGCAATTAGAGCCGAGTTGTGCTCTCCAACCCTCAAGTGCTGTCATGCGTGCTCGTGCTGCTATGTGATGAATTGTGCGTTCAAGGTGGTTGTGTACAGATGTAGTCAACTCGGCACCCGATATACATAAACACTGGGCGTGAAGCCGTTCCCTTTCGCTTAAGCATGCCCAGTCCCAATATGGAAGGTCAATCGCTCGATGATTCCATCGACATCACGGCTGGAACGACACGCCTATATGCACCTCCGTGTGCCCCGCTTTTTCATTCAACGTCGTCGGATGTTATACTGGTCTCTATACTCAATATCAGATTGCGTGTGTGTTGTGTCACAGTAACCTGGAGCTTTCAGATTGGCCCAAAACAAAAAACTCCATCTACTCACCATACGCAATGGAGATGCTATAGGGAAAGACAAGATATGCATTTGCATCCGTGTTCGACAGCAACCTAGGCTCGCAACCCATAGGATTGCCCTTCTCTCTGCCTGGATGAGATCACGCCCATGCACTTTGCAGTGCTCACTTGACAACTGCCACGCCCTTCAACATCACCTGGTTAGCTATGCTAGTCTACCAATGCACGATATCATGCATGTCTCCTCCGTCTTCGGACAGCATGTGAAGTTTGTTACCAATTCTCCTGTGATGGTGTTCTGTCGTGGTGGGAGCGACCCCGAGTTTACTCCGCGAGTTTACTCCGCGGCGGCGGTCCCTCTCGAGGGCTGATGTGGTGCATTAGTGACTGAACATCGTGGTTGGAGAGGGCAACCTCGACAAGGCGCTATTGTTGATAGTGTTGATCAATTGAGTTGTCAATCTGGTTCGCTTCGCCGGATGGGGAAGTCTTTTGCAGCCAGCCACTGGGACACTAGATGTGGGGCTCGACCTGAACCGCACGGATGGGAAAAGGTAGTTTGCTGGGGCTGTCGACTAGTATTGTGTGTTTAGTCTTGATCAAGTTATACTATTGCTGCAAGAGGCATGCTGCACGGACTGTATGCGAGGAGATAAATCACTTGAGTTCCTCAAGACGAGGAATTGATAACGAGGCGATCGATGGACCGTCAAAGTCCCTGAGATGCTTGGTGTGTTCTCAAGTATTTCGCCAGTACCCCCAGGAATCATAAAACATATGCACTTCATTAAGCTGGCAAACATTCCCGCGAGGAGCTTTACCTGGCTTCTCTTGAATTAGAAACCACTGAACGTAGAAACGGTGCTTGATCCAAGCTGGGCAAGTTGTCATGTCTGGTTTCTTACCGTATCTTCATGCTATTCTGGTCTTGACCAGTGAGGATCAACGCCGGCCGACGTGCGATGGTGTTGTCGTTACGTTACTTTGACAGCTCGATCACTTAACTAGGCTTGCTAGGCCTCCCGAGGACCAAACGTAAGAATTGTTCGACAGAGTTAATTCGGCTTCACTCTGCCTCGCCACCGCCGAGGGGGACACAGCCGGTCGGGCGAGTAGCGTCGGATAACGGCATGATTCCCACACCATCGCCCCGTTAATGTTGCGCGATTAACGAGGGCAGAAGTCAAGGCACTCTACGGAGTTGCAGGCGAAACAGGACCGGGCCAGGAATGTAATCCTGACCATTTCTTAGTCGTGTGCTGCCTTGCCCAATGAGGGACACTGGAAAGCGTAAATTACAGGCCCCGCATCTGCTAGAGTTCCCCAGTCGCTCGGCCGCTCAGCTCGGCCATCCATGTCCAGTTGCCCCCAAGGCTGTGTGGGGTGACGTGAGGCTATGAGCCTTAGGCGCAGGAGGACGCCGAGTCCCATTCGTCTGCCGCGGACATGCTGCGCGCGGGCGACAAGACAAACATACGCCCGCACCGTCACGCCCGGCTTGCATCCAATGTGCATTCTCAATGGGCTCCCCGTAGCTGGGAAGTCAAAGTTAGACGCGATTCGCTGTTGACGTACAAGCGACGCCGCCAAGCGCTGCAGGCTCGGCCGACTAGGGGGCAGGGCAGGATCGCGCTAGGCTGTTACTGTGGTAGCATCTGCATGGCCAGGGATACAACCACCTCCATCTCCTTATGACGCGGGCGAGATGGAGCCCGGTGTGGGAACCCACTTCTTCTCGGCGGCGAAGACCCAGCAGCTTAAGAGTGCGTGCCGGCCACTCGGTCCCCGTTCCTTTCCGTTTCCCTCCCGTCTCGCACCAATTTTTTTTTTCGCTCTCCTCTGCTCTCTGACCCTATCTTCGCCATGGCTATCTCACCCACGGACGAGAAGGACACCAGCTCCGGTAACGTAGATGTCCAGGCTGGCATCTCGGACAATGCCGACCAGCTGCAGCGCCGGCTGGACAATCGCCAGATCCAGGTACGGGCGCCCGTTGAGCCGTTCAGTTTAAGATTTACTTACACCCAGATTCCAGCTGATCGCAATTGGAGGTTCCATTGGAACTGCGCTCTTCGTTTCAATTGGCACGGGTTTGATGCAGGGCGGTCCAGGCTCGCTCTTCATTGCTTACTCTTTGTACGCATGTCTACTCGGTAAGTGCTTTTGTCGGTGTCTACTGCTACCGTTGCCGTCGCCGTTCTGGGGACCCACACGCCGTAGGAACGGCGCCGGGACCCAATCAGGCAACCCACGACCAACGGACGAAATTGGCTGGTTATTGACGTATATTTACTGACTGAAATTGCACAGGTACCGTGAATAACTGCATGGCCGAAATGGCAACACTGCACCCTGTCAGTGGAGGTTTCATCCGTATGGCCGGCAAGTGGGTCGACGAAGCCCTCGGATTCATGGTCGGCTGGAACTTTTTCCTCTACGAAGCGTTACTGATCCCATACGAAATCACGGCTCTCAACCTCGTCCTTACATTTTGGAGGGATGACATCCCCGCCGCAGCTGTATGCGCAGCCTGTATCGTGCTCTATGGGTGAGTTCTTACACTCTAGCCTTGGCTTATGAAGTCTATTGAGTTTAGCTAACAAGCGACCAGGCTCCTCAACGTCTTGGCTGTGCGCGCGTATGGAGAAGCTGAGTTCTGGCTGTCCGGTGGCAAGGTCATTCTGATCTTCATCTTGTTCTTCTTCACCCTATTCACCATGGCCGGCGCCAACCCGCAGCATGATGCATATGGGTTCCGGTATTGGTCGAATCCAGGCTCGTTTGCAGAATACCGCAGTACAGGCAGTTTGGGCCGGTGGGAAGGCTTCCTCGCCGCTCTCTGGTCTGCTTCCTTCACCGTCGTCGGCCCGGAGTACATTGCAATGGTGGCAGCCGAGGCCAAGCGCCCGAGCAAGTTCATCAAGACTGCCTTCAAGACCGTCTACTGGCGATTCGGTATGTTCTTCATGCTCGGAGCCCTGTGCGTTGGTATCGTTATTCCATACAACGATCCCACACTCCTGAGAATTCTGGGCTCAGGAGGTTCAGGATCAGGAACCGCTGCTGCCTCTCCCTACGTCATTGCCATGAACAACCTCGGAGTCAAAGGTCTCCCCCATCTGACAAACGCCTTGATGTTGACCAGCATCTTCTCGGCCGGCAACACTTATACGTATTGCGCAACTCGAAACCTTTACGGTTTGGCTCTGGAGGGTCGGGCCCCGAAGTTCCTCAGATATTGCACAAAGAACGGAGTTCCCGTCTTCTGTTTCGCCGTCGTAATGATCTTTCCGTTCCTGTCGTTCTTGTCTCTAGGAAGCAGTTCTGGAGAGGTCCTCACCTGGCTTGTTAACCTGATCACGGCTGGCGGTATCATCGACTACATTACGATGTGCATCACGTACCTGTTCTTCTATTACGGTTGCAAGGCACAGGGAGTGGACCGTCGGTCATTCCCCTACACTGGTTGGGGCCAGCCTTACTGCGGCTGGATTGGTCTCTGCGGAATGACGTTGGTTGTCTTCACTTACGGCTATTCGTCATTCAAGCCCTGGAGCGTTCAGAACTTTTTTATCTACTACACCATGGTCATCCTAGCACCAGTTTTGTTCTTTGGCTGGAAGCTGATCCATCGCACCAAGGTCCTGAACCCGCGGACAATTGACCTTGTATGGGAGCGACCTATCGTAGAGGCCTACGAGTCCACATTCACCAAGCCTCCTGTTGGGTTCTGGACGGAGTTGCTGCATCTTTTCACGTTCAGAAAGAAGCAGAAGGACGGTCCGGAGCACTAAGTGGTGCGTGCACCTGTTTCTTGCCCGCCGGGTCTAGGACCTGCTTGGATAGCATAGTTATGTAGTGAGATACCCAAGATACCCATTCAAATTCATAAAGTATGCTCGAAAGAGGCACCAAAATAAGACTTAACGCGTAGAGGCGCTACTTGAAATACCAGAGGACTGTACAGACTAATCAGCCACCTTGTGTTTCGTGTCTCCAATCTGTGAGTAATATGCGAAGACTGCCGAACGACTTATTTGAGACCTTGCGACCAACTATTTTCGTTCGACAGGTAGGTATACAGGTCAATAATCTCTTAAGCCTAGTAGAGTTGCTTTCATCATCTCTGAACGTCGAAAATTGTGTTCCTGCATCTCCTCGGACCTAAGGCGAAGATTGAGACAAGGTGTTTTTAGGAGAACGCATGTGTTGTAGAGTCTGTTCTCCCAGGTTGAACCATCAAAATTCCGGTTTATCGCACTACTGACAGCTGTTGGGCGGTTACTGTCGAACTCTCCGGTTGGCCATGAAAAGAACTCGGAGAATGTCATATACACCAACGGAAGGGAGGTAAGCGCACCTTCGCCTTCACCAAGTCGATGTACCCTACTGCCGGGAGATGTTCGCCTAGTTAGCACGCGATTTATGGTTGGATGAGAAGTTACGACGTATGAAGAGAGGCCGCATCCAGGGGCAAAGTATGAGACAGTCAGCACGCCTCTATGCTGCGAGCTCAGGATGAAAAGGTTATGTCGTCCAGGATGCTGGCAGGTCCAATGGCGGCTAAGGGACGAATCAAGACTCAATTCGACCCACCATTCCACTTCCACAACATCTCTGATGTCTTATTAAGAAAGCACTGGAGACATCGGCACTGAAACTTGGATTAAAGCCCGTAAAATATCCTTCTTTTCCCGAATTATGTTGTACAAAAACTGATAATATGCTTGGATTGTGCACTGCCAATAAAGTTAAACAAACCTAGCAAACTATGTTGTTAATTTTTAAAATTATTGAAACTCTTCTGAGCAGAAGATAACATGAAAACGACGTTAAGTGAGAGTATGTGCAGCCCGAGGCTTGATACAGTCGACTCTGCGTCATTAAGTAGTGCACTGCGTGGACAAATATCCACAACAGACAATACAGCAATTAGCCACGCCCCTCTCCATTCGCATCATTTCTTAACAATAATACTTGTAACTCATCACGCGAGTGTAGACATGAACCACAAGACTTCACGCTACAACTACCAGGGTCAAAACTAGTGAGGATCTTGCCGGAATTGTTAGTGTCATTTTGGTGGCTTCAACATCTCTCGCCTTGAGAAGTACAGAGCACACGTCAGTTTTATATCATTTAAGTACACCCAAACCCCGTTGCTGGAGATGGTTCCCTCCAATTGCCACAGAGGAATACAGCACAGACACCCTGGCGTGAGGCGCGATGCAACGTAAACAACTTATTTACTGCTTGCAGCCAGGGCCTGCTTCGATGTGCGGGGAAACCCACCCGAATGGTTGAACCCACTGAATCATTGACCCGACGGTTGACGATCTTCCACACTATGAGGCCATCATCCTGGACTACTTCACCTTCTGGGCCTCTAATGTGCGGGGAAATCCTCTCCATCATTGACCCGACGGATGATTTGGCTACTACATGACGATGCTGCAGTAGCAATGCCGAAGACAGAGATGCAACTATAAATGTGCCCTCATAGTATTGCGGAATTTCATCACTGTACCTTTTTCTCTCACCCTTTCTGTCTCCGTCGCCCATGGTCATTACGATGATTCTTCCAAGAACAATAATACTTGGGCTCGTGCCGTTATGTCTGGCCCAAGGGGGACTCGTCGTAAACCCCAAGAGGACAGACGACGGGACCAGTGGAGCTGGCTCTGTTCCAATGGATCTAACCGACCTATTCAACAATCGTGGGTTTGCCATGAGTCCTGGTGATGCGGACTTTGACGGCCTGCACTCTGGCTACCCAGCGCAATACCTACCCTCAGCCAACTTCACATATTCTGGCGTCAATTACATCTTCCCACAGTATGCCGAGTCTGGCAATGACAATGTTCTAGCACAAGGGCAAAAGCTCTCACCACCAAAGGGTCGCTATTTCAGCGTGCATCTGCTTGCGGCAGCAGAGACAGCTATAGCGACTGGTTTTGTGAATGCTACTTACACTGACGGGTCGACTACATCGGGGCCGGTTCTTGTTGACCCGTTCTGGAATTGGCCGTGAGTGAATCTGAAATCCAATATCTAGTGTTGCCTGTCTGAAATCTTGGGATTTGCTTTTCCATCCACGTCACCTATTGACATTTCTCGATGTTGATTAGATATCCATACGGGGGAGACGTCATCTTTCCGTACCACTTTAAAAATGACACCATCGATTATAACCGCTCCATGATATTCCAGACCATTAACTGGTTGGATTCGACTAAGGAACTCGAGACCTTGCAGCTGCCCAATGTCACGACCGGAGATGCCAATGGCCCCGGAGGCGCTACCGAGGAAACTAGATTACATATTTTTGCCGTTTCGCTGGTTCCTGCGGCCGGCTCTGGCATTAGTCTCGACGTGCAATATGCCAGATCGACCAAAACGTGGTTCGAGGGCACCAACAAGACGCAAATCGTGGAGGTGCTGGTTAATAATGCAGGTGACGAGTGGGTCCTTGCCAACAACAGCGTCAAAGTCACCGTCTCCGCATCTGGGCTTCAAACAGTAAACCCAGGCACCATCAACAGACTGCGGCCTGGTGATCAAGCACAGGTCAAAGTCGGTGTAGTCAATACGGATGGTACCGCACCCGGAACCAGCGGCACTGCCACTGTTCATATCGAAGGGAATGGTGTCAACACCAGCTATTCGTTCAATGCGACATACGGAATCGCGTCGTACGAACCAACATTCGAGTCTATTTACAGCCACGAATCGTCGCCATGGTTCAAGGTAAGCTTTATCCACAAATCAAAGACCGAGACGTACGCTAACGCCCATCATAGTAAGTCCTTGGGAGCACGATTGAATGTGAGCTTGGAGCCTTTTTGTCGTTCTAACCTCCAGACAGTGACGCCAAGTACGGCATTTTCATCCATTGGGGGCCCTATGCTGTGCCAGGTTGGGGTAACGCCGGCAAGAACGAGGGTTACGCAGAATGGTATTGGTGGCAGATGGTAAAGTTTCCTGACCCACAAAGTTGGCTTGTAGTCATCACGATTTGCGTTGAGTCATGTGCTGACTTCATGTTTCTTCCTGGGCAGAACCAAGGACCTAACACTAGCGTCGGAACCTATGAGCACCATCTCGAAACGTATGGAGAGAATATCGTATACGATGATTTCATCCAAAACTTCACTGCTTCGGCCTACGATCCCAAGGAATGGGTTGATTTGTTCGCAGACGCAGGAGCACAGTACTTCGTGTCAGTATCGAAACATCACGATGGATATGCCATCTTTGATCTTCCGGAGAATGTGACAAAGAGAACGAGCGTTGCTCAGTATCCGCACAAGGACTTGTTACAGATGCTTTTCGACGCAGCAGATCAACACCAGCCTCATCTCCACAAAGCAACATACTACAGTTTACCAGAGTGGTTCAATCCTGATTATGCTCCGTACGGTTTCGGCTCTTGGCCTGGAGGCAATGCCACAAACCCGTACACAAACGAGACGCTTCCATACACTGGACATGTACCTGTTGATGACTACGTTACGGATGTGCTGCTTCCTCAAATGCTGACCTTGGCAGACATGGGAACTGAGATAATGTGGTGCGACATTGGTGGACCGAATCTCACAGCCGAGTTCGCAGCGCATTATTTCAACTCAATGGCAGAGCAAGGAAAACAAGTTCTGCTGGATAACCGCTGCGGGGTCCCTGGCGACTTTGACACACCCGAGTATGCTCGATATGAAGCCGTCCAAATCCGCAAATGGGAGAGCAGTCTCGGAATGGACCCATTTTCGTACGGTTACAACCGAGCCACTCCCGACTCAGCATATATCACACCGTCGGGTATCGTGACCAGCCTTATGGACATCATTTCGAAGAACGGCAACTTCTTATTGGACATTGGACCGACCGCCAATGGTACCATCATTGCGATCGAGCAGGAGAACCTTCGTGCTGCAGGGAAGTGGATCCAGTCTCATGCCGAGGCCATCTTCAACACGACGTACTGGTTTATCACTCCGGAGGAAGGGAGCACGGTCCGCTTCACGCAGAATGCTGATGCATTCTATATCACCACGCTCTATGCTCCAAACTCAACTCTGGTGCTCAACAGCCCGGTCCCGTATGTCGCTGGTGACAACGTAGTGATTGTGGGTGGAAGCAAGGCTGGGACTGTGGTGCCAAGCCAGCTTTTGAGTAATGGCAGTCTGCAGCTTACCATTAGCGAGGAGGTGAGAGATGCTGATGAATATAGCTGGGTGTTCAAGATTCCCTTTGGCAGTGCGTCAAAGAGTGAGTCAGGCGGGACAGGCCCACCTCCTTCTAGTGGTGGATCCCGGACGGTGAAGAGCACTGATTCTGCTGCTTCGTTGATATCGCTCCTCACTGTCTCGCTTGCTATTACGGCGTGGGCCTGCGTTTGATGCTAGAATTAAATCTACCCGCAGATAATGCCATAGTAATGTGAGTCACGGGAGCGTAATAAACGAGAATACAATTATACTCGATTCCCAATCACATGTCCCTAGTAACTTAGTAACAGCTCAGAGCTTCAAGCATCACGACGTACCCTTAGTAACGAATTTTCGCATCGCTCTGCTTCTGGGGAATTGAACCCAAAATCTTGGCGAAAACAGCCTCAAAAAATAATGTCCAAGGGACAAAAGAAATGAGCGACATTGGCCTGATTCGAACAGACGCCTCCGAAGAGAATAGATAGCTTCAATGGATTGAGATCCAGCGATTCTAGTCTATCGCATTAGACCACTCTGCCACAATGCCTATTGGACCGGGTGTATCCGGATCTTGTTAAGTTTTGACGATTTAATGAAATACATGTGGCTTAAATTAGTATGCACGGTGATTAGCGCCTAAAAGCTCGGTGGTCGACGAGTCCCGAATAAAGAGCCACAATAAATACAGTGAGAAATGCTAGCAACGAGAAAGGGATCGACTAAACGAAACTAACAAGACCACGTCTCCCACAATTATAACGAGTACATTTAAGAAATATGGCATTGCAAGCGCTTTGAGAATTCTACTAGAGAGATGTTATGTAGGTGAAAAAAAAAATTTGGTTGGCTAGTTTTAAATGCAATTCCGAAAATTACAAACCCTCCAAAAAGATAATTCTGCACTAGCCGCGAATCGAACGCGGGGCCCATCGATGGCAACGATGGATTTTACCACTAAACCACTAGTGCTGAAGATGTAGACTCATGATATCTAATGGATGATGATAACGGTCTTTACTGTAAATGATTACTAGGATGTGACGAGGTTTTGTCATTTACGATGCATATCGTTGTCGTAAAATGTGCGTGGGTGGGCGACGAGATGAACTAGTCAATGGAGAGTCAATGACTCAATGTGATGTGGACCTTCAAAGGATGGTAGGGAAGAAAGGATACCTCTGTCAGACACTGAATCGAGAAAATACACCGTACTCTTGGCACGTACGATTCGGAACTCAGGTGGCGGTTTAGTCAAACTGCTGGTCCTTTCGGAGCGTCTTTGATGTAGTTGGACTCATCCACTTGGCCATTAGCGAAGGTCTCGCTCGGCGGTATTATAGATATAGCGACAGTCATTAATCTTGAGCCCATCATTTTCGATGCCAAACGTCGGCGCTACTTAGCCCGGTATTGATTACGATTGGTGGCTCCTTTCGTGACTGATACATTGTCCCAAGGTTACCCCGTCGAGCGGTCTCTCGGATATATTCCATTTACCAACCGTGGCACAGCTGTTTAGTGACGTGACGAAAGTGTGCTCAATGTCGATTTGTATAACGTAGGTACATTCCTGTTTCAATACCGAGCGGGCATCCTTACTGGTTATAAAAGACAGTGAGAGGGGTGTTTTGGTCGTCGTGCCCACTGTAATAGTCTCATTTCAGGTGTTTAAAAAAGGATCGAGTTAATGACTTATATTAAGGCAGTAAACTGACCGGAAACGACAGTGTGAGGCTCCGAAGGCTGTTACACCTTTAAGTGTTCGTCCGTATTAAATCCCCTTAATAAATAACAACCGCCACAACTGTGGAGAGAGCTCTTCTTTCCTTTCTTTCTTAACTTTAAATGTTTATCATACCTTCCTCCTACCCTGCCTTCCTCCTACCGTACCTTCCTCCCATCGTGCCTCCCTCCTATCGTGGCTTCCTTTTATACCCTGCCTTCCTCCTACCGTGCCTTCCTCTTATCATACCTCCCTCCCATCGTGGCTTCCTTTTATACCCTACCTTCCTCCTATCGTGCCTTCCTCCTACCGTACCTTCCTCTTATCGTGCCTCCCTCCTACTGTACCTTCCTCCCATTATGCCTCCCTCCCATCGTGGCTTCCTTTTATACCCTGCCTTCCTCCTACCCTGCCTTCCTCCCATCGTGCCTTCCTCCTACCGTGCCTTCCTCTTATCGTGCCTCCCTCCCATCGTACCTTCCTCCTACCGTGCCTTCCTTTTATACTATGCCTTCCTTTTATATATCGCGCCATCATTTTGTATAGCGCCTTCCATTTTATATCGTGACTTCCTTTTATTTTATGCCTTTCCTTTATAACAATGCACCTTCCTTTAAGTCTTACCTCTCAGATCTCTGTTTGGGACGCAGCATCCAGCGTAGTATTTCTTAAACCGGGCATGATCCCTTAACTTTCTCACTACCATTTATAACGCCTCCCCTTTAAAATCCAGTGCCCACCATGTGTTATATAAAGATCAATCACGAAACTCGTAAGTTATGATGTGATCCTCTCGCAACTTCTCAGGACTGTCCCGCGAGGTAATCACTGGAATATTGGCCCATTCCCTTCTTTACACTTAAAGCTAATCTTCTAGCGAACTATTCAAGGAATGGAACCGCGAGATCATTCCAACTCTCAACAACCAATGCACACGGAGAAGGCTTGGTAAGGGATACCTGGACTCTGTTGCATATAGGTTGAATCGAGAAACACATTTCCGCCAGTCGTCTCTATTAAGCCCGCTTCCTATGGCTTCTGTCTCGAGCCGATGCATCGAAAGCACGGATCCAAATATACCACCGGGTTCTTTACACGCCACTGGTCGTGTCTGTAAATGAGCTTGGTCGGATTATCAACGCTGAACAGTTCTCTACCACGATGCCAGTTTTATTAAAGTACAGGCATGACTTTTACAAGCAATCTATACTATCCCAATAGCTCCCCACACCTCGAGCCGAATTTCAAGCATCGATGTCAACTTAGTTATTCCATGTTCAACCCTTACACAAGGTTCAAATTGAGACGATTTGAGAGTTTCTTAGTAAGGACGTCGATGTATTCATCGGATATGTTACAGTGTAATGTCAACCCACGATCTAATGTTCAACTCTCTAGAGTTTAAATCTAACTACACATATAATTAGTGTTTGTTCGTGGGATGTATGTTATTACACTAGTAGTATGTCTATCTATAATAAATGGCTTTATAACACTATGTTCTTATATAAAGCTGTGTTATTGTCTTATTAATTATTTTAACGGCTTGTCTGTTACTGTGTTGGTACACGGTATGTCATTAGGTTCTATTTGTTCGCCAGGCCTGACAATAAGGAACCGCATTGAGCACAAAATCATTCATACATCGTGATTAAATAACTCTGTGTTAGGATAATCCCGTAGTTACAACTACGTCCCGAGGCTCTGCCCTGGGGGATCTGTACGGAGGATTCGGACACTCAGTATATTAAACGAACAGAGTGGCATAGAAGGGAGGGTTGCCGGTAAGTGCCACACGGTTCCGCAATACAATTGCCTTCTTAGTGCTTTTACAGCTACGGAAGCAAGATATAGTCTTTGGAATGCTTACCTCATATTGTATATCTACGATTGCACCTAACCTACCATGTAAAAGACACACTGACACCCGGTTGCGGCTTACCACAACCCTGCGTTGCTGTCAAAAAAAAAAACAATGGGTGACCGTTGTGGCTAACAGGAACGGAGCATGCAGGCTATGGACGGATCAATTCACGTGGACGTAAACAGTCACGGAAGGGAAAATTGTTGCGCAGCACAATGTACAACTCGGGCGCCGCTCCATACACTATGTAGTCGATATCCAAACAGCTCCCGTGGTGGTACACAATACATGCGTCTTATACCCGACAGAATGGACCACAACCACGCGCACAGATACGTACTGCAATAATTCTAGTGTCCTATCTTTTTAACAAATAGGCTATTTCTGCTTATGTAGTGAAGTAAGCACATGATGAGGCACTTACGCAACCATTGTCCAGGTAGATATAACGATTAGGCCACTAGAATAATAGTCTGTTGACTAGTGCAATCACTGGCATAGCATCCGGTTAATCACAATTAAGACATTCGTATATCGTGGAATAATACTTTATTCCCTAGTGAAAGAGTAGGAAATCGCCATTTGTCCACTCGGATGGCATGGAATAATCTGATGCTTTTTATTAAAGCAGTAGCTTATTCTACGTTAATCGATTCGCATGCGATGTAATAATCCTTCATCTTCCAATGGGAGAGCATTACATTCGGGATCGATCTACTCGTAAACCGAGTAATAATCCTTTATTCCGTATAAGGAAAGTCGGACTGAATATGATCCACAACTGGGATGCCTAAGCCTTGCCAAACCCGCACATCACGTACGAGTTAAGTCGCAATGGTATGAGCTGGTCAGATAGCTCGCTCGATGTCTCCTGTCTTCTCGCTGAGTTTCTCTATATTGCTTATGTGTGTCAACTACCACAGCAGGTCCCTCGGCGGCCTGGATACTCTCTACAACATCGGCGCTCAAAGCATCTTATTCCAATGATTCGATATGGATGGCACTCAATGGTTACTCATGCATGTCACTAGTTCCTCGTGGCCTACTCAATTCGCGAAGTAGCATTTGTGATCGATCATATGGCAAGTTCTATATTTTACGCTTTGTCATCTACCTAGTGTTTTCTGAAGTAAGGACCCAGGAAATTCCTTTTTGCCCATTGTTGGGAATCTTTTTCCACTGTTTTCCTCCGGGGTCGGTCAACACGGCAGGGCGATGTGTGTGTGTGAAAGAGGGCGAGAGGGAGAGAGGGATGCGCTACTCCCTCCTGGCAACACGTGGCATAATACCCCCCTCCCACTTCCCTCTCGTCAGGCTTCATGGTGCAAATGCCTTTTTGGTTGTTCACCGTCTCTCGTCACCATCACGAACATCTCATCAACCATTCGTTCTGATCAATATGCTAAGTCGGTGGCTCAGTATAAGTCCATGTGACCATATGAAAGAACAGAGTGAAGCATGTGGCATGATGCCTGGTCATTTGCGTGAACGTGGGGGTAAAGAGGATAAGAAAGATAATGCCAGTGATGAGGTTCTAACAAGGTCAGAGTGAGGACGATTACATAGCCACGAACCAGTCTAAAATAATGATGCATATTCTCTACACCGAGACGTACTGAGCTTCTCCTTGTGAGCCTTGCCGTGTTGAAAGACCCCGGAGGAAAACAGTGGAAAAAGATTCCCAACAATGGGCAAAAAGGAATTTCCTGGGCCCAGCCGGGATTTGAACCCGGGGCCTGTCACATTCACGGTTCTCGTGAGGGAATAACCCGAAGCGACAATCATACGACTAGACCACTGGGCCAGTGGATTTGTTGAGAAAAGGGCTGCTTAAAACAATACATATGACAAATGGCGCAGTCAGCCGGGCTGTGGACTCTGGGTTCCCACAAACGCGGACAAACTTCAGGCCAAGCACGGCAAATGCCGAAGGCTAATGGGGCTTGGGGAGGGGAACAAGCGGAGATTTGCCGGATGCCATGGTTCGGTAATCAGAAATGTCTCTGCAGCATTCATCCTATGTAAGTGGCATGAGTATAGTGAAGCCTATACAGACGCTGGTGTTAGAAAGCATCAAGTGCCGAGATTTGAGCGATGATCTGGCAGTGTTAATTAGCATAGTAAGTCTTCTTGTCCGCAATCTCTTTGACTCGGAGACGTGAGCTCAGTCTCGGTGTGTTGGTTTATGCACAACAGGGTGAGGGTCCTGGTCTCAGTCGTACTACATACTAATTTTTTCCACCACCTTGATCGGCACTTGACTTTTGAAGAACCAAGTCCATTAAAATACAAATAGATCTCAATGATTACAGAAGGCTATCCGGAATGGGAATGGAAACTTTGTGTTCAGTCTTTTGTGTCTTGGCGCAGCCCGTGTTAGTGGGCTGCGCTTATTAGACCAGAGCGCGCCGACCGCGACTAGCAGGGGCCGGGCGCTGGACAGGCAAAGGGTCCAGAGAAGATAGATTGCGCAAAGGACCCTGACTGATTGAACCTTTGATGCTGCCCTGGCTGCCTTGTTCTCCCCCAAGTTCAAACTACCATCTGGATCTGCTCGGATTTGAGCCTCTTGGTCCATTTAAAGTTCCGGTAACTCGGCCGCCGCCTCTCGGACCATGGGAGTGGAGGGGTAGAGATGCGCCTGCCGAAGTAGCCTCAAACCTACGGCCTAGGTAAATGCTCGCATCGCGCATCGCGCATCGCATCGCACTATATCGCACCGCACCGCACCGCCGCCGCCATACGCCAGTACTACTGCACGAGATCCCACGCGGATAGAACCGACCTGTTCCCTGTCCCTCTGTTTCCCGCTCCTGCTCCTGCTCCTGCTCCTGTTCCTGCTCCCGTCTCTGCGTGCGCCATGCCCGGACACCCGACCGGGGCCACTCGACCACAATGTTCTTGACCGGCCTCCTGGGCGCCTCGGGGCGGAGCAGCAGCAGCTCGTCCAAGTCACGATCGTCCCGGAACCAGGGCGCGACCCCCGAAGCGTCCCCCGTGCGACGCCCCAAGTCCCCCGACCCCGCCTCGACGACGTACATCTCCGACGAGTCCCAGCTCCAGCCCGCGCAGCCCCTGGCGCTGGAGACGCTGGACCTGAACAAGAGCCTCGAGGTCCTGGCCGCCGTCTTCCCCGATGTCCAGGTCGAGGTGTTCCGGGAGATGCTGTCCAGCTTCTCCGAGGAGTCGAGGCTAGCGGTAGTCGCCGACGCGATGCTGAAGAACCCGTCCGCATACGTCAAGGGGCGGAGGAGGCTGCGGAACGCCCAGAAGGACGCACAGGGCCCAGCGGCCGATACCCTCGTCCCCATCACCGAGACCTTCCGGGGGAACGCCTACCGGGACGCAGTGCGCTGCCTGGCCCTGCAAGAGTTCAAGGGCCTGTCCCGGTCCTCGATCGAAGCGGTGCTCTCCGAGTCCAACTACTCGTACCTCGACGCCCGACCGACCCTCGTCGACCTCTCGACCAAGTCCTGGAAGTTTACGATCCAGTCGCTGTTCTTCCGCCGCAAGCCCGTCACCACTGGCGAGGCCGAGAACCATCCCTTGGTGGTGTGGAAGTCCTCAGGCCAGGGGTCCATCATCCCGATGATCAAGTCGACGGGCCACGCCGAGCTGGACAGAGAGCTGTTCGAGGAGCTCATCATGCCACTCAAGAGACAGGAGACGGCTACGCGAGAGGAGACCGATCGCACGCTGGCCGTTTCACTCAACAACGAAGAGGCCGAGGCCTGCGAGGCCACTTTCGAGTGCGCCTGCTGCTATTCCGACGTCACATTCGAGGAGATGACAACCTGCAACACGGAGGGACACATGGTCTGCTTCCGCTGCGTGCAGCACTCCATCACCGAGGCGGTGTTTGGGCAGGGCTGGATCCGCAGCATCAACAAGGACTCGGGTACGCTTCGGTGCCCGGCCGTGTCGACCATCGAGTGCCAGGGCTGCGTGCCGACCGAGCACATCTACCGCGCCATGCAGGCCCAGAAGAACGGCGCCGAGATCTTGCACAAGATGGACCAGCGGCTGGCCGAGCACGACCTCATCGCGAGCGACCTGCCGCTCATCAGGTGCCCCTTCTGCAGCTACGCTGAGGTCGACGACTTGTACGTTCCGACCACCCAGAGCAGGCTAAGGCTACGAGCTAGCAACATACCCAACCTGGTCCTCCTGGTGCTCTGCTCCTTCGTCCTCCCCCTCTCCATCCCCCTCCTCCTCGTCGCGTGCGCCTGTCTCGTGCTGTCCTGCAGCGGCGCCTTCCGCAGCTACCTGACGGGGCAGTTCCGCGCGGCCGTCTCGCGGTACCAGCGGCGGCGGATGGGCCTCAAGTTCACGTGCCGGAACCCGGCGTGCGGGCAGGCGTCGTGCCTGTCGTGCAGCAAGGCGTGGGTGGACATCCACGTGTGCCACGAGTCGTCGCTGGTGGCGCTGCGGACGCAGGTGGAGCAGGCCATGTCGCTGGCGATCAAGCGCGTGTGCCCGCGGTGCAGCACGTCGTTCGTCAAGACGGCCGGGTGCAACAAGCTGACGTGCCCGTGCGGCTACAAGATGTGCTACGTGTGCCGGCGCGACATCGGCGCCGCCTCGGAGGGCTACGCCCACTTCTGCGAGCACTTCCGCCCCGAGGGCGACGGCCGCCGCTGCCGCGACTGCACAAAGTGCAACCTCTGGCAGGCCGAGGACACGGACGCCCTCCTGCGCGCCGCCAAGGCCGACGCCGAGGCCCGCTGGCGCGAGACGGAGCGCCGCGAGCTCAGCGGCCCCGAGCGCGCCTACCTCGAGACCGGCGTCGCCAGCAAGCGCGACGACGTCGTCACCCGCCTCGTCAACCACGGCGTCCGGATGCCCAGCATCAGCGACATCTGCGACTCCATCGTCGAGACGCTGTTCATCATCGGTTCTTGATCCAACTACATTGCGGTTCTTTTTTGCTGGGGTTTTCTACTTTTGGGCAAGCGACAAAGGCGTTGGCTGTTTATCGATCGGCATTCATACGGGGCTTTTTTTGTATTGGACTAGACTGCGCCTTAAATCAAGAGCATCTACAAGCCTGTAACAGGGACGGAACAAGACCCCGAGATGAGAAGACAATGGATTTTGTAATATTGGCGTATAGGAACGTAAAGGAATGCATAGCAACTGTCAGACTGCCAGACTGCCAAAACTGCGCAGTGGGGAAAGCGGCTCGGCAAGCGGCAAGGGGCATGGAATGGTATCGGTATACCCCCTTTCTAACTATTGATCTACAGATAGCATCAGACGTGCGACACAGAGCAGTAGAAGACTGCACATTAATTGATAGTCAAAATATTTGATTTGGAATCACTATACTAGACTCCCTTCCCGGTTCAATGAACTACCGGTGTCCGCTTGAAGGAGCTATAACTAAAAAATCGTACAATCCTACATGCTGTCTTTCATGAGCTCATTTCCTTCCCGCTTAGTCTCGACTCTCTCCACTTTCCTTCTACACAAGCTCGGCGGCGGCGCCCGAGATGGCCGGCTTGCCGGTCTCCTTGACCTTGGTCTGGAAGATGACCTTCTTGCCCTCCTTCCACATCTCGGTCACCAGGGTCTCGCCCGGCAGCACGGTGCCGGCGAAGCGGACCTTGATGTTCTTGTAGGGGCCGAACTTCTCGTACACGGCCTTGCCGGCTATGCCCATGAAGCACAGGCCGTGCAGGATGGGGCGCTTGAAGCCGCCCATCTTGGCAAAGTTGGGGTCAACGTGAAGAGGGCTAGACAGTATTGGTCAATTATTTTGTTCCTTGAGGGATATTGTATGAAGGGGAATTTTGTAGGAAAACATACTTGTAGTCACCGCTCAGGCGGTAGATGGCAGCCTGCTCCTCGGTCGTCTTCTCCTCGACAACCACATCGGGCATGCGCTTCGGCGGAGTGTTGACAGCCGTGGCGGCACCGCGGTCCTCGGGCTTCTTGGGGCCGCCGAACCCGCCGCATCCCCTCAGGAAGACGGTCGACTCGTTGTAGAAGATCTCCTCGCCCGTCTCGGCGTTGACGGTGCTGACGCCGCCCTTGAGGATGGCGGCGGATCCCTTGTCGACGACCTCGATCAACTTGGCCAGGTTCTTGGTCTTGGCCGCGGTCGGGATGGGGTACTTCTTGATCTCGAGGTACTGCTCGCCGTGCAGGAGCATCATGGGGTTGAAGTTGGGGACGACCTCGTCCATGGTGTAGGGGGTGTTCACGTCGAACTGGGGGATCACGCCGAACGTGGGCAGGACCTGGAAGTCCTCGGCACCCTCGAAAATGTACGACAGGTCGGTCCTCTTGGCACCGATGCCGAGGTTGTAGAGCATAGAGTCGCGGTCGGTGTATGTGAACTCGGTCTCGGGGGATTTGGCAGCCTTTGCCTTGGCAATGGCTTGCAGGTACTGGTTGTCGCCCGACGGTGCAGGTCCGGATGGGGCAGAGCTCTTCTGATTCAACAACAAGTTCGTCAATATTTCATTCTACACTACATATGTATGTACAAGATGAGAGAGACATGGGGCAAGAATGATGTAAAGCTCATACCTTGGCAGCCCCGCTCTTGTTGTCCATGTTTGCCATGACCTTCTGGACGGCGTCTTGAGCCTTCTCCGGGTGATCCGCGCGGCCGTCTTCAAAGCTGAGAATCTTCTCCCACTGCTTCAGGACGGCTTCAGGGGTCAGGGGAACGTCGACAGGGAAACCAGCACCTCCCGTTCGCTGCCACCTGGTCTGGCCAACCCAACCGCTGCCAACCTCGTACAGACCACCAGTGGGGTTCTTGGGGCCCTTCTCGGCAGAGAGGGCCAGCACGAGAGGTGCTATGTAGTCAGGCTTGAATGCCTGGACCAGCTCCTCGGGCAGGATGGTCTTGGTCATGGCGGTGCCAGCATTGGGGGCAATCGTGTTGACGTAGATGTTGTACTTGTAGCCCTCGAGAGCAAGCGCCCTGGAGAAACCTAGGATACCACATTTCTACCATATCAATTAGCGACTTGGTCTCTTTGATTTCAAGTCCATGACATTTCCACTTACCGCTGCGGCGTAGTTGCTCTGTCCAAAGTTACCGTAGATACCACTGGTGGAGGTGGTGTTCACAATGCGGCCAAACTTCTGCTTGAGGAGAATAGGCCAGGCAGCCTTGGTGACCTTGTATGTGCCGCGCAGGTGCACGTTCAGGACGGGGTCCCAGAGGTTGTCGTCCATGTTGGTGAAGGCCTTGTCGCGCAGGATGCCGGCGTTGTTGATAATGATATCGATGCGACCGAAGGCATCCATAGCACCCTTGACGACAGCCTCGCCATCTTCTGCGGAGGCCTTGACACCAACAGCCTTTCCGCCGAGCTTCTTGATCTCGTTGACGACGGTGTCGGGGTCCATCAGATCGTTGACAACGACCGAGGCGCCAGCCTTGGCAAAGGCCAGACTGTATGCGCGGCCGATACCAGCACCACCACCGGTGACCAAGGCGACGCGTCCCTTGAAGTCGACCTTGTCGCCTTGCTCGCTGGGGCCCATCTGCATCGACTCCTCAAGCAGGGTCATGAAATCGGCAGGCCCGGAGGGGTACTGCGGCTTGGAGAAGTCGGTGACCTTGTTCCACTGCTTCAAGATGGCGCTGGGGGTGTAGCTGTCGTCGGCCTTGAGCAGGAGGCCGCTGGAACGCTCCCACCTGAGCTTGGCAACGTGGCCACCGCCCACCTCGAAGATGCCGCCGTTCTCGGTCGTGTTGCTCTTGTGCACCAGGACGGCCACGAGGGGCACGACCCACTCCGGGCGCAGGTTCTGGAGAACGTCCGGGGGCATGACGGTCTCGGTCATGCGGCTGGCGGCAATGGGGGCAATGACGTTGGAGATGATGTTGTACTTGGCGCCCTCCTTTGCGAGGGTCTCGGTGAAACCGACCTGGGCCAGCTTGGCGGCCGAGTAGTTGCACTGGCCGAAGCTGCCGAACAGGCCGGCGGCCGAGGCGGTGTTGATGACTCTTCCGTACTTCTGCTTGCGGAAGTAGGGCCAGGCGGCGCGGGCGCACTTGTAGGCTCCCTTGACGTGGACCTTCATGATCAGGTCCCAGTCCTCGTCCTTCATGTTCTTGAAGCTGATATCGCGCAGGATACCGGCGTTGTTGATCAGCACATCGATGCGGCCAAAGGCCTTGATGGCCGTCTCAATGATCTTCTCGCCGTTCTCGACACTGTCGTAGTTGGCAACGGCCTGGCCGCCGGCCTTCTTGATCTCGTCGACGACTACATCGGCAGCCTGCAGTTGCGTGTCAGTAAAGGTGGCCATGCGACGGCGATGACGCCGGGTTGGCTACGCTACGATAGCGGGTCTTACCTTTGTCGAGTTGCCCTCGCCCTTGAACGAGCCACCGAGATCGTTGACAACGACCTTGGCTCCTCTCGAGCCGAAGAAGGTAGCATATGCCTTGCCCAGACCACCACCAGCGCCGGTGACGACGACAACCTGGTCGTCAAAGCGCAGCTGTTCCGCCATCGTGTATGTGTGTGTGTGAGGAGCTCAAGTGTGCGACAAGGAAGAGAAATCAATCAGCACAGATTCCTGGAACCCAAAGCACACAAGAACAGATCCGAGGGAGGAGAGGGATATGGATATGGATATGGATATGGGGGAATGAAGAAGAAGAGAGGAATGAGTTGTGGTTTAATCGAAAGCTCCAGAGACAGGACAACAGCTGTCTTCGGCTTGAGCTGCACCCAAGTTGACTTGACTTGATCCCGGCGAAGCTTGCCGCCGCTGGCCCCCCCAAGGCCCCAGATATGACCTCGGGTGCCGAGGCAGTTGGTTAGCCAGCGCCAGCACCGCGCGACTGCAGAATGCCGAGGGGCCCAGGGCCCAGGGCCTTTCTGGTCTTGGAGTCTACTGTACGACCCGCCCACCGCCCACGCTGCCGCTAGGCCCAATCCAGGCCCCTATCCGGGGGAACGCTTCACATGCCAATCTAACGAGCGCCCTGGGCCACCTGTGCACCCTGGGGGACGGTGGACGGTGGGGATACAGACACCTGCAGTCAGTCAGAGACACCAGACAGAACTGCTGGAGGATGAGGTCATGTGGGCGCCAAAATGGATGCTGAGTCGAGCCTCAAACATTGTTTCTTTTTGGCACGCATCACATGTTCACCATTTTCTTCGACCCAGACCAGGCGCCAAGTGCTGTGTAGTTGACGACTTCGTCGCGCTCTCCGACAGGCCATTTGTTTTGGTGTGGATTCAATGACCACTGACTACCTACTGTAGGTACCTACAGTATATCTGCAAGATCTGCTGGATAGATAGAGAGAGGTTGCACAGAGCGTGTAACCGGCGGCTCAAATGGCAACAGGAATGGAGGCACCTTTTCCCGCAATACTCGTCCAGCATGGCGCCCGTGGACTACGACTGCCGGCCCACGGATTGCGCAAGTTGCCGACGCCCGTCCAGGTCCGTCGGGATTAACATTGTACGCCCGCTGGGCCACTGTAGGGCACGACTAAGGCACCCCGCAATTCCCCCACAGAAGCTACGGGCTTATCCCCCGTGAGATGGCCGACGTTCCATTGCCACGGACTTTGTATAGAGCGAGATAGAGAGCTCCAGGCGTAGTTACCCCGTGAGGCTCAGCAAGCAGGGGCCTACGGTGGTCCCCCGAAGTATGGTTTCCCCGAGATCAGACACAACGTGCAGTCCTTTCGTTGGGACCGGGCTCGCCATTGCGTTCTGCGGGTGAAGAAGGATCAAATACCACACTGAGCAGTGCCCAAGTTATGGAGTTAGTGCCAACGAGTCGCGCGTCCGGTCTCGCATCGGCTCAGAGGGGGAGTCTTGTAGGTCAACCAAGAGTCTGGTAGAGAGCAACTGAGAAACCGTAAATCATTATACTACCTATACCTGTATCATAAATAACACATCCCCGACCCCTCACCGCACAACATCATTGGCCCGCAACCATGGCCCACGTAGTTGACGACAAGTCCCCGATATGCATCCCCTTCATCCTGGACCGCCTCCAGGCGCATAAGGCCAACAACCCCGACAAGCCCTTCATCATCGGCATCAACGGCGTCCAGGGCATAGGCAAGACGACCCTCGTAAAGGCTCTCGCCACGACCCTGAGGGAACGGGAGGGCCTCCCGACCCTCGTCGTCAGCATCGACGACTTCTACCTCCGGCACGAGGACCAGCAGGCCTTGGCCGAGGCGCATCCGGACAATGCGCTCGTGTCCTGCCGAGGGGAACCAGGTATGTCAACATTCGTAAGACGAGAAGGAGAGGAAAAAAAAAAGTCTAACTCATCATACAGGCACGCACGACATGGCCCTCGCCAAGCAGTTCTTCGCGGCCATCACCAGCGGCCAGCAGGCCAAAATCCCGCAGTACGACAAGTCGGCGTACTCGGGCCAGGGCGACCGGGTGGCCGAGGCGGCGTGGGAGACGGTCAACGGGCCGGGGCAGGCGCGGGTGCAGGTGGTGATCTTCGAGGGGTGGTGCGTGGGGTTCCGGGCGCTGGCGGACGGCGAGGTCTCGGCGCGGTGGGCGGGCGCGAGCCGGACGCTGCGGCGGCACCGGCCGGAGCACCTGCGGTTCGTCAACGAGCGGCTGCGCGGCGGCTACGACGACATCACGCGCCTGTTCGACGCCTTCGTCCACATCGACGCCGAGGACACCGGCTACGTGTACGACTGGCGGCTGGAGCAGGAGGTCCGCCTGCGGGAGGAGCGCGGCACGGGCATGACGGACGAGCAGGTCGTCCGCTTCGTCGATGCCTACTATCCGGCGTACGAGTTGTTCTCGGACAAGCTCAGGGAGGGGCTGTTCCCCGGGAAGCCCGGGCAGCAGCTGAGACTGGTCGTCGGCAAGGACAGAAAGGTGAAGCAAACCATCTTCATTTGAGCTCGTATAGAATCAGACGCACAAGCTAGACCTGAGGAGATCGAACTCTTGTTTACATTTATATAAAGCAACTCGTCAGCTGTGCTAATGTCAAAACTCCGGTCATGCAGTCGTAATGTCGTGAGTCTTTCAATCCCCGTCAATGCGCCGTGAAAGCAACAACCCCACGTGCAGAAGCCACAGAAACAGTATACATGGTTCAAGCCTTTGCCGGCCAAACTCTATTCGCCGATCCAACGTCTACCTCTTTCTTTCTTACTCGAGCTCTTTGTTCTTCATCATCACCTCGCCCTCGCTCCTGAGTTCGTTCAAGGTCTGGCCGATGCCGTGGATTTTGACTCTAACAGCTTCCTCGCGCTCGGCAATCTCGGCCTCAAAGTCGTCCACCAGCTTCCGCTTGGCTTTGCGAGCATCTTTGAGACGGTGCATGACGTCCCCGAATCTCTCCAGGAACCAGTCACCAGAATCATCCCACTCCCGGACGGACATGCCCGTAAAGAAGGTGGCTTGCGCTTGTTGGTCCTTGCTCATACAGTGTTCTAGCTTCTCAGGCAAGGTGCCCTGCGGAGGATGCTGGGCTGAGTGGGACTCGGCTTGTGCCGGGTCAAAGTCGAAGGCTTGCTTCTTCAGGTCATCGTACTTCATAGTTGCCAATGCGCTGTCGTCGTAGTCGAGTTCGAAGTGTCTCTTCTTTACTGAGGAATGCCGCTTCTCGGGTGCGGAGCGGGGCATAGAGCTCTCCCTGAGGCTGTTCCGACCTTTGCTAGCTTGACTGTCCTTACTGAAAAGCTGGCGGTTAACCGGCTGCGAAGACTTTGCTGATGCCTTAGGTGTAGGCTGCTCAGCCAAGCTTTCCTCATCCGATTCTGGTAGATCTTGGTGGCTCGCTATGGGAGTATCGATATTCTCAAACATTGTCGAGCGGTGCGCTTCATGGGTTGGAACTCTTAAATGCCCCTTGCTGTCTCGTGTTGCATAGTCCAGGCCGTTGCCTGGTGTCTGATAGGCGTGGTCAGGAGGTGATGACGCTTCGTCCTGACCATTGGGATACAAGGTTCTTTCCGAAAAGGACTCACGCTTAGTGGTTCGGAGTGGTATCCTTGCCCCCCGGTGACTCAATGTGTTCTGTGCAGGTGACGTATCCAAACCGGCGGGATACTGGGCGTCTTCAACATAACGATCAGAATCTTGATGCATCTGGTTGATGCCCACCCGAGCTCTAGCCTCAGAAGTCGAAGTACTTCTTGCCAGCGGGGCCTTCAGCAGATCGATAATGCCATTATCGCCGATAACGAATGGTACGCGCTCGGCATCAGAATCCCTTTTCGAGTAATGACGTGGCGTGTTTCGCGCCTTGAAGCCCGGGTCCACGTACGGCGCTCGAGATGGCGGAGCTATCCTTGAATCAGCTATGCTGGCAGTCTCACTGAAGGCTGAGCCGTCCACAGTCGACCCTTCCCAGAACGGCGCTTGTCTTGGCACATTCTGCATAGGCTCCGATGTGATGGTTCGGGTCCGAGGCATGTTCAAGGAACCATCTCTGCTATGGCTGGGCTGAGTTGGACGGCCAGTTGCGGTTCGGCCCACGGCCGTAATGCGAGCAGCCGAGGCGGCGGCAGCTCTGGAAGCAGCATTGGAGGTGTTGTGGTGGTTGACAATGGGCATCCGGGACTGGTACTGTTGCGATCTAGGGGGTGAGTTCTCTATGGCTGAAGATAGTTGAGGTTGTGCTGGTGCCGGCTGGCCGTGATGTACGTGGCTCTTCTGGGGACTTCCAGAGCTATCGGCCATGTGTACATGACCTGCGGTTGTGGTAGGGGCAGCCTTGGCACTTGGGCCGTTGTTCAGCACCCAAGCTTGCATCTTGGACTTTGATTGCTGCAAAAAGAGCCCGGGTGTCATTGCAGGCGTAGAGGGAGGTGCTTCGTTGGCGTTTCATGTGAAGGTACAGTTCAGGCTGTTTTCTTTTGTTTATTGCGATGCCAGGCAACGACGCGTTATGGCTGACGTTTCCTGAAAACTCGACGTGTTTCAGTCGCGAGTGGCCGTCAAAACGGGCTGGACGAAAGACGGAGGCGAGTTATGTATTACGCTGCCATCCTGCCCAATTGCGGCGACGAACATTGGGTCGCAACGATGTCGCTACAGCTTGAGAGTGGTTGCAGACGGAAACCATCCAATGACTGCGGTTGCGATGCTTGGGATCGTGAATGGCGACAGCTTGTCCGGATGGGTCGCCTCGACCACTAAGTGCACGCAATCATGTGACCAGCGTGGGCCAATCACAACGCCCAATTCCGCGTCATGCAGAGGACACCTGGGATGCTTCGACGACACTCGTCGCCTCATATTGGGGAAATCTATCAACATATGCTAGATGAGCTGTCTTGCGTCTCTGGAAACCAATGCAACCACTCAGAATCATCGCAGCGGCTGTTTAGCTGGGAAGCGCAAGGGTTGCCTGCTGCGCGAATCACAGTTGCAGGTACCCGCGTCTATCGCCGTTGGGCCAAAAAGTCGCCGGGTGTGGGGGTTGCACCCGTATGGCACCGTCTGGTCTGGTTCATGCACATGTGTCCATCTTTACTATATAATATACCCTCACCATTGGTGTACCCAAAGACTTATGATTGACCCTGCAGCCGGGGGTCATCTAGGGTGGTTTTGTCTGCGCTGGCCCAATACAACCTTGGTGGCGTGGACCCTGCGGCTGCACGCTTCCATTGCTTTCGGAGAACATAGCACATATAGCACCGGTACACACATTCACGGCGATTTTCCTCGGAATGCGAGTTGAATGTCACGGCCAGGAGGTGATCCATTTCGGGGGGCTCCCGGCAGTGAAACCAGAGCTCAGCTCCGTGTCGGGCATCCTCCAGATGAGGATATGCAGTAACTGCCCCAGGTGGAATGAAATATAGGCGGTCTCAAGTGTAAAGACATATCAAAGTAAGGAAAGCTGGACAATGTATATGTTTTATACAGATCCGCAGCTAGTAACTTGCTTAACATTTGTTCATCTTTTTGAATCACCCGTAATACTCTTATATAGTACCGAAAACGCCGCCGAGATCATCAGCTCTCAATGCCCAGATCCAGTTACAAGTATAAGTTCTCCCACCCTAATCTCTGACAGGCATATACCGCTACTTGCTCTCGGCCTCCTTCTTCGCAGCTATCACAGTCGCGCAGTCATCGTCCTTGTTCTCGCACCCGTCGCAGGAACTCACATCGGCGCCTCTGACGCCCGAAAACGGGCAGACACCGGCCTTGGGCGAAGCAGACGCAGCTTCCTCGATATCGACGAGGATCTTCTTGCCGTTCAAGTAGCCCTCCTTCTCGATCTCGGGCTGCTCCATCTCCTCGGCAAACTCATCGCCGTCGCGGACGTACCATCTGAAACCCCGGTTAGCTCCAATGTCACACGTGAGTAAAATCTGAACGCGGAAACTCACTTTGCAAACAGATCATTCTGCACCCATATCACCTTGCCGATGGCCTTGACGATGGCGATCTTCCTGTCCATCCGCAGCCGCGGGTGCGACAGGATGGCCTCGGTGATGGTGTCTTGGATGAACGCCAGACAGGCGCCGATATGAACATATTCCACGTGCAGAGGGTGTTCACGCCCCCGGCCAACGTGCATCATGCTAGGGTCCCGTTCAGTCTCCAACTTCTAAAACTCGTAACGTTGAAATCAAGACTGACGACTTACCCGACTTTGTCCAAGTACTCCCAGAACTCAAGAGTACTGGGGTCTGAGCACAGTTTGGCGAGATAGGCACGCAGGAACTTCTTGCGGTGCAGAATCTGAGGGCTGTTGTCGTCGAGGGTCAGATCGACCGGCCCTTCATAGCTGGTGCTCCTCGTCTGGAAAGCACGTGCTGTGATATCGTATTGCAGCAGCTTGTGATATACGATGTTCACGATTGCGGGAATGAGCTGTTTAATGTACTTGGAGCCATCCTCAAGCGCTTGTATATCCCCTGCGATTTGTCAGTTCTGTCGCATTCTGGCTGGACCTAAGGTTTCCCACTTGAGCTGAAATCTAGGAATGTGTGTAGATACTGAATGCGGGCTTCGAGATTGGTATAGAGATCTTTACGATCTATGTGTTTCATGGGCCGTAATGAGGGTATCATGTTGGGCGAAGTAGATTGTTTTCCTTCCTTGTTTATTCTTCTGTCTGTAAGTCCTGAGAACTTTAGTGCCGGCTGACGCTCTGAGCGTGGAATCAATACTAGTGAAATGCCGTATGAGGAAACAAAGTCGCAATGGTCTATTCATTCAATGCAACTCTTCATCGTGAAAGCACTTGGGCTTTTATTGCCCCAAGTCCAATTTCGACTTGCAATACTTGCAAATCCTCGCTTTACAATTGGCGACGCTCTAACTTTGGAAATCAAGCGATAGTGGTATGATGTGGGGCAGAATCGCATGATTTGCAACTGCGGTAGCTCCCGAGTCAGCGCGCCTGATCCTCCCGACGATAATGAGATGGAGCTCCCGGAACCAGAAATAAAGAGAATGCTAGGCTTCTGCTGGGATAACGTACGGAAAATGCAAGCAGACGGCGATGAGCGGGATGAGTCGCTGCCGGACTCTGCCATCGTCGGGTCTTGTAACTGGCCGGTGCGGACACACCAGGCGTACTTGAATGAGTGCATGCTCCACCAAAGCTACAGCCAGCACGAAGAGCGGTGCTCCATTTCGGGTATCCAAGTGATTTCCTCTTAACTACTATGGTAAACGATCCTGGTGTTCCTGCCTTGAGTCCTAGTGAACTTAAGTTGGATTTCCAGGTAAGCTGAGGCCGTCACGAGTGAAATATCAGAGCCAGCTGAAGTCAATGAAAGGGAGTCAATGTTTCTCGTGGCCTGAGCCTTCTGTCAATTATTTTTCATCTAGTTCTGCTGAGTTTTCAGGGGCACAGCATGCCCACGTGCGCGCCTTACAGGCGCAATATGCGGTATCCGCTGGTATCCTAGTGCTATGCCCAAGTTCGTAACGCCTCTTTATGCTATAATGATCCAATATCCCGCGCAGGGCTCATCGGAGCCCAAATCCTTCGCTCTCGTGCACTGCTTGCCACAAGAAGAATTCGAGTCTTTCTCGTGTCCGATATCGATAGAGGTTCAGGACGTTGAAACATGTGCGTGCTGATGGGTATCGTCCAATGTCTTCGCCAAGACAGCTAATTTTGATGACAAGCGAAGCTGCTCCCATGGCAGGGATGCGATCACTACCGGTGATGAAGGAAAGGAGGCGTCTTTGGTCGCTGGGTGACGCAGCCGCAAATGACTCCCAGAACCAGTCGATCGTAGGTTCATGCTCAGGCTCCAGCTCTGACTTCTTCTTCGACCAGTCAATATATCGTGCCACGGCTCGTAGGGACGTGATATCGAGCGGCTCATCCGACCCGCGCACCAACAATTCGATCTCCTCGGGCCTGAAGAGAGACAAAGCGTTGCCAGCACAGACAGTGAAGAACCCCCGTTTGAAAGGCTCAAACTGCCGCTTAACGGATTCATCAAGGAGATACTTGACGTATAGATCCACATATTCCCGCCTGTTTGCATTTGTCACTGGTTTCCTGTCGCCTCCCCTGCACAAAGGGACCTGTGTTCTTGCCCCGTACTTCTCAACTTCGACAACAAAATCTAGACAGAAGGTATTTTCGACATCCCCGTCAAAGTCGAGGAGTTTGCGGAGTCCGTTCGCTAGGCGTGGCCGGTATTCGGCCAGATCATCCAGGGTGTATGTCATGACGGGACGTTGGTGAGCCGTCGAGCTCGTGGCAGACGATGGCGCAGAAGCAAGGAGTTTTCGGAATGCGAATGGAGGGAAGGCAATATCCAATATCGTCGAGTTGTATATCGCAAGCCCCAAAACAACCCCGACCAGGAAGTACTGATCTGTTGTCTCGAAAGTATGGGGGTTGAAGTAGCAATACTGAGAGTCTTCGTCAAATACGAACAGCCCTGGAAATAAGTATTAATAATTTTTCTCTGTCCACGATTTGGGAGGGAACTTACCATGGTCAGGATTGAATACTTCCTTGACCAGTAACTGAAACCACTCTTTTCGAAGACCGCCAGCATCGACGCCCTCTTCGCCTTGAAATTCTATGCGCAGTCCTTTCTTGATATCTTCGCTGCCACTACCAACGACCTCGCTTACTTTCGCCAGGCTGTCCTCGACTAAACAATCACGACGCACACTTAGGAACAGGTATTGCGTGTAGCTTCTGTTGCTCAAGATGCTGTCGAAAAAGGCCTCCCGCGCTTTGCCGTGCATCTGCCGCTTGGCGTCGAACTCCAAAATCTGGATCTTCGCCCATATGCTCAGGAAAAAGGGATATTGACAGAACGCAAACTTCCCCTTCCTGGATTCCCACATCTCGAAATCAGTCTTGAAGTCCAAGCAATCGAGCATAGAGTTGTAAAAGTCGCTTGTTGCCAGTAAATGACCGTGAGCGTGCCTAACGCTCACCTCGTTCCGACGGACGTGAGTTAGATTGTTTGCAGCAAACACTAGAGCCATGACTTTAGCACCAGCCTTTAACTGCCAGTCGTCACCATATATGAGACGAGGGGCTTCCGACGACTGTCTCGCCTTCTTGGAGCCATTCGATGCTGATAAAGCCGCATGTAGGGATGCTGGCGTGTTCCCAGTCCGACTGTTAGGCATCTCGGGGATGAGCCCTGCCGTGAGGTCAACACGGGCCTCGATCTTCTTTTCGCTCTGCCGCTGCAGCCGATAGTTTACGAAGCTGCTGATGAGGTCCTTGGTCTGGAAGAAGAGGTGCTCGGGCAACTTGGAGAGCCATGTGACAAGATGATGGTGACATTGATCCGAGGTATTTGAAATGAGACCCAAAATTCTCTTTATTATACCCGAGTGTCGTCCCATAGCAGAACCTTCTTCGCCGGTGGCATTTGTATTCTTGGTCATGCCTTTGTCTTTGCTCAAGTGCTGGAATTCACCGGCATAGCTCTTGTGTCCCGAAGTCAACAGGGGGTTGACGATGATGAGAAGTAAGAAGCGGATATCCTGGGGCTCCTGAAGCAGTTGGCCAGGTCGCTTAAGGAGCGTTTCGGTGCATTTCAGCAGTACCCTCTGGAGATGGCCTTGGGCTTCGATCAATACGGCTTCAAAGCGCTGTTTCTCTAGTTGGGAGAGGGTCCTGGTCTGCGTTTTCTCAATGCCTCGGTTGTACAGGTCAAGCCAGGGCCGAGCCGCGTCGATGATTAACTGATACCACTCCAAGAGCTCTCCCCAGTCAATTCGTGCCGAGCGAGGGGTGACTAAGCCATGGGTATCTCCCTTCTGCTGGGACCGCGACCTCTGTGCCACACCATCCCGCTGCCCGCCGGTCCACCATTGGGCATTCTCGGCAAAGTCTCCAACTAGAAGTAATTTGGCGTCCAGCTCCGTGGTCAACGAATCGTCTGATGATAGAGGCTTCTCTTGAGCCACAACTTTCTCCTGGCGCGGCAAAGGGACTGGTTTCCTCTTTATCTGCATCTGAGGCCGCGAGCTGAAGCTGTGTCGACGGGGAACGAATGCGGCATTGATGTTTTCGCGGAAGCCAAAGCTGGCAACCAGATAGTCCTCCACCGGTTTGAATATCTTGCATGGGTCCAAGCTCTCTTCTCCTTTGAGATGAGCAGTTGCCGGAATCGTAGAGCTCCTGGCATCTGGGAAAGACGTCGAGTATGACCTGGTGCCCGAACCAACACGATTAACGGGGTTTGGCTCCAAGTACCCGCTGGCAAAATCGTCAAATACTGGGTTGTGTTTGAAAGCTGGACCGGTGCCGCTATGGGATCCAGATCTGCTATGGCCAGCTGGAGAGTCGAACTTGGGAAGATGGCCGTCCGACGGCCTGGAAGATGAGCGGCTTGGCCAGCCAGGAGGGGCCATGCTGCCGTCTGCCGAGAACGACTTCAGGGCTTGGAGTAAACATTGTTGGAGCAAAGTGCGGGTGCGCTCCAGGGACAGAGGCCTTGTGCTTCCAGGAGGCCGCGCATCCTCGGACTTGGGAGCATATGGCTTGAGGTCGTTGATGGTCATGCATATTTTACATCTGAAGACGTCCAGCTCTTTCGGCCACCTGACCTTGCCGCCACAAGTCATGCATGTCCCGTTGGAGAAATCGGTCGGTCCGCGGGGCGGTTTTGTCGAAGCCATTCCGGGGCGCGAAATGGCCGGGCCGGTGCGCAGGGTATCGTCATCAGTCAGGCCGTCTGGAGAAGGTTGTTTTCTCGGTTTCTTGGAGGCGAACAAGGAGGGAAACGGGTGGCTCATTGAGCGAGAATGCTGAGGTCGCGACCGCACATCCGCAGGCCTGGGAACAGGGACTTCATCCTCGGAGCTCGAGTCGCTCTGGATCTGCCGGCCATGGGCATGGGGGGCCGCGGCGGCGAAGTGATCCCTCAGAAATGGTGCATTTGGCGGGTTGGCTCTCGGTCTGCGGTGAGGGGCAGTGGCGACCGGTATGGATCCATTGCCGTCTTGGAAGGGAGGCGGTCTCCTGGAGCTAAAAGCCATGGTTCAGTCCGCCCACATTCGTCACATTCGTGATCAGGACTGCCTTCTCATGACCTGGTCGGACCACGAGTCTTGCTCGTCTACGATACGCATGGGGAGAGGAGGCGGTTGCAGCAGTAGCAGCAGCGGCAGGAGGCTGTCCTTCATGCGGCGCTTGGTTGTAGTTGGGCAGGAAGCCTGGAAGCAGCATCCACCGAGGACAGGCACAGGTTCCAGGTTGAGGGTGGAACAGAGTTGGCTCAAAGCGCCGCTCGATGGCCAGCGCACAGAATGCCCACCACAGTCCGAGGGGGGACGAACAAACATACGCCCCGGCAGCTGTGTGTCATAGAGCAAGCCCCTGGCAATGCTGGACCATCAATCTCGGTCTCCGCGACGTGATTGTCGGGAGTTCCCAGTCGCCGTGGAAGATTTGATATTGCCGCCCTTCAGTGCTGCTGCCTGCCGCCCTCTCCCCCCTGGCCCAACCCCTGGACCACCCGGCGCCAGGCACCTGGATTTCCCCAGCTCTCGCTTGCCGCCAGAGAAGCAGGGTCCACTGCCCCTGCCAGCCAGTTCAGCTCCCCCTGCTAGCTCTCGGCTCTAGTCCCCTGGCCGGTCCAAACGGGCGACCCATCACAATGGTAACTAATAACTTACTGCAGTGTAACTCATCAGCGCAAATTAGCAGCAGATTGGGGGACCGCTGCATCGCGACAATGACCCAGTCTAGCTGTGCAAGAAACCGTCCGAGACAGGTGGACTGCGATTCGGCCGAAGTTGGAGTAAAGAAGCTTTGCTCTGCTACCCAAGAGAGACTTTGTTGAACAACGTATCTCATGCGTTGGGCCAGGTACCAGCTAGTCGCACTCAGGCCCAATAACAGGGTCAATTTGCCAATGTTAAAACTATCATGCGAGTGCCCGACATCACGAATCTTAGCCGGACTGCACGACCGCCAAACCGTGCACAAGCCCGATCTCGATTCCTCGAATGGGGAAACAGTCAGGCTGAGATGACAGAGTTCGGGGAGGGACGAGTTCGGGCTGGGGAGCGTCTTCGACACCGAGGAGGCTAGCAGCTTGCGGCCAGGTCGGTGAATCCAAGCGAGCTTGGCAAGTCTGTGGCCGTTCGCAGGCATGGAACTCTCCCCATGGTCTTAGATCATACGGCCAGTATTGGCCAGCGCCTAGTTGGGGACGTATGCAAAGAAGTCGGGTCACTAAAGACGACTCAACTAGATATTCGTGGATTGCATCTAGCACATGTCGAAAACTGTCTCAACACTACAGACACATGATGCAAGCCTGTGCTCACGGGGAGCTGGGTGCCTCAAAACCTGATATATAGCTGAGGTTGGGGAGCATACGCCCCGGCCACAACCGCGGGAAGGCTGCATAGTTCCCTACTAGTGCTACCAGGACCCCTAGCATTGACAAGCTCGCAGCCGAAACCTGGCAGCCAAGCCCAAATGACGCTGGCCCCACCCACATATATTGGGGGCTGCAGATCCCCGGGCCTATTCCTCGGGGTCAGTCGAATCACTTCGCGACCCAACGCGAATCCCGTCCCCCAAGTAAACAAAAACGTCACTCGGGGTCATTATAAGACTGCCATGTGTTGTCATATCAAGCCTGTTTGCAAGGTCCTCAGCTAGATAGCCGGAGACCATCGAGATTCTGTGACAAAATGGGCAACCACAGGCTCACCTGTCTGCTGCAACTGCATGGTTTGGAATGTAAAAAGCGACGTCATAAAGTAGGCATCCATCAGCATTTGACAACACGACCATGGTAAACTTGGAATATAAAAATGCCAGAGGATCCTGAGAGATGGGAGGTAAATTCAACTTCATATTCAAAAGTCCAGAGCTGCTTGTCGACTTGAAAAGTTATCAACTCTACCAGGTCTAATTTATACACCAGACATCCACCAAACCCACCATTACCATGGACTCCGCAGGCGCAAAGTCGACCTTGTCTCGTGACATGGAAGAGCTCACTCAGGGCAAGGAGACCATTTCTCACTCCGTTGCTGGCCACAAGGCGGACCTGTCAAACCCAAGTGCGTATTTTGTTGCTACGCTGCCCGAGGGACGGTACTAACATGCACCAAGACACGAGTGAAGCCTCGAAGGAACACAGCCGCCAGGTCATTGACAAGATGGGTGGAGACGCAGCACACTACGGGGATGAAAAAGACCCGCGAAGCAAGAGCGCTGCTGAGCAGCTCGACGGAAGTCGCGCCATGACTTGAGCCGGATAAATTTCACCTCAAGAAGTCAACTGTACGATATGAAAATGACGAGATAATGAATCCAATGACCTGTGTCTTTGTCGCTGTGTGCATGGCGATGTCCTGTCGAACTTTAGGCCATCAGAAATCATATACTTCCTGGTCGATCAACTCGTCAGCCTGTAGCTAGAAATGACCACATTCCTTTGCAAAGTCATACAGCGAGGGCATCATATCCACATGAGTGAATCCATATTCGATATTGTGAAATTGCAGTATGCATAGGCCAAGCCCTGGAACACATGGGTAACGTACCCTCCCATTAGACAAGAGGCCACGCTGCTGGTGTCGAGATAAAGACTAATGGCTGAGCTGTGACCTAGGTAGTATGAATGCAGGCGGGATATAACCAATTGCGGAACAGTATGGTAGCTATACACGGTAACGGCAGTCTGACCCGAGACGCATCTGATTGGTCAAGCAACAAGGAAACTGCAACAACCTGCACTAACGCCACCAAAGTCATTCACGCCTTACGACACACAGGGCGCATCAAGACATGGCGCTCCACTTCAGATCGATATAAATATTCTTGAGCACAACTTGTAGGACGCTGTAGCCTTTGAAGTGACGTAAATTGAACACTGGACACCCATCTATCCCGAGATGCCAACCGAAGCGGATTTCGCCAAGCCGCGCTTCATCACTGGTGGTTGTCTTTGCGGCTCCCTCAGATACCGCATCGACTTTCATGATAGCCATGACTTCCTAGGGGCGGTAAGTGTATATATGTTCCTCTACGGCCTCTACGGAACGTGAAGCTCATTAGCACATAGTCTGGAACATGCCAGTGCACACAGGACCGCAAGGCTACCGGCTCGCTGTGGCTGCAATACCACAAGGTCACGCCGCCGTCGAAATTTAATTTCACGTCTCCTACGACGTCGCTGAAGCACTATAATGCCTCTCCGGGCGCTGCGCGTGGCTTCTGCGGCGAGTGTGGCAGTTTCCTGTGCTGGAAGCCGGTGGAGGGCACAGGTCGAGTCACGATATCCGTGGGCACGGTTGACTCGCTCTACTTGTTCGGTGAGGGCGCAGACGGCAAGGAAGTTCCAGAGGGAGGGTTCGGGTTCGCGCTGGCGAATGGTGGCGGTGACCATGAATGGTGTGGGAACGAGATTAAAAGTGTCACCGAAGGCCTCTCTATTCTGGGACACGAGAGGGGAAAAAGATGGGATGGTGACCCTAAATGACCCCTAAGCTATAATAATCGTCAAAGAGGTACATCATTCTCTTCGGGCTGTCCCACCGCGATATTACAACTAGATATTGGCACTTTCAAATCTCCGGTTTGGGTCATTTCTATGAGCAAACTAAAACTTCCTGTAGTTCGCAACTTGTTGCAATCAGAAGGACACTTTTTATTACAAATGACATACAACGAAAAGAGCTGTCAGTGATTACACGTGATTGAGTCAACATGAAATTGTCAGTGGTCAGTTTCGATATTCCACAGGGATCCTCTCATTACATAGACAAATTCCTACGAGGACGCAATGGCATGTCTGCCTTTCTGACAAAGTAACCAAAACACCTCGTTCTGCCTCACCCATTACACACATCGCTGACCAGTATGAACAACATGTTATGACCCTACAATAAACCAACTAACGTTCTTCTTGATACTCACACAGGGATCACGATGCAGACCTGCTAACCGATCAACAACAACAGATAATGACAACATAACAAACCCACCAAACGTCCTTTTGATATTCACACAAGGGACTAGAACACAGACTTGCTGGTCGACCACCTACCAAGGCAGCTCCTGCCCCGCCCGATGCCAGAAGCGGCCCGAGTCATCGAGCTCCTTCTCCAGCAGCACGCGCCACAGCTTCTCGGCGGCCTCATCGGGCTCGACGGCGTCCTCCAACGCATGGGTGCTCGGGAGCAGGGCCTGGGGCAGCAGCAAGGGCCCGAACGTGTTCACGCCAAAGACGCACTCCAGGGTGGCGTGGTCGACGTGCTCCAGGCTGTCGGCGTCGTGCGTCGCCGCCATGGTCCCCGCGATGTTGAGCAGCAGGTCCAGCGGCTCGGCGCCGAAGGACTCGGCGAACGCGGCTATGGAGTCCGGCGATGAGACGTCTAGCTGGGATGTCTTACATGAAAGACTCCGGAGTTTGTCGCCATGGTTCACGTCCACGGCGTGTACGTCGTAGCCCTGAGGGAAAGGTTGAGCTTGGTCTTTCCCAAGTCGGAAACAGTGGCTGTAAGTCAACTTGAGAAATGCTATGCACGTACTTCACGGATGAGGATCTTGGCGAATTTGTGCCCGATTCCCGAGTTCGCCCCTGTGACTATAGCGCTCGGCATGCTGTATCCTATATCTTACGGATGCTATATGAAACAGATAATGATATGGCGACTGGCGGGCAATCGACACTCACTTGCCGACGAGAGGACCACGGCCTATGACGTCGAGACTGCATATACTTCATATCGCCAGTTACTAATCCGCAGTTGGAGTCGCATCTTAATTGAGCCGCATCAGTCCCGGCTTGCCGGTTCGGGAACCCTGGTGGCTTCCGGTGGAGTAACGGGCAGCAAGATCGATGTCATAGTAGCGTACCTTGATGGCACAACGGCAAGTGGAGATGTTATAAAGAGGGGGGGGCCCCGGTTAATGAAAATGTCCATAAATCCAATCGCTTCCTGTATTTTTGATTTTGTATCCAATCTACATTTGACCAGCCATGTTGTACCGGTTTATAACCCACATTCTAGAGATACGAACTTCCAGTCTACCCGGGGTTCCCTCCTCTATCATTGGACTTGTAGACGTGCACATCTAGTCGAAAACAATAGCAGCCTTGATGGCCGACTTGTTTCGGATGCTCTCCAGAGCCTCACCCCACTGCTCCAGCTTGAAGGTCTTGTTTACAATACCCTTGGTCTTGATCTTGCCGCTGTCAAGGTAGTCGACGGTGGCCGGGAACATAAAGGTCTCAGAGAAGGAACCAATGATGGTGATTTCTGTTCGTTCGGTCAGTCCGTGTCTTGCGCTCCCTAATCATGTACATATACTTACCATCACCGAAGATCTTGGATGGTGGCCAAGAGACGCGGGCGGAGCTGGGGTAGACACCGTAGCAAACGAGCTTGCCTCCTCGGCGGACGTAGTTGATGGCGTCCTCGAGGACCTTGGAGCTTCCGGAAGCCTCGACAACTATGTCACGGTTAGCACTTTCGGAAGAGATTACATGGCTGAAGAGACGCACCGATATCGAAACCGTAGGGGTTGTCCTTCTTGAGCTGCTCCCACTGAGGGGTGGAGTCCTTTCGGGAAAGGGGCACATATGTGTCAGCAGCATCTAGGCTCTTGGCCAAGTCGATCTTGGGACCCTCAGGGGCGGCAATGGTAAGCTGAGAAACACCAGAGTTCTTCCTGCAAAGACTGTCAGCGGAGTCCTAGCCACAATATCTAGGCGACGCCTGTGGGGTTTGCGTACAAGAACTGAGCCATCATCAAACCGGTGGGACCAGCACCAATGAGCAGAGCGTGGGAACCGGCCTTGGGGGCAATCTTCTCCAGACCGTGCATGGCGCAAGAAGCAGGCTCAATCAGGGTAGCATCAACGTCGCTGATGTTGTGGATCTTGAAGAGCTTGCCCTGGGGGTAGTTGCACTATTGTCATATTGTAAGTGGCCGACCGTATGAGAGGACCGCAGAATTAACTAACGTATTCAGCGAAACCACCGTCCAAGTTCAGGACACCGTGGGCGGAGAAGTCCTCGCACAGCAGAGCCTCGCCTCTTCGGCAGTAGAAGCTAGAGGTTGCACAATGTCAGCACGTCGTCGGCATGATTATAGTCAAGGATTGATGAGGTAGCTTACCAGTGTCCGCAAAGCTCGGAGTTGTCGGCAGCGACACGGTCACCGATCTTGAAGCCCTTGACATCGTCGGCCATGGCTGTCAAGCTTGTCAGCGCTGCTGTAATGAGCTTTGTGCATCGATGAGCTCTCCTTACCGACGACTTCACCAATGGTCTCATGTCCGGGGATGAGGGGGAACTTGGCAATGAACTCTCCCTCGTGGATGTGGAGATCGGTACCGCAGACACCGCAAGCCTATAGGCCGACAAAATGTTATTACACGACGGCCGGGCGTGGGATTCATGAGTGCGAACTTGCCTTGACCTTGATCAGGACATCACCGGGGCGGATCTTGGGGAGGGGCAGCTCGACGATGCTCCAGTCCTCGGGCTTCTCATATCTGCGCGGGGAGTGGCGGTCAGCTCACGGCCTTGGGGTCTGGGGAAGCAGCTGGAGAGCTCTGGGGAGCTCTGCGAAGCCCAATTGACACCGCAACCGTCTCGCTCGAAGCTTCGGACAACAGAGAATGGACGTACCTGAGAGCCTTCATGGTCTTGGGGAGTTGAGCAGCCATCTTGTCTACTTTTGTTCAAGAATACTTCGACGTGGGATAGAAGCGGGGTATCTAGGGGAGGTTGAGGGAGATGGGAATTTGGTTGAAAAGGAGGAAAGATTGGGAGGGTTGCAAGAGAAAGATGTATTGACTAGAGGTAAAGTTCCGGTTAACTAAGGCTTATATGGGAAGTACGAGACGGGGGTCTCGACTTGGGGCTTGTCTATGTTTACGTGGGAGATGGAAAGCGTTGGGAGCAGGCATTCATGAGAAGCAAACTCTCTCCTGATGTGTGCCTGTCCTGGCTCTGCTGCGTCTAGCCCCGAGCATCACCGCCCATTCTCGCCCATGGATCCCCAAAACCACCTGCATAACATCAAGGTTGGACTGAGCTATCCCATGGCTCGACGGGCGCCCGAGGAGGGGCACCCAGCTTAGTTCCCCGCTGTGGGACCTAGGATGCGGTCACTATGCAGGCCGGCCGGCCCATTGCACTATGAGACTGGCTGAGAGGTGCCAGTGTCCCCACCGGATTTCGGCTCTAGAGTCTTTTTCGAGGCCTTGGGTGGGAGGTAGGCGATGGTCATAGTCCAGACAGCGCAACGTCATCGTCATCCTGCAGAAACATCTAGCTCCTGGTCGTAGTCTCGGTAGCCATGGGCGAGTCTCCATCTTCGGGCCAGGATGGGGACATTCACTTGGGTAAAGGGCCGGATTATGGGCCGATGGAGACGTTGGTTTTGCTACTCCGAACTACCATCGTGAGATCCGTTGAAGACGGGCGTCAGTTATGCATGTCGGTTGCAAGGTGTGTGTGCCTGCTGCGTGAGCCTCGCACCCGGCGTCTCGACTGAACCTTATTGGGGCGGCCTTTGCTGTGACCATGCGATACGAAACTGAAACCCCTCCATTGGGACACAAGAGGACAACACATGACTGCACAGGGCCGCATATGCTTTGCCAAAACGGAGCGCACTAGGCTCTCATAAGGCTATTCTGGCGTTTGCTCTGCGGGATGCGGTATCGGCTGCGGTCTGGCTGTCTGGATGCCGTGAACTTCGATTGGGAGGTCTCACACGCCCTTCAGGAGCTTTCCATCAAGGGTCCAGGAGATCGACGTGTACAATGCCCAACAATATTGTTGCCCGAGTAATGAAGCCTGCAAGAATGCAAGCCACTCGCATCTGCTGCATGTGGGGGATGGTGGGATTGTGGGATGGTGGTTCGAGAGAGAGGAACATTTCCGGAGTTGCCATGCCGGGCCTGTCCAGTGCCCACGGCGCAGCTTCTGCCCCACGGCAGTCAGGGTGTGCCTTTCTGACTACTTCGGTAAAGGCCATCCCACGGATCCAATAGTCCTGTGATCTTTTGATTGAGCACTTCCGTTAACTACCTTGCGTTTTGATGCAAAATGAATGAATGAAACCCCTGTGTTCTCGGCTCTACCTATGCTGGTCCACTGTGCACCTAACTGGGGGTGAATCCGGCGGATATGGTGCAGGCCTACGAAGTTATACCTAACCATTTCAGTAGCCATTGTGTTCCTCTTGGTAAGAATTCCCCCCAATGAGTAGAGCCGAAGATATGTACTTGCACCTGACCACGCAATGGTGATAGTAAATCTTCTTTCAACCCTGTGGTGTAACAACGTAATCATGTTGCAACCGATCTACCTGATCATTGGCAGGTGGCGGGCACCGCGGGTTAATTACCGGCAGATGGCAGCGATCGGACAGTGTCGTGCCTTTTTGTCTTTCAAAATTACGCCAAGTATAGTCAAATCAGCGCAAGTAATTATTTTTCTGGGATCAGAGACTCGTAGCACGTCAAGGATCAAGGAGATTGGCAGGTATTCGTGAGACCAAGTCAATTCTTTATGACATCAAAAGCAATGACCCTTATTCGCAGTAGACGGTTCCGAGGATTTCATGATTTCATGATCCCTAATAACTCCACCAGTGCATCCGAGTTTCCCCCCACGAGTTTCTATCGCTCCGAGCAGAAGCGTGGCCATGCAGATGCCTCCATATTTTCCATGTGTACATGCCGTTTCTACCGTGCTTGCTGCCGTATGCGTCGAAGGAGTTTTCATAGAGAAATTGGGCAGGCGAGAACTCCCTTACGAAGGGGGAGCAGCACCGCGGCCACGACCGAAGCCACCACGGCTGTTGAGAGAAGAAAAGTTAGTCATCAAAAATCACCATGTATTGCAAACAACACAGAACACAGCATGCAGCCTTGTGCTGCTGGGATGGCCGGCCGGCTGGCTGGCTGGCTGGCTGACTGGTTGGTTGGTAGAAATGGATCGACTCACAATTGAGGGTTGAATTCACCAGGGGCGCCGCCCTCCTTGCCCTCACCAGCGTCACGTCGTCGGTAGCCACCCTCGCGGTCGCCACGGTCACCACCACGGCCGCGGCCGAAGGGACGGCGCTCGCGCTCGCCCTCACCACCCAGCATGCCTCGGGGGGGAACGTGGGACTTCTGCTGCTTGATGTGGGTGGCCGGGACGATCTCGGCGGGCAGGTGCAGCCACTCGCGCAGGTAGTCGAGACCCTCGGGGGTCAGGGTGTAGTAGTACCACTGCCACGAGAACTGGGTCTTGACGTAGCCGCGGCTGGTCAGGGACTGCAGAGCCTTGATGACGAACAGGTTCTTGGTGTCGAGCTCGGGGTGCTTCGCGAGGTTGTAGTCCTTGGGAGCGACAAGGACACCCTCACGGAAGAGGGTCTCGTGGATGAGCTTCCGGTCCGCCTTGGGAATGAGCATCTTGGCGATTTGGCGATGATCAAGACGTCGATGTTGCGGTGGTGAAGTTGACCGTGGTTGGCAGGACCGTCTAGTCGTGTGAAAGTTGCAATGCGAGGGGAAATTTCGAAGCTGTGTGCGCATCAAAAATTAACGGGCCAATCAGCCGATAGGGCTCCTGGGAAAAAGGGTGTGGCTCAGGCCACCCTGGGGGGCCATGGGGCTTGGGGCTTGGGGGGACCCAGTCGGCCAGCTGTGGCTGATGCATCTCCACCTCCTCCCGTAGTCCATCTCTCGACGGTGGGGGCCGCCCATCAGCAGCAAGTTTGTCGCCGGCCGGCCGGCAGTCGCCCGCCGCTGCTATGGCCATACAATGGTATGGAGGGATTCCTTGACAGCATCCCCCCATCGTTCATCCAGCCTTGCGATATCCCAACATCACAGTTCCCTCAAAAGCTGCAACGCCAACGACTAAACGGCTTAGAGCTGATTACCCTGCACCACGATCGCGACAGATTTCAGTGCAGTGGTGGCTAGGCTGGTTGTCCTTTACTGCACTTTCTCCGCCATTGCCTAGGTGTCTATCTCCGACCGAGGCGGAACCCACCCTGCACAGGCTCGTCTGTCTGCCTGTCGCAACCACGGCCTCTGTACATTTCGAGACTTCCCGAGTCCGTCGTAAACACGACGCCAAGATGGATATGATCAACGTATTTGTCAGCAGCCTGCCCGGCCTGGGTCCCTCCAGCTTGTCGTTCCCGATCTCGTCGGTCGCCACCTTGGAAGATCTGAACGACCACATTCGCCAACGCCTCCCGGTGAATCCAGACGACCACCGCCTGATTCTTACGACGACAGCCAACAAGCAGATATTCCCGTCGCGCTTCCCGCTCTCGACGCCTGTGACGACCGCGTGTAACCTGTCAGAGAAGGATGAGTTCGTGTCGCTCAGGCTGTCCGCGCCACTATGCGGTGGTAAGGGTGGTTTTGGTTCCCAGCTCCGAGCGGCCGGCGGCCGCATGTCGTCGCGGAAGAAGAAGAACAACGGGGATGCCAACGCCTCGAGCAGGAACCTCGATGGCCGGCGTCTGCGGACCGTGAACGAGGCCAAGGCGCTGGCCGAGTACCTCGCCATCAAGCCCGAGATGGAGCAGAAGGAGAAGGAGAAGCGCAGGGAGAAGTGGCAGCAGATCGTGGACGCCGCCGATCAGAAAGAGTACGAGATCAAGCACAACACCAAGGGCCGCCTCGACGGCAAGTGGGTGGAAGACAAAGAGGAGGCCAGCGAGAGGACCAGGGAGGCCGTCATGGCTGCCATCAAATCTGGGAGGTATACGGACAACCTGGTCTCCGGCAAGAAGGACTCCTCATCAGAGGAAGCAGAAGGCTCAGACTCGAGTGGCTCGAAATCAGTATCGCCGCCGGTCGTCTCCAAAGGCAAGCAACCGGCGCGGGCATTCGCTGGGTTTGATGAGGACGACGAGTTCATGAGCTCAAGTGATGAAGACGACGCATGATCAACCGCAAGAAGATGTAACATTTTGTTAACGGGGGTAATAAGCCATGGCCCACACTATGTTGGTACACCGGTAGCTATATAGCATGAAACGGCGTTTTTCGGCTTCAAGCCAGGCAGGATGGTTTTGCGTACAGGACGATTCGATCTGAGGGAACGGGGAATTGGTCTGGCCATATGTAGTTCACGGGAATTTGCAGCGTTCTAATACGAATACCCCTTTCTATCATTTCTGCCCCCTTGTCATATGATCACAGACAAGCATTGACTCCTCCAGGAGACCCAAGTCGGGGACGCAAGGCGCATGGGACTGTGCACGGAGTAGCAACATACCGCGTTTCGTTTGGCTTCGAGGATGAATCATAGAATAGCGAGGGTCACCAAGCACATTATGTCATAAGGGCAGAAGGACTTTTTCCGGTAAACTCGCTGTTGTTGGATGTTCATCAGATATGCCATGCACTACATAGTACGTGTACATCAGGGAGATTCGGCGATGCAGTGCAAGATATGAAACATCGTGGATTACGGTCGAATGATGCTTTGATTTGGTCTGGCCAACGGAATCTATGATACACCACCAAATAACGACCCAGCCATCGCCCCATCTCGACGCATCTGTTCTTCTCTACTAATCAACAACACGACAACCCCGTCGTGTATCCCTACGTCCTCTGACGAATCTATGCGTCCAGCTTGACGGGGAAGTTGCCGGCCTCGCGCTGGTCGTCCCATCGCTGGTACCATCCGCTGGGGCAGAGCGATCGGTAGGCGAGGAAGAACTGGAAGTCGGTCAGTAAGAAAAGCCAACGGGGTCCCCGCGTGCGCATATAGCTCCACGGTCTCACATCCCGCGGGGGGTTTCATTTCTCTCGTCGTACCTGGCGGCAGGGGGCAAAGTCCTCGCCCTTGGCGTTGATGCACTTGTGGTAGTCGACGTAGTTCTGCCAGCAGTGCTTGGTCTGGTTCATGTTCGGAAAGCGGGCGTCGACACCTAGATTGCACACCGTGTCAGATTCATGCGGGTTCGCCTGCGATCGTTTTTCCACCTCGTCCAGCTCGCGACACGGGCGTCGGCTCAATCGGGGGCCGGGTGGCAGTGGGCGGTGGTCTTACCAGCTAGACGGCGAGAGAGGTCATCGGTTAGCACATGCGTCCGTCGTCGGGGGATTGAGTCTTTTTCACCGGCCTGCTGGGCCGGGGGCGCGGGCAAACTCACCAGTGACGAACTTGAAGGGCTTGGTTTCGCGGTCGTCGTCGGACATCTTGGCGGATTGGGGGGTGGTTCCTGGGGTGCGAAAGGGGGTTCGGGGTGCTCAATGGCAGAGGGTTGTAGGTGATGACCTCGGGGAAGGTCTATGATTCTTCGAGCTTGCTTGCTACGGGAATCGTTCGATTGGGCGGGCGAAGGGTGCTTCGGGATTGGGTGATTGGGTGATTGGGTGCGGGCTGGCAGGTGGCCAGCGGCCCAGCGACCGAGCTGACGCAGGTGCCTGAGGCAGCGCAGAATCTGGCTGGCAGGGGAGAGCAGGGGGCAAACCTCAGAGCACCAGAGCACCCGAGCACCCAAGCAGCACCCTCAGCGCGCGCGGTGCCCAGGTTGTGGACCGCTGAATTGCGGCGCTGCCATTGGCCGCCGCCTGGGCCGAGCTCCTCGTTCCTCTCTCCCGTCGAACCACCGGCCGGCTGGGCCATTTCTAGTTCTGCTTGGGAGAAACCCACGACACCACGAAGCCCCGACAGCCCTTCGCGACCACCTGCAAAGACAGACCCATCTCCCCTCCGCCACCCAGACCATCGCCCAACATGTATCCCACCCTGGCTACCAGAATGCAGGCCACGAGACGCTTGATGCGTGCTCCTCCTGTGCGTCCCCCCGTTTTCCCCCGGCATCCGCAGCCCCAGATGACGTACTAACCTCAGACCACCACCACAGGCCGAAGACCAAGCCGGTATGTTGTCGAGCCATTGCCCCCCGAGGCCCGTCCGCGAAGCTCCAGAACGGCCTGCCCGAGGTGCCCGCGTCCGAGAGAGCAAGAGCTGACCCATCCCCCACAGGCCACACCGTCTCCCAGCGTCTGCGCAAGCTCCGCAAGATTCCTGCCGAGCTGATCCCCCTCGGTGAGCACCCTTCTCAGACCTCCTGGCGGTCTAACGTTGGCACCGGCTAACGATTGCATTCTAGGTGTCGTCGTCGGATTCGCCGTCTTCGCCGCCGGCTACTCGAGCGCCCGCAAGTTCTGGGTCGACAAGACCCTGCGCCTGCAGCGACAAAACCGCGCAGCCGACGCCGCTGCGTCTGGCGAGCACCACTAAGCGGCATATGCACGGGGGGTTCACGGGGGACTGAAGAAGCCGTTCGGTATTCGGGAAACGTCACAGCATTGTACATTCTAGTCACTCTCGGAAAGGGGAAGGAAAGCTGCGGAAGTAAGGGAAATCGAAACGTTGGTCATTAGAGTTGCAAAGCCACCCGCCGTCCACAGGCTCCTATTTCATTTCCATTTCATGCCCGTCCCTTGTCGGAAATCAACGCCGTCGCTATGCGGGAGAAAAAAAAATTGCAAAAATGTGCCATCCTGCGGTCCGTAGTCTCTCATTCCGGCCTGGGTCCGGCCACATCCAGTCCCTCGAGGCCCTGCATGGGATCCTCCGGCCGGTCATCCGCGCTCCGTGCCGCCTCGGCTGCTAACCTGTCCTCCTCTCCCACCGCGTGTGCGGCCAGCCAGCTCTCCTGGATTTGGTGTTAGTGCTGTTCGAGTGTGCTATCGTGAAGAAAGTGGACGTACCTGCTGCCATACGGCGGTTTTGCTGCCTAGCCCCTCGTCGGCGCTCTTGGGCGCCTTTGCCGCCGAGACCTTGAGCACCCGGCCGAAGAATTCCGACTGATCCATGTTGTCGATGGCCTCCTTGGCGTCCTGCTCGTCCTCAAACTCGACGTAGGCAAAGCCGCGGTGCGGCTCCGTGGCGTCCGGCTTGTCGTTCTTGGGCAGAGACACGTCGGCGATCTCGCCGAAGGGGATGAACGCATCGTGCAGGTTTGTCGGGTTGACCAGGCTGGCCAGCCCGCCCACGTAGACCGTGGCCTTCCAGCGCTTTGCGTCTGTCATTTTTTGTTTTCTGGGCCGTAGAAACGGGTTGCGCTGCTGCTACTTCAAGATTTGTCGGGTTGGTGATATCCATCGTGCAGCGCATTTCTCTTGCTGCAGCCCCGAGCTTGCGCCGCACCGCCTCAAGCCGACAGAGCCCCCAAGCCAGAGCCCAATTGGGGCACCCGCGCTTTCACGTGGCGGGGGCGGCAGCTTGGGGCCCAGTGGACAGGCAACCTGGAATGCTGAATGGACAGTGGACTTTGTGTGGGCTGGTTTGTGGCACGGGCCCCCCTTTCCCAGGTGCCAGTTGCCAGCTTGTCAAGCCACAGTTGACGTCCGGGGGAGGGTCAGCGAGATGTGTCTTTCTCGATGAGCTCACTTGCCCCTGGCCCGACCTAGACCTGCGTGAGCTGGCATCTTTCACAGTTTCGAGGGCAATCTTCTACGACGAGCCTCGCCTTTGCCTCGTGTCTTTTGCAGCACATCCTAGCCGGCCTAGAGGGATCAATGCCGACTCCCGCCTGAACAGGCCCCCCGTCCACCTTCCCACTCGCATATCGCATTCCAACTTTACCCCTCCAGCCCGAGACCCAGAACCCGAACCCGACCCCCAGGATCCAGGACCCAGACAACCTGCAACTTTGTTGACTCGGGCTGCACCCAGTCGCAGAAAGTCAATATGGTTCGGCTGCGGGAGATCTCGCGCACCGCCGCCTTCGCCTGGTCCCCCGGTGCCACCAAGCCCCTGATTGTCACGGGCACCCGCGCCGGCGCCGTCGACGCCGACTTCTCGGACGAGACCAAGCTCGAGCTCTGGGACCTGAGCCTCGACAACCAGGAGCAGGGGCTCGAGCTCCAGCCCATTGCGAGCATCGTCGCCGACTCGAGGTAAACAAGCACACAAGCACGCACGCAGAGCCCCCGTCAGTCCGTGCCTGCCCAACTGACAACTGCTCTTCCTAGGTTCTACGATATCGCATGGGGACCTCCGACCGAAGAGTACGCCCAGGGCATCATCGCCGGCGCCCTTGAGAACGGCTCGCTCGACCTCTGGGACGCCGAGAAGCTCATCAGCGGCGCGTCCGATGCCTTGATCGCCCGCACCACGAAGCACACCGGCGCCATCAAGTCCCTGCAGTTCAACCCCCTGCGGCCCCAGATCCTCGCTACCGCTGGCGCCAAGGGCGAGCTCTTCATCTACGATGTAAACGACCCCTCCAATGCCTTCCGGCTGGGCAACACGGCCGCTCGATCCGACGACCTGGAGTGTGTGGCATGGAACAGGAAGGTCTCTCATATCCTGGCCACTGGCGGCAGCGGTGGTTTTGTCACCGTGTGGGACTTGAAGACCAAGAAGGCCTCCTTGACCCTCAACAACAACCGCAAGGCCGTCAGCGCCATTGCTTGGGACCCGAACAACTCGACCAAGCTCCTGACCGCCACCCCTGACGACACCACCCCCGTCATCCTTCTCTGGGATCTCCGCAACTCGAATGCGCCGGAAAAGACACTACAGGGCCACGAGCAGGGAGTGCTGTCGCTGTCGTGGTGCCAGCAGGACCCCGACTTATTGCTGTCTTGTGGCAAGGATAACCGCACTCTCCTCTGGAGTGCCCAGACTGGCCAGCGGTATGGAGAGTTCCCCGAGGTCACGAACTGGACGTTCCTGACCCGCTTCCACCCGCAAAACCCCAACCTCTCTGCCACTGCCGGCTTTGATGGGAAGATTACCGTCCAGACTTTGCAAAACACCAACCCGGCTGCCGTACAGACCAGCGCCCAGAATAACCTTGACGGAGAGGACTTCTTCACCCAGGCGCAGACGCAGCCTCAGGAGGCCACATTCACCTTGGCCAAGGCCCCCAGATGGTTTGAGCGCCCAGTCGGTGCCTCCTTCGGGTTTGGAGGCAAGCTTATCATCTTCAAGCAGACCCCCACACAGCCTGGCCAACACCGGGCGTCCCAGATCCAGATCTCTCAGTTCTCGGTAGATTCGGACATAGGATCGGCCACCGATAAGTTCGAGGAGTCGTTGAAGTCCGGCGATCTCGCTGCGATCTGTGAATCGCACAAGGAAGAAGCCAAGACAGACGAGGAGAAGGCAGAATGGCAGGTCATGGAGACTTTGTTGGCTGGCAACCCCCGTAAGCACATTGTCGAGTACTTGGGCTTCTCCCAGGAAGAGAAGCCTGAGGAGACCAACGGAACTCTCGAGGGCGCCGAAGCCAAAGAGACCGAGGCTGGTACCGAGACGGAGAAGCTCGCCCCCGCCAAGGGCCACAAGAAGAACCGCCTGTCCATGTTCTTCTCGGAGGGTGCGGAAGGCGAAGGCGACGACTTCCTTGCCAGTCTCTCAGCTACCAAGGGTGCCAAGACGGACAACCCCTTCCACTTGTTCGCGGACAGCGACACGACTATCGAGAAGTCCATTACCAAGGCTCTCATGCTTGGCGAGTTTGAGAAGGCCACCGCGATATGTCTTAAGGAGGAGCGAATGGCCGACGCATTCATGATTGCTCACTGCGGTGGCAAGGAGTTGGTAGACAAGGTTCAGTCGGCATACCTGACCCAAAAGGTTGGAATGCCTAGCTACCTCCGCCTGCTCAGCTCCGTAATCGTCAAGAACCTCTGGGATGTCGTCTACAATGCCGATCTGGCTGGCTGGAAGGAGACCATGATCACCCTTTGCACCTATGCCAGCCCCGAGGAGTTTTCTGACCTGTGTGAGGCCCTTGGAGACCGCCTCTTTGAGTCTGGCTCAAGACAGGATGCTTCGTTCTGCTACCTTGTTGGCTCAAAGTTGGAGAAGGTCGTTGGCATCTGGATCAGCGAGTTAGAGGAGGCTGAGAAGGCAGGCTTGGCGGCAGGTGGTGATTCATCCTACTCTATCCACGCAAGGACCCTGCAGCAATTCATCGAGAAGGTGACCATCTTCCGTGAAGTGACCAAGTTCCGTGACGGCGAGACGGGCTTGACATCTGGATGGAAACTCACCTCGCTGTACGACAAGTATACTGAGTATGCGGATATTGTGGCTGGTCATGGTCAACTGGGTGTTGCCCAGAAGTACCTGGATTTACTGCCTACTTCGTACCCTGCTGCAGATGTGGCACGCAACCGCCTTAAGCTTGCTACGCAGAAGAAGGCGCCACAGCCAACTCTCAACACCCGAAACCAACCTAGAGTGGCCTCTGCAATCGGTTTCCAACCCTCCCAACCCGCCGCCAGCCCACTCAACCCCTATACATCGCCGGCCGTACCGACTCCTGCTGCCAACCCATATGCACAGGTCCAGCCGACGAACCCGTACGCACCCCCGCAAGCCGCCGCTGCAAGCCCGTATGCTCCCGCTGGTTACCAGCCAAGCCCCGTGGCCCAGCCCAGTGGATATGCGCCCGGTGGGTACGGTGCTCCGACTCCTAGCTACGGTGCGCCGCCCCAGAACTTTGGTGCTCCTCCCAGGGCAGGAAAATCGTCACCAGCACCGCCTCCCAGAGCCAAGGACGTGGGTGACTGGAACGACGTTCCCATGGTAGCCAAAGCAACCCCGGCCAGACGTACGCCTGCTCCGATTACCTCTCCCTTCGGAGCCCAGTCACCGAACGCCGGGCCTCCGCAAAGTCCCGGTGGCACCCTCCGAGGAGGGGCTACTCCGCCGCTGCCACCTCCCAAGGCAGGTGCACCTCCGCAAGGCCGTGTCATGTCCCCTCTGGGCGGTCCGCCACAGCCTGGACAGTTCGCGCCACCCCCTCGACCAGGGTCAGCCGTTGCCAATGCCTACGCTCCACCTCCCTCCGCGCAGGCACCCCCTCCGGGTGGTCTAGGAATGCCACCTCCCATGGGTAACGTTGTGCCACGCACGGCGTCTCCTTACAATGCTCCTCCTGCCGCTGGACCGCCCACTAGTCGATATGCGCCTGCCCCAGCCCCACAGGGTAGCCAGCCCCCGCAACAGCCGGGCATGGCACCTCCCCCTGGAAACCGGCCGCCGCCCCCCAACCCCTACGCGCCAGCTCCCGGTGCGGCAGCGGCTCCGAGCCCGTATGCCCCGTCTCCGTATCAAGCGCCGCAACAGCAAGGTCCTCCTCCTACCGGACCGCCACCAGGCGGCCCCCCAAGGGCCGGTGTGGCTCGTTCTCCTGCACCACCTGCCCCAGCTGCCGCACCTCCGAAGGCGAAGCACCCTGCTGGTGACCGATCGCACATCCCCGCCAGTGCTCAGCCGCTTGTCGACATCCTCAACCGTGACATGCAGCGGGTAGCCTCCAAGGCCCCGGCTTCGTTCGCCCCGCAAGTCAAGGACACCCAGAAGCGACTGGGCCTGTTGTTCGACCACCTCAACAACGAGGAACTCGTCAAGCCCGACACCATCGAGCAGCTGACTCACCTCGCGAACGCACTCGAAGGCAAGAATTACCCCGAGGCCCAGCGCTTGCAGGTTGAGATCCAGACGAGCAAGACCGACGAATGTGGCAACTGGATGGTGAGTGGCCTTGATCAACTTGAAATCTCTGATGTAGAAATGCTAACAGTGACATAGGTCGGCATCAAGCGTCTGGTACAGATGAGCAAGGCTACTCCTTAGACTACTACTACACCTACATAGACGACCCGGTGGGGGACACGCTAGAAAGGGGATTTCGGGGCTTGTGGGCTCTGTTGACGACGAATAAAGTTCCGAGGCATGAAAAAGGGTCAATAGCGCTTTTGGTTTTGATAATACATGAGTTCCGTGGAGTCGCCTAGAAAAAATAGCGCTGTCGTGTCGTTCGGGCGGTTGGCCCTTGAGGTTTTTAGACTTGAGTGAATCATACGTTTTCTGCTCCCCTTCAAGTTGATGTCCATGACTGTCCGACAGTCTTGGCTGATAACATCACTGAGGTACTCCAGGCACGATGTGATGTATATGTAGTCGTTATCAAGATCTTAGTTTGGTCTCTCCTTGACATAGATCTTCACTGTGACTTCATGATGAATCTTTCGATCACCATCCCCACCTCTTGAGGCCTGGGCACTCAATCCGAATCAAGATGCCACGCGTATCTTTGATCTCTCTTATTGACATAATGTAGTGTCTGATATTTTCTCAGATTCATCGGTATTGAATTAAAAAGCAACAGGCAATTAAGAGCAAGACTAGGGTATCCGCGCGAACCAAAAAGGGTATCTGAATATACGTAACAAGCCAAAACCGCCTACTATCCTGGTGCATACCGACTTCTCACTAGAGTGTTACTCATCAATAGGGGACGACACATCCTTCGCCCTCTTATCCCTCTTGCCGACCACGGCCACCTCCGCGGGCTCCTCAACCCGCGTGGACGGGCCGCCCTCCTCGGGCTCATCCGTGTAGCGCTCGTGCTCGCCATCGGCCAGCAGGGGCGCGTAGCTCTGCGACCGCTTCGGCAGCCACGCGGGGGCCTTCCACCTCGGGGCCTTCACGTTGGGCACGGCGGGCAATTTCAGCCGGCGGGCCGACTCGAGCCACGGGATCGTCGGCGCCGACGACGGCCGCAGCCGGTGGCCGCAGTCGGGACAATCGGCCGGCACGACCTGCCACGCCAGCCACTGCGTCAGATCATGGAGCGCGAGACCGGTGGAGAAGCTTCGTACCGCCAAGTATAGATGGATGAAGCTTTAGCGTCGGCTCGGTTAGCAACTCTGGATCTCGATGCCGCAGGAGCACACACGCTTACAAGTTCACGAGCAACGGTATGGTGGCGTAGGCCGCGAGCGTGGCCAACTGCCCGTTGAAGTGGGTGGATTGCAGCCACGAGAACACCAGCACGATGAGCAGTGCCGCGCTCAGGACGACATCCACCCCAAACACCAGGAACGGGTGCAAATCGGCATCCGGCGACGAGTCGGTGCGTTCGTCCTGCGCGGTCTCCTCATCTACGTGGTTGCTTCCGCCGCTGTGCTTGGTGTTCTGCCGTAGAACGAGGAAGAGCGACACACCGGCCGAGAAGGCGAGCGGTACCAAGCCCGTGGCCGGCACCGGCGAGTGCGAAACGACGCCGTGGGCCAGGAGCAGAGGGAAGGCTGGCAGGAAACTTGCCGCGGCGACTATGCGCAAACTAGAAGCGGCCATCTTGTGCTCGTCTCAGAGCAATTTCACGCTCCGTGTGTTGACGTCGGTGAGTGTCGACGAGAAGGAACGGGCCTCAGGCGCGAACATGCTTGGAGGGGTGATAAGGAGCCCATGTCATATACCCCTGAGCGGCTGAACCAATCAACGTTGGACAAGCCATCACGAGCTCGGGAATTGTGTCCGTGGAAACGATGCCAATCAATCGATGTAGGTTTATGATATTGATGTCTCTATGAAGCGACAGCTAATTGATCCAAACTGCCAATTGCCAGTATGCGCTCACGTTGCGTACGAGTGCTCCGAGCCCAGAGTATACGCTTGATTACATGCATATGACTACACACTGCATCGCGCACACCAGAAGCTCCATACGAGGCCCAGGGATGATTTGACTTATAGAAACAGAATACTTAGTCAGTCTTACTTCAACTACCCACTTATAGTGGTTCCTGCATTCTGAGGCTACTGCAGGCCTGGGGATGTCCTTGATTCCGGCCGGACATAGGCGGACTTTAGTCAACTGACCGGCACACTAGGAATTAATACCTTCAATTTCCTGCGCTAGACACACTGGGAGCCACCCAGCCATCGGGTCGCAACTGAAAGGCTATGATAATTGCGAGATAGAACGATGAGACTTACGTCCCAAGTTGACTTACGTTAAAACCGCGATGTCCACAGGGGTGGGTCGGATTCGTATGGGATGCCACTGTACGAGAACAGGTAGCTATATAAAGGCCTTCGCCTGCCCTGAGGGAAGGACTGTAAACAGCAACAATAGAGCCACTTCCCTCTGGAACAGAACTTTTCGGTAATTTATAACTTCTGAAACCTACTCCTTTTAATCTGCCATGGATGACGCAAACACAAGACCGTACCACCTCCCGCAGGACGCGGTTTGGTTCAGTGAGAATAACCCACCGTTCCTATACCGCAAGAAAATTTACTTACAGCGACTCAGTCACTGGTTGCTCGTCAGGAATCGGCCTGGCCCTCGCTCAACTAGTTGCCAAAACTTCAAATCGAGTTGTGGCCACTGCTCGAAACCCAGCCGCACTCGCTGGCATCCCTGATGGGCCCAATGTGTTCAAACATGCCTTAGACGTGACCTCAATCCCCTCCATCGATGTGGCTCTACAAGCGGCCTTGTCCGAGTTTGGTCGTATAGACGTCGTGGTAAACAACGCGGGCCACACGTTGGTGGGCGATACCGAGGCCGCCGGCGACGAGGAGTCGCGTGCGCTCATGGACATCAACTTCTGGGGCATGGTGGATGTGACCAAGCGGGCCCTGGGAATCATGAGAGACGATAACTCCAAGACGGGCCAGCAGGGCGGCGTGATCCTAAACGTCAGTTCAGTGGGCGGCTGGGTCGGCTATCCCGCAGGCGCATTCTACCACGCGACCAAGTTCGCCATGGAGGGCTGGACCGAAGCGGTTGCGAAGGAGCTGCCGCTCGATTGGAATAGTGAGTTGATAATGACATACCTAATAAGTGTTCTAGAGGTTAACGGGAGTCTAATCAGTTCATCTCTGCAACATTGAGCCTGGAGGCGTCAGCACCAACTTTGCCTCGACGTCTCTGAAGCCCATGGCCAAGAGACACCCGGCTTACGCCGATCATAGCTGCCCAAGCAACGTGGTCCTGGGCTACATGGCCGATCCGCAAATACAAAAGACGTGGGCCAAGCCATCCGACATGGCAGCGGCCATGTACCACATCGCGAGCCGGGGTCAGCTAATCCCCATTCGCGTACCCCTGGGCCCCGACTCTTACAGCATGATTATCGCGGACTTGGAGAAGAACCAGAAGTTGTTCGAGGAGCTCAAGGATCTCAGCATGGGGGTCGGCCAGGCTGCAGTGGCTGCCTTCATGTAAAGGGTGAGGACTCTTTAGAATCATGCTGCAAGAGCATTATCGCATACAAGCCGCTCACAATAGCGTCGCCGATAGCCAGACATTTTTTAGTTTCCCAGGTACAGTGATGAAACCGGCATTGGTGAACAGGTTGAAATGGGCTATGGGAAGAACTGTCGATAGGAGGGAAACTAAAACAATGAAAGCTTCGAGAATGCATGGCCGCCAGCTGAGGAGTAGCGAGCAGCAGTCTGGAGACTTGGCAGAGCCAGGTGTACCCCCATAGACAGACAAAGCAATAAATGTTCTCGATGTGAACGTGAAGCTCGATAGCGGTACTTGCATTGGCACCATTGGATGCCGTGGAGATGAGACAGTTCAAAGTTCTCCCACAGAGAGCCTATGACCTCAACAACTCAACAGTGGCATAGGGACTAAACTCGATACCGGTATCAATATCAGGGATCAGGCTGTCAGTTTTCATGTTAGCCTCAACACGGATGCGCAGATCGGCATGGAGCCAAGCGCAACCAATATGCAGATTATTCAACCTTGATGTCGAGATGTCTGAGAAATATTCAGTGACCAGAGACCGATGCATCTTGGTTCCATAAGATTCGATGAAGGTGGTTGGGCCATGTTGATCCACAGGGCTGCTGATGTCAACGTCAGAAGCATGGCAAAGGGCCGTGGGTTATAAACAACGTGTAAGACGGAGAGGGCGACTGAGCCTAAGAGGACTGAAACTGAGAGCCGGCGTCCATCAAAACGTGCAAAGTATGCGCGATTATGCTGGGAAGTAAGGCGTTCGAGCACAACCGGCGAAAATGGGCCATAGTTTGGCGTCTTATACGCTAGCAAGAACGCCACGGCTTTCTCTCTTTGGTTCGGTTGAGCAGATTGTCCAAATACTTGCCAAAACCGAAAGTATTGGACCAATATACCTATCAGATCCTGTCTTAGCTCCTCACCTCACAATCACACAAGTCGCCTGTGCGTCTTGGAGGCAGGCAATTGTGAGTGATTGCAATCATTTACAATCGTCAGAAATTACACTAAGCAGGGTCGCGGAGGTAGAATCTAGGCTAACGAGACTCAAAGTAATACGATACAGCAAGGTGGGTGGTGAAGAAAAGGCCCCTAATGTAGTGTTGTGGTATGTACGGTACCAAAGGTACGGTACCTATTCTGTACCTAATAGCGTTTGGCGTTTTTCAAAAGGGCGTGGTATGGGACCAAGATATGTATCAAGCACCACCCATACTAGCAGGGGTACCGGTTAGGTGAAGGGACAATAGGTGTGCTAGTCGAGGTCGGGTTTGGGTACTCGCACGGGCCAACTAGAGAACCTGAATTTTGGTGTTGGCTTTAACGTGTTTTTAAGAAATCCTACTGCCTTTTTATGAGTTAATATTGTATAACATCCTTGTGTGATTTTTTATAGCCAGAAAGCGTGGTGTTGTAGTGTTACAATGCGATTTGCCCCTGAAGTCGGCATGGTACCGATAAAACTTCAGAATAGAACTCCAACGTACGGTACCAAGCTTTCAGAATCGCTACCAGAGCCTGAGGAACTCGCTCAAAGTTGGCAGCTCAGCTCAGACGATGGAGTGGGGTGCGATTTCATTCCATGGCTTTGGCACTTATCTATATAGAGTAACGACAACTGAAGTCGAATGGTCTGGAGTCGGAACTGCCACTAGCGGATCGACGCCCTACGGTCTGTGCGGTGGAGATTTTGGGTCTGTGGCATATCCATGTAAACTCATTCGTGCTAGCTGTGATGCGGGTTCTGCGGTAACGAACAATCTAGCCAACTAATGGCTGCACCAGTCGCACGGTGTCCCATGCCGTTGCACAACTCTGCTAAGTTAAGTGCCGAGTCGTGGAGTTTCATAGATACACAGTTTCCCTTGTTCCAACACGCAAGGGTCTCTATATAGTGGGGGGTCACCCTGGTTTGGAATCATTACACCATCGAACCCCGTTACATTGTGGCATTTTAAAACGCATTCAGAAACATATACTGGCAGAGAATCATCATTTATTTGACGCTGTTCTCGCCTAAGTTTATGTGATGGTCATACCAATCACGCGGTACAGTCTGTCGGGCCATTTCACAGCTATATGATAACGGAAGATGGGGCGATTCTACTGGTCCCCAAGCCTTTTGCTCGTACTATTGGTTCTTGTAAAGATATCGTCAGCCTCGCTTCCTGCTTGTGGGGTACGTTTTCTTTCAATAACCCCCAACGCCCAACCTCAGGGAACTCATTATCACTCACAAGAAGATCTACAGATGAAGTGTATTGGACTGTCCGTTGCGCAGTCTGAGTGCTCAATCACAAACCTGACATGTATTTGTAGCGATGCTGCAATACATGAGGAGGTCAGATTGTGTCTTTCTTCAAATTGCACAGTCCAAGAAGCTCTTGGTAAATCAGGAGATACAACATGTTTGATTCCATGATTCTAATGAATCTTGACAGAATCAGCGAAATACTCAAACGAGAAGTGTGGTGTCTCTAGCGAGGACAGAAGAGCCGCTGTATGGGTTCCTGGTGTGGTATTTGGCATACTCGGCTTGGTCGCCTTCGGATTGCGTTGCCTGGCACACCTTCTGAACAGAACACAACTATGGGGGTTGGACGATTGGGCCATATGTGTTGCCATAGTAAGTAATGTCTACAGTCTATAGGATGGGTTCCGATACCCGTACGCTAACCATTGCTTCAGTGCTGCTTGACACCTTTGTGTGGCATCTCCGTGGCAAGTAAGCATACATCCAGCCTAAGAGACTCGGACCGAGAATACTAATTGGAGAGTTCAGTTTCAAGACTAGGGCTCGGCTTAGATATCTGGGCTGTTGAGTTCGAAAATATCACAAAGATTCTTCATGTTAGTGTTCCCCTACTCTCATTGACTTCTTTTCTAACGCACCATGAACAGCTTTTTTACTGGGGAGAGATTCTTTATGCCACTGCACTCACATTCACAAGAGTTGCGGTTCTATTCTTCTACCTAAAAGTCTTCCCGATGCGTAGTTTTCAACTGTACGCTTACATTCTCATGGCTTTGACGTTTGCCTATGGTATTGGATATGGTGCAGCGCTCATATTTCAATGCATTCCCATAGAAGGTGCCTGGCGCTCATGGAATGGTGAGTATCATGCCAAGTGTATCAACATTAATCAACTAGGGTGGTCGGCAGCTGCTATCAATGTCGTCCTAGATCTGGCGACTATTGTTCTTCCATTGCCATTCTTGTTTCGACTTTCCATGTCATGGAAGAAGAAGATTCAAGTAATCGGAATGTTTGCCGTCGGTTTGTTGTGAGTTACATCCCCTAAGCGGTGGGTAGTTATTCTCAAACTGATACATGAATAGCATTACGGCCGTAAGCACTGTACGCCTGCACACGCTGGTAGAATTTGGGAAAACAACGAATGTGACGCGTATGTACCATTTCCAAGGTACAATCATTAGCCGAGGTCGAAGTTAATCAGAACTTAGAGAGCTATGTTGAAGTCGGATACTGGTCTATAATGGAGATCTCAGTCGGCATTGTCTGTGCTTGTATGCCCGCAACACGCTCACTTCTCAGACGCAGCTCCCCTTCCAGTACGTTACATTGTCAGAAGGACCATGCTTCTGCTAAATGTCATTCAGATACCCAATATAACATGAGCCGCGACTCGGCCGCATTTGGAGTGCCCGCATCTCAGTCTAGATCACTCAAGATTATGAGCAGGCAGAGATCTGTCAAGCATGAGTCGCCTAATTCTGGAGCTCAATCAGACAATGCAAGCCAAGTTGAGCTTGTATACTTTTCAAAAGACCCTACTTAGGGTGTGTCACACAGTTCTGGCCCATTTTTGTCCTTCCGCTCAGGATTCGGAGGCTTAGGATATCTACAAGTGTGATGTAGTGATGGCGGCAAGCTTGGTATTGAGTGGGTTGCTATACTCTTGTATCAGTACCTTGGGGGCTATTTTTTAGGTTTAAAGGAACATTTTAGCTCACACCGTATTGATCATCAAGCCTCAGGCCCTATGTCGTAGAAGTGACGAGACCTTTGTTGATGGCTGATCACTAAAACCACCACGTCAACCATGTATATTATAGTATAACTCGTACCATTGGAAGACATAATTCCGATAGACGACTGAAGCTTCACGGGCTTGTTCCACGGTTGGCGCTCCAGCCGCGCTTTAATCGATTATGCCCTTGTTTGTTGTGTGATATAGAGCTTCTCATTCATCTCTTGTCTATCGCAGAAAGGCTACACTAATGGATGCTACCACTTTGAGACGCGATCGATTCAGTGCCGACACGTTACGGTCGAAGTGGTGTCAAGTGTCCGTGACAGACAGTTGGCGGTTTGATTGGTGCTGATGTGTTGTCGTTTGCCAGGGCAATAACTGAGCCTCATTTCGGCTTTCAAGCAGGAGATACCGCCCCTCATTAACCATTAAACATGGCTGCCACGAAATTGACATCACTTGCGGTACGCATTCTGCTAGGGTGTTGATTGGAAGCCTCGTCATTGTCTCTGTGTTGTTACTTTAACTTGCACGGACAATAGAGTCACTGCTATATATCTTGAGAATCGTTACTAGTATTTCAGAATTCTTTCGTCGTGCCATGAGCACATAGTATGTCTTACAATACTGTATAATGGTTCAAGGAGTTTTGAAGCTTTGTAACACAGCGAAACGCATCTAGATCTATAAATTCTTCTGTATCCATTCATCGTCTGCTAGTTCCTTCGCAGAGCAGCGCTTTGACGGTTCCCATTCAACCATCTTCCTCATAAGTCGCAGAAAGCTCTCTTTGTCCCGTCCTTCAAGTCCGGCCTCTCTCTCTTCCAGTGAAACTCGATCGGGTAACCCGACTTTGGCCGAGAAATTTCCTAAGCATACAGACACATTAGCAAGAAACATTTAGGCATGAAGAAACCAGCACGTGGCAAACCTTCAGGTGAGAAAAATTCATGGCTCAAGCCACCTCGGGCAAGAAGATCAGGTGAGGGGTGGCCAAGGAGAGCGATCATCTCTGCAAGATGAGCCCGACTTCGATAGGTCTGAGCTTCAGGGTCCCGACCTGTAAACAGATGCCCACCCTCAAAGACATCCCAAATCTATTCATTAGATTAACAAACGCTGTCAAGCTTGACAGCACTTGAATGGACAGCTTACCATACATCCTACATTCCATATATCAACGCTGTAAGTCCACGGTATCTGCAGAATAACCTCCGGCGCGCGATATATATCGGGCTGGATATCCTCGACGTGCTCTGTTTCGCCAGATACGGCTGATCCAAAGTCGCAAAGAACTGGAGAACCCCATTCTCTGGGCATCGTGAGCGCGCGTGACGCGTAGATAGCTCTATCAGTCAACACCTTTCGCGGGGAAGGATTCTGAAGCTCCTCTTCTTCGAAGGCTTCAAAGACCGAGTCGTCCTGAATTCCAAACATAATATTGTCTGCTTTAATATCTGCAATGTGTCAGTCAGGGCTATACAGACAAGGGGCGAAAGCACAGTATTTACCTGTATGTATAATTTGACATTCCCTGTGTAAGAAGTCTAATGCCAAGAAAAGTCGTCGCAGCACAAATGCTAGTACAGGCGGAGGCAGTTTCAACACTGGGTTACGGCGCAAAAAGGCCGAGATGCTCTCCCACAGTGGCGGATGAACCAAACAGCGATGTTGCCCACCTGGTCCGTCAACGTGGAAAGAGTCTAGCAACGATCTGACGGCATTGTAGCCAGGATGTTGCTTGGAACCCTTTTCCATGCGTCTGTAAGTATTTAGTTCGTCATCCAGGTACTTCCCCATGGAATCGGAATTAACGTAGAGCTTCAATACGACATGGCGGCGATGACTGTGTAGCCTGGGTAAGCAAGATCACTTAGCGAGGCGCCATCGGCGCGTTAAAAGAGTCCTACCTAAGATCCCGTGCGAGCCATACGATAGATGAGGCTCCAAATCCTAGCTTGCCCACAATTTGGTATCGGTCTACGAAGGTCTCTCCTATGTGAGCAGGATAGTAGCGGGACGCGACATAGTCTGGGAAGGTCTCCTCCTCGATCTTCTGGTCTGGGGAGATCTGGGTAAAGCTTGTGTTGGAAAAGTTGAGTGGCTTCCACTTCCTGCGGAGCGGGGGCAAGGATCGCACAAGTGCTGCTATCATCGCGCCTCGGCCGCAGCGATTGGCGAACCAAGGCAACGCGGTAAGTACGTTGTTTGGATGCAGTCCGCTACATAGAATGTTGGTAACTCCATGAGAGGATATGCAGGTTGCAGGCCGCCACGGTGGGTCTGTACTTTGGCGCTCTGGGCGATTAACCGCCAGGGCGCTAGATTGTCACCGAGGACGAGTTCCATCTCTCTGCAAGTCTCTATCCCTCTGGCTCAGTTGATATCTTAGTCGACCATGCGCAGAATGCGCTATCGTGATATTCAAGGGTTGTTATAGCACGATAAGCGAACTGGGGATTGGCTGCGAGACCCATCTCGTTTGCTATTACGATTGTTATTTTACATAATGTTCCAGGCTTTAATTATATATCCATAGTGCGTGGAGGAACAACAGCAAGCTCGATTCCATGACCGAGTTGCTTAGAGCGTGGAAAGAGGCCAGGATTTGTGTTTCTTCCTACTTTGACTTGATTGCACGGTTCCTATTTGAAAAAGGATTCAATATAATAGACACTGCAACCTCCAGTATCTCAACATGTGCTAGCTGTGTGCGTACATGGATGCGATCCTTCCCGCAGCCTACGATCGGCAACTTGATCTTAACGTATGGCTGCGATGTTCGAGAATTAGTGCAGGTGGATAAGCACATGCTTGACGAGCTCATCGTCCAAACGAGTGCTGCGCCCGTACCATTACTGCTTGGTTTACCGAACTTCGAACCTGGATGATTTAGAAAATTTTATTCGCTATGATTGGATCCCGTATGTGACACATATCATGATGAATAAGCGCACGGCGCAGCAAGAACAGCAGTGCAGACAATCTCCAATGTGGTGACGAGAACTGTGCGAGAACGTCTATATTACAAGTGTGTGACCTTCCCAGCATGTATGTCTAGGGTATCCGAACCAGCAAAGAAGGAAATGAGGCTCTATATGCGAGGGACCAAATCAACAACCCAAATGACCATTTACCAGGGGGTTCCGGCTCTCACTTAGAGCATGTAGACGGCGGCAGCCAGGGCGAAGACGGCCGAGATGGCCGAGAAGCCCTGTCCCGAGATAGCACCAGAGGTGCCGGGGGAGGTGCTGGACGAGCCGGCGGCGGACGACGAAGAGGATCCAGAGGATCCCGATGATCCGCTGCTGCCCGAGGTGGTGGAAGCGCCGCCGGTGGACGAGGCGCTACCAGAGGAGGCAGTGGCAGAGCTGAAGGCAGTGGAAGCAGAGCCGCTGGCGGAGGCCGAGGCCGAGGTGGGAGTGTCGAAGGTGGTGGGGCAGGTCAGGTTGAAGCGGGCCTCGGTCGAGAGGTTGTCGGTGATAGCGAACTTCATCTCGTTGGCCGAGTTGGAGTCACGGAGGTTGTACCAGAAGGTGGGGGCCTGGTTGAAGAGACGGCGGCAGCCGACCTCGTCCCAGTAGTACTTGGCGTTCTCGACGCTGGCGACGGCCTCGTCCCAGGTCTCTCCGGTGTAGGGCCAGCCGGTCTCGGTGAGCCAGACCTGCTTGTCGCCGGCAGCGGCAACAGCCTGGTCGTAGGCCTTGTCGAAGAGGGTGCCGGCGTTCTTGATGTCGTTGCCCTTGCCGTTCTCGTAGTAGGGGTACTCATCGACACCGATCCAGTCGACGGCGTCAATGACGGCCTTGTTGGTGGCGTTGGGCCAGACGTCCCAGGTGTCGACGTGTCCGACGGGGACGTTGGCAATCAGAGAGTCGGCAAAGGCCTTCTTGTAGACGTTGATGAAGTTGACAATGACGTCGGGGTCGGCACCGACACCAGCCTTGTTGGCAACACCAGTGGCCGAGTTGCGGTACAGGTCCTCGCTACCGATGGAGATACCAATGATCAGGTCGGCGAGCTCGGAGCCGTGCTGGTCGAGGCCGGCCTTGAGGGCATTGATCTCATTGTCGATGCTGTCGGTGCCCGAGGTCCAGATGCCAAGGAGGACCTTGGTCTTGGTCTTGACGGCAGCCTCGAAGGCCTGGATGGGGTCGGCGGTCGAGTAGGCCTGGATGTTGGTGTAGAGGCGGACGGCGTTGAAGACGCCGGGGGCGCCGTTGAGGTTCTGGGCGGTGGTGAACTCGGCCTCGAAGTCGCTGGCGAACTTGGCCGTGTCGTCGGCCTTCTTGTTGCCCGAGTTGAAGCCCAGGTAGTTCTCGGCCGAGGCGACGGCGGCGACGGCGCTGGCGGCCAGAGTGGTGGAAATACGCATGATGAAAAAAAGGAGTGTGGGTGATTTGCAGCTGGGCAGGACTGGACAGGGAAAAAAAGAGCGTGAGGCAGTCTCTCAAAGTAGCGAGTGAATGCCAAAGTCGAAGTCCAAAGACGAAGGAGAGTATACAAGAGAGCTAAAGAGAGTAAAGCGGCTCGTTGTGCTGCAGAATCAAAGAAGGCGTAAAGGAAGCCAGCGAGAGAGCAAAGCCGCGCAGGGCCGGCCCCTGGGAGCCTGGGACCAAAGATCAACATCACGAGATTAGTCGCTCTTGGCAGGGGGACGCCGTGTCTTTGGCCCAATGTTTAGTGGGGCCGCGGGACTCGAGGGCCACTGGCAGGGCCTGGCCGCGCGTGTGGAGGGCGCCCCCTAGCCACGCTAGGCACGCTAGACACGCTAGACACGCTGGAGCCACACAGCACACAGCACCCAGGGCACCCTCTGCCGGTCGTCCCCCAGAAAAGCTGGCTTCAGACGAGCGGTTACGAGATCGGGTGCCCCCTAACTGAGGCTTAGACCTGGAACGTGCACGTCACTGGAGCCCTCCACGAATTGCGATGGGCCTCCGGGGCCTCTTCTTCCCTTCACGGGCATTGAGGACGTTGCATTACGGCATATCACTCTGCTCTGCTCTGCTCTGCTCTGCTCTGCTCTGCTCTGCTCTAACTCGTAGAAAACCTGGAGTCTGGAGATGCATCCCATGTTCCCTTTAGTGAAGAGACCACTTTTTGTGCCCACATGTCTCCAATCAATTGGCTTCAAGCTTAATGACGACTCTATCCAAACCCCCAAGACTGACCTCGCTCACCCCCGAACTTGGGAACGAAAGAAGTGGTAAAGGAAGTCAGGAGGGGAAGCAGAGAAGGAAAACTGCCAAAACATATCCAATCCCACCAAACCCAATACAATTGGTTTTAGAACGAATGAAAGACTCTCGTGGTGGTCCAATCACGCCCTTTATCTCGATCCTACCGTCCCTCCATGTGTGCTTCTTCGCTTCCTTGGGAGTACTACCTCGTCATCTGAATCAATTGAGACTCGCCCATTCTTCCCAGTCTTCATACTGGCTCGCCTGCCTCCGCCAAGTCGAAATTTCACGGGTTTGTCTCCGGAATCTGACGGTGAGCGTCTCTTCGCGGCTGATGAGCCAGCAACTTCGGAGACCCTCCGGCCAGTTCGCTGCAATGGCATATCGTCCGAGTCCACCTCAAGCGAATGATGCTCATGCCACAATATGTTACCATCACGCTTAGGCCGCTTCCGAAGAGGTGTCCGACTTTCTTCTCGCTCGTCGTCTGGATTTTCGTCCGAGCCGCTTTGTATAATGTAATACCTGCTCTGCCTCGAAGTTTCAACAGCTGCATTGGGCGACCTATTGGTGGTCCATGTCCTAGCCCTTGGTCTCGCCCCAGTCACGTTCTTCAGGGGCGAGGAGAAGAGTGGATGGTCATCAGAGTCGCTGTCTACTCTGATCGCATTTTCATAACTCCCTCCCCCTGCGTCTTTTCCCTCCAATGCCCCGGATCCTCTCAAGGGTGTGTTCTTCTTGGCCGGCGAATTGAACAGTGCCTTCAGTGGAGGTAAGGAAGCGTCCGAAGAGTCGGAGTCTGGCCAGTTATCCGGAAATCGCACAGACCTGACAGCTACACCTCTATCCTCCCTTACAGGGCCATTACCTAAGCCGGATTCCTCGGGCTCTGGTTTGTGATCGTTGTCCAATTCAAGATCGTCTTCAGTTTCATCGCTGAGAGAGTTGTCGATGGTGCAGTCGTCATCTTCCTCATTCTCCTCGTCCGTCTTGACGACAAAGCCGTCATCAGAATCATAAGACTCGTCGTTGTCTGATGCGATTCCATCGTCTTGACGTCCCAAGCGTTTACCGACAGGATTAAGCACTATACGTGTCCTTCTCGACGAGCTCTGTGGCCTTGTGCTTCTTCTTCTGCAAGCCACATACTTGCAGGCCGAGTGTCTCCGCAGTATGTCCTGAAGACTACGCCGCCACTTGTCACAATTATTCAGCAGCCATCTCCAGCGCCCTCGGGGCAGCTTGCGAATTTCATGGCCTTTGTATTCCCCGAACCAGACAATGGTAGACAGGCAGCATTGGGTTTCGTAACGCCGATCGAGGTATTTCGTGTGTAGCTCACGGAATCTCGCCAGCTAATGGTCCATTTAGCGCAGAGTGCCGGGAACGAGAGAATCGGAGTCTTACGTTGAGTGAATGAGGATGTTGATATGAGTATTCGACCAAAGCCCAACAATAGCCTTCGTCCAGATCCCGCAGCCTGGATCCTTCGTGTTTGCCAAACCACATAACTGTCTCCCCGGGATCACCACCCATTGCCTCCGCACTATCCACCGTGGAAGAACCATCGTCATGGTCATCATTTGACGTAGGGTCCTGCATGTTGCGTACTTTTCGGCTCTTTCAAACAAGAACCTGAGGATTTGTGGTAGGCCTACTTTGTGGTGGTAGTTCTATGGGCAAGATATGAGCGGGGCATGCATGAGCTCTGAAACAGATATATTTTGACAATCGCATGGAAAAAGCAATACGCCCATCGAACTATTATTGGTCAAAAGGCACCCGATCGATGCGATCTCAGGTACATGGACATGTAAAAAGAATATGGTGAAGAATTATTCTATCAGTTTGCACGGCTGAAGCAAAAGTGGTTTCAGGCCTGTTCTCTGTAACACGGCACACTGCGTGACCAGCCACAATGCCATCAGTCACTCCGTAGCCTATCCCTGATATCATATGTCGACTATCGCCAATTGAATGCCGTCTTTGACCCATCGACCTATTGCATGTTTTGATCAGACAAGTCACGCATCTATAGGGACGGTATATTATAACAAGGGGCTCTTCTCATACACGTAAGCGACTAATGGTTATGGCTGATCGGGGTCTCGCTGTAGGTTTACCATTATATGTTTGGGTACAGAAGGGCTCTTAAGCTGGAGTGTTGTAAAAGCATATATCGGTTGTTTCGTGTCCAGGTAATCATGGTACTCTCTTTCTAAAGATTACTATTTGGCACTTTCTCTGGATGACTACTTTCGTCATGCAAACAATCAGTCTATTTCTTATCTTGCCCTATCCAAACGCCGTATCACACGGCTTCCTTCAAGTTTATGATCAGACTCGAGTTCCTTGTTCAGATTCGACGATCGAACAATAAAACTCAGCAAGAAGACAAAGCCAGATATTCCCAGGAAGACCTGCCAGACCCCCAGAAACCCAAAGACATAAGAATCTAGTATCTTTCCCTTCAGAGGATCATCGTTTGGCAGGGATTTCAGCTCAGGAATGTATCCCTCTGCGTTGTACGCTATGCCGACTGGGAGGCCTTGCCAACGTAATTTGAGAGCCATGACATTTTGGAAGGTTGTGCTTCCAATACTGACGCCGACTGCTGTCCCAAATTGTCTCGAAAACCCATATGTAGCAGCTGCCGCCGCAACATCTCCAGGTTTGGCCAAAGCCTGACATGCGAAAGTCTGCGCGTTGAGCACCAGGCCATGTCCCAACCCCAAAATGATCAAGGTGACGAAACAGACTGCATCGGACACTTCAACATCCCATAGCAGCTCTAGTCCACTTGATAAAGTTGCCAGAAACCAACCTATCCATATCGTCCAGCGATAGTCGTTGAATCTACTAATGATGATCCCTGCCACTGCTCCACTTGGTATGAGGATTAGCATTACAGGTAGCAGTATCACGCCAGCCCTGATGGGAGACACCTGCTTGACCGATAATGCAAAGAATGGAACGTAATAGAGCTGACCATACATCTGGAGACCTCATAATTAACAATACTTTTGTGAAAGCGATGGAAGGAAACTTACAACCAGCCCTTGCACAAAGCCTCCGAAATACGTGATCAGGGAACTCCAACTGTGAAAAAGACTCCTTTTCAGGATGGGCTCCCTGGCACCAAACTCCTCCCAAAGTCCTGTAGCAACTAGCCCTACAGACCCAACCACGAGGGGTGCAACGATCCGCGCGCTACTCCAAGAATATTGGGTGCCACCAGCCGTCAAAGCGAACAAAAAGATCGTGAGCGATGCTGTGAAAAGTGCTCCACCAACCCAGTCAACACGGGCTAGCTTTTGGCGGGTTGACTCAACTCTTGGTCGGATGGTCAACAATACTGGGGTGACGATCAAGCCGAACGCGCAGAAAGGGAAGTTGAGGTAGAAGACCCAGCGCCACGTTGTATTCTGTCCGATCGCGCCGCCCTACTCGCGTCAGTGAGTACGCCCTAGCGAAGCCGAGTGAATGTCTCTTCTTGACGACTCACTATCAATGGTCCAATTACCAGGCCGACTGCCCACCCGAGAGATATGACGGACCACCACTTTGGGCGATGGCGAAGAGGAACTATATCTGTCAAAAGGAGGAGAGACACGACCCAGATGCCACCTCCTCCAATGCCTTGCACTGCTCTCCCTCCCAGCAGTGTAGCAACGTTATGTGCCGCACAGCACAGAATGCTGCCGATGGAGAAGAGCACCAACGACGCCATGAGACACACGGGTCGGCCAAATATCTCGCTCACACTGGCCATTGGAGGCATGACGACCGTCGACGCGAGCAAATACGCCGTGCCGATCCAGAACCCTTGGGTCGTGTCTCCTCCAACGTCGTAAATCATTGACTTCGCGTGTTCAGCTATGATTCGAGTCCAGATGTAAGTTCGAGGAAACCTACGCTCAGAGCCGTGACTATCACAGATGCATCCAGGGCGACAACCATGTTGATGATCATTAGTGAGAGTATGATGAAGAGCTCATGCTTCGGAATCTTCCACTCTTCGGCGCTCAGTCGTTGGGCCTCATCGGCCTCTGTCAGTGTCACTGGCACTCCATCTTCGACAGTGTCGCGCGGCTTCTCGACTGATCGACCGCTGGGTTCGTCTGTTTCGGTTGCACTGGGGCTTACATCCATATTCGAATTGCAGGATAAACTGTCGATAGGGAGAGAGCAAACAGGGAAAGCCTGGTTTGGTGCCATGGAGGACACTTTATTCTCTCTAGGCGCAACTGTGGAGCAAAGGGAGACCCGATCGGGTATACTCGGTGGCGTCAAGCCCCGGCCCCCATATACTCTCCCTGGCTTCGCGCAATCCAGGCGATCATTGGCTCATTTCGACAGCCCATAAGCGACTTTCCCCATTCGACCTTGCGCCTTGCGGACGGTGATATGTGCAATTGCGGCGCGGACCGATATCAGCAGATGAGCTCGCATCCCAGGCTCGTCGATGTCTACAGTCGGTGCTTAGCACAGACTTTCACCGCTACGGGACAATGGCTCGTAGGCGCCTTCTCCGAGACACCGCTTCGGAAGTTTTGGGGTATCACATGTAGTCAGACTCGATCGATGTGTGTGGCACAACAGCGTTCTCCGTTTCGGGCGCCTCTTACAGAATCTCGTGCGAGCATGCACATCTCAGGCCCAGAGCCACGTAGAAGGTCGGTGCCGGCCAATGGAACGTCAATAATGGCAGCTATCTTCCAATATGAGAAGCGTGCGTGATGCTGCATGGTGCTAAGCTAGGGTCAACATAGAGGAGACGCCTTTGAACAGGGCTTAGCTACACCCATGTCACGAGCTTTCCTCGGACCTTAAACCTTGGAACTACGTGGGACGAGGCCTTTTAGGAAACGGTCGTGGAACCTTCGTAATATGTGCCATGTGCCTCGATTGCAGGATATCTCGCTTCCTAACACAGGGGCTGGCACTTGCGTGGGAAAGGCGCCGTCTCATCTGCAATAAACACTTGAAATCATGCAGGCATGCCTAAGGAATATTTGCTGGGTGGTCATGGGAATAAGATAAATCCATACCAGTGGGACTTATCTCGTCCCGTTCCGTGTTGGGAGAGCTGAAGACCCCGGAAACCAAAGGGGTTCTGGCAGCCAATCAACGAGGCGCAATGATCCCGAGTCGTCGGAACCGAAGTCCAGCACCATTGACAGTGGGCCGCATCGGTACCCAATTCAACGGGTTTACCTCCCATTTGTTAAGTTACGAGGAAAGGCGTCAATTGTAAACTTTAGGAGCATGCAAATTCGGGTCACGTAGCCGAATAGATGCACATTCGTCGATGGTGTGACCCTACCGCAGGGTTATCTTTTCTCCTGGAGTTTCCCACAACACGGAGAACTGGAGTCATACGAAGTGTGGCTTAGAGCAACTTCGGGCAGATCAATCAATATCGATGACCCGTTTTACTCTAAAATTTTTTTTATTAAATTCTTTTTACACCTACACTCATAAAAATACCAGGCGTGCCACCGCTGTCGCCCAAATTAGACTGTAGACCAACTGGGCAGCTATAAAACTGAGGCCAACTGTTTGAGCATGCCACATTCACCGCGTAGCAATGGCCCGATATGCATGTGCGACAAAGTCAGGGAATGAATTTCGTGTTTCCAAGGAGGCTACCATGGTGGTATCATACAGTCAAGACGCCAGGTGGACGGCGTAGCCTCGCGACACCACTATACTCATCTTCCCATTTGCACCGAGACCCAGGATCTGCACCCCATTTCCGAGATGAGGTCCTACACAACTGCGAACAAGTAGAAGGTTGCGGGGCGGATGGAGTGTTTGAATGCTCCTGCATTAGAGAGATGGTTATGAGGGGCGGAGGGTTGTTGGGCTACGTTTGCAAGATGAATGACCTTGAAGCCATACGTCTGTGTTGCATCTGCCTCGGTCATAGTATATACTGTTAAGTCATGGGTTGGTTACTGGAGCTATCTCCTCTTGGCGTGGAATGACTCGAGAGGGTATGATTTGCCCGTTCAGCACTCTAATCTGATTGGCCAGCGCCACGCTAGCTGGATCTACAACCGTTGCACCGGCTCCCGTGCCGAACCCCGGACGGTTGACGATCAGCAATGGTATAGACCACGGCATCTGCGATTGAGCATACAGAGTATATGGTGCACCAGACCAGTCGGAAATGATCTTATGCCTATGAATTGGAAATTGCTGTTTCAGATCCTGTCGCCCTTTCTGGGGCACCTGCGGGATCGCGATTTGCCAGCCACCCCTGGAGGGTCATCCGAGTTAACTCAAGTGTGACGTCATGCTAGACGCATCCTTGTTTCCAACCATGTCGCCTACAAATACCTTGGTCGCGAACTCTCAGGGACACGAGCCATTGAAGAGCCACCTGAATTCTGTAGCACGGCTGTAACGGTTTCATTCTACGAAGATCTAGGTATACAATTCGACTCGGGTGGCAAAACAGAGCAAGATGAATATCGATGTCCCCGGCATCGTGGAGGCGGCCCTCCCCAAGGGCCAGAAGGGCAAGCGCAATGTCGCCGTCATCGCCGACAACATGAACGGGCCCAACCACAATGACCCGGGCTTCCTGTCGGACGACTTCCCCAAGAACCCGCCCAAGCTGTTCATCACGTCGGACGACGAGGAGTTTGACGTCGGCATCGTCAACGCCTGGCGCGAGGAGGGCTTCCAGGTCGAGTACCTCGCCATGGGCGCCGGAGGCAAGGAGTACCGGATGAAGCTGGACGGCCTGCGCCAGACCGGGTTCGGGCCCTGCGAGACCTACGGCATCGTGGCCTTTGGCGAGGCCGCTTCAATCTGCCTGGAGCACTTCCACATCCTGGACAACAACCCGGACTTCAAGCTCAGCTGCCTGATTGCGTACTATCCCACACGCATCCCGGAGCCGCGGGGGCGATTCCCCGGAGGAGTCCAGGTTCTGGTGCACTTGGCCGGCGACGAGGTCGGAGTCGTGAAGCGCAGCCAGATGGTTGGTATCCAGGGCAAGAAGCGAGTTACCCGCAAGGCGATCGACCGGGGCATGGGGACGGGTGGCCTCGTGAGAATGGCCTACACAGCTTTCAGCTATGACGCAGAGCCTGGTTTCGCCGAGGAGGACCTCGATGAATACGACAAGATCATGGCCGATCTCGCATGGGATCGCAGTCTCGCGACTGCGAGGCGCGCGTTCCGCTGGGACACGAACGTGATGGGAGTTGTGGAGGAGAACATGGAAAGTGAGTGTTGACCCCTTGACCACCCGTCATGTATTACCGCCGATACTAACGAGAACTCCAGGCAAGTTCTTCGCCCAGAGTGAGGGCAGGCTGATGAAGACCTACACTACCCAGCACACGCCTCATGTGTCGTTCATGTCGACACTGGTCGGTGGCATCGGGCACGCCGAGATCGCCAAGTTCTACGGCGACTTCTTCTTCGAGACCAACCCGCCGTCGCTGGAGGTGACGCTGATCTCGCGCACCAACAGCGCGGACCGCGTGGTCGACGAGCTCCACGTGACCTTTGACCACACGCAGGGCATGCCGTGGATCCTGCCGGGCGTGCCGCCCACGAACAAGACCGTCGAGATCATGATCATCAGCATCGTGACGCTGCGCGGCGGCAAGGTCTACCACGAGCGCATCTATTGGGACCAGGCCAGCGTGCTGACGCAGGTCGGCCTGCTGAACCCCAACCTCGTGCCCAAGAAGATGAAGGGCAAGGGCATGGAGCGCCTGCCCATCGTCGGGGGCCAGGCCGCCAGACGCGTCCTCGAGGGAGGCTACGGTGATGATGAGGGCGAGGCGGACAATGAGCTGCTGCCGGAGTTCTGGGACGAGGACGATGAGGACGACGAAGATGAAGATGAAGATGAGGAGGATGAAGGCAACGGTGATGAAGACGAGGGCACCGAAGGCGATGATGAGGCCGAGGACGAAGAACACGAGCAAGACAACAAAGTCAATGGGACTCAAGCTAAGAATGCTACTCCAGCGACCCACGAGAACATTCCCGAGCGGCCCAAGAAGTGGAAGTCGAGGAACAACACTCCCAATGGCCGAGGGAAGCCATCGAAGGCTGCGTCCGTCGAAGACGCGGAGGAGAAGGAGTAGTGGCCTTCCAGGGGCCAGAACAAGGTAGAGGAGGCCAGGACACCTGAAGGCCACCAAACCCTTCACCAGCTCTAGGCACCGCCCCCATTGCCGGGGCACAATCTCCAATACGCGACCGAGTTCCCAACCATTGAGGTGTACTCGATGACCTCCGGAACCCTGTTGCTGGCGATATGGTGCAGGGGAAAGGCCGCACCAATAGCGTTCGTGGCCAGACAGACACAAGTTTCTCGCACAGACCGGGTTGTTCAACCGTGGGACTTCGCTTTTTGGCGGCTTTCCACGCCTCTCTCTCCTCTGCTTCTTTGGAGTTGCTATTCATTTTCATTGGTAATTATCATGACTGGGCACCACTGTACCGGCGTTACTTGGACATAGGGAGGGGTTGGGCATGATTGTTGATGATATTGGACATCTCTTTGGAGTTTGAAATTATTATAGCTGATACTCAAGGAATTAGTCCATTCTCGCCTTGTGGTAATGGCATATATGTATTCGGGAAACAAAGTTCACTTTATAATCATTTCGATATATCCACACAACACCACCAGTGCAACACGAGAAACAGCAGCCATGTCCACATCTTGATCTTGGGACTAATGTGCCAAGAAATCATTGCCATTATGCGTATCGTAAAGTCTAGAGTCATGCTCTACCTGTGAAAACCAAGCCAATTCCGTAAAACGCCGCTATATGCCAAAGGGGGGTTCATTCATCATACTTTGCGTCCGTCCAACCGCCGGCCGGCGTCCGGTTTCTTTTCCACCGCCTTGGGCTTCTCCTCCTGGTCGCCCTTCCGCTTGACGGCGCCACCCCTCAGCGTCTGCCCCTGACCGGCGAAATGCGGCCGGTTGGCATTCTCTTTCTCGGCCTCCTTGTCGGCATCCGTCTTGACTGGCGTGATGTCGTACCCGAAGAACAGCTTGTTGGGCGGGAGACGCAGCGGCATGGGACCGTTCGTCCGCCGGAGGGGTTGGGGCGGCGCGTTGGTCGAGGTGCCGGCCACGGGGGTCGACGGCTTGGGCGTGGGCGCCTTTGCGCCCTTCTTGGCGTTCAGCTTGTGGCCCTCGCTGATGAAATGTGACGAGACGGCGCGGGCGCCCGCGGCAGCGGCGGTGGCGCTGGGCTTCATGGCATCGTAGTTAATATCCTGCGCCATAGTTCCCTGGCTATGGAGCAGTCCACCAGCCGGCAGTCCACCCTTTGTGCTCCGCGGCGTGCTGGTGCCGCTCCCCGTGCGCCGCTCCGGCTCGACGTAGCCGACGGGCGGGGCGAAGTCGACGGAGACATCGGTCTCGATCATACTGACGCCCATCTTCTCGGTCTCGGGTTTCACCTCGAGCACGGCGATGTCGTAGACCTCGTCGTTGTACTTGAAGTTGAAGACGTCGCCGCGGGTGAGGGTGGCAAAGTTGCGGAAGGCGCGCTCGAGCACGGCCTTGGGGTCGCTGATCTCGAGGAAGTTGACGGACTGGGGCTGCAGCTTGACCAGCTTGGCGGGGGACAGCGAGGTGGACTTGATCTGGACCATGTCGCCGACGTCGAGCTGCAGGGTCTGCATCATCCACTGGGGCAGGTAGGCGCGGCCCTCCTCGGCGGTGAACTCGAGCACGCCGGCGTGGGAGTGGCGCTCCTTCTCGCCGTTGACCAGCTCGAGGGTCAGGGGCCACTGGACGTGCAGCTTGGAGATCTTGTTGAGGGCCGAGACGGGCAGCAGGATCTTGGAGCCGTAGTTGAGGTCGGGGCGCTCGGCGCCGGGGGCCATGACGACCGGGTAGCAGCGGAAGTACTCGTCGAAGCGCATCATCCTGCTGGACATGCCGGACCGCGCCATGTTGAACATCTGCTGCGGGTCGTCGGGGTCGTAGGCGCCAAACCCTGGGTTGAACTTTGGGGGGAGGTCAGTGAAGAAGGCGGACGGCGGAGAGACTGTGCGCCTGTGCTTACCATTTTGGATTCTCTTGAGGTCTTGAGGGGCTTGGGGGGTTCGGGAATGGGACAAGAGAGGCAGGTAAGGGCGTCCAAGATGTGTGTCTGTCACGTTGGTATGTGTTACCGTCGGTTGATTTACATACAGCGATAAGTCCAAGTGGGATGCAGCTCCCAGCTTCCAGAGCTGCCCACTAAGCCGCCCCAGACCCAAGGCACCAGCTGCGCGTCGCTGATGACGAAAGACCCCCCCAGGGGCCCAAAGTCTCCCGCAACGCCATGCCGAGGATAAGCCGGCCTGACAACGACATTCCCAACTTACACCAGAGCATATGCGCACTGGAATGACTCTCAAGCAGTATGATGCTTGGATTCAATACATCTAGAATTTATTTCATGTGACCTATGGCCTTATCGGCGAAGTAGCCAAGTGTGTTGTGTGAACTGCCACGATTTCAGTAACTATAGATCACCAAGCCAGCTCGCTGCAACCTTCACACCACCCTCTAGCGCTGTACGACCCTCAAGCTCTAACTGGAGGCCGGGGAGCTAACTCCAAACCCCACTGAAGCTTTCGTAGGATAGCAGCTGGGTAGCTTCTGAAGTGCTTCCAACCGCCAACACCGTCACTCCTTGGCCCTGACCTGCATCCATAACACTCGATTCACCACCATGTCTTCCAGGTTCGGCGCCGCGCGCCCGAAGCGTGCCGGCGAGAGCTATGCGCGCGCACACCATGCTGAGACCGGGCCCGACGCCAAGAAGGTCAAGTTCGACATGCGCAATCCCTCTGCGCTCGCCACAAATGAAGAGGACGAAGCCCCGGACGCCTTCCTGGAAGCAGACGCAGAGGTCATTCGCGGGAGCGCCGCCACCAAGCGAGGTGCGGTCAACATTGACGGCTACGACTCCGACTCGGACCGCGAGGAGCTCGGCAGCAACAGGGTCAAGAACAAGCCCGAGAAGAACGTCGACGATGTGGACGACATGTTTGCCGACGAAGACGGCGACGAGAAGGACGACGAGGTCGACTACAGTACCGGCAAGAAGAGCAAGGAGGTCAGATTCCTCGACAACCGCGAGATCGAGGGCCAAGACCTGAGATCCCAGGGTGGTGGCCGGGTTCGGTTGGACGATGAGGAGTCGTCCGACGACGACGAAGAGGCTGTCCAACTCGCCATTCAGGAGGAGGACGTCGATGAGGAGGTCGGCGCTGGCGGTCTCAAGAAACATGCCCCCAAGGTCGAGGCCTTCAATCTCAAGGCGGAGGCGGAGGAGGGCCGATTCGACGAGGCCGGTAACTTTGTGCGCAATGCCGCCGACCGAGATGCCCAGCATGATCGCTGGCTGGAGGGTGTCAGCAAGAAGGAGATGAAGAAGGCCGCAGAGGCTCACGAGAAGCGCGAGGCCGAGCTGCGCCAGAAGAGGCGGGAAGATGACGACATTCTGACTTCAGATCTATTACACGCCCTCATCCTCCGGCTGGAACCTAGTGAAACTGCGCTGGAGGCTCTGGCAAGACTCGGCAAGGGCCAGACAAAACCCAAGAAACTCCCCAAATGGAAGCAGAAGAAACAGAAACAGAAGGATGATACCATGGATGTCGATGGGGAGAAGGAAAAGGAGGACCCCGAGCAGACTCGCATCAAGGAGGCCATCAACGCCATCACTGATGCGGCAGACAAGCTGCTGGGCAGAGACCGGCCAGATATCTACGACCGCGAACGTGAGCTGCTGATTCGGGAGTGGAGCAAGGAGACGCAAGAACGTTGGGTCGAACCGGAACCAAAAGCAGACGAGGAGAACACGAGTCAGATGTGGGAGTTCCGCTGGATAGACGGCAGGGACGATGCCGCCAAGCAGGGACCGTACGACAGTCCAACCATGAAAGCGTGGCAAGACGCAGGATACTTCGGGGAGGGGGTGGAATTCCGAGCAGTAGGAGACGAGTCTTGGTCGCGCGTTGTCAACTTCGTATGACAGTTTTGAGGGGACAAATCGTATGTGCAGATTACTCGCCAGCTTGCTCCAAGTAAGAGTAGTGGCGAGGACCGGTCGAGGTGATTCCATCTTCTGGGCTTTCTAGCCGAGACGAACTCATGAATCGACTCCATCCCGTGTTGAGGGGCCAGGTACTACATGCCGAATGCTACGGAACCAACGCGAACGAGCGCTGCCTTGTCAACGGGACTGAGGGAGTGAGGGCACAGGTTGCGTTACCCCATGCCCCTCGATAGCAACGAGATAGACGCGATCGCGTATAACTATACCGTGCCAACCAGCCCGTTGCCATGATTTCGCGTCGTAATGGACACCAGACCCCTCAAAAGTCCTGATCACATACTTCTTCTCATGCTACATGTGCTACACCTCTACTGTCACCGCTCCCAGCCTACTTGGCATTCCGTGTTGTTCCCTAGGCTTTCTTGTCAGCATCTGTCGGCCCTTCCGGTGTCATCGCTCCATAGCCCTACCAGTAGTCATCACCATGCCGAGAAAGACGAAGCGTCAGTCCAATGAGACTCCGGCTCGTTGGTCCGCTGAAGAAGAACGCGACCTCCTCTTACTGCTCATAGCCGTTGGCAGAGTCGACAAGTCTGCCAAAGCCTCGGCATGGGACACTGTCCACGCTTTGTTCCTGGCGAAGGGACACAACAAGGCTCGCAACGCTCTGCAGTAAGTCAAACCGAGGGATGTTAGAGGTGCACCTGCTGTCGTACAGAAACTGAATCCTCTTTTCAGAACCCGCTGGAGCCGTGAACTGAAACAGCACTCGGACGCCATCACTGGCCTCATCGATGGCCTCGAAGAGGAGGTCAAGGCCGTTCGCAAGGACGCCGGAAGCATCGCCGTTCAGAGGAAGAAGGGACGCGGCAACCAGACCGCTGCGTTAGATCCCATTGTGGAGGAAGCTGAATATGAACATTACAAGGAGGAGAACCATCCCCATGACGCCCTCTCCGATCGCAGAGCTACACCGGGGCCTTCCCAGCCCCGGAAAGGGAGTCAATCCAGCCGGTCAAGCCATTCGTCCAGACAGACCACGCCCACACCCGATACATCTGTGGCTGAAGATTGCCGTACGAATCTCCATGGCAAAGGAAAGGGCAAGAGCTCGGACATCAGCGCTGTCAAGCTGCTCGACATCCCCTACCGAGCGGACCTCAAGGGTCTGTTGCCGATCATTGATACAACTGGTAAAGTTCGAGGCTTCATGGCCCTAGATAATGAGACTGCCGGACCTGACATTCACGCCTTTCATGAGACAACTCTGTCGAACACTCTCGCCGAACGTGGATATGAGAGTGCCGACGTGCCCGGCCTCTTGTGGGCTGGTGATGGCAATCTTCTCTCCACCAACCCCGAGCGCTCCACGTCAGGTCAGACCACGACCAGTACCCGCAACGGTGGGAATGTAGCCCGTGCCGCACATACCGGCGCCCAAGACTCGCATGTCCCTCATGGCACTTCCCGTTGTGGATTTCGAATGGATCGCTACAGGTTCCCATCGCCGCCAATCAACCGCGGTAGAGGCTCCGCCAACCACACAGAAGACCAGACCTGCCTGCCGACGGCCGGCGGCGGCGGCGGCGGTGATGCAGACCCGTTCAAGATCGACATCTCGGAGAACATCGATCCGGCTTTGCTCGTGTGGAATGAAGACCCGTGGGCTGACCTGCGCGGTCGTAGTCCGGCGGCATTTGGTGACGACCCCTTTGCGGATCTCATGGGCCCGAACGACCCGACGCGGGACTTTGCGTGTGGGAATGACTTGATATTCCCGCTTGAGCTAGAGCAGAACGTCCTGGATGAGGCATACCCGGTTATCGGCTTGGACGGTGGCTCTGGGGAAGATAACGGAGCGGGTGAGAGAGCCACGGGTTCGTCCTCGAGGTCGGGATAAGTGCGAGAGTCAGCGAGGTGCCTGTAAGGCTTGATTTGGTTTTATTCACGAGTACGATGAAGAGAATGGCCGGGATATTGATTGATTTCTCGTACGGGTGATGGGAGGGAGTTGTTGGATGAGATCCCTTGGGGTACGGACTGGAGAGTGGTCAGTCTTGATCTGTCTCGATCTACCCGCTTGGCTCTGGCTTTCCGGCGTAACATATGATCTGGGGGTAATTTTGTTGTAACTTGCCACGATACCTACAGACTGATCTAGATAGTTGTTGATCTTGACCCCACCAAAACGATTTCTGTGTGCCACCGCATGCCTCAACGATGGTAGGACCATGTGCCTTCTAGGAGGGGCTCTTCTTCAACATTTGACACGACTTGAACGGGCCTTTCTTCTGATATCTGGGTTGCGGAACAGCAGTCTTCACGTCTACAAAAACCCATAATGAAAGATGGACAGATCCTGTCAGTTGAGCAGTTACTACGCGACTCCATCATTACTTCACAATCAACACAAGTCACGATCACATTCACCATCAAGACAAGTTGTATCATGTACCAGAGTTCGCATTCATGCTAACTGCATGTCAGGGTGGGAGAGAAGGTCTGCTAGCCAGGCCGAAGTAGAAGGTGCCTGGTCTAGGTGTCTACCAGACCGAAAATGCCGTGAAACCTCAAAGTACAATCCAGTGAGAAATGGGACCTGCAATCCAGTGACCCGGCCCTAGCCAACGCCTATAAGGTCGCCGAATGATTATTTCGCCGAAGAAATAGGTCGCCGAAGGACTAGGTCGCCGAAGAAATAGACCGCCGAGAAAAAGGTCGCCGAGGGCGTTGGTCGCTCGGTCATCAAGAAGTGAATTTTTTTGCGTCGTTTTTGTGGGGGGGGGGGGGGGGGGGTGGTTTCGTCATGTGTAGTGAAATCGGGGCAGTGTAGTGTAGTGTAGTGTAGTGTAGTGTAGTGTAGTGTAGAAGAAGCAAAGTCAGAGACCGAGATCAGTGAGGAAGGAAGTTCGCCGATGTCCGTCCACGTAACCGTGAGACCTGCTCCCAGGTGCCAGAATGGAACTCCCAGAAGCATCTACTGTTTTTCGTTTTCTTCGAACCTGCCGCCGAGAAGTCCATGCAAGCAGTACGAGCCAACCCATGAGAACATCGCGAGAGGATCCCATGTCATGCCGAAAAATGGTGAAGTGACATAACGCAGGTTGGCGCCGCCGATGGAAATCGGGAGGAAGAAAAGAGAGAAATCAGTCCAAGGTGGTCCACGGCGCCGATGGAGGGATCAGAAAAAGCCGTAGTTCTTATCGTCCTCATGCTTCTCATCCTCGAAGGGGTTGCGGCGACGAGTGAAAGTGTAGAAGTCCTTGCTGTCCTCGGTGGCGTCGCCAACGTTCTTGTTGTCGTTGGCCTGGTTTAAGCCGCCCGGGTGGTAGGCAGGGCCTTGGGTGGTCAGGGCAATCCACTCGCTGGGCGTCATGTTGGGGAAGGGCCAGTCGTCCTTCGTGTTCTCCTCATTGTCGAGGCGATCCCAGTCATCAATCTCAACCTGCTGCTCGTCGGCGTCCTGCTCAAGGGGCTCCTTCTTGATCTTCTTCTGCTGCGGGGCATGCTGATTCTGGACACTGTTCTGCTGGACGCCCTTCTTGTAAGCGGCGTGGCCCTGGGGCGGCTTGTAGTCGGGAAGCAGAGCAAGCAGCCCGTCGTAGAAATGTCCGACACGCTCCTCCTTGGTCGGGTTGTGGCCGAGACTGGGGAAGAATGAGCGTTAGTTATTGGGCCTTTCACTCAAAAGTTACGTTATCGTGACGAGGGACTTACACCTCAAAGTCGTCAGGGTTCTGGGCCTCGAGCGGAACTCGATCCCAGAGGACCTCTCCGGGCTTGAGAGGCACATCGAGAAGGCCAGAAGCGATGTAGGGATTGATGCCCTCAACCTTGCTCAGACGCGCAGTCAGAGTGCGGTCGTTAGTGGTGGGACTAAATTGGCAAGTAAAGGCCTGGTTAGTACTAGCTCATAATGGATAAGTATATGATGTGAACATACCGGTAGCCCTTCTTGAGCTCATCAGCGTACTTGGCCTCCCACTCTCGGGTGTTGCCCGCGACATCATACTCCGCCATGGTCTCAGAGCGCTTGGCCCGCGGTTTGGGGGTCTGGAAGCCGACACCGACATCGGCGTCGGCCTCGAACATGGTCTGAGAACGCTTGATTCGCTTGGAGGGCGTCTCGATGTCACCGTCGACATCGGGGCCGGGGCCATAGTCGTCGATCTCCTCCTCGGGGTCGTAATCCTGGTTGTAGCGAGTGCCGGCAAAAGCAGCAGCGGCACTGCGCTTGCCACGGCCGCCTCGGCCGCCACCAGACGCGCGACCGGAAGAGCCACGGCCACGGCGAGCAGCGCCGCCTCGGGGGGCGCGGACAGGAGTGCTGCCAGCGCTGCCAGCCGAAGCAGCAGGGGAATAGAGGTTGCCGTCCCTCTTGCGAAGCTTGATGAGATGCTGCCTGTACCAGGAATATAATCAGCATTTTTTGTCTGAACATGCGGTGAAACAGTCAAGGAATGAGACGAAATGGCAAGTGCATGTTGGGATCAGTTCATTCCCTCCAACGGCAGGTACGATCAGGGGAAAAGTTAGAACGGAGGTTAGTTTTACTTCAAGGCAACAACGGTGCAGTGGAAATCCTTGGTTGCGAGGTCTTGACGAATTGCCTCCCACTCGACGTCGGAGGGAGGCGCATGCTTGAAGATGGCCGTGAGCAGCTGGACGTGAGCCTCTTCGTCCCAGATGAGGCGGCCCGAGGGCGTGGTGTGAACCATTTTCCTCCGGATGGTGATCAAGCTTATGGGTGAAGAAGGTAGCTGATGGCAGTACAGACGAAAATTGTGCTTGGACAATGACGTGACCAAGCAGATGGGATGGTGGTGGTGAAGGAAAGGAAGAAGGAGGAGTGGCTGACTGAAGGCGAACAGCGGGTTTTGTAGAGAACCAGGAGGATTCAAAAGTTCACAGCTGGAGAACAATGAATTCACCATGGGAAGTGAAAATATCGGTCGGCGATGGGGTGGCTCCAACTGTCGAGGAGTCAAGGAGGACGTCGAGGCACAAGCCGTAGGATGTGAGGTGCCTGCCATGCCGTCTCAGTGAAGGTGTAGCTTTGGAGCACAGACACGGCATGGCAATGCCCACCACAGGCCTGCTGCCGAATCTCGTCACCGAGATGGTAATGTTGATGTTGTAGGACTTCTCCAGAGCTCGAGTGAGTGTAATGGCTTCAGCCAACTGTTGGCTTTTGGGCCTGTTGCACTGGATTCCACAGCCGGTTCTTATCCGAGAGCCAGATTGCCAAGAGTCGGTTCTCTGGTTACAGCTATCCTCCAACATTGCTAGATCGCAATGCAGATCGAAAGTGGAAAACAATTCAGCGAAGTGGCTCACTTCGATACTAGTATCCATGAGCTAACGGTGGACGTGATGAAGTATATGTTGCTGGTGGTCCGAATTCCCTGGGGGTGGCCCGAGTTTCACGGAGTGGATCCGAATTCTCCTTAGCGTGGTTGATAGTTATAATTGAGCAATATAAACTGTCAAACAGCTGCGAGCCTGTTGTTCATCTTGAAGTTCTGCATGTTGTGGCTCCCAACGAAGATGGTGTTGTGCAGAAGGAAATTGCAGTAAAAGAACGGGGTCGTGGAGGTTTACCTGAGAGCAGACACCGAGAGCTTGATGCCTTTTCGACTTAGGTCCGCAACGACTTGACTCAAGTCCTCGTCCGTGAGGTCGAGACCTGCCAAGGCAATGAGAACGGCCGCAGAGACGTCCACAATCCACTTCATCTTGGCTGATGGTGCAAACGATGAAGTGTTGTTTGTTGTGAGCTGTGCTGATGGATCAAAGATGGTGCAAGGGGAAAGTTCTGGTGAAGGATGGGTATTGTGTTGGCCCAAGCAGAACTGCGGGTTGTAGCGTGAACTTTTGTTTTGGGGTTGTGGTAGATAGAGTTCGTGGTTTTGATCTCCAGTGAACTAGATGTGTTTATCTCGACCAAGATTGGCGTGATCACCTTGAGTGTGCGTGTTGCGTTCGCCTTGAAAGAAATCGCTGACTTGAAGGCTCGGCACATTCGTGGGGCCTATCGTGATGGTCCACAGAGGGCTGAGACCCAGAATATGGCCCTCGCTCATTTGGAAGAACATAAGCACCTCCTCTTGTCCTTGGATTTTGTCAAAAGGAAAAGTCCTCTTGGGAACGCTCCAGATTGTATCTTCGATGCTTGTTCGATACTTGCTCCCTCGGTCCTTGTTCCGTACATCTCTCCTTTCTCCACGGGTCCAAGAAGTATATAAAGACACACCTTCGTCAGACCTTGGATTGCTTCTCCTATCGAACCTTGTGATAACCTCTGCATGCCGTTTTGGAAGGCGACCCTAGGGATAGCTGTATGTATTCATGTATGGTTTCAGAGCCGAATCTTGCCGTCGATGAGAAGAATAATTTGCGCGCCCGTTGGCGAAGAAAAAACTACCCGCTGGCTGTCGTTTTGCCGAACCTGAGTGGCTCGTTGCGCCTTCCCAATTTCGCCAAGATGCCAAGTTGCCACATCGTCCTTGATCCATCTCCCTCGCGAGCGAGGCAAAGGCCTGGTTTCAGGAGGATGTGCGCCTTTCCTGTATTGAAACTCCATGCTTGCACTCAATAAAGGGAGGCGCTCTGAAGTGGGTTGGTCTTCTCACGTAGATCGCAACTGATGAAGCTATCCTGCCTGACCGTATCCTGCCACAGATTCACGAGATCTTACATCGGACTAGAAATTCATGGACTTACCGCAACGCCTCGTAAGAGATGGTATGACCTTTGGCTGCCATACCCTGGACGATTTCCTGCTTCTGAAGAGCGCTAGGCTGGCCGATCACGTCCATCAGAACCACAACGAGGTCCCTGTGGACGTACGGGCCACTCCAAGTTGCGCCGTATTTCATCTTGGCGTCGTTTTCGAGGAATAGAGGCTAGGATGATGTTTGACGGGTTCGGTGACGCTGTGATCGACTGGGATAGTTGAGTGGAGAGAAGAAACCTCTTACGTGGTTAGACGGAAACTTTGTCTGGGGGTGAAAGAGGGTCCGTCGAGGGCTGTCTGTCGAGGAGAGTCGTTGAACTCGACAAATGAGATGTGGGTAGGTCATCGACGGAAGCTTCGCACTTGCGCGTCGTTCAAGTAGTGAATGTTACCTAGGTGAATGACCCGGATGAATCAAGGGATTGTTACGAGCAAGACCACATCATCGCCACGAAGTCTATCGATTCACCGATGCTTAAAGTCTGGACTCTCTTGCTTATATGGTTTCACTAGCACAATCCTCTCAAGCTGAACCCGGATCTAGAATACTTGTAATAGCATCGGCAACGCGAATCCGAAGTAGGATGCCGTAAGAGAGGAGGTACTAGGCAACTCCAAGTCCAAATCCTAGATCCTATCTTCCGCAAAGACGGCAAGTACAATTTCCTTCTTTAATACCAACTCATAGACTGTCTAAAACAAATTAATTCAATCTGATACAATTCAGCATCGTCTGTCTCGTGCGCGGTGATATGTCAAGTCTTGCCGCCCTCGCCAACGTATCGTCATCTGACTAATGTAGTGCGTAGAGCTACCGGATTACGACCTCCGCCATTGAGCAATCGTTGATTTGGGTGGATTCATAGCTACTGAGCTGACTATCGCACATGTACTCTGGCGCTGTCTGGCTCTATGCTCGTGCTACCTCGGAATGAAGACTTCTAGCAGTGCGACTTCAAATGTACTCTCACCACACTCGCATGGATGAGTCTTGCATCTCATCATTCTAGAGTGAGAAGCATCGTACTGAAAATATGCCAGTCCTGGTGTATGATTGAGGGTCGCTTGCTGACTGGCTTGTGGCGCTCTATTCTTTACGACGTGGTTCGTCACCAGTGGACCAGTACTGATTTCTTACTTTGAGTGGAAGTCATGTTATTTTCTAGTTTGGAACTCTATCGCTTTGAATATTCAACCGCATGGTGCAGAGCCTGGCGTGAGAGATGAGGAATACCAAGCAAACAATGAAAGGGAGATATAAGCACGAATTCATGACGATGGCCCCGATTCTAATACGGTAACGTTACCTCGATCAAATCTTTTGCTCCTGCCAATAACCCCTAAACTCCACGCACGGAAAACGCTCCTTCAGTTATATACATGCATTGTCATACGCCGCCGAAACAGGGATATCATCTGCGAGTCCTGATGGGGGTTACACTGAATCATGTAGACCAAGATTTTTGAACACCGCTTTTCGCTGTTCTCTTTACAGGTTTGGCATAGGGACAATGATACCCCGCCCTTGGACCTATGCTTCGCCAAAGTACCTGTGTATAGATTAGCCTTGAGATGAGTGAAAAGGCAGGGAGTAATCCTTACTCGGGCAAGTCAGGATGCACCATAGCATCTACGTGCCCATCGGCGTCGAGACTAAGCTCTGCATCATCGACGAGAGCATCCGAAGGATCGTCCAGCCTCTGATGCTCATCGAGCCTCTGACGCTTCGCAGGCTGTTCCTCAAGATCTGTCTCGGCATGCATCAAGCCCAACGTGGACGGGTCCTGGGATGGGATGGTCAAAGGGACCGGCGCACCAGCGGAGACCAAATCATCATGACTTGGCGCAGGAGGTAGCTGCTGCTGATCCTGCAAGGGGAAAGAGGCATTTAAGGAGGGGTCTTGGCCAGGCTGAGCAACGGGCGCGGGTGGCTGCTTCCTAGGTCTGCCACGCCCTGGGCCTGGGCGTCGAGTGATAGGATTCATACTCGGATCTGCCTTTCGGGGGTTGTCTGATGATGATGTTGTTGTTGAGCCGTTGGGGATTTCGCCCTTGTTTTGGGCCCGGCGAAGCCCCTGAAAATGTTGTCTAGGGGGCCTGTCAGCTTACTACCTTCAATCGGGTGGAAGAAAAGCGTCGCTCAAGGGAAAAAGACATGAGACAACCGGGCGTGATGGACGGCTCGAGGAGTCATGCTGGTCTGGCCCCTGTTGCTCAATGGAGGTGGTCTTCGTAAACAGCAATGATACCTTCATGAGAGCGGCCTCACGTGACCCTCACTTGAGTGCATACCGAGTGCGCCTGGTGGACGTGAAGGCCGACTTGGGACTGAAACATACAGAGACAGAATGTGCTCATCAGGCCGCTATGAGCAGAGGAAACGGGGGTCGGATGTAAGAGTGACAGGCAGAGACAGAGAGCATCAGTACGTACCGGCAGCCCTCATTGGTAAAGCCATATCCAAGACCTCGCATGTGGTTGCCGATGGTGGCCCATTCTGAGCCGCTGATGACGCCGACGTTCTTGATGGACAGAATGGTAAAGAACAGATCTTTGTCTGCCCTGTCGTTCCAGTTCTTGTTCATCTTGAGATGATGGACCGCGGCCGGACTGGGCTTGACTTGGATTCGGACTAACAGCAGAAGTGGAACTGCGGATTGAGAAAATTGCTAAGGGATGGCGTCTCTGAGTGGACTGAGGACGTTGGCCAGCCCCGAAGGTAGAAATGGGAAAGTCGGGTACCGCCTGTCTGCCCGCTGGCCTGGCAGCCCTGGCTGGCTCGAGTCCGAGCACTGGCCCGTGCACTGAGACCGCAGAAACTGCCCAGGGCAGAGGGCGGGGGGGCTTGGAACTCGTCTGGATGCAAAACCAGCGGCATCGAGATGCACTTTGGGTCACAACGGGCGGCCGTACTACGGTGGAGATCCTTGCCCCCATCCTGACGAATGAGCACATCTGTGAGGCACCCTGTACTGACGCCAGCCCCAGACAGGCCGTAGCCCCCATACCAGACTCTGGTCTCACGTGAACAGGCGGCCAAAACGCGTAATGCTTGCTGGATCAGCCAGCGACCCACGTCGAGATGCGACGCGACTCCCCCCAACCACTTTCATTTCGGCTTGATCATCACGACGCGCCCCCGCCATCCCTCAACACGAGGTGCCAACTTAACATGCTTGCCACAACTTCGATGAGTACGTCCTATTTACACCGTAATGACCAAACTCTTCCGTGCTCTTCTCGCTGCTACGACGTTGGGCCTCGACCGAGGCTATTTTTACCGCGTGCTGCAGAAATCCGCACGGAACGGCTACGGTGCAAATGGCCACTCGCAGTTCGGTATTCCTCGGCCACAAGATGTGCTGTATGTAGCAGACGCAGCCCACCGGGACTCTAGTCGAAACCTGGACCTGGCTCTAGCGACTCATCTCCTGATAACCACATGCAGGCTTGCGCAAGTGCTGTGCCTAGGTCGCCTTGACCCAATCCGCCATTGTCCAATTGTCTCTTCCAATTCCATTTTTTCCTCTCATGAGATACCACTGCAAGGCAAACTAAGGCTCAGCGAGACCCCAGCCTCCTGAATTACCGATGACTCGAATGAGTCACACGTTTCACAGTGGCCATCCCCCACTATGGAGTACAATACATCTGCATCAGGCTTTTGCATGTCCCGGAGGATATGGCTCGCGCCCGGCGTAATTGCTTTTTCGTGACGATCCCTCCCCGGCAGCGATTCCGTCGTCCACTGCCGTTTGCTGCACCATACCCCATATCGATCAGCAATCACTCCTCTTAAGCCAAGTGAATATACATTTGGCCTGGATTCTCCTATCGAGCTGTGGAAAGAGAGGGCAACCGATGCATTACAAGCCCTTTCTCAGCACCGAGCGAGTGCCCTTCGTTGCCCGGAGTCTGATTGACCTCGCAAGGTGGGTGGTGTCGTCTGAACTGTTGGCCGAGGGTGTCAGGGATCAGACCTTCGCTTGACAAGGGTCAAGAAACCACTTTACGCGGTTGAGTGTGGTACACCGCGCTTCCATCCCACCAAATCGCGTCTCCCCACCCGCCACCGTCAGCCAAGAACAGCAATCATTGATTACTTTCCTCTGACACACAAGTTGCTAGGCAACCTAGGCAGCCATGTCTTTGAACCGGGTCCTGAGAACCCTTGCCATGGCCGTGACTGGTCAGAGATGCGTAGCTCGTGCCAAGGCGGGTCTGCATGCAAGCACTTAAAAGGCCCCTTATCACTGTGACCTATCCTTGTCCTCCCCAGCACGACCATGAGAAGCAAACAGCATCTCATGCAAGTCGCTCTCTTTCGGTCGTCAGCTTGCGCTTTTCTTAGATGTGCTGCTATTGCAACCTTCCCTTGTCCCAGCGTTGGACGGTTTGGCCTTCTTCGTGCCGCTTGAAGAAGCCTTTCTGCCGTTCATCAGCAACCCCGCCTGAATATAGTCCGCTGCGCAGCTTTGATGTGATCCGTTGATTCAAAATCCGGTCTCTTCAGGCGCCTCGTCCAAGAATATAACATATATCCCGCTTGCAACATCTCACCAACTTTCACAGTTACCCCTTCATGAGTCACTGCACCTTTCAGAGCCTCCACGTTCTGTCTGATCTTGATCTGATCGAAACCCTCAACTTCTCCCAGTATTGAGTGTGCACTTCTTCTTGAAGCAGCTGAAAAGCATCAAGCCTCGAGGCCTGGCCGAACCTCAAACTTCCTGAGTTGTCAACTGCCTGAAACGAAGCAACATGTCGAACAACGATAATGCAATGGCCAGGTTCCTGTTCGCTATCTTGCAGCAGAAGAACTTGAAAGACGTAAGTCAGACTGATGTGTTCGCTTACGAAGACCGGAAGCCGGAGGACTAATTCGACATCAGATCGACTGGAACCAAGTTGCCCGAAATCCAATACTTGCCCAAGAGATCACGAATGGCCACGCCGCACGAATGAGATACTCCAGGTTTCGCTCAGCAATGTTAGGACTTGAGCCTCAGCGACGCAACAAAACCTCGAAAGAAAAGTCTAACCGAGTCACCAAGTCGAAGAAGGAGTCCAAAGACACGAAGTCGAAGAAGGACGACCAGGTCAAAGCCGAATCAGCCACTTCTCCCGCGGCAGGTACAGACAGAACCTCTCCCGCGCCTCGGATCAAGCAAGAAACTATTCCGTCTGCCTACGACAACCGCCTTACACCCGCAACGATGTCTGCAACCCCAACTCCGACCACCCAGCATGTCATTCAGCCTCGGCTCCTCACCCCATGCAGCGACACTGATATGTATCCGACTGCCCAAGCGCTGACATCCAGCCCAGCGAGCGAGATGATCAATTCTCAGTCTGCATTTGACTTCAGCAATCCTCACTGTAGTCACGACCCCACCCAGTGGCAGCAAAGCCCGATGTTCTCAGCTTTCGATCCCAATTATGCATTTGACGGTCTAGGCATGGGCTATGACCATCAGAGTCTTCACCATCACGGAGACTACTCAGCTATCCCACACCCTATGGCAGACGTCGAAGGCGAAGGCATCAATGTCAAACATGAGCATTGGGACAATCACTGTGTCTGATTGGGACTAGACTATGTCAGTCTGTTGAACTGAGGGAGCCGAGTCTTTGGTGGATCATAGAGTTGCTGCTGTATGCTGAGAGGGTTAAAATGACCACATTTCTTGGGTTTTATTGGGGTTATTCTGGATACGGGCCGGTCGTTAGGTGTCTAAGGCGTTCAATGAAGATGTATTGGCCTTCACTTACTACCTCATAATGCTGGATGAATACATGTATCCCTGCTCTCTACCAAGTGCCCACAGCCTCGATGTAGCCAACTAGCGTGTCTTGATTTTAGGTCTGGTGTCTTTCAATAGGACGATGTACACCTACCAAGCACAATGATCAAACATTTCGGGAAATCTACTTTCTATGTTCGGTTGCCTTTAAGCAATAGAGTCTTCATTTTGACGCTTTTTCGATATGCAAGCACGGTATTTGGGATACCTTCCCCAAAGGCTGGGATGATACGATCGCGGTTACTTGAATTTCAGGTTTGGTGTACACGCAGATGATTTCTTTTTCCCATGAGCATTTCACGTTAGGCCACATTCGTCACCCGGTGTACCTATTAACCTTTCTGCCCCCATACTGTCACGCGCAGTCCTTCCAAAAGCAGTCTTGCTGCAACTGACTTGAGGTAAGAAAATATTCCCCGCTGCTCTCAAACTGTGTCCGTCTTTATCGGCGGTCTGAACGTACAATATTGTTTCAAGCTCCGTCAAGGATATCTCAGGCCTCTGAAGTTCATACGGCAACTCCCATCCCAGTCATATTGTAAGGCACGCATCACGTCCTGTTCGTTCACCAGATGCCAGAGCTACTTTTTTACCGACTCTTGAAATGTTTCCTCATTTGACTCTCCATTTCTCAGTACCCTTCCATATGTTGATTCATGACTAAACGTATGGTCGCAGGAACGCCACATCTTCAGTCGTCGCCCCACCTACACGACCACCATCCTTCGACACCGAGTACAACACACATCAAGAGTAGGTACATTGTTCATTCATCTTCATATTTGGTCAGCACAGCGTCTTCGGACAACCCAAAAAAGACAACATCACCATCTCCCCTACATCTGCGTCACACAGCTTCAACCCATAAATTCTTCCCGTATCACCTTTGACAATCTACTAGATCACTCAACATGCCTCGAAAGGCCACCGCCAACTCAGCTGCTCCCAGCGAGCTCCAAGGCCGCCTTTCCCTTTCCATCATCAAGCATCTCAAGGCCAAGCCGGACAGCGACTGGGAAGCCGTAGCCCAGGATATGGGACTCAAGGATGGCGGCATTGCCAAGGTTTGTATTGTCTCTTGCTTTCATCCCATGCAAACACGCCGACACTGTTACAGCAACGATTTAGCCAGGAGATGAGGAAGCTCGGCGCAGCTCCCAAGGCCCAGGCAAGCAAGGCCGTCAAGTCTGGAGGTGTGCGCAAGCCGGCCAACCGTCGCCCGAAGGTATCGACCCAGTCATCCGTCGATGATGCCGATGATGCCGATGAGGACTTCGTCGACATCAAGGATTTGGTCGAGATCAAGGAGGAGAAGTCTGACTTTGACACTAAGCCTTATTCCTTTGAACGAGACATCGAGAAAAACCCCGCAGCTATGGAGGACTCTGAGGAGATCTAATCACAAGGCCAGCCAGCCAACCAAGGAGGCATTATGGAATATGGATGCCCACGGGCGATAAACATGGATTGAGGCCACCCTTAACCTCGCATCATATGCGACGAATTGACTAATTGCATTCGCAATATTTCATGGCCTCCCTCTTGACCACGTTCCTTGCGTCGGTGATATAGTGACTCGTGACTCGTGACTGTGCGTAAGATTGTAGCCCTTTATAAAACAAGCATGATGCTTCACGAGCAGGCCGCAACTCACACTTTGAAGGCATAAATAGATGCGGCAGGACGCCGCGTGCTTGAATTTTGGTCCTATGGCAACAGAGCGTATCCCGTTTGATGCTGGATGGCCGCTAACCTGTTTCGTCTCATCATACAGCACAGGGACGGCACGTACCAGTACAAAAGCAAGTTTTGCGTGTTGTCAAGGTGCTTCTTCCTTTTGACCAACATCAACAACTCAACTCAACGCCATAGTCGTTCAACTGCTTCATACTGCTCAACTGTTCATCAACACATCCACTCACTGACCCAAACAATCCATCATCCCATTCATCAAGGTAAGTCATATCTGACTTCCCTTCTCTCAGATCTGGTGTGGCTCGCAAACGACTACGGCGCCCCTTCTATATTTCGTCCCTTCCAAGATCACCTTGTCTTTATCTTACCGTTCAAGTCGAAAGTAACCCTACTACAGCATCCCAGCATCACACACAACTACCGTTCCATCTCACTGACAAGACATCAAGATGCCCGCCAAGAAGAACACCAATGGCGATGCCACCGGCTCCGATGGCAGTGTCGTCACCCTCACCGAGGCTGAGATCAAGCTAATGAGCGTTGTTCTCAAGCTCTCCGGCCCTGGCAGCAAGCCCAACCCAAACTGGGATACTGTCGCCACCGAGATGGGTCTCAAGGACAACAAAAGTAGCCGAGAGCGGTTCCGCCAGGTCTGCAAGAAGCAAGGCTGGTTCGAGGCGGAGGAGGCTCCTGGAACTCCTTCCAACCGCTCCGCTAAGAGAAAGGCATCTGCCGACTACAGTCAGGGAGACCGCGAGGCTGAAGCAACCCCGGTTCGAAAGAGAAAGGTGAACGTCGAGAAGGCTGTCGCCGCTGCCATCGACGACGCTCTGGCCGAGGATGCAGAGCTCAAGAAGGAGGAGCATGTGGAGGACGACATGACGGGTGGTGAAATCTAATCCCATGCCAGAAGGACCTTTACCTCACCCTACCTCACGTGATGTACCCCTTTGTTTACAGACTCGGATTGGTTTGGAACTCATTTGGCACACATGCCTAGTTCAGTATTGATGGATGCCGCTTCGGCTACCAGACAAAGGGTTGGGAACATGACTTTGGACTTTCTGTCTGGCTAGGTAGTCATTACCAGACAGTCCCCGAATGAACACGAAATGACCTCGCTTACAGTTGAAGCTGTGAACTGTGTGTCTTATCATCTTGCTTGAATACACCCTTTAATGCAAAGACACAAGACCGAATTTTGGCCAAACCCTTGCCTTTATCTTACTATGAAGGCCTCATGCAGGCAGCCACCGTCAAGGGAAGATGTAGCTGGAAGTCGGGCAGTGGTCATCTCATACAGACTTCCAAAGAGCGCGCCCACCACTAATGACTTATAATAATGTCTTCTGTCCGTCGAAGTCATGTCTTTCCCTCAGACTTATGACAGACCTAAGACCATGTCCAAGCCTTATCGTATCTGTCTCGATTACCCATCGTTGGCTCAGGCACGTCTATCAAAGGTCACATACTGCTCTTGATGGGACAGGATTGCGCCACCACTGGAACCTATTCTGGAACACCTCCCGTCCCTGAATCGACACCATCGGTCGGACATACAGCAACGAGCAGACAGATTGCGACTTCATACACAACTGGCTAATGCCTACAGCTGTGTCCACTAATTCTCGAACTGGGTCACCGTCGTCGCTCCAGGTCGACGCCTTCAAATCTCCACGTCTTTGCCAGTCCACCGGACGACCAAGCCCTACCGCATCACACGATCCGGTGGATCTAGCTACTGACCTGAAGCCTATCATTTGTCGTGGGAAAACTGTGTCTACTGGCTGTACCTGCCTCTTGGCCTCCCTCCACTCATCCATCAACCACACCTAAGGTTGAACATCTGAACCCAGCCCAACACAACTGCCCCTCACAGTCTTTTCAAGACCATCCATCTTGACCCTTGTCCCACTTCTGTCAGATCTCTTGATCGTCTTCTACTCAACCTCCCACTCCACCGCGACCGCTGTTCAAGATGTCTTCCAAGGACGTTGATGGCCAGTTCCAGTTCTTGATCGCCTGCATCAAGAATTCTACTGCCGGCAAGGTATGTGACAGGTTTCATCTCACCCTGACCCTGATAGCCCTCATTCATCAAATGTGTACACGACGATGGCAGCTCCTGCCTCTCCGACGAAAATTTTCCATAACATTTGCAATCGCTATCTACGATATGCCACGATCTCATATGCTGACTCTATCTAGGTTGACTTCGGTGAAGTTGCCAAGCAGTGCGACATCGTCAGCAAGGGCGCCGCGTAAGTCCTCCAGCCATGCAGTAACCCCACACATACTGACCCTCCTCTTCCACAGTGCCAAGCGATACGAGCGACTGATGAAGGCCCACGGCATCACCAGCTCGCCCTCTGGTGGCTCTGGTGGCTCTCCTCGCACTCCCGTCAAGAAGGAGAAGGGCGCCACCCCCAAGAGCTCTGCTACCAAGGGCTCCGCCGCCAAGAAGCGCAAGCTCGAGGAGGTCGACGACGATGTTGGCGACATCGACGAGCCGGTCATCAAAGGTGAAGTCAAATCCGAAGTGAAGCCTGAAGTGAAATCCGAAGGTGCCATGACAGTGAAGACCGAATACAGGAATGGTGGCATCGCAGCCGTGGCGCCAGCCTTCGCGAGCCCGGCCGATCCTGGCACACCTCAGCGGTTCAGCCAGGATGACGATGACGACGTCCTCGTGGTCTCTTCGAGCGAGAAGCCAGGAAGCAGTGTCCCAGCCTACGGCAGCGATCACCGCCATCATCACCACCATTCTGTCACGTCGGCACAAGCTGTCCCTGCCACTCATACCTTTGATTACCCCACTAACGTGACCTTCCATCACCAGATGACCCCGATGAGGACGACACCGGCGGAGATGATGCCGGCGATGTCTAGACCGCCTTCGGGCACCCCTCTACCATATGGTTTCCCTGGTTCCTCCCCATTCATGCACAACCACGACACCTCAGCGTTCTTCTGGCAGACACCCATAGGCATGGCTCCGTCACCTTCAGGCAATGCCAAAGAAGGACACTGGGACAAGGGCTTGTGATATGATTTATGGACATGCAGAGTAAGTTCTACCTTACCAAGTCACACGTTGGAATAAGTGATGGTGTCACCATTTTACTCAACCCATCCCCTGATAGTCAGATAGCTAACTAAATTCGCATAGAAATCACAGTCTGGTAGGGCTCTAGAGATGAGAGCTTCGAGGGGCGTGACCTTGATCTCGCTCGGTTTGGAGATTCTGGCATATGGATTCATCTGTACACAGCACACATATCGGATGTGTGCAGGTCATGCTACATACAACAAAAGACTTGCGGGAGTTGGCGGTCATCTCTTTGATATTCCTGCTTGGGCTTCTCAATAGTAATTGACATCTGGTTTCCCGCGCTTGAAAGCCTTCGAATCTGTTGTGACACATGTTGCCTTGTGTGACCCGCCTGGCCCGGCGTCTGGGCTTGCCTCCCGGCCACACGAGTTGAAGGGGTTGGGCGAATCTTGACCCAGAAGGATGGCAGTAGATCCCACTCCAATGTCCGTATCATATCTCTCGAGTCTCTGCCATGGAAGGGAATCCGGCCGATGAAGTACACATACCATCATTCAGGACTTAGGCAGTGAGCACCTTTTTTTGTCCTACTGCCTGTGATGAACGCATATTGATGTCAGACAACAGAGCAGCTAGATCGCTCCTACCAGCTTCCGTGCCTGTTTCGACGAATTTATGAAGCTATCAGGCATAGTCTTTCCTCACTACCGCTTCAACTTGGCTAGCTCGTCGTTTGACCTGGAATTTAATGCCGCACCGCTTTTCTATCGCTCTGTACGGAAATGACTAAATGCTCTTCGAAGCACTGCCGGCTACTTGTGATGAAGCGGGCATTAAATGAGGAAAATACTGTCAACCGTTGATCCAAAGATATGCTCCCAGATGCTAGCAAGTCATTTACGATGTAAGTTGGCGCCTCATTCTGCGCCAGCTTAGAACCCCGCTGTACCTTCACGAGGAACAGAGACATCTGGGCACGAAGTCTTATTTAGTTCCATCGATCTGCCAGTTCTTGACTGCCCCAATTCATTGCAAGGTATTTTTGCGAGTAATTGTCGGCTGGTGCCGTGATGTTGGTGGCGGGCACTGGCATGCGATCATTCCCCCACCCCTGGCCACTATCCCCACAAACGCCCGCCAAAATCGACAGCACAACGCCACGATGTGGGACCGCTTTGCCTAATTTGACGACATGCGTTGAGCCGCATGTAAGTGGTAAGCGACGACATCAAGATGAACTGTAAAATCGCCATAGAAAGCGCTTTGATACTGACTAGGTATTGGAGATGGCTCTTTGACTTGTTGCTAACCGGAGTATGATTTATTTGGCATCGGAAAATGAGCCAACGAGCAGTGACAAATGCTGCAATGAGATGGTGTCTAGCAGCTCGGTCTGGTGGGCACCGAGTCCATGCAGACCTTCCATATATGAATCCAGTCATCCGCAAGAAATCTTTTGTCGTGACGAATGGTATGCAGGGACTATTAAGAGTATTCAGAGGCTCAGCATGATGCATAAAGCGCAGCAAACCCGTAGCTGTGGCCAATACACACCATGGTTCTGTTGCTGGTGAGCTGGCATACCTAGAGCCAAGTCGTCGCGTCGAGAACTTAGAAGCCAAGGATTTGGGGCTGGGTGGTAACCAAACGAAAGCACTTGGTACTATTTATTCAATACTCGCGAGAAGAAGTTCCAAAGCATCGTTTCTGACGCGCTCTTCAGACCAGCGGCCAACATAGGGACCATAGGGAGATGGTCTTCACTTGATTCAACCAAGAACATCCCCCGACATCATATGACATCAAATATTAAGTAGGATTCGGAATGACCACATCAAACATGCTATGATACGATATACGAATTATGATGTACTGCGTTATAAATATGGTTCCGAGTAGAACGGGAGTCTCTTGACCAAGCCTTAATACCTAGAAAGCTGGGATATCTGTTGACGACTATGGGTAATGTGAATGAAGCCTAATCTAGAGAAATTTAAGACAGCAATATCACCAAAGCCTTGGCCGCCGGCGAATTGACGATGCCGGGGCATCAGATGGCGAGGCAATTGGAGTGAGCTGCACAAACGTCCCCGCCGGGCTTTGATTGTTGTGGTTGCCCCCGCGAGCAACAATCCAAAAATCAAGAACAATCCAAATGCCCGACAATCCACACCGCTCAGTGCTGGCAGAATCCCGCCTATTAAAAAATTCCAATCCCACAGTGCTCACACCTTTTTCGATCTTCTTTCCCGTTCCCTCTTTGCCCGTTCTTGAGATACCACCAAGCTTCACAGCCAGGAGACCTTCCTCAGTACGAGCTTCACGATCCCAGCTGTAACAGCAACTGCCACCCTCTCGCAGGCTTCATCATCGTCCGGTAAGTCTTGTCCCATTTTTCTGAGTCTGCATCCATCTCCAAAACCATCACGTTCAGGGTTGTCACGATCGTTGCGCTTCAGCAGCACTTCATGGACCCCACCATGCCTGTCTTCTCCTAATGCTGTGCGCCACCAAGGTAGCCCAAGTCGTTCTGTCCTGGCTCCTACTCACCACTACACGTCGATCATCGTTGCCCCGCCATTTCACATTCTCACATACCAGAAATCATCAACTCTGCACTTCCCACACATTGGCCCATTCTGCCGTCAGCAGGAAAATTTTCTGAACTTGAAAATATTTTCTCCTGAAGCTGTTCGATTCTCCCATCTTGACCCCGCCCCTCTGTTCTTCACCACCTTGATCTGCCACTCGACTGCTTTTCCCTTTGGACAATCATTACTTGGCACCAAATCAAACCAGCTTTTCATCCTCATCTCGCCTCAGCGCTGACCCCTCTGATTGCAGTCTCGAGTCTTCTCAATCTGCACCATACTGCTTCCCACACCACCCATCTTGACGCGATACTTCGATTCCACCAGTCCGACCTTGGTCCCTCAGCATCATTGTTCGACACCCCTACATTGAGTCCGATTGCGATAGCAGTCATTGTCGATATCATACCTGCCCGACTCTGATCACCATCACCAGTGCGAAATCATCCGCACACACGTCTCTCGACCCTTCACCACAGCTGTGCAATCTCTGGTACCAGTTCTTGTCATCTGCCCCTCCCCATCTCTACCTAGACTCCTCAAGCAGTAAGTTCCCCTCTCTTCTACCCCGCCCTTCATTTGAGGACAGGCTCTGACAATAATATTCACTTCCCAGGCAAGACTTATCTTCCTTGAGATTCACGTCCCGCAGAATACTTTGCGTCGATTTGTACCTTTCGCCTACAGAAAGTTCACCTCGCACGCTCTCCCTACGAAGAGCCATCTTCTGCATATTCTACCCTTCTGTCTCCTCAACTCTCATCCAGAGACTACTCCTCATCAAGTGAGTCACCTCTCGCCATCACCTACGATGCAACATCCACTGACCGCATCACAGACACTTCCTCCCGACATCACCAGTACACGCCGTCAAGATGATGCAGCGAAACCGTACCACCTCTGGCACCCGTGCCACCACTGCTCGCGCCGTCTCTGGCCCCCACTCATCTTCTGCCGCACGCCTGATGCGCCTCCGCACCACCTCAGCCGGCTTGCCCAGAGCTAATGCTGAGGCTGCCAACTCCCCCACTGCTCCGGTCCACCAGGCATCCGCTGCTGGCAATGCCGAGCAAGCTCACACACCCATGCCCATCGATGTCAACCGTGCCAACGCTTCCAACGTCCCCGCTCCTCAGAGCCAGACACCCATCACTCCCGTTGTCCTGAACAGCGGTGAGGTCTTGAGCTCTGCCGAGTTTCGCATCATGAGAACCGAGCTCGCTGCTGCCCGACGCAATGGAGAGTTCCCCGCTACTCGCCTCTCCTCCCATTGCGCAGACGCTGTAGCCGAGGACTACGAGCAGCTTCAACGTCTCCGTCAGCTGCGTGGTGATCCGGCCCAGCCGCCCTCCGACCAGTACTACAGCGAGTTTGTCGAGACTGCCCGCAAGACCCAGCAGCGCGATGCTGAGGCAGAGGATGATCTTCGCGTTCAGCGTGCCCATGAAAATGTTCGGAACATGGTCATCAACCAGAACGTCGGTGCTGATCTCCATGGCATCATCCAGCATGCCGCCGCCAGCGCTATCGACCGAGCTCTTGCCAACAACCAGGCTCAGTCTCTTCATGGCAATGTTGTCCGCGAGATTGTCCAAGCCACCCTTCAGAACATGGATGCTCAAGGGGCTGTTGGTGTCCAGGCTCTCGACATGGACGCTGTCTTGGAGGATGTCATCACTGTTGTTGAGGCTGCTGCTCTTGATGCAGCTGGTCCTCTTCGACTGAACGTCAACCGTATGGATGGCCAGATCAACCGTATGGATCAAGCACTTGAGGGCCATCTTGAGAATCTCTCAACGCAGCTTGGTGCCATGAACAACCATGTCAGTGCTGTCGGCAACCATGTCAACGCTCTTGGAGCTTTCATGCAGACCATCAACAACACCGCCACAGCAACCAATCACCAGATGACGAGCATGTCTGACCAAGTCCGAAACACTCAAACCAACGCTCAAGCTATCATCAACATGATACCTGCCTTGGTTGAAGAGGCAATCCAGCAAGCTCTCCCCGGCGCTCTTCAGACCATCCTCGCCCCAGTACTCGCTGCAGCCATACAGAGTGGTGCAGTCAACGGCAAAGGCTTCGGTGTCAATGTCACTTCTGAGAAGGGTACCAGTGAGGTCTCTAAGAAGCCCAAGAAGCGCGGTTTCTTCAGCCGCATCTTCAAGCGACACTGCAAGAAGGATGACCGCAACGGTGGTGGTTCGCCTCCCAGCATGGCCTGCTAAGCTATTCAGCACCATCTAGCCCTCAATGCCATCAGCATCACCACTATGCAGCGACTGAGTGACACACCTCGTTCGCATTTCTTTCGCAATACCAGATTCGATTCTCTACTCTTCCGTCATTTTTCGATGCTTGGTCGTCTTCACCATTCTCCGTGTCTTGTATCCGAGCCGACTTTCTATCGGCCAGTCGTTCAAGACAGATGAGGCACATCATGCCGGCACTAGACTTCTTCGACTTTGGGCCTCTCCTCTCCACGGCGTGTAAGCTAGCTTCGCTGGCGCGATGTCTTGTTGATCGGACTCGGTGGCGAGATTCACTCCACGGAGTTTCGCCAATTCGTTCGACTCACGACTACGGTTCTCCACTTTCACCGTTTGCGACCACCTGTATCTGAAGTTTCGCGGTCTCTCTGGATCTGAACTTCTTGGGTCACAGACTTTTGGCAGACGTCCTGATTGGATCTCATTCACATCTAGGGGTTGTCAACAGCAGTAATTCTCTCGTACCACCTGCACCTTGGGGAGATCGATGTTTCAGCCAATACTTTCTCAGCAGCGGATAATCCCTTTCTTTCATTTCAGGCTTTCTCTTGGTTCTTGCAGGCCATAATCAGCACCCAATGTACGCAATGGCCCTGGTATCCAATGGATATCTGCAAATCAGGGCAACACCAGCGGAGGAAGGCAGGATAAATTTTGGTTTTCTGATTCGGAGGTTCTGTTTTGTGTATGACCCCAGTGAATAATTCACGGGTGTACTCATCTAATGATTCTGTAGTAATGAACACTCCTTCATGTATACTAGTTAGATTACTTGTCAAGCCCATCAAGTCAATAAAGTTCATCTTCTGAATGTTTGTGTTTGCACCTTGAGATGCGATTTCATAGTGTCTCCCGCCTGTCGTGATGATTGGTTCTGTTATACAAGGCATTGAAAGCTGTTTTCGTCAGCTTGAGATCACTGGACGCTGTGGTCCTGGAGAGTTTTCCGCGCTAGAGTCGAAATGATCTGGTGGTCGCAATGCAGAGCTACATGCCCCCTACATAGGCAAATATCGAATACATAGAAGGCGTATCTAGGCGTCTCATGCCATTGAAGATTATGCCGTGTCCGATTCCCCTGTCGCGCTCTCCCTCACGAATGGAAGGAAGTCTTGCTCAGCAAATACCCAGCTGCCTTGTTTGAACTTGGAAGTCCACGAAGCTGAACAGATGGTAGCTCCACCAGACCAGTTGCAAAGACTTTCAAGTCTAATTTCATCACCAGAAACCAAGGAGCTCGACCGATCAGAGCTTATGCCAAGGGAAACATGAGAGAAGTTGATTAGCAGTATCATGGTGATGCGCAATACGTTTCAAGTTTATTTAACGAACGTTGCTCTTCATTGTATTACTCCGTACTTTACTTGAAATAATCAAGTGTGTTATGTTTAGGGACCAGAAGCAGGTTCAAAAGTGTCCCAGCGTCCTGTGCTGAGGTTCCAGTATCTGTTTGGTCTTCTATTGCTCGGTTTGGTTGCATGCCATCAATCAATTATTGAGACGAGGAAAGCCTCCAGCGAAGCTCTCAGTAAGAAGACCCCGTTTTGCATCCATATTATGGTCTCTTCTCGCTATCTGGACTCCAAGCCCGAAAAACAAGCCAAAGTCCTGTGACCTACTCAGGAGGGAGCCTGGTACCAACAAGGATGGAACATGGCGCCGAAGATGGCAACTTCGAACAACGCGAGACTGAGCATCCTCTATCCCACCGCAGAAGGGTTATTGGTGAACGATGCAAAGATGTAGGCTAGTTATCTCGAAGGAAATTGAGCCTCCAAGAAGCCGCAATTCACTGCGTGAATGAAAGGAGGCGTGGCCCATGTCATACTGATACCAAGTACAAGCTATGGTTTCTTGAGGTCTTCCCGTCCCTCCACAACTGGACCTCAGTCGATATGGAGCATCGGAAGGAAAGACGACACCTTTGTCTCCACCTGTTTGACGGACCCCTCAGGCCAGGAACGGCAACACAGTACATTGACAGGGATCGCGACGAGTCTCTGACTTTGGACCGCGGCCAGACATAGGGCTAGGGTATCTCACCATGCCAACTGAGTATAGAATACGTGACGCGTCGCTGCCTTGAAATAGCCTCAAGACAATGGCCATCAGCAATGCCCTTCAAGCACCAAGAAATGGCGCACTGAAACAAGGTAAACCCGTAACTGTTCAGAATTCCGAGCTTTCAGTACGACAGCCCTTTGGTACCAGGACTGCACTGCTGCGATGAGTTGAACCATACCATTTGTTGCTTTGAAGTGATTGCATGATTGTTACTGCTCATGTATTACTGAGGCTCGCGCCCTCAGTACCATATATTCTTCAACATGGTTTACCTGTCTTATCGTATCATACGTATTTGAAGAAGAGGAGAAACCCGCCGTATCTGTTTTGTGGCCATGTGCTAGGTGCTGTCTCTCCGTTCCGATTATCACAATCCTATCGCTTTCCTCCATGGCCACTGTGCTTGGACGTGGTCGATGCCGGGAGAGAATCTCCAGTGCCAGTAATACCCTCTCCAACACCCGATCCCAGATTCGCGGTCTTCTCGTCGCTCACCGGGTTGTCCGCTGCCTCGCTCATGACCATTGCCCCGAGACCACCTGCAGTCTTTTGCGTCTGGTGCGGTCCAGCGACAGAGGGGATGGTGTTCATCTTCCCCGCATCACCCGGGACTGTAATGGCTCCTATTAGTCCAGTACAGTCGTAGATTGGGAGTGGAAACACACTGGTGGTGCCATCCTTTGCCATCTGGTTCAGGTCGCCCCCTTCGTGAGACATGATGTGTGCGTCTGATTGTTGTTCTCTTGTGTTCAGCTACTAGATGGTTGGATTGGGTAGCTAGAATTCCTTTCCATCTCTTCCGGAATACTCGGTAATCTAAGTCTGAGCTTTCCATTAGGTATGGCGTAGGATTGCTCGAGGGTGATGTCACGACTCTTAATTAGCGGGGCCTGCAGCATCACCATCATCGGTCGGAGAAATGTACGGTTCCTGCATAACCGTTTGAATTGACTTTCTTCAAACCCTCAATCGAGTGCAAAAAAGGATCTCTGCATGTGAATAAATGGTGTCATAGTCCGAGAATCGGTGTCCGCTTCCGGCAGCTTAGGATGGGTTATCCACTGCAGCTAGCCCGGATATTTGACGGCATTTAATTCCGCCACAAATACACCACTGTAACATAAAAATATCATTAATACATTCTTCGCATCGAAACATCCATCTAGGTGATCTGAGACGTTTTGCTATTTATCTTTTCAAGCTCCCGAAGACGTGTAAAGACAGTAGCGTAGGGGTAATATCGCGAAGTGTCCTCCCACGAAGAGCAGACCGCTTGCTATCGACTCCATACCAGGCACTGCGATTTTGAATGCTGAATGACACCATATCTTGGCCAGATGAGCACATGTTTTACTATGTTCACTATATGAAATCTCGCTTTGCCGTTGTATGAGACCTGAATCAATGAGGCAGTCGGCAGTTCGTGACAACAGTAGTCTTGCGCGTTTCCAGCTTGTGTTCCTAAACTCGGGTCTCCAATTTCAACAGAGAGGAATCGCGTCACGTCACAGCTACAACAGTACACATGGATGCCACCAACCAAAGGCTTCTAAATCATGGGCTTCAGGAGAACAATGCAGCAACACGTCTCATGGATAGTGGATGGGTGGGCCTAGCCGCCTAGCTTACCCAGGGGGTACCTGTCACAAGTAGGATCTGCTCACGCGATACAGATTGGTTCGGATGAGATAGCTCTACCTTGAGGACCATCTCTATCTGATGTTATCAACCGGAATGCAAGTCTTTCTTGGTTCACAAAGTTAGCCGTATTGGTCATTTTGGCCCGTGAGTCATCTTTCCTGCGTCTGTATGTCCAGCATCAGGCAAGATGCCCCCAACGCCTTTCTTTCCAGCTGTTTCCTGGTTCTGCACAACCAATGCATCTGAACAAGCAAAGAGGCCCAATGCAGTTTGTAACCGTTACATTCCAAGTCCTTAGATTCCTGTGGACGTGCTTGTGTATAGCTCAGCTACCTACTCATCTTGCTAGGCCCGTGCGTTCGATATATACTACCACATCTGTAGGACCAACCCACCATTCTGAATTCAATGATACTAAATTCAACGGACTATGGCTGATGTATATGTATACAGTTGATTAGGATGGAATTGATCTCTTGTGGTCTGCAAAGGCAGACATTAATTCGACTGGACCCTTGCATAATTCGTCCTGGCTCACTACTCTCAAGAAGAACCGAAGTGCAACAACGCGAGACCGTGCGTTGCCATTTTATTATGACACGTATGTTTGATACTGCCGATGCTATCAAGAAATGATGCATCATACGGGACTGTAACTCAGAAGAAGCTGTGGATATACTATCAGTCACGTTCGCGTCAGTTGGGTAATCATACCTGACTGATGCATGATTACTATCAGATCACTGTTTGTAGGCAAGATGTAATGCAAAGCCACCGAAATCCCCTATCCTATACGGTCTATACGGCTGTAGCAGCAGAGTAATCAAAATTGATGGGATAATCATGCGTTTGACGACCTGGCGTCCTGTCGGCAAATCTGCAATCCTGTCGTCGACTTTGCAATCCTGTTGACGGCGGTTGTCCGGCTGTTCGTCGACGACTGCCGTGTTGATCCGGTGATTTCGTGAGCGATGATTGGTAAGGCCTTTATCGACGGCGACGATTGAATTTCTGCCGTCAACAATCCGCAGTGGCGGCGACGTGGGGGATAGGGTTGACCCTCCAAGTATAAATACCCTCCCTCCCCAAATGTTCTGAACTGTTCGTTCGCTCATCCTTCCTCAAAACATCAACCCTCTTTGAGATCTTGGACGTTCCGGCTTCACTCCTCAATCCTCGACTCTCGGTTGATGATCCTTCGGTAAGCCAGCTCTTTCTTACCTCCCACAGCACCACGATCTTCGAGTCTCCCGCATCTGGCACAGCAAGGCGCGCGTATTGTTGTCCACCTTTGCTCCTCCTCGTCCCACGCTCGTCATCACGCGTTTTCTAGCTGCGAGAACACACTGCTCTGCCCTCTAATCTGCCACTTCTATCGAGAGGGCGATATTCGATCCATCGATGATCTTCGTCACCAGTAAACCCCTCCCTCCC